TTTGCTCAAACTTCATGTATACGAGCGGCACGTGATTGTTTACTAGTCTCATTGCACATTTTGGTGCGAAAGCTCTGCGAAATTTCGTACAGCGAGCTTAATTTCCATGATTCTGGCCATTCCAACCCTTTCTTTTCGCGTTTATGCTTCAAACAATCGCAGGCATTGAATGCCATATAATAGCGCCGGGGCTGCGGGAAATGTGTTACCATTTTAAAGTGATTGATGGTACTAATAAAAAGCTCGAACGCGCAAGCTCTCTGTAATTTACCGATTCATTTTAACTTGGGAAAAGGCTTTTCTTTCTTTTACCACTGCGAGAGCGATGCTGCTTCATCACAGTTTGCAAAATTACAGCAGCGCTGCGAATTAGTTGTCTCGACAGTGCTAGTTATTTTTTCTTTTTTCTTTCAGACACAATGAAACAGCTGGAAGCTCGGGTCTGATTTTAATCAAGCGCATTCGAATTTGGTAATTAGGCATTAACGCTCGAAAGCACGTTTACAAACAGGCGCGTTGCCGGTAATACGGGAGGGAATTCCACTCAGCATTGCAAAGGCAGGCGAAGTGATAGCATCGAGCGAATAGCGATAAAGCTCTCGCCGCGGAGTTCATGCGGTTGAAAAGCCCGCCAAAGTAAAAAGCTCAGGTGTGTGTCGGCGCAGTAGTGGTAGGCAGCTATGCGTGCCGCTGCTTCAAAGTCACCGATCGATTACGCCAAGCTGCACTCGCCACAGCCAGACGCCGCGTCTACGATGTCCATGTCATTTCATTTTTCGCGGCGACGATGCTGCACAGAGCCGAACGTAAGTCAAATATAAATAACTGTGTCCCTGTTCTTTGCGTGCGCGCGCGTGTGTGGATGTGTGTGAATGCGACTCGTTCGATGCGTACCGAGGCTTTTCCAATGGGACCAAGCTTTTCATTTCACTCTCCGCGTCTTTTACTTTTTTATAATTAGACTTGAAGGACTTTCGAGTGCACAACTCGAGCTTATGCACAACGCGAAGCGCCTTTTGTTTTTTATTTGTTCCGAGAATGCTGCATAACCTTGCTCTTTATTCTGTTTCTTTTTCTGCTCGCTGCTGATTAACCGGCGAAAGGGAGTATTTTCTTTTCTCTTCGTGAGGCTAGTTGCATAACAATTTACCAAGAGTTTTCATTGCGCAAGGCCACCAGATCCTCGTCTTCGTCTCATCGGTTACGTATCTCCGTTTTGTCGATGGTCAATCGAAATTTCAACTTTTGGTTATTAATCATCAGGCTTTTGCGATGAAAGAATCGATTTTTCCGAAATGTATCATATTTTTTCAGCTCACATGGTGCACCAAAAGATTGATACTCTCCTTGCTTGTCGGCGGGTTATCGAATGACAGAGTAATTAATGAATATACAATACAAGCCTCTCATACGTATACAGTAAGTGTATGATTGCGCGGCTGGCGTAATGTCAGGACTTCACGGATTATATTAAAAGCAGATAAAAAGCACTAGGTATTAGAGTTGTTGATTTCACTAACAGCCACTACTTGAGTTATTAGTGTATATTAACTGTGTTAATTATTCCAAATATAATGGATCGATGAAACAGGTGCGTACGACACATGTGGTTCTTGTCGAGTCACTCGCGCGGCTGAAAACTATATTCCGACAACTTTTTGCTCTTTATGAAAAGTAACGCAGATATTTAAATTTCGTTGAATGTGAAAACACGTACGAATTTCAAAAATATAACAATTTATAATATAACTTTCATGGTGACGATTTGAACATTAAGCGTAAGAAAAAGAATAATAAAGTGAAAAAGTCGGCGTAACAGCTTCATTGAAAATGCTGCATGCAACTCGAAGTATACAAATTTAAATATAAAAACCGACAGCATTCAGTTTTAATGACAAGTGTGTACATTGAACAGTTGAGAGTTTAAGAAAGGACAAGACGTGTTAAGTGTTTGCATGCTAATGAACACACGAGTGGATACACTTTATTTCTTTAAAAAAAAAATGCTTTTATTCGAAAAATTAAAAAAAATATAATTGCACTATAAGATTAATTTGTAAAAATCTTACTTCGCTTGATTAAAAGAAAAGTTGAAAATACGTGTGCTAAAAGTATGCTAGTTAAAATAATGAAGTTACTCTAAATTATGTATATTGAAGTTCATCTGCATTCGCAAGTAGGCATGAACCGCATTAACCGCAGTTCTAAAAGCACTTCTGGACTCCCTACTACTGGCTTAAAATTTCTCTCAAAATATAGAAACCAAACCTCTACATACACATTAAACGACGCGAAATCTCGTCCTCATCAATCCCATTAAATCCGCAATGGAATGAGATGCCCAAACTGGCTTAATAGAATTTTTTATTTTGTTTCTTTGTAATCCCTTGAATTACAACGTTAGTCTTCTCTTTACAAAAACATCTTCGTGGAATATATTTTATAGATCTGCTTTTTGTGAACAAAGTACAAGTATTAAACTTGTTTTTGCCATTCGTGTAAAAAATGAATCTAAAAAGAGTAATTTTCATATGACTGGAGGTCAGAGTGACATTTAATTGACAAACGCATCTAAAGTCTCGTCGTCATGACTGACGATGAACTGGTTTTGCGAGTGACGTTTCTACCATTACTATCTACGTAGTTGGATTCAAGTTTAACTTTGATGGTTATAGCATTTTTATTATGTCGCATACATATACTATGTGTTATCACGACAACAACTATAAAAAGAAAAGTGCTTTACTCACGCAAGCTTCTAGGGTACATTAAAATACTGTGTATTTTTTTTCGTTCTAGAATACATTTTCAAAATAAATATTTCTCAACAAACATATGATTTTAAACATTATTGAATGAATAATACCCAATAACCTACATTAATTGATAATTAAAAGATAAAAAAAGTCTAGCGCCGACATCGGCATCTTTGCAAGGTGATAAATCCACGTGCCTGACGTGCAGATATATATATATGTATATATATAGACGTTGAGTTGATGACTGTAGCGCGCGTCTAGCTCTCAGAGGTATCTATCTAGCAATAGACTTCCGCGTACGATTATGTAAGAGTAGGCGCAGACTGATGATACGGCAGTAGTTATAATTTTTATGGTTTCGTCATCCGAGGAGAAATATATTCCATTTCCACTGCAGTAAATATCAGAAAACAATTGGTTTTCGTAAGGAGAGCCAAAGAGACAATGGCAAATAAAAATATACGAATAAACTCAGAAAAACGAATACACACACACACACACACACATACGCGAGAGTTTGCGCGCAAATGTACTGAATCATTCACACAACGCTATACGGCAGCTTCACCTTCCATATACTTTACGTCCATTACGTCTCGATCTCTGCGAATAAAAGTCTTATTCGGCTAAAAACCTGTCTATCTCTCGCATTTTTCACTCTAAAGAATGCATAATCTCAGAAATACTTTTACGATGGTGCTCTCTTCCCTTGAACGTTGAAATCTTAACGCAAACTACAGCTGCATCCCTGAAAGTGTGCACGATGAACGAAATGGAAGCCAGCGTTATTATGTAATTGGCAAAATCCGAAGAAAACTATAATAATGCATTTTCTTTGTTCGCTGCCAGTAGAATTCCACTATATCCGAGTGAAGTAAATAAAATGCATAACGAACGCTGAAATGATTCATGGGTTTGTAAGACAAGCGTGGCGAGAGGGAGTTGCATCGTAACGCAAGGACCATGTACACAAACACGCGCGCATATGTATTACAGAAGGTCGTATAACATGGTTGAAAGTGTATTGTTTAGATAGATTTGTTGAAAATCTAGGTTGCTGTTGGCACTGAAAGATATATGTCGCGGTTTTTTATCCGTCTAGGATCGAAATATATGCATTACCATGTACACGCGACTCAAGACTATCGAGATATACGATAATAAAATTACTTGCAGGAATATCGGTTTTGTGGAACGTAACTTGCTTTTTTTTTTCATTTGTAGTTATAATCCCCAAGAAATACGGGCAAAAATGATTTCTATCTGTTTTTGAATTGTAAACATTGAAGCTATAAGAGAGGATCTGTAGAGGATTTTCAAAAGAATTGCCTCAAACACTAAGAAATCAATTGACTTAATATATTTCGTTATGTCAGTCGAGATAACGATACGCCTGCTGTTGTTAGAAATGATTGTTAGTCCATTATTTATTCAAAGTGTCAATTATGCTGATTGCTGCAAATGCCATTTATTCGATTGAGTAGAAAAACAAATTTAACTTTAGGGAAATGGATAAACAACTGAATAAACGCCATTGTCGAAGAAAACTTTCGCTTTGCGAATTGGTAGAATCGATTATCTACGAACGTGCTGGTAAATACAATAAAATACATTATTCATCGCTCGCGTAAACATATATAAATATCTATCGTCGCCTACAAAACTGCGGTCGGTCATTTATTTACGCACAGTCAAGCCATGCACCATCGCCTGAATATTGTGCACAAAGCACAAACGCGGCTTTGTGAGCTCGCGTCAATTTTGAATCGTGCGTCACGTGGGAGCAGTATAGTCGCGCGCACGGTGGCGGGAGCTAAGAATCGTAGTATAGGTCTGTGGGTTTTTTTTTTTCGTTGACGCGCAGCAACTATGCAATTTATTCGCCAGTATCGCCGCAGAAACACAACGGTTTAGCTGAGATTTCATTCTGCTTTGACTACATTATTTCGTTTTCAGCGTTGTTTTCTTCCTCTTATTAGTGTTGGATGTGATTGTGAGTGTATCTTACTTATGTACCTTAAAATTTATTATAAATTGGCTTTTAGTGCATGCTTTTACATTGATCTTGCTGCAATAAAGGTCTTCACCTTAATCAACTCGTATGGCGTATTTTTTCTTTAAAAATTAATGTAGCATTTCTTAGATGAATTTCTTTTCTGAAAATATGTGAATAGAGAACGTTTTATAATTAAAGGAAAACATTATTATTCTATTTTAATTGACCACGATATAAGGTAATTTAGTTTTGCTAACATATCGCTAGTTATTATAAGTGCAGTCGATTAGTCCTCTATGCACATACAAGCGTGGAAACCAGCAAATGTCCAAATTACGTTCTATTACTATTAAAACTTTGTTTCTTTAAAACGAACAATAATTATTTGCGCCGAACACATTTTTGTCGCTAAAAAGCTTTACGCGAGTAATTGAAATTTAAATGAAAATGAAAACGTTGTCGACGTAAATCGGTGCTAAATGAGTTGTAGTGCTAGACAATATTCATAGAGTGATATGTTATACATACAACTATCAAGTAATGTCAATCAAATATATTTGCTTCCTCAAAGAGAAGGCTTTGGTGACGTGAAAAAAATGATTCGTAAAATTTTCACAGGTGTACGTTTGAAAGTACAAGGAGTCACCTCGATGCATAATTTTTTTAAATATCTTTACGTATGTATGGATGTGTATATAATGTACGTCTGTAATTACTCGATACTCGACTTCTATGGAATAAAAATCTTCGCGTGGGAGTTTATTTTCTTTGATTTTACTAAATGAAAATATTCCAAAATTTTCATCGGATTTATTTGAAATTTGGTTTAGATATTGATTATAGCATTCTTTGAAGTAAATTCCTTCCTTGTACAGATCATCCGATAAATTAGTTACCAAAATATACGAATTCGAAGTTTATTTTCATTAAAATTTTCCGCTTACCTGTTTTTTACTGTTAAGTGTTAAATAAGAAAGTAACTTTAATATGTTTAAAAGAATTACCTAGGCATAGAAAATAATCAATTTATAAACGTGTGAACTTGAAGAATCAATTGGTTTTACATTTGAACGACCTATCATGATCCATGTTTATCAAAAACAAACCACAGAAAATGTAGTTTTTTAATAATGAAATTATATAGTAGTTGAAAGAAAATGTACCTAAGATAATACGTACCTAAAAATAATAAATATTCTGAGGAAGCTAGGTGCAAATAAATCGGCAGCGTTTTTATTTGTTTGTCACCGATCTCTTTCTATGCTTAGGTCGTTTATTTTTAACTTAATTTTATATTCAAGTTAGCCTTTGATACGCTAATGCATGAATAAAAAATTCAGGTTCAGTTTTATTGAAAGCAACTTAGACAGAGGTCAAGGAGAACTCGTATAGCACAGAAGGATGAAGGATCAGCAGACAAGCGCGACGAGTAGCACGACACGAGATATAGTCATCGAATGCAGCAGTGAGCCGGATTTGAAAAAGATGACGGTACATCAAGACAAAACAAACAATAATGATGCTGGTTACATGACATCCTCGAATGACTCGCTGCAAGCTACCGCTGAAATATTAACCATAGAGGTAGATAATCACAATGATGAAAAATGGAAACTTAGCATACCACCAAAACTCAACAGTCTCAGCGTTGAAGACACAATACGAATCATCAAAGACGTTAGTAGCGAAATAACAAGAATCCCCGATGAACGGCGTCGTGAATGGCTAGTTGAAAAATTTACCGAGTACTACAGTTCAGTCATGCCCAAATCGTTGATCGAATTGTCGGCATCCGTTTTCTTCGACGGCGACAGTGGTACAAGCATCGATGCGAAACCCGACTGGCTTGATATCGACAAGTTTCGCCGCGGACAGAAGCTGGCCTCGGACCAGTTGTTCGGAATGTTTTACGCTAACTTGCTGTCACTGTTCACTATGTTTTGTTTTGAGGATGGACTCAGGCCGCTCATTTTTACGAATGCCTCCAGTACTCCCTACACTGCTTTCAAAAGGTACGGCATACTGCTTTGTTTATCTTACGTTTCTTGCAAATAACACGTCGCATACCCATTGGCAAACGCCTCTCTAGAATTTTGTTCTTCGGTCAAAAAAGAATCGTTAGTGTGTCAAGCAAAACGCTTTTTTTTAATGAAACACGTCAGAGTAGAAATAGACTTATTCGGTTACGCTCGTGTGACTACCATTCACCAAGAAAACAAGCGAATAGGTCACTCGAAGATATCAGTGCGGTGCGCACACAAACGCAATTACACACAACAAACGCGTCGTTGCAGTGAGCACCCATCTTAAATTATTAAGTTCGATCCTTAGCCAACCAACGTTCCTCTATGAAAACTAATCAATCACGGTACTTTATATGACTTCAGATACTTATCTACGGGTACGCGAATTCAAAACTGGTACACGTCGGATCCGTGGACAGTTGGCACTCCGGCATACAACGATATTCGCGCGGTCCGTCGAATGCACGCGGTAGTTCGCAAGAACATTCGAGACACGCCTCTCGACGAGTATGTCGAGAGAACAACACTCAAAGATTCCTGGTGTCCAGCGTTAAGTCGCACGCGGCGCGATATGGAATCGACCTGTCCAGCACCAAAACCCGGCCAATGCCCCTACATGTTCCACGACCATGTTCCGCAACTAAAGGAACGTAAGCTCAATCAGGGCGAAATGGCTATCACGCAGTTCGCTTTCGTCGGTATACATGTTCTAAATCCAAAGTTTTTTGGAATGCACGACGTCACGGATGAAGATCTCGAGGCTTACTGTCATCTGTGGAGAGGACTGGGCTATCTTCTTGGCATTGACGACGAGTGAGTGCTTTTGTTTAAGCTTCCATTTTTTCGGTAAAAATACGAATTTGCAACTCGAGTGAATGTCCGAGTATTTTTCATCTAACGTTATCGAATCATTAAGAATTTCTTGTTTTTGAAAATGCAATAACTTATTATCGATGAAATGAGTAATAAAAATAAAAAATTGAATAAATTGAATTTTTTGATAGATCCAATTTCTGTCGGGGCACATTGGAGGATGTGCGAACACGATCGAGGGACTTTTTGGAGTATTGGGTGAAACCGAATTTCCGCGTGGTAAACCCCGAATGGGAGCACATGATGAGATGCATGGTCGAGGGCCTGCAATACTACTTTCCGGGATCGACTTACGAGACTTGTCTACTCGATTTGGCCGAAATCATTAATTTACACATGCCGCGAACCTACAACGCACTGTCGTATTCCATTTGGATCAGACACAATATCGTGAGGTATATTGATTTTGAAACAGCGATCGTCAAAATTGGTCATTAAACAAACTATTTTTCTCTTTCAGATTCTATTTCAACCATGCAAGCAAATTACCTGGTGTAAGGGCATTTCTGAATCGTCGATTGATTGCAGCATTAGAAAAGGCACGGAATTTCGACGAAGACAAGCATCAGGAGTTGAAGCAAAGATCCGCGAAAACGATTGACTCTTACCTTAAACAGGCGAAAGCTGAGGAATCAATTGAAAATGGGATAAGTTTGTAACAGTCATTATGACTGTATATTATGCTTTACGGTTTAACTGTGTGTAAGGTACTATCATGTAAGTGTATGGCACGATCGACGTTTTTAGGGGAGTAAAATAGCTTAGTCGATTTCTAAGGCTTTCTACATTTCATTCCAAACGCCTACCATTATACATTTAGCTATGAAACAGTTTTACGAGCTTCCTTTCTAAGTCGACAAACAAACGAAGTGCATTGAACAATTCGTCGGCGTTTACTCGAGTACCGATTGTGTTGCAATAAGCTATAAAACGGAGTGAAATAATTATCATTTCGAAAGCAGGTGATAAGCATGACATGTTTGACCGTGCTATCTCGGTCAAACTCAAACGATTATTTTTTTCTCTTGAAATTTGCGTAAATAGTTGATAATAAAAGTAACAATAGGTGCCTTTACAAGGCTGTATTATAATTAGAATGTGCCCTTTTGTACAAAGTGATTGTACCATTCAATCTAGATATCTATATTGTATATTCAAAGGTTGAATACACAATATAGCTAGATACAAGTAATTAATTATGTATATATAATACTTTTCGTAGATCCAATAAATTTTATATATCTTTAAACTTTTAAATAATTGTTTTTCTCGAATTTGCTTCTTTATGATTCGTCGAATTCCTTATTCAATTTAAATTAATTATTAGAAATTAAATCAAACAAGTTTTTCCTCTGGAAATTGGGACGTTTTTGTATTATAAATTATTGCAATAACTCAAAACAAAAGATTAAGCCATCTAGAAAATCTTATTTTTGTCATCACATTAACAACAACAAAAATTCACTATCACAAGAGTTATAGGCTTGACCGAGTCACCCGCAGGTGAAGGTCAAGGTTTGTATGAACATTCTAATTTGAAAGTGATATCTCCGCGAAACATTGCAATATCGTGTTGCTAAATTCGGATCCAGATGAATAAATTCTACTTCAATTTATTGAAAGCAGTTTCCAACTAGTTAGAAAGAGTCATAACGAGTTAGTATTATCATACGCTGCCTAAATTATAAGGACTGATGAGCTAATACGTTTTTTAATTTTTAAACTTTGATTGATAAAACAACATATTAGCTTGAATTATTAATGTGACTGTTGGTATTCTACAAAATTATTTAAATTTATGAATGTAGGCTTCTCACATACCGTGCATAAAATTCAATTTTACGTGCACTCATGCATAAGCACAGTTGCGGTTCCCGGTTTGCGTTCACTGTGTCGATTGAGGCTGTTGGCTCAAAAATAACAATCAAGGGAGTTTTATAATGAGTCAAGGTAGAATGAGGTATTCTGGAGGAAAGAGATTTATTCGCATGGATATGCTGAATCACTGCGGGAATTTGTATATTTGTATAGCGCGTCAATTGGTCTTCACTTGAAATTGTTATCGAAATTTTGACTTGAGAGAATACATACGAAAAAGTTGAGTTTATTTATGAAGATCTTTAAAAATAGACTCAATAATAATTTGATCAATCAATATATTTTGTGTTTATTACATTACATACAATATTACATGCATGTCGCTCGAGTGAATCTCATTAACAAAATAACTATAAATTAATTTTCAATGTAGCTATATAATTTCAAAACGCGCTTGAACTGCATTGATTGCCATAAAGCATGCACGTTCGCCATTTTTTCCTAAATATAATTGTTGTATTTAGAATAATTACTGTGAGGCAATGTGTAATAGTAATAATCCGACAAATCTACAGATAGCAGCATATAACAAATTAAAAAAGTTGCGTAAGACAACTTGGAACTCGAGAATGGGTAGCAGGGAAAACAACGTAACTTCACAGGTGCATATGGTCCGTTTGAAATACTGCGCACTTGTGGCTATTGTTTAATACGCAACTACAACCATGTGATCTATCATCTGCAATATACTGCACTGATAAATTTGATATAAAAATTATATTACTCATATATACATACTCATATGTGCGGCATACGAAGAATAATAGACGCTCAGTTTATTCCATCGATTGACATTTTTACGAACCAAAAAAAAAATACTACCAAAATATTGAAAATCCTCTGAGAATTCATTTATGATTGATTTATCGGATAAGCTTGTACGTTACTTAACAAAATAGGGAAAAGGCATTTTTCCAGCTAGGGCGATGTTTGGACTTGTTTGATAGAGACTTTCGGTATAATAATTATAATAGATATTTGTGGTATGATAGGGTAGTCTCTCATTTAATCAGTTATTTGAAATTAACCTATAAGGTTACAGGATGTTTTACTTCAGATTAATCTATTTATATGTTGATTGCTATGAAGCTACATCGTAGACATTGGCTAGATTTCTTATAGTGCTAGGCAGACGATGAATAGTGGATGGTTACTTTGAACATTTCTACATTCAATAGTACTTGGAAGCACGGGATGTCTTGAGATACAGAAGCATTAATAGAATAGCAAGAACGATCATCGTTTTATCAAGTAGTCGGTTCTATGACTGTAGTGTTTACATATAAGAGTCTAACGCCGCTATGTTCAAGATAATGTTATATACATATATAATATATAGTGTAAATTGAAAGTACATTTATTTGTTCCTTCTTTTTGTTAACATGTAGATTAAGGCTTTGAACGATTCTGGAAGGTGCCGCCACCAATCGAAAATGTCGAGCTACTTAATAATCGACTGTGCAAAGACGCAGTTACCTCAGATAACGTTTGAGTCAAATCACACACAGACCATTGAAGTTGCTCTTTATTGCACTCGCTTATGGTGTTGTTACAGGTTCTAGAGGGTTGAGTAAACATGTAAGAGTGAAACAAAGTTTTAGAGTACTGAAGCCCCATTCAAACTGTTGCATCTTATTTGAGAAATTTCAAAATTGTATAGTTCACCATAGCAGCTTTCATTGCATTAAGAAGATCTCCGAGATATATTGGCATACTACATAAAGTTCGTTGTTTCATCGACGAGATATTGTAAGTTTTTGATATTTCCGTTCATAGCAGAGGCAGATTTTTATTATAAACGAAATTTAAACTCAAATTAGCAAAAACTTGAATAAACACGGTACATGTGACGTTTGATGTTTAATTTTGACAGCTTGCGAGATACGAATCTAGAAGTAACTTCGTTTTCGTATGGGTTTGCTTACATACCGCAAGATACCATAGATACATCAACTTTTGTTTACAATCGACTTATCCTTTACAGCAATGTAAGCTTCGAGGTCAGCGGCTATCCAAATTACGTTTTATTAATGTTAAAAAATTGATTTCTCTTTAACAAACAGTAATTTTTGTGCTAAACACATTTTCGTCGCTAAAAAGCTAACGACATACGCGGATAGTCATAATTTAAGTGCAAATTAAAAAATTAACGGCGTAAATCATTGCTAATAATGTGCAGTATCATACAATGGTATTCATAAAGTAATATTACGAGTATATATACGTGACTGTATCAACGCTTCTAGATAATACTTTTTTGCAAATTAATTTAAATTAATCTTAGCCTTCTCTACGTTGAAAGCTCACGTTTATTTTCAATTTTTGAGTTACGCAGAGGGCAGGGAAGTCTGGTGTAAATTAGAAAAACGAAGGAGCAGCAGGTGAGCGAGGTGATAAGCAATTACACCCAAGAAACTGCCGTATTTGGAAAAAAACGATGGGGCGCCAAGACGAAATAAAGAGCAATGAGCTAGGTTGCCCAACATCCTACGGTGATTCGCTACGCACGGGAGGCACAACCAGCGTTGAAAGCAATGACGGAGAAAAATGGAAAGAGGGTAATCTCAGCGACGGGGAGATGCTACGGATCGTTGAAAAAGTTAATAGCGAAATAACAACGATCCCCAAAGAACAGCGTCGCGAATGGCTAATAGAAAAATTCAATGGATACTTCAGTTCGGTCATGCCGAAATCGCTGATCGAACTGTTTGCATCGTTTTTCTTCGACGGTGGCAGTGGTCCAAACATCGATGCGAGACCGAACTGGCTCGATATCGACAAGTTTCGCCGCGGACAGAAGCTGGCCTTGGATCAGTGGTTCGGAATCTCATATGCTAACTTACTCTCACTGTTCATTGTATTCTCTTTTGAGGATGGACTCAAGCCGCTCATTCTTACGAATGCGTCCAGTACCCCTTATACTGCTTTCAAAAGGTAGGGCTACATTGTTTTCTCAGCGCTAAGACCAATTTGCACATTACTTGCGAATGGACATATCACTCTTGGGGAAAAGGTCTCTTTCTGCACAGGTCAACACAAATTGCTATTCTTAGTTTCAGTTCCAATGAGTATGATAACGCAGAAAAAATACATCATTCGATAGATTATTATTTATAAATGGCTTCAATCTATTTCAGCTCATTTAATCAAGCCAGCTTATTTAACAATATTTCATGACAATATTATTTCAATATAACATTAAGCTGTTCATTTAGCCGTCAGCTTAATCGTATGACCATTAATCTTGAATTGTCTGATTAAGTCGTATCATTTAGCAATATCTTTTGAAAACATTCTCTCGATTGATGATTATCATATAATATCAGTTTATCTGATAGTTGCTCAATGTTACATTGAGAAAATATTTTTACAAGCTATTGTTAAACGATAGGCTCGATTAAATGAGCTGAACTTGAATGAATGTAATTATGCAATAACAAACTATCAAGCAATGGATTTGTTCTGCGTTATTACGCAAATGCAATACGTAGTTGGTGGCGCGACTTTAAAAATATTTGCGAAATCCATTCTTGAATGCATGTTTATCGAGGTAAAGTTGGAATTTCAGTTAACGTTGTTGTACATCAAATTCATACGGGAAAACTTGGAGGAGCTTAAGCGCGAGAGGCTGTGGCTAGTAAACTAATCAGCAGAGCTTTGCTTTGAGTCGCTTGAACTGTTCAAGCCATTGCAAAAGCACAGTCGCGTATGACTTCAGATACTTATCAACGACCACGCGAATACAAAACTGGTACAGTACGGATCCTTGGACACCTGGCACCAAGGCATACAACGACATTCGTGCGGTCCGTCGATTGCACGTGATGACTCGCAAGAAGATTCAAGAGATGCCTCTCGACGAGTACTCGGATAAAACAACGCTCAAAGATGCTTGGTGTCCCGCACTGAGTCGCATGCGACGCGACGTGGAATCGGCCTCCTCTGTACCACAAACCGGTCAATGTCCCTACACGGTCTTTAACAATTTTCCGCAACTGAAGCAACATAAAATCAATCAGGGTGAAATGTCTAGTACCCAATTTGCTTTCGTTGGTATCCAAATTCTACATCCAAAGTTCTTTGGAATGCACAATGTCACGGATGAAGATCTCGAGGCTTACTGTCATCTGTGGAGAGGACTTGGATATCTTCTTGGGATTGACGATGAGTGAGCAGAGCGTTCTTTTCATTTTCTGGATTGATCGTTCCAACAATGTCACTGGTAGTTGCCGATAATCAATTCTTTTCAGTTTCAACTTCTGTCGAGGCACACTAGAAGAGGTGCGAACACGTTCAAGAGACTTTTTGGAGTACTGGGTGAAACCGAATTTCCGCGTAGTAAGCCCCGAATGGGAGCACATGACGAGATGCATGGTCGAGGGCCTGCAATACTATGTTCCGGGATCGAGCTATGAGACTTATCTACTCGATTTGGCCGAAATCACTAATATACACATGCCGCGAACCTACAACGCACTGTCGTATTCCATTTGGATCAGACACAATATCGTGAGGTATATTGATTTTGAAACAGCGATCATCAAAATTGGTCATTAATCAAACTGTTTTTCTCTTTAAGATTCTGTTTCAACCATGCAAGCAAATTACCTGGTGTAAGGGTATTTTTGAATCGCCGAGTGATCGCAGCATTAGAAAAGGCACGGAATTTCGACGAAGACAAGCATCAGGAGTTGAAACAAAGATCCGCGAAAACGATTGACTCTTACCTTCAACAATCGAAAATAAATAAACCAATTAATAGTTGGGATACATTTGTAAATGCAATATGGATGTGGACTGCGATCTTATTTTTTGGGATTTTACTTGCTTGGCAGTACTAACAGGTTATGAATTTGGCTGTTTAACAGCTAGCGCTAAAATGGATTATATCATTGATTTTGTACGTGTTACACATATATCGCTTCAGGGCATATTAGCAGTTGCAATGGCAATAGTAATTCTAACAATATAACCGTTTTATGTGTTCCCTTTCTATATCGGTACACAAACTTTGGATGTATTCAATAATTTGTCAAAGTTATCTTGAGCACCAAATGTGATTATTTTTGTATAGAAACGTGAGTGACGAAAAAAATATTAACAAATGTATTATATATATAAAATCCTTTTTATAGCATAAAGAAAAATTGAAAGAGTTAAATTTTTAAATGAAGATTTTTAAGTCGTCTCGAAATTTTTTTCGAGCTTCTAAGTATTCCATTTCAATATTTCTCTAAATCATTCTTAAATGGTCTGAAATTATTTAGATTATTATGAGTAAATTCAACACAGATTTATTAATTTCGAGTGAAAAGTTAATCGTAAACTCCAGCTCTATAGTTCGAAAAATGTTAAAGAGCTCGAAACTTCAAGACAAATAATTAAACTTTTTTTCTGAAGTCTCTATTTCTTAGAAAAACTTTTTAAAAAAATTCCGTAGGTATAAAGTTGAGGTAACCACAAACTTATTAAAATGGTTTCGTTACATAATTAACCATTGTTAAAAGGTTAATTGCAATAGTAGAACTTCTTTATTATTAAAAAAATTGAATTTGTTATCTTTACCATTAAAAGCTTTTAAAAGGATACTGAATCGAAATAGGATAGTAAAATTATTCACTTATGATATTGATATAGATTTATTTATATTGTCGCATAAAAAATTTATACTTAATTGTTATTAAAAAGTATAGAATATTTTACTTTTTTAAAGATATATCATACAATATAATAGATTTAGGACACTAACTATAATAATACGAATATTCGTATTTTGTGGAACGCATAATTGTCCACATTTTTACATTGCAGCTTTGCCCATTGTAAGGACATAAATTTTTAACGCAGCCTAACTTTTCTTTTATGCTTAGATAAGTTCTGCGGCCGCGTTAGGTAACAAAACGTGAAACTCATAATGAACATTTATCGTTATGTTTTATAATAACACCACGCCATTACTGCACGGATGAACGTTACCAAGGCGACAATTGTCAATCATTCACGCTATAATAATGCAGTTTAATGCATTTAAAATATAAAATATAGAACGGCAATTATGAATTTGGCGTACCCAACATTTTATAATCATCATTTAGAATCAATCTTTTGCAACAAAGATCAAATTAGATCGATTATTGTCGATCATTTACACAATATAATTTAAATATATTCTATTCTCTTATCTGATAATAAATTCAGACCCCGTCTACGGATTTTGAATGCGGCGCTCTCCAATGATATTCTCGAGTTTTCGTGCAACTCTTTTAGAAGCACTATGATTTTCTGAAGTCGCTAGTTCAGTCTCATCTTCAAGCAGACGTTTTCCAATGCATTTTCTTGCATCAGCTGACGTAACCATTCTATTTATGGTTTCTAAATCCTAAAGGAACAAAATACAATTTTTTTAATGAGATAATCAAATCATGAAACAATCTAAAATACACAAATTTTCAAGTCAAGTAACCTTAGCTGGACTGCGATTGAAACAGTATTGAAGCTGAGATGTTGAAGAAGCTGCAACTTCCTTGGGATCAAGAACACGGGTCATGACACTGTTAGTAACACGTCTAACCGGCGATGGACAAGTAATCGAGTTGTATTTAGGCAAAGGGCTGAGCTTTAAATTTAGAGTACTGTTTTCCGAATTCAGACGCTTAGCAAAATCCTTGACTTCCGGCACGTAGACTGTATTGTAGAATTTTATCAAATCGCCACGTTCCTCTGAGCCGTAGATTCGAGAAGTCGCGGCCATACCCGATGGCGTTGGTGGATGACCGCTGTTACTACTACTGGCAAATTATATTTCGATAAATAAAAAAGGTTAATTCTGAAAGTTTATCTTTTAAACTTACTTCTCGACATTGACTGAATCTGCTTCAATCTGATTTTCTACCACTGTTTTGATAAGAACTGAACGGTAAATGTGCGATTCCGCTTGGGGCTGAAGTCTATAACATCGCATTATCTCAGTAAAGCTGCTTGTTTCGATTTTTGCAAGCTTGCACACAACATAAACTGCAGACATGAGAATTTGATCTAAATGACGGTCTTTCATAAGAAAAGTTCTCTCCTTCATCGAATACTCAAATATCGTCCATATTTTTCTTTTCAAATCGTGCTCTGTGATTTGCAAAGAGTTACACAAAGTCTGCATTCTTGTGTGAGTCAAGTGATAAAATTTCCGAAAAAATAAAGCGAGGGAACCAGTTCTTCGTGGTTTCGCAGCAACATTAGCAACCGCACTCATACCATTTTTCAGAGAATCTGGTTTTGACTGGTCAGATGTTGTTGCTACATTTACTGTTCGGGATAATAACGTTTGAGTAGTATTTCCTTTTAAAACACTCTGTAAACTAGATTTAGTCTCAGTAAAAGATAATTGTTTCTTAGCAGCATTTATTTTGCTGGGAGACTGAAACCTGAAAAATTATTACGAATAAAAAAACACACCCGAAAAGAAGAAAAACAAGCAACCCAATATTCCATACCTTTCCGAAGCAGATGATACAGGACTTTGCGGAACTTCGGTTTGGGAATTTATATCAATAGTAATTTTTTTCAAAGCTGGCTGGCCAGGGGTATTTGATTCGTCTAAATCAAACGTACTCGGTAATGCAACATCTTCATAAGAAGGTACTCCAGCATCACAGCTTTGCAGCACCTGCCACAAAGGACTCGACGATGTCCACGCTAGAGATTCCAAAATCATTTCTTCAATTCGATTCAAATGCTTTACCATGTCACGAGTTAGCTGATCCAAAACTACTTTCACAATCACCTCTATGACTTTATAAAACAAATAACCCTCCAATTTCAGAATATGTAGAATCCAAGGGAACGTTTTATCCCTGTTTTGATACGAATACAAGACTATTTCGCAACAGCATGCGAATAAACATTGTAGAAACGTTTCATTCTTCAACAAATTCTGTAAATTAATGCCGTAAAAAGTTAAAGGTACATTTCATTGCAAGGATTTATATATTATATAGTTTGTTACTAACCGATACATCATAGTTCGGCTTCTTTGCCATTTCGTCTGTTAAAACTAATTCTAGTATCTTATAAAATAAAGTTTGCGCTGATTGAGCACGTTTTTGTCCAATGTCTAAGAAAGGCTTATCACCTTGCTCCGGGAGTTTGGATGAATAAGCGTCGCAAAACATCTGTGCAAAACCACCGACTTTGGCTTCAAGAAAAGCTTTTGTGTCAGGTGAACTATTTTCAAAAACTTGTAAGAGATTGTCTGATGGTTCAGCTTGACAACCAACTAATAATGTTTGAAGCTTTATGACACTTTGGGTTGGGATAGGCGGTGTCGCAGCATTAGTAATATCTTTTGATTTCAAATATTTTCGACCTGTTAATGGTGTTGGTGGCCATAAATTTGGCATCTGTAAAAATGAAATATCAGAATTAAGATATTCAAAACTTCAAGTTTAATCAAATTTTAGTAAAGTTTTTTAGACAAGTTAAATTTTCACTTACTGTTTCCAATTGATTTTTAGATTGAAGCTGTTCCTCAAGATTATTTATAACTACAAGTTTGTTAGGTAAAGTACCTATGAGAGAATCTGGCCCTGAAAAATGTAAATAAAATTAAATTATTTGGATTATTCCGAAAATACGTTTGCTAGTAAATTAAATTTTAGTTAACATAGAATGATGTACAGGATTGGTAGACTTAATTATTATTTTAACGAAATATTTTATTTATTATCAAAAAGCTTAGAATAATTTTGCTCTAAATAAAGAAAAACAAAAAAATATTCAAATAACAAAGGATTAACATATTGATAGATAGGAAAACAATTGAATGCACTTCTAAGCTGATTATATATATATATAGATAACTGCATATTTGAAAAATAAGTTTTAAAATCACTCTAGAAAGTAATTATTACAATAGTGTTGTACATCAGGATCTATAAAATTTGTGATTCTCATTGACAATAACAGTAATATTTTTTTACTTAAAATAAATAAGTTAAGTTAGAATAAATTTTCTGCAAACTTACTTATTCTTAAATTAAATTAAAATAATGGAATATTCAATGTGAAAATGATCTTACCTAGAAATATTCGCTCATCAAGTTCTCCAATACTCAGCATATATTGTTCATAAACTTTATTAATGGCCTTATTATTTCCATCAAAATATAAAATTTCCAAAAGTCCAGAGAAATTAGATTGTTCACTCTTTAAGATTTTATCTTGGAATAGCTTAGTTAGGTAAGGTTTCAATGAGTACTCTTTAATACCCATTGCATCAACAGCATATGCTTCATACCGCTCACATAGCAAATTAACAATACAATTAGCAGACTTGGGAGGTACAAAATCGTCATTATGAAAATTTTCAGGCAAACCTTAAAGTAAAATATAAAAATTATAAATGGTAAAATTACAAATCAAAAGAAGACAGACAATAGTACAAATGTAATTATTGTTAAACTTACCAGAAAATTCGGGATTTAATAAATCCTTCCTGTTTGCCAATAATGCATTGCTATACATCAAATCACAAACATCTAACAATAAATGGTATGAAGTGACCAGATCATCAGATAAAGCAGGTATTCCACTTTTGATGCATATAAATAAAGTCCAACAAAATTCAAATAGTTGACTTGGTGTACATGCTACAACTTTATGTCTTCTTGATCTGATTGGTTTGCTTGAATCATCAGGAGTTTTAAAAATATCTGTGAATATAGGTTGATACTTTTGAAATAAGATATATGATACAGAAAAATTTTTCTGTAACGTATCTATTCGAGCTTCAAAATCTTTTGGCATATTGTTCATATCTGCCCATGACTTGCTTTTTGTAAAGAATTCAATCAAAGGTAAATTGCAGAGAGTAAGTAATTTTATCAAAGAAATACCATTTCCTTGAATATTTGCATTACTTTTTCCAACAGTGGGAAGTGTAGTCTTTCTACATGCAACATACAAAGCACAACCAATCCAATGTAACTGATCACCCTGCAAAAAGAACAAAAATTACAAATCCAAATGTATATTCAATAGTATTTTAATTGAGAAAAAATTAACAAAGTGAAAATCGGAAGCAAAATGATGTAAAAAAATAAGAAAAATGGCACTTGCAGAAAAAAAATCGGTAAACAACATACCTCGAGACTGTAGCGTTTTTTTATATCTGAGTATGATTTCCAAGCGTCTTCAGCTACAACTGCATCCATGTTTAGCTTCTCACATAGATCCTGGTGCTCGGCATAAGTCGAGTCTTCAGAGTCGTCGGAAAAGCCCATTTTCACTTATGTTATTGTGTTATTACTTGAAAACTGTTTTAAGCACGATGATGAATCTGCTGAGAAAATATTAGGAAACAAGCACACGCAGGAATAAATTGGATGACCTCCGGTTTGTTGGAGGTTTCAACCTCGGTGCAGTATGCACTCGATAACCCACGGAGACCCACTTAGCTCCTTCAATAACACCATCTAGACATTAGACGTATACACTGTTGACAGTGCACTGCAGTGCAGTCGACGTAATTACCGCCATCACCTCCCGCTTTGCGCGGGAATACGCCAAATGAGTGCCGCCATATTTTTGCCAACTTAGCGGATTAATTAACCGCCAATATTTAATCTTCTACTTTTATCGTCGCTGAATTGTTTAAAAATGTAATTATTGTTAAACTTACCAGAAAATCTTCAAAGAAAAGATATCTATTGGATAATACTTATAAACATATAGTCTGACGTAACGTTCCCATTACTTTTTGTAAAAAACGTGAAGTCAAACTAATTTTTGTTCGTCAAAAATTATACGATAATTTTTGATACATAAAACAAATAAATTCAAATTGTATATTCATATCTATAAATAAAAATCAGTAAGTAATAATTTTTCTAAAAGAATAAGCACAAGACGAAAGATTCTTAATTAATTTTCTTAAATCATTATTCAATAATATTTTTATAATGTATTAAGAATAAATTCACCGAAGACAATTTATAGTTTTCAATTTTATTTTTTCATACACTATTTTTGACGTCTACGAAACGTTAGCCTACAATATAATCACGATTATCCACATTTTACATTGCAGTTTCACCCAATATAAAGACATAAGATCGACACTACCTACATTAAATAAATCAGTTTGTATCTGCAAGATTCACAATTAATTTCCTCATGAATCTTATGTCAACAAGCAGTTTGTGTTCTTTTCAACAAATTCAAGTGGTCTTCTGTTAAAGAGACGCATCCTATCAAAATCTGACAGTAATCTTTTTACAATAAAGCAAAACGGTAATTAAAATAGAAAAACTTTTTAAGTGATAGTAAAATACAGTATAGATGGACATATATTTGAAATATCACGGCAAACTTAATTTGTCCACGTTTATTGTAGGTATACGACGTCTTTCAGAATTGTAAGGACTAATGTAGCAGTATCAATGTTTGCATATGTAAAATAATTATTGAAAGGAAGGCCAGTACTCAGTCAGCGAGTACATATTTAAACGTTGAATAAAATTCATAATCTAAGTGATAATAAAAGCGGACGTATTAATTGGAAAAACAAAAAAAGTTGAAATGACTATTTACAAAAGCTTTTAAGATCTAAGAATGAAAATATAGTTGTTAAAACTATTACAAGCTACTAACAAACTTTTCGCAACCATATACAAATTTATTAAATAAAATTTTTAATGAAGTAGTTTACTTCTACAATTAATTTCTAAGAAAATTTAGAATATTCTTTTTTTTCTTTTTTCTAGATGTCTCGAATATATTATCGGTAATAAAACTAAGTGCACGTGAAAGCACATTTAATATTTTCTATCTACTAAATATATAATACAATCGACTTTGAATTACGGATTGTTAATGCGTCGCTCTCCTATAATATTTTCAATCTTTCGGGCAATAAAACCTGCATCGGTTAAATTTTTCTTAGTAGGATTGTCAAGTTCTGAGGCGAATACCATTGATTCGTTCGAAAGAAGTCGTTTACTGATGCTCTTTCTTGCGTCAACCGTTGTAATCATTCTATTGATTGTATCTAAATCCTGAAAAGCAAAAAATACCATTGTAAATACAATATTCAAACGATTGTCACGATTTGAAAATAGCGTTAAACACAAAGATAGAGTTAATCTCAATTAACTATGAACTAGATTCAAAAATATATAAATTAGATTGATCTAGTTATGAGAACAATAAATAAGTTACAATCAATTAGAATTACCTTAGCAGGGCTACGATTGAAGCAATACTGAAGTTGGGGTGCCGGCGTAGCAGCAATTTCCTTAGGATCAAGAACACGAGTCATGACGCTATTAGTAACTCTTCTGACTGGAGAAGGACTCGCAATAGAACTATATCTAGGCAATGGACTTAAAGTTAAGTTCGAATTGTTATCATTTAAGCCCAAGCGTTTGGCGAAATCTTGAACTTCCGGTACGTAAATTTCGTTATAAAATTTGATCAAATCTCCACGTTCCTCTGAACCGTAAACAAATGAAGTTGCAGCCATTCCCGATGGAGTAGGTGGCGGGTTGCTATTATTACTACTGAACAAAATTTATTTTTAATTACTAAGCTTGTCACCAATATACGCACGTGTGTTGTGTGTACACAACTGTTTAATATCAATTTACCTGTTAGAATTTTCCAGATCAACTTGATTAGTGGCAATTCTTATAAAAACTGAACGATAAATATGTGATTCTGCTTGGGGTTGCAGTCTGTAACACTTCATTATCTCTGTGAATGAGTTTGCTTGAATTTTCACGAGTTTACAAACAACGTAAACCGCACACATCAGAATCTGATCCAAATGACGATCTTTCATTAAATTAGTTTTATCCTTTATGGAGTATTCGAATATCGTCCATATTTTTCTCTTCAAATCATGTTCAGCAATCTTCAACGAATTACACAAAGTCTGCATTCTTGCGATAGTTAAATGGTAAAACTTTCGGAAAAATAGAGCGAGTGAACCAGTTCTTCGAGGTTTGCTCCGATCACGGTTAACTGCAGTGCCGTTGCAAATTTCATTACTTTTTGTCAAGTTTGGTTGATCTATTTCCATTAGTTTTGCCATTAAATTTTGACCTTTCAGCACACTTTGAGAGCCTGATTTCGAATCAGTGAACAGGCGTTTTTTAGCAGCCGCAGTAATATTAGGCGACTGAAATCTAACAACACCAAAAATGTATAAATAAAATTAGCAATTTATAGTCAATGTATTTTTAAATAGTTAGATGGTTTGAATTTTCTCACCTTTCCGAAGCCGATGACACCGGACTTTGTGGAACATCGCTCTGAGAATTTCTGTCGAGAGCAATTTTTCTTAGAACTGGTTGGCCAGGAGTATTGGGATCTATTAGATCAAAAGTGCCAGGAAGCGCAACCTCTTCATAAGAAGGAACATCAACCTCACAATTTTCTAATGCCTCCCACAATGGACTAGATGATTTCCATGCCAGAGATTCTAGTATTATTTCTTCGATTCTATTCAGATGCTTGACAGTGTCGCGAGTCAATTGGTCAACAGCTACTTTGACAATTACTTCTATGACTTTATAAAAGTGATAGGCTTCCAGGTTTAAAGTCAATAAGATCCATGGAAATGATTTGTCTCGATTTTGATAAGAGTACAATACTATTTCGCAACAGCACGCGTACAAACATTGTAAAAACTTGTTGTTTTTCAGTAAAGTCTAAAATATGGATAAATAGATGATTATTTACTTGATTGAAAATAATAATTAAATGAATATTAGAGGTTTTACTCACCGACACGTCAAAGTTAGGTTTTTTCATCATTTCATCAGCTAAAACTAATTCTAACATTTTGTAGAAAAGAGCCTGAGCTGATTGTGCACGTTTATATCCAAAATTTAACAAATTTTCGTTATCAGGAACTGGTGGACTGTATGCATCACAAAACAATTGTGCAAACTTTTGGACTTTAGCTTCTACAAAAGTTTTAGTATCAAATGAACTATTGGTAAATACTTGAGAAAGATTTTCAGATGGTTGAGCTTGACATCCAACTAATAAAGTTTGGAGTTTTATGACACTCTGTGTGGGTATAGATATCGTTGCAGCATTTGCCAAATCTTTTTTCTTTAAATATTTTCGACCAGTTAGTGGTGTTAGGGGTGCTAAACAATGCATCTATTGGAAACAAATTTTATTATAAATTGCAAATCGTGTGAAATTGAAATAGTTGCTTTAGTCAAGTAAATAAATTACCGTTCCTAGTTGACTTCGAGATTGTAACTGCTCTTCAAGACTGCTAACATTTGGTATTTTATTTGATAGATTACCTATTAATAAATCTGGTCCTAAAACAAAGAAGAACAATCACTGTATAAGTATCTAAAATACTGTAGGTTTTAAAACAGAAATTCATTGTTATTATCTTTCAAATCGATTAATAATAGAGAAAAATTTTATCATCAATAACTAGTATAGATAGATTGTGTTTGAAATAAATAAAAGCACTTCACACCTATAAATTATTTTCAATATTTAACTGTGTTTTAATTATTCAAACAAACCTACCTTTTGATAATGCAGGCCAGTTTTCCCCATTAGCAATTAAAGATTCATTATCAAATCTTATACGTCTGCATTCTGCTACATATCAAAGCATCAAAATGTTAATGAAGCAAAAATCAATAAAAAAACTAAGTACAAATAAATAAAAAATCAGCAAATGAAAAATTAAACGTCAACACCAATAATTTATAGAGAAAATATAATTGAACTAAATAAACAAATAGATAGAGTATTTTTCATATCAATAGTTATTAAAGAGCAAATGATCACTATTTTGAAATTGTTTGTATAACACCTTGATTAATATATCAATAATTGTCTAAATTAATGTAATTCCAATAAAATTGGAGTCTACACAAAAATTAAAGAGATATTTTTTACAACTATTACTATTACTAACATCTACAACAATAAAAATAATAACAAGCCTTCTTGTATTGAATCTTACCTAAAAATATTCTTTCATCCAGTTCGCCAATACTAAGTATATGTTGTTCATAAGCTTTATTTACAGCCTTATTATTTCCATCAAAATATAGAGCTTCCAAAAGTCCAGAAATATTAGATTGTTCACCCTTTAAAATTTTTTCTTGAAAAAGCCTAGATAAATAAGGTTTTAGTGAATATTCTTTGATACTCTTTGCTTCAATAGCAATGGCCTTAAAACGTTCGCACAGCAAATCAACAATGCAATTTGCAGATTTTGGAGGTACAAAGTCTTCACTACTAAAATTTTCAGGCAAGCCTAAAAATAAAATAAAATTTGTGAGTATCAAAAGAATAAAGCAGATCACTAAAAATTTAAATACCTACCAGGAAAATCTGGATTCAACAAATCTTTCCTATTTGCCAACAATGCATTGCTGTACATCAAATCACAAATATCTAACAATAAGTGGTATGAAGTGACCAGATCATCAGATAGTGTAGGGATTCCACTTTTGATACAAGTAAAAAGTGTCCAACAGAACTCAAATAGTTGGTTCAATGAACATGCAACAGCTTTATGTCTTCTTGTTCTAGTTGGTTTACTTAAATCATCAGGATTTTTAAATATATCTCTGAATATTGGCTGATATTTTTGAAATAACACAGATGATACTGAAAAGTTTCTTTGTAGAGTATCAATTCTTGCACCAAAATCTTGTGGCATGTTGCTCATGTCTGCCCAGGCTTTGCTTTTTGTGAAAAATTCAACCAGAGGCATATTGCAGAGTGTAAGCAACTTTGTTAAGGAAACACAGTTTCCTTGAATGCTTGTATTACTTTTCCCAACAGTGGGAAATGAAGTCTTTCTACATGCAACATACAGGGCACAGCCAATCCAGTGTGATTGATCACCCTTTAAAAAGAATTTGTCTTGTTTATTTGAACTTAAATTAATATATTTTTACACGAAAAAGATATTTTAAACATAAACAACCAAACGATGTAATAAATAAAAAATAAATAAATAAATTGATCAATAAGCAGCGGAAGAATAAAAACTTCTTAATAATAAATCAAACCTCAAGACTATAACGTTTTCTCATGTCGTCGTAGGCTTTCCACGCGTCGTTGGCTGCACCTGCATCCATGTTAAGTTTCTGGCAGAGATCTTGGTGTTTCATGAAAATTGAATCCTCTAAATCGTCGGATAAACCCATTTTCGTAAGATACCACTTTACAGCGTTTGCCAAGACGAAAGAAACTTTCAGAGATTACTTTTCTATAGAGAACGATGTGATAAAGAATTAAAGATCCCCGAGGACTAAGCTAGGATAACTTTGATGCACACGATTGTACGCGATGCACTCTCGCCGCTGATCCCGCTCACTTCCCTTCGTAACTATCTAAATTTTATTGACAGTGTTGACGTTTGCCGCCACCGCCGCGTCTTAGCGCGGGAATACGCCAACAAGCGTTTTCCGAGTGCCGCGCGCCGACATATTTGTGCCAACCTAAAGGACCTATAATTTTATTTTAATATATTACACATGCGCTGATTTATGCCGGGTTTTTCAAATGTTATTTCTTCAACTAATACATTCATTGATAATTAGTGGCAATAATTATTTTTATTCTAAATATTATAATTAATGATATTTTATAAATTGTAATTTTTATTGAAAACATTTTTATAAGACTTAATATGCATAAAAAAACTCAAGAATATATTAAAAATATACGGTTATTATATAACACGAGTATGCTATATTTATAACAATTTAATTAAAGGTGGTTGATGTTTCTTTTAGTCTTAATCGATAAAATATAACTTTATTTTCTATAAGTAATACACACATGTATAGATAATACTCCCATACGGAGCCAAATGCAGAACACAAACATAGAGATTCACAGAAAGTTGGTGTAAACAACGAGATTTACCTTGGCTTGTTGTTATGCATAGAAATTTGGTTAGCGAGATGTCAAGAATGCAACACGTCACTGGCAGGAGACATGTTTTTCCACGTCGTCGGATGCCGCTGCCGCTGACGCTGCGAGCTGCTGTGGCGCCTGATACAGTAGCATCGTGCGTGCACGCGAGCTTGCAGCATCACATATTGGAATCAGCTGATAACGTGTTTGAAAAAATAAACGGTTAACGGGTATCGAAACGACCCTGGCAGAAAAATGATTGATTAAAAAAATATATACCATTAGCTTCGTCTTAAGGTTATTTAATTAATATAGCTGTATTAATATAGGAATGGGTTATTTAATTAATACAGCTGTATTAATTAATAGGAATGGGTTATTTTCTGAAATTATTAGGAATGGGTTATTTTCTGAAATAACCCATTCCTATTAATACAGCTCTTATAATTTCAATATAATTTTGGATTTGGCATTTGAAGGGGTACAAGAAGAAAATTTAGATAATTTTGAATAGTATAAATAGACATAAAGCTATTTACTTAAAATTTTTTAAGAAAATTCACCATTTTTCTACCAGGATCATAAATTTTATTAATTTTTTGCATTTTACTGTGTTTCTATGAAAAACGCTGTATAATTCAAATTCTACAGGGGTACAAATTATATTTTTGGATTTCGTAGATGGTACAAATTAAGAAGAAGATATTCATATAATCTTTTACATTAAACTTTCACGATTTTTCCGCCGAGAAAATAAATTTTCCGCAGCGCGAAAAACACGAAATTAGAATCGTCGAATTAGACTACGAATTAATTTTTTTCTCAATATTTTCGAGGGGTTCAAATTCCAAAATAACTATTTTTCAAATGGTACTGATTATGACAAGGCTGGTGGTGTATTTTGTTTTAGGAAATAAATATTTTTCATATCAGAGTTTTCTACTTTATTATCCGGGTAATCAGCTGTTTTTGCGAATGTATAGGAGTTTAAGAAAACACGTTAACTTAGGACTTTGTATATTAACATGTCTAATTAAATTTTAGAGCGTAAAAATTACAATAAAACTATTTTCAGTTGGTAAAATTTAAGGTAAAGCTAGAAATATATTTTTTTCTTAAGAAATAAAAGATTTTCCTGTAAAATTTATCAGTATTACATCGCACAAAATACATTGTATTATTCAAATTCTACAGGGATACAAATGAGTTTTATGTATTTTTTAGATGGTACAAATTAAGAAGAAGGCATTCATATATATATATATATATATTATTTTTTCTAAATCGCATATTTTTCTGCTGAAAGATAGATTTTTGGCTGTTGACGATGAGTGCAGCCACACTCGTCCCGGACAGAGGAAGTGTCAGGGGAATGCGCGGGAGATCACACCAGATTCAAATTTTGCTTCGACACAGACAAATCTTTATTTTATTGGCGTTGTACAGCGACGTGTGGAAACTCGCCCGCGTCGGGGCCCGTGAGCGTCACAAACAGGGCAAGCCTGTTAGTAGAGAGCGGCTGACGCTCCAGGATGAGCAGACGATGATGTTCCTCGGCGGCGATGACACGTGCTGTCGTATCCTGTTGCGGTGGTAGATGCCGGTACGGCGTTCGGGTCGACGACGAGCAGCGGTTCGGAAGATACTCTCTCTTGCCTTGCGACGGGCGACTTTATATAGGCCGCCAGGCCGGGACGCAATCTTAAGAGCCGCTTAAGGATGACCAGACTAACAGGATTATCTGGCCATCATCCCCCTAAGCCTCGTCTCCTAATCCGGCTAATCCAAACCGGAGCCGTTTCTCCCGCCGCGGACCCAGGCCCGCAGGTGGCGGCACCAGCCGGGGCTCGACCGCCACAGATTTTCCGCCGCGCATGCGTAGTAATACGTTAATTTGAATTTCTAATCTACCCTACAAAAATCTTTTTTTTCTCTATTTTTAGAGAGGATACAAATTTCAAAAAAGCATTTTTATGATGGTACAAATTCAAATGAAACTAGTGGTATTTATTTCTTTTAAGATATCAATCATTTTTCTGCCAGGAGTATGAGTTTTCCGAAATATCGTTTTTTTCGCTTTTTTCAAAATATGGGGGGGGGGGGGTACAAATTCTAAAAAAGCAATTTTCGGGTGGTAAAAAATTAAGACGAAGCTAATGGTATATATATTTTTTTAAATCAATCATTTTTTTGCCAGGGTCGTTTCGATATCCGTTAACCGTTTTTTTTTCAAACACGTTATCAGCTGATTCCAATATGTGATGCTGCAAGCTCACATGCACGCACGTATGTACACAAGCACGATGCTGCTGACGCTTCAGGCGGCGCGGCAGCTCGCAGCGGCAGCGGCAGCGGCATCCGACGACGTGGAAAAACATGTCTCCTGCCAGTGACGTGTTGCATTCTTGACATCTCGCTAACCAAATTTCTATGCATAACAACAAGCCAAGGTAAATCTCGTTGATTACACCAACTTTCTATGAATCTCCCTATGTTTGTGTTCTGAAATCCCGATGATAATGGTGTTCATTAATCAATGCATTTCAAAGGAGTTGTAATTTTGCCTAGCAGCAGTTTAGATTCTGAAACGACATAACCTTTCTACCACTCACTCTTTCTCACTCTCTCTCGCGCGCGCGTTTAACGTAATCATTAGCTTTCTTAAAGCGGCTTACGTCATTTTATCGCAATTTATTTAGTTTTACACCCACGGGAGTAAAAATTTCGCTTACTTGCCCTCTAAACGAACGTTATTTAAAAAGAAATATTTTTTAAGTATGTAGAATGATAGGTTAGTCTGCAGTGTTGTCTATTCAGTTTTCTAAGAATTATTTGCCAATTTGTCCTGTATTTTAATATCTATTAATATATTTTCTTCATTGATTATTTTTTATGCATTCGCTTTATTTATTAGAAGATTGATTTATCATATAAGTGCTTATTTTGCTAACACATATGGCAATGTTATTTTGAGTCACAGTCTTAATGTTTATAAAATAAACATTATGGGGGGTTTAAATGTTATTAAAAATAAGACAGTTCGATTTTTTATTAAAGAACAAAAAATAATTCATTTTGGATCTGGAAATTATTGGAATGATTTATTTTTAATTGTTGCATGTTGGAAAATACAATTAATTATGACAAAACTTAATTTTTTTAATAATCTTTCCCATTTTATAAAGAGCTCGTATTCTAAAAAAAATTCACGATTGAGTGATTCCAAAATCAAATTATCCCCAGCTGTGGGAACAGAGAACTCTTGTATGCAAATACTAATATAATTAGTTTACCCTAGTCACATTTCTATCCAATTAGTCTCCGAGAACGAGAGCAGTGGATGACAGTGTGTCTAGCCATTCGACAAACTTTCAATGCCATTGATTGATTGAGTGTTTCATGTGTTGAAAAGTATTTTTTAATAAAATAATGACTTGGTTTTCCTTAATTGTCATTTTACAGTTAGCAATGTGGGGCAGTTCAGAAGAGCCACCCGGCACCATAGAGGCTGGCCCTCCTGAATCAGTGCCTAATTTAAAAGAAACTTGTGAACAGAACAAGAACCAATTAGAAGCTGTGAAGGACATAATGCTCAGAAACAAGCAAAGCTTAAAAAAAAAAGAAGAAGAATTACAGGTGATTCTACACCTACTTTTGCTTGCATTACTTATATTGTACACTTATTATTTTTTTTGAAATTATATCTATACAACATTCTTCTTTCTTCTCAGGAATATGCCAAAAAATTGTCAAAATTCAAAACTCGAAAGGTCTCACGTCCTACTAAAGATGGTGCAACGTCTTCCAGTGACAGTACTCCAAAATTCAAGTCTGAAATAAGCATAACCGAGCTGTCCGATGATACTGTTGATGACATTAGCCAAGCCAAAACACCAAAAGCCAAGTCTTCGTTATTGCAGAGAAAACTTGCAGAAGACAGAAAAATTTTTGAACAACGAAGCAAAGAATTAACTGAAAGCAAGAGGGCTGTTGAGGAAAAAGTTGAAGCATTGAGACAGCAGCTTGAAGAAACATATGTGGCACCTGTTGTGCCTGTCAATCCAGTATTAGTTCCATCTCAGGTATAGTAGGCAGATATTTTAAAGATGTCATCGACGGGTTTAAATAATCATTGTTTTATATTTATAGACTCCCCACAATATTCTAGAACTTAGTAACGTTTTAGACAAAGACAATAAAATTACGGAATTGAACACCAAGATTCTCGCATTAGAAGCTACAATAATCGATCTTCAAGACAATCTAAAAGAAAAAGATTCTGTTATAGATTCTAAAACTAAAGCCATCACGTTAATGTCGGCCGATTTGTCGAGAAAAGGAAAAACGACTCTGGACACTCTAGAAGATACAAAAGATGAAATGCGATCTATGCAGCAAAATTTCGTTTTGGTAGAAGAGTCTTTAAAAATAAAAAATGATAATTTACTTAAACAATTGGAAGAAAAAACTAATCAACTATTCAAATTTGAAGAAAATATTCAAAGGTACGTTTTTTGTAACGATTATGAAATGACTGCGGTATTTTACTCAATAAATTTTTGTCACTTATTGACTTTTTTTAGTTTGACTGAAAAACTTGAAGCCCAAAAAGAAGCTGGTAATGTAAATGCTCATTTCTCACGGTCGACTATGGATACATTGGCCGAAACAAAAGATGCAATGAAATCAATGCAAGAAAATTTTGTTTTGATCGAGTCTTCACTAAAATCCAAAAATGAGCATTTGTTAAAACAATTGGAAGAGCGAGAAATGAAATTAGCTGAGGCTGAGGCAAGAATTCTTAATCTTGAATCTGGTATTGGCATACAGCGTCATCCTGACCTCGACGATCTACTGTATAAAATTGAAAAATTAGAAAACACAAATCGTAAATTTCAAGATGAAAAGTACGAATTGCAAAAGAGTATTGCCGATATGCAAGACAAAATTGTCGCGGGACAATCTGAAAGCGTAGAAGATTCGATTACACAAAAGGATAATAGAATAATGGAACTGGAAGCTATCGTAGAAGATTTGAAGAAATCTAATGAATCGTTAGAAGAAATAAATTCTCAACTTCAAATCGTCAATGAAAAGAATGATGAAATGTCGAAAAAAGTATTGGATTTGGAAATTAAAGTTCAAGATTTGGAGAGCGAAAAAGACAAATTAGCTGAGAAATTAAACACTCAAAAAAGCGAAGCGAGCAAAAACGATGAGGAAGATCAGAAGGCAAAAGAATTGGACGAATTAAATAAAACTATGATCAAATTGAAGGCACAGCACACAAAGAAGGTGAAGAATTTGCAGAAGCAACTGGAGAACTTTAAAAAGGTTATTTTTTTAACATGATCTAAGTATGATAGATGCTTTGAACAGCTATCAAAAGTAAAATTTGTTGGCAGGTATCCGACACAAACGCGGAGTTAGTCAGACTTGGAAACCAGGTTGCACTGTTGGAGGAAGAGAAAGGTAACCTTCAGCTGAGTCTGGTAGACTTTGACGAGCTTAAAGGTAGGAAGCAGGACGGACTGTTGTTGTGCCGTTATTATCTATCGTCTCCGTCTTTCCAATTTTTTTGAATATACGCTTGATTTAGTTAGAGAGAAAGTTCCAGATTGATCAAATCTTTCGAAATTCTCCTATTATTGACGATTACCATTTTTACAAGATCATTTTTTGTTAAAACAATTATGATTGTATCATTATTATTCATATTTGTCTTACATATCTGAATCGCGAACACTCCCGATGAAATGCGAGTTGGGCTTTTAATTTTGTTTTGGTGATGGACGTATTAACATTAACAATCAGAAGCGAATTTCATGGAAATGTAAAATATTTACAAGCGTTGATGGAACCTCCTTTACTTGTCAAAGTTTGCTAAGCTCTTATTTTTATTTATTTGATTTTCAAAAGCTGCGTAAGTTTTTATTTGCTTAAAGAATATTGCCAAGATTCTTGTTTGATTTTTATTTGCATGGGATTTGTGTACATTCAAATTAATCGGACCAATCAGTCACGCAAAAGAAATTAAATAATATGTTGAAAATTAGAAAACGGGTATTAGCCAAAACTTCCTACTGTACAATGGACAACACAGTAAATTTTGCTTATTATTGCTAACTAAAGTGTACTGTAAAAATGTCGAAAGTATTAATGAACGTAAAAGTTGAATGCTGTACAAAGCTAATTGAAAAACTACATAAGAAAAAGCTTCTTTAACAAATAACAACGAGAGGGTAAAAGTACAATGTTAGGATGTAATACGGTATGCGCAGCGTCCACGAGTGAATGGAAGGAGCGAATCGGCGACCTTGAAGGTAAAGTCTCGGCTCAGGCAAAAGAGATAGAAGCCCACATCGAGGCCATTGCTATCTTAGAAAATCAGAAGCTGGATCTGATGCAAGGTAAGGCTTCCATTGGATTAACATCTTGGCGTAAAAGCTAGCTGTAACGTAGCCTACCCTTGATAAACGAGCCAGTAGCGACTGATACACTCTTATAAATATTGCAGAACTACACGCGGTCAGGCAGGAGGTGTCGGATTTAGAAGCTGAGAACGCCGAGTCTGACAACCTCCGCGTGAGCGCTGAGATGAAGGTGGTCAATTTAGAAGAGGAGTTGGAATCGTTAAACAGGCTGAGCAAGCAGCAGCAGCAGCAAACAGAGGAGTTGCAGAAGCAACTGGAAAGCTCGAGCCAGGAGAACGAGCGCCTCGCTCTGAAGATCAGCAAGATCGAGGAGTTGAAGAGTTCGTCGGAGTCGTTTGTCAAGACAGGCTCTAACGTCGATTCTACCGAGTCGTTCGAGGCGCTTACGACGGATGCCGATAAAACTGAACTGCTGCGCAAAATCGACGTGCTAACGCGCGAGAACGGAGTACTGCTTGAGAAGCTTGCGCGCTTCGAGGAGAAGGCCGCTTCCTCGTCGGAAGATAGTGCTGGCTCGACCGAATCTTTCGAACGCATAGCTCCAGTTTCGAGCGAAGAGCTACGTCAAGAGCGTGAGACTTCTAGCAAGCATGAAGTCGAAGAGGAGGTAACGGTAACGGTTAGCGTTAATACGCAGCAGTCGTCTAAGCATGCCGACCTATTGGTGAGCGAGTCACAAATGCAGCAACAACAACAGCAACGGCAGCAGGACGAGGACAAGGCAAAGTTTGCTCTACTCGAACAGGAGATCAATCAGTGCAACGCTGTGATAGCTGAGCAGAAGAGCGAGATCGAGGATATGAAGTTGAAGTTGACCGAGAAAGAGGAAATGATCGAGCGTCAGTCTAATCAGCTATTTGGCAACCAGTCTGACCAGGACGAGGTACAGGCATTGCGTCGAGAGCTCGAGGACAGTGCAAGCCTCGTGGCTGAGATGCAGCGGAAATGTGCCGACATGCAGAGCAAGATAGACCAGCTCGAGCAGAGCAAGCTGAACATTGAGGAAGGCCTACGTGCCCTTGAAAACGAGAACAGGGCTCTCGCGGCACAATCGTCGAGCAAGGAAGTGATCAAGGAAGAACTGGACGCGACAATCGCTAGCTTGGAGAAAAGAACCGCCGAGCAAAGCGAAACGATCGCTGGCCAGGAAGCTCTCGTCATCCAGTTGCGTGACGACCTCCAATGCAAAGATGAAGAGTTACAAGCCAAGGTTGCTCAGCTCGAGGGTAATCTCGTACAGATGGATGATTTACGGGATCAATTCTCCAAGCTGGAGGCTCAGCTGCAGCAGCGCGATGCAAGTCTTGTCTCGCTTGATGAAGAACTCGGTGTACTCAGGAACAACTCCAGTCTTATCGAGGAAGAGTTATTTACCGCGAGACGACAACTAGTGGAACTACAGGACAGACTAGAACGTAGCAAGAGCGTGGAGGAGTACAACCAGGTGTTGGAGAGACTTGGCGAACGTGAAATGCAAGTTGACGAACTGGAGTCGAAACTGTCTCAACGACAAGCCGAGATAAACGCTCTGAAGTCCTTTGCCGAGAGTCTCGAGGCCGAGAATAGACAATTACGTAACCAGCTGCACGAGGAAGAGCGCAAAACGGCAGACCTACTCGAGAATCATCAAGCCCAAGAGCAGTCGCTTCGAAGCGCCGAGCTCGCCAAGGCCGAAATTGAGAATCGACTGTTGGACCTCCAGGCTGTACATGAGCAGAATCTGCGTCATGCGAGCAATATTAGCCAGGAGCTTCAGGATGCCTACCGGTATGATGGAATATACATATTTTATGTAGTTAAAATATGTATTTATTTTTTTGTAATTTATTTATAATTTACTTATTTTTTTTTTTATTCCCTTTTATAATCTTACAGTAGATTTACATATTAACATTGTCTTAAGAAATTCAATAAGAACTTGAAAATTAATCTCGTTAGTTAAAAGATAAAAACTATCGTATGAATAGAATTTTTTTATTTATTGAAAAAAAATTTTTCCCATTGCTACATATTTTGGCTTTTATATTAAATATTCACTAATGTTCGCATAGGATGCTCGAGCAGTTGAAAAACAAACACAGCGAGGATATGAAAATGAACAACCGTAGACTTGAGGATCTGATGGTAGAGTTGGAGGCACGCAATAGAGATCTTACGAGCATACAGAATGAACTCGACGAGAAAAATAGTCTCGTGCAGGCATACGTTCCTGATGAAGTGCGCCAGGTTCTCGAGGAACGAACCGTCGAACTCGAAGCCAAACTAGTCGAAGCGGAAGAGAAAGCCCAAACGCAGCTCGAGAAGATGAAAAAGTACGCCGCTCTGGCCAAGAAAAAGACGACCCAGGTCGAGGAACTTGAGGCCAAGCTCAAGGAACTCGAAGACAATCTTGGCCTGGAGAAGAGTGAAAAAGAGGCGCGAAATCGGGAGCTGCAAGAGTCGCGCTCGCAATCTCAGGAGAAAGACAATAGAATCGTTGAACTTGAGCAAGAGTTGCAGCAAGCGAAAAACGAACGTGACGAAGCCACGCGTGATGTCGAAGTCACGAAGTCACAATTGAACGAGGTCCATGACAGACTGAGCTCGTACGAAGAACAGCTGAAGGAACTCAGCGAAGCCAAGGACAACGCTCGAGAGTTGGGAGTGCGCATGCAGGTAATGGAAGCTGAGTACATGGAACAACTTGCCGAGATCAATTCACTGAAGACCGGCAACGGGATGCTATTGTCAAAGCAGGCTCAGATAAACGAGCGTCTTGAGAACGTGGAAAAGGAGTCTGAGGAACGGCGAATTCTTCTGGAGAAGCTGGAGAAAGAAAAGGAGATTGAAGATAGCCGAAAAGCCGAGAGTGCGACGCGGTTTCAAGAGCTCGAGGCAAAGTTGCACGAACGAGACGCCGAGATTGAAAATCTCGACAACGAGCTGCACAACTCTATTGATAACCTCGTGCAGATGCAGGAGAGCTTGCGACTCAATAGCGCCGCGCCCCAGGCTGCTTTACAGCAGTCGTATGACGAGCTTCTGACTCAGTTTAACGTGCTGAGTGCGAATAGTGAAGAAACCAAGGCCAAGCATGAATTGCTGATCAAGGAAAATGAAGGATTGTCGGAGCGAATTATTAGGCTGCAGGAACTTAACGCCACCATGCAGGAGCGGATTCAGGCGGTGGAGACTGAATTGTCCAAAGATGCAGAGACCGCGGTTACCCTGGAAGATTTGAACGCTCGTTACAGCGAGCTGCTTCGTCAATTTGATGTGCAAAAAGCTGATTTGGAGAGCGCCAGAGTCAGATTGCACGAGGCGTTGGCTACCAGCGAAAACAGCGAGCATCAACTGCGGGCACGTATCTCAATGCTCGAGCAGGAGAAACACAATCTTCTTCGAGAGATCGTCGTTGAGGCGAATGCTGCAATGGCTGCTGAGGGTTGGGGTTTCGACGAAAGTTCGCCGATAATTGACGTCGCGGCATCTCAACAACCAATTGTCGAAAACGTGGAAAAGCGCCAGAAGAGAGAAATCGAGGTCGAGTCCGTCGCAGACGACGCGGCACCGGCACTGTTTGATCCCTCGGTGTTTGGTGCGTCTCCGCCCAGACCTGGCAATCTCGATGGCCTACTAGGAAGTGCAATACAGCATGATTCGATACTGCAGCCGGATCTCGAGAGGAGTACAACGGAATTAGAGCAGCTGAAAACTACGGTAGCTTCGTTAGAAGCAACTTTAGCTACTAGTCATGCCAATCAATTCCGACTTGACTGTGAAATTTCTTCGCTGAAAGTGGAGTTAAAGCGCACGCAAGAATTTCTCCAAGAGAGGGATACACGTCTAGGGGCCATGGATAATTTCCTCGAGCAAATAAAGCACGACAAGGCTGAGCTTGAGCACGCGATAGACGTGATTTTGAGTAACATGGGCGTCGCGCAGGATTCGCTTAACGTTACCGAGAAATTAAGTCACTTGAACCAAAGAATAGCTGACTTAATTCAAGAGCTGAATACTGTGAAAGTCGACAACGAGCAGTTGAGTGCAGCCGAGGAAGTGTGCAAAAGGCGAGCACTCGAGCTCGACAGTCAGCTGAAGGTTGCTAATGAGAGTGTCATCATTGCCGAGCTGGAAGAGCGTATTGCTCGAATAGTAGGTGAAAGAGATCTGTTGCAGCTCCAATTGAACGACGCGACTCGCTCGTTCGATGATCATAAGATCGAGTTGCAGGAACAATTGAACGCGCTGGTACAGGAGAAGAATCAACTACAAGCGCAGCTTGCCTCTACTGAGTCAAAGCCAGTTGCAAACATGAACATTCCGACAACGGTGGAGGCGAATCCACAAGGTGGTGACAAAATGCTTGCATCTATATGGGACGAGAACGAGGAAGATCCTTGGGGCTTTAACGATAAGGCAACGCATGAAGCTCACGTTCATATTCCCGTTGTTCCGAGTGCCGAGCTTCAACTTCAGCTCAAACTCGACGAGTTGGAGGAAAAATTATCAGAGTTGGCGGAAGAAAACACGAAACTCCGAGAAGAGGGTAAGACAGCGCAGCTGAAAAACGTTAAATATGTAAAAAAACTAAAGGAATACAAAGTGCAATTAGATAGTGTGCAACGTCAATTAAAGACACAATCGGCTTTGGGTGGCTTCGGTGCTGATCTAGATTCCGCCATCGAGGAGGAACTCAAGAATCAAATCACCGCTCTAGAAAAGGCACTAAGCGAGGCGAAAGAGGAAGGCAAAAAAGCTCTTCTGGAGAAGGATAACTTACTCAAGAGAATAGACGTGCTTACCGCGGCTACTGAACGCTTCACCGAAGCTAAAGAGAAGCAAGACACCGAAGTACACATCTGGCAGATGAGGTACAAAGAAATCGAGCTGAAATTGCATCAGATGGAGGCAGCGACAGATCAGGAGTCGTCGTCACTACCTCCGGTGTCGAGCGCTGAATCTGTTTCTAATGAAAAATATGAGCGAGAGATAAATGAGCTCCGAGAAAGTGTCGAAGGTTTGGCAGCGGAGAACGACGAACTACAGCAACTACTGGAAGAGCAACGCTCCAAGAGACAGACTTTGCACGACGATCAGGCGGCTCGACTCGACGAGCTGAAAGCTAACAATAATGAGTTGATTTCACGACTGGACGAGCTGCAGGCCAAGAATGCCGAGTTAACGACGAACAACGATAAGCTAAAGAGTGACTACGAAACTTTAAGGCGCCAATACGAGCAAAGCTTGATGGATGCCAACGAACAGGTGCAGAACACTCGTCAAAATTTCGAGCTTGCCAAGGCTGAACTCATTGAAAGAAATGAAAAACTAACGGAACAATTGCGATTGGTCTTAGAAGAGAAAGAGTATCTCGAGACCAAAGTTACTGAACTGCAATCAGATTTGAAGCAACTGACCGTCTTGAAGGACCAATTCCAAGAGAACCAGGCGATGATGGAAGGCAAACTTAAGGAGCTCGAGCTTTCAATCGAAGGTTACACGGTCGAGGTGCATGAAAAAGATGCGCTAATCCAGTCGTTGCTAGCTCAGCATGCTCAAGCGATGGATGCATCAACTCTGCAACTCACGCAAGCCCATCAAGCAATCGCTAATCTCCAGTCCGAACACAGTCAAAAAGAATCTGACGAATTACGCAGGTTGCAAGATGAACTGAACAACGCGAGAGTTGACCTGGAAGATACGAAGGCGAAACTGCAAGTCGCGTTGCAAGAACAAAGCAGTAAAAGTACCGTTTCAGCTGAAGAAAACATTCCCATATTTACATTCGAAAGCGACAGCGACAGCAAGGAGATCAAGAGTTTACGAGCCGAACTTAAAGCTAAAGAGTTGGAGATCGAGCATCTGTCGTATTCGCTGAACGAAGGCTCGATGACGCGCTTGGTGCAAGAGTTGCAGGACAACATAAACACTCTGTATAACGAGAAAGGCGAACTAGAGGATCGCTTGGTTGAGAAAGACAAGCAGATCGAACAATTAAAGGTAAGATAAAGCAATATATCTAACTATTTTAGCAATCTAAAAATAAATTTGATATTACTGAATTAAAAGAATATTATTCTGCTAATTATATGAAATTCAGTGTATATTTAAACTTTGTAAATCCTTTATACATTCTTTAAAATATTACAAATGATTACAGAAGTTGGTATTAGACGAAGAAGAACGCGTTAAGAGATCAGCGGAGGATGACGACGGACGTATCGCCGAATTAGAGAAAAAATTGTCTGAGCGTGAGCGCGAGATCATCCAGCTGAAATCGGAGTTAGACAGGCTTGGCAATGATCATGAACACGATCAACAGAGAAACGAATTGTACGAGAAACAGCGTGAGCTGGAGAGTCTCAAATTCACCGTGTCTGAGCTGCAGAGTGAAGTGGCTAATCTTCGAGGTCTTGAAAGACTAGCTGCCGAGGATAAAGCGACAATTGAAAGGCTCGCCTCGGAGAAAGAGAACATCAGGAGACAAGCCGAAGGCGCAATCAACGACCTACTTCGGGTAACTAATTTACTAATGATACGTGTACTTGCAGCCCTAACGTAATTTTCTTCGACAAATTTTAGCAAAAAGAAGAGGAAATAGGTTCTCTGAAAGATCAATTAGCGGCGGAGAGACAAAGTCTATTGGAGCCTCTTAATCTGAGAGAGCACGATTTGGAAAATTTAAAGATCCAAATTGAGCAGTTGGCGACGGAACTCGATGCTTCTTTCGAGTACAGAACGCAGCTAGAAACAGAGCTGGCCGAGCGTGACAGGAGACTGGCCGAATTGAGTATCAGTAAGGATACCGATATTTACAACCTCGGTGTTAAGCTTAACGAGACGAACACTCGCCTCGAGGAGCTATTAGCCTTGAGTGAGGAGGAGCAGCGACAACTGATCGAATTAAGACAGTTGCTACAAGTCAAGGAGCAACAGATGATCGGTCTACAACAGCAACTTCAAGAGAAGACGAAGGAGTATGAGTTGATTCAGCTCGCGCTTCAACGCCACGTTGGCCAGACGGAACATTCCGCCGAGGTTGATCAAGTACGTACATTTTTCTCACAACTTTCATCATAGTATTTCATTTCCGAGCTTGTAAGTCAACAATTTCTAATCGCCATTATTCTTTATTTTTACAGCTACAACACAGCACCAGCGATTCGATAGATACATCGGCAGCCAACGAACTCGATGTTGCGCTCTACATGCTTCACCAGCGGGACGTTCGCTGCGAAGAGTTAACTCTCGAACTGATGCAGTTACTTGAGGAACGCGATACTTTGCAGTTGAGGCTATCGAACGCGATACGCGTTAACGAAGAACTGAGAAAATACACGACAACCAGTGGCTCAAGCCCGAAGAAGGAATCGTCGACTACTGCATCCCTAGTCGAGGATCCTTTGCCTTCCAGATCCGAAGGTCCAGTCGAGATAGCCAAGGAAGCCATAAATTCGCCTATCGGTGAAGACAAGAAGGCTCTAGCTCTGAAGTACGTCGTTCGTTATTGCTTCCAAGTTCAGCCCTTTGCTTTCAAACTCATTGTTCCCTATGTAGTTGATGCAAGCCAGTATAAGCTAGAACTTTTTTTCTTCTTTCCTAATTGCTATCTAGGTTGTCGCAACTGAAAAGCGTGCATCATACCAAAGACGTGAGACTACGAGACGATCGGGAATTGAGGCACACCCAACAAATGTCGCTGCTCGCGCACGAAGACGCACTCAAGACTTTGCCGCCCGAAGCTGCGGCTAGACTGGTCAATGCTAATTACACTGTCTGTACGTATTTGACCCTTACCCTCTCGTACCCTTTCTGCCTTCCTGTAGAGCTAGATCAGTATGGATTCAGCTCAATTTTTCATCACGATCCATTGCTATTTAACTCTTCTATTTCATTACAGCGCGGGACGTTCAGAGTCAATCGAGTGTTCTTCTGAATTGGCTGTGGGGGAAGAGGTGAGTCGAGACGACATACATCCATTAACTGGAATAATTTTTCAATCAATAATTCATGTATTGCTTTTTTTTGCCGTATATCTAGCACACCGAAGGTGGTACACATGTGATTAAAGAAAAAGAGGAGCAGTCGAAGCAATAAAAAAGCCCGAGCTCGTTCGACCACTTTCAATTAACATTCCAGCGTAGAGGAAACAATCCAAGGCCGAAGATCGACTGTGACCCAAAAGCTTGCCGTGCTCGGCGTGATCGATCTTCCGCAATGTCTTGTAGGGATTCTCTCTTTTTTTCTGCCGAGTCGTGCTTCTCAACCTGTCCTCTATACAAGGGCGACGCGAATATGTCTACCAACGTTGGGTGTGCTTGTTGCCGTAAAATAATACTTGTATAACAAGGGAACATTCATGTACGGGGATCTTGCGAATCTGTATTATAAGTACTAATATACATATTATACATATAGCTAGAGAATGTCGTTTCGTGTTTAAGCATCGAGGATAAAAAAAACAAATAACTTTGTATTTAAAAATTGCCTTTTATAGTTTTTCTGTGATTCGACAAAGGGAAAAAAATAATTGTATATTAAAAATTAACAAGAGCTTGCATATAAGAAATACATACCATGTCGTGTCCCTCGAGCTGACGCACTACATCACTTTGGATTTTTCATTTGTTTTTTATATGCTAATGTGTGAGAAAGTTTTGTTAGAACGAGAAAAGAAAAATTAGTAAGCGCATCCGCTCGAGGTATGTCATTAATTATGTGTACAAGTTTTTCGCTTCGGAGGTTAATCTGCTTATTTTTGACCATATACTATTTAAAATGACGTGTTGTTGTTGTTGTTGTTGATGATGATAGTGATTGCTTATTAATAAATAATATATAAGAAATCAATGCAAATATTGCCAAGTATATCGAGAATGAGATAAATTTTTAAGAAAAAACAAAGTGCTAGTTTCAATTTTGTACATATGGTAACAATAAAGAGAGTTTGTCGATCAATAATTACAGTTTTCAGTTTTTTATTACATATGTACAAGCTCGTTGCTAGTTTTGATAATGAGTGTCGACATATGAAAGAAACAAAATTCCATTTTTACCAGGGTAAAAGTATTCCTTCTTTCGGGATGGACGGTCAACGAATTCACTCGCAGCGACGATACACGGAAAATTTCTTAAATGTACAACCAAAAAAGTGTGTACCATCGGGAATGAAGTTATACAGCAGTCGTCCTTCAGAGGTGGAGCGAGCTCGCGTTCGTATAATGTCTGTTGATTGTTGGACGATAGAGTCGGGCGTTGTCGACTCGTCAACGCTACTAACGCGATCGCTAATCGACAATGTAGAGCAACGTCAATCGGGGAAACGAAGTGACTTATCGGTGTGCGACGGTCGTTTGGGACACCAAGTGATCCGAATGACGAGGACGGTGAGCCGCGCTCGACCGGTCCTCGCAGTCCTCGGTCACTCGATGCTCCGCGCGAGGTCCTTGTCCGAGGGCATGTTGCGCAACTCGTTGGCGAAGCTGCCGAGCGTCTTGCCCGGCGGCCGAGCGTCGTCCGGCTTGAGCTCGGTCTGCGGCAACTCGTGGAAGTGCCTGCGAAGAAGCGCGAGTGAGCGTGGGTCAGTCGCCGAAGGGGCCGCGAGTAGCACCGAGGCGTACCTGCCGCGATGCCGATGGCCGCGCGTCTTGGCCTTGAGCTGGCGCTGCCTCTGGCTGCAGCGGAGGCCAACGAGCACGAAAATGCCGAGAACGGCGAGGGCGAGCAGCACCGCGATGACGGCGAGGCCGAGCGGGCCGGGCATCCGCTCGTTCGGGTCCCTGAGTCGGTCCCTGCCGACCTCGTCGTCGACCAGGGTCTCCAGCGGGTCGTCGTCCTGCCAGCAGACCCAAGTGTTGGCCCAGAACTTGGGGTTGGCCATGGGGTCGTTAGGCACGTTGGCCTCCTTCACGGCCGTGAGCTTGTACTTAAGCAGCCGGTTCTCGAGGTGGGCCAGGATGATGGGACGGCTGGCCGCGAGGTTGCGCCGCTCGCAGGGGTCTTCGCGTACGTTGAACAGGCAGGGCGCCTGCTTGGGGTTGCAGGCGATCTGCGGAGGAGAGGCGCGTCAGAGCAGAGCGGAGAGGTGGGGAGGCGGCGAGGTAGTCGGCGCACCGTCTCGTTGGCGGGTACGCGGCAGTGCAGGGTCGCCGCGGCCCTGAGCCGCAGCACGTCCTCGGCCGTGAGCAGCTCGGCGCTGCTCAAGTTGGCGCGGCCGACGCGCCGCGCGCCGTCGCTCCTGATCCGCCGGACCTCGCCCACCTGGCTGGCGGTGAGCAGGCCGGAGATGGCCGTGGCGGCCTCGCTCGCCAGCACGAGCTCGGGCGCGTAGGCCGGGCTGCGGCCCTCGAGGTGCGCGTCCTCGGGCCGGCCGCTCTCGCCGTACCAGTCCTCGCCGTTGCCCACCGTGCCCAGCACGTACTTGAAATCGCCCACGCGGATGGTCGAATAGTTGAAGATGGTGTCGATGTTGAGCAGCAGCTCGTCGCGCGGACTGGCGAGGCCCTCGCTGATGGACGCCCACATGTCCAGGCCGTCGATGCCGCGCGCCCGCAGCTCCGCCTGGCCGGGCAGCCCCGCCGCGGACATGAGAGTGGGCAGCCAGTCGGCGATGTACATGAGGCCGTCGTGCACGCGCTTCGGCCTCCGGATGAGCGGACTCCAGACGGCGGCCGCGTTGCGCACCGCCCCCTCCCAGCCGCTCGCCTTGATCTGCAAGCGTCCGAGTCGGTGAGCGCTCGCTCGGAGCCACGCGCCCTCGCGCCGTCACGGGCCCTTACGCCTCTGAGCGGGTAGTTGCTGCCGCGGTTGTAGTGGATGCCCTGGGTGGAGGCGCCGTTGTCGGACATGAAGACGACGATGCTGTTGTCGAGCATGCGGCTGCGCCGCAGCGCGCGCACCACCTCGCCGACGCTGCGGTCCAGCCGGGACACCATGGCGGCATAGAGGCGGCGCTCGGGGTCGGCCACGTGGGCGAGCCTGGCCACCTCGTCGTCGGGCGCCTGCAGCGGCTCGGCGTCGTTGCCGCTGTGGGGCGCCAGGTGCGCCAGGTACAGAAACATGGGCGGGCCGTCGCGCGGGTGGCGCTCGATGAGGCGCACCGCCTCCTCCGTGAACAGGTCGGTGGAGTACTTGCCGCGGGTGTCGCGCGCCACGCTCATGTTGCGGCGCATGTCGAAGCCGCGGAAGCCCTCGCCCGGCACCGACGAGTCCACGTCGTGCGTGTAGTAGTCCTGCAGCCCGTTCCAGTAGCCGAAGTGCGAGTCGAAGCCGCGGAACAGCGGCGTGTACTCGCGCCTATGGAAGCCCTGATGCCACTTGCCCACGGCGTGGGTGGCGTAGCCGGCCTCGCGCAGGTACTGCGGCAGCAGCTTCTCCGCGAGCGGCAGGCCGCGCGGCTCCGCCTCCAGGATCACCAGGTGCTGCATGCCCGTGCGCACGGGCAGCTTGCCGGTGAGCAGGGCGGCGCGCGACGGCGAGCACAGCGCGCCCGTGTAGTGGCTGTTCAGGATCACGCCGTTGTAGGCCAGCGCGTCGATGTTGGGCGTGGGGATCTGGTCGCTGCCGTGGAAGCTCACGTCGTTCCAGCCCATGTCGTCGGCGATGATCATGACGATGTGCGGCGGCGACGGCGGCGACGGTGCCGGCTGCCCACCGGAGCCGGCAGCTGGCCCGCCCAGCGCGGCGGCCCACAGCAGCCAGGCGAGGCAGCCTCTTCCGGCTCGCATCGCGGATCGCCGTCCGCCACCAACGCCCGGCCGGCTCATCTGCCCATATATACCCGCGTACAGCCCGAAGTTTTCAGCCGAAACTTGCACCCGCCGTGCCGTCCCCCGCGGCCCGACCTCCGCGACGGCCTGATTGAATTCCCGAGAGAGCGCCGAGCCGGAGACCCGCTCTAAATAAGTTCCGAACCTCTTGCCCAACTTATTTGCATTCCAATATACGATTCTCGTCCTTGAGCGCATCGATGCCCCCTCGGCCAGACTCGCTTTCTTTTTCGCTCTCTTTAATTGACAGCGCCGCGTCGTTATTATTCGGCGCCGAGGCGTAATTGGCCGATAATCACCTCGCAGGCTGAAAACCACGCGCATTGTGCAATCCTCATTAGCGCGCCCAAGGATCGCCTGCAAAAGTTTGCGAGGGCAAAACAGCCTCGTGTCTCTCCTCGACTTTTGCCTCGTACGAACATCCGCGCCGCGACGATCGTTCGATATTCATCCGGGCGAGCCTTATGCATAAGCTAATCGCCGACGAAAGCGAGCGGCGATGATTTTCTCACAAACGCCGAGGCACGCCTTCGGCCGAGCCTCTAATTACTCCATTAACGACGATTCCAACGTTTTTCTTTTTCTATTTACAATCGCGCCTCTATCGGCGAATCACCGTTGCCTCATTTATGCAAAACCGACGCGCGCTCTTTGTTTTTTCTTCCTGATCTCTTTGCCGGACAGACGGAACTGCGACCGCGCGCGCGCGCGCGCGGTCACTGCGGTCGACCGAACGAGTCGCGGTCGCGAAATCAATTACACCCTGGCCGACGCGAGCGCGACGCTTGCCGTTCCGAGGAAAACAAAAAGAAAAAAAAAAAGAAAAGAAAAACGATACTGGCGATACGCAGGCGATCGATTGTTCGGCGAGCGATAATCGGCCCGACGCGTTGCCTCGATTGCAAACTTTTTTTTCTATGCAGGCCGCCGTTTTTCTCTTCGTCGTCGCGGCATCGGAAGGACATTAGCGTGGCAGCAGCGAGCGCCGAGGGCGCACGGAGAGCAGGAAGTAATCAAGCGTTCGGGCGTTTATTGCGGAAGCGAGAGTCGACGAGTCGTCGTCGTCGTCGTCGTCGTCGTCGTGGGTACGTTCCCTGATTTTCATCCTTCGCTGACGAATTTCGCGGCGGGCGACGTAAGTTGGGCTCGACGAGTTTTAAGCAGCTTAACTCTGCGCTCTCTCTCTCTCTCTCTCTCTCTCTCTCTCTCTCTCTCTTTCGAGTTTGCGAGTGGCGCGGTGATGCGCAACAAATTGCGACAGGCGAAGGCGCGTCGGCGTAATTAAAGGTGCCCATCAGCGGTAAGCATCGATCGGAATAACAGAGGAAGGACTGACCTGAGAAGCTTCAGGGGTGCAGGTGTCGGCCGAGAGGTGCTCGAAGCTGGTCGGCGATGCGACTGGAGGTGAGACTCGAGGAGCGGTGAGGCCTTTATTTATCTGTCCGGCGCTCTCCCGCTACGTCGCGACGACGGCGGACCGAAAGGATCGGTGGGCGGCAGGCGGGAGCGGGAGGAGGAGGGGAGAGGAGGGGGTGGCATCCTGCACCTCGTGGCGCAAGCACACGCGCCGTTCCGCCTTGCGGACCTTTGGGCTTATGTTTATTGATGAGCCTGTGGATTTTCCTTTTTCCTTGGCGCGAGCCGCGCTCCGGGCGGTCGGTCGTCCGGCTGCGGTGACGTCGCGCTGCGCCTGCACCGCTTTCCCCCGACGGCCGAGCGATCGTTTTTCCTTTTCTCTTTCCTCGTCGACGTGCGCGGCCTCGCTCTCTCGGCTGCGCTCCGTCGTCCTTTCGACGTTACGATTCGCGATAAAAAACGCCGCCAAGGCCGGTGCTCGTGGCGCGAACCGTTCGAGCGATCTTCTCGTGGACGACGTCGCGCAGACTCGCGATTGTCGAGCGCAGGACCGCCGCGAGCCCAAGTCAGCTAGGAGCGCGAAAGCGAGAAATAGCGCGCGATTGCGGCGCAGCCGGAGCTGGCGGAAAGCTGCCACTTATTTATGCCTGTGCCAGTTTATATTAATTAAGCGTTAATGCAAACGCCAACGTAGGTTTCATCAGATGTCGCCTTCTTTCTCTCTCTCTCTCTCTCTCTCTCTCTCTCTCTCTCTCACGCAGCAATGCACCTTGCATTTCCCGTTCGCGCGCTATTGCGATATCGAAGCGCCGGCTCACCCGCGGACTCCCCGGCAATCGGACTTTTTTGCGGACCGCTCGCCAAGCTCACAGCTCGCAAAGAGACGCGAACGGATTCACACTCGGTACTTTTCGAGAGGAAAACGACAGGGATGAAGTTTGACCGGGCCAGAGGAGGGGGGGGGGGGGGGCAAAAGTTGCGCTCGACGCGTTCGCAGCCGGAGAGTTTGGACCATCGGCGGCGGCGGGGGAAGGATGTGCGCGCTAATGAGGCGCTCGTCGTATCGATGATCGTTCGCGGAACGCGCTGCCGATGAAACATAAAACCGAGAGAGCGGCGCGTGCGCGCGCTCGCCATGAATATTGATCGCCTACGAAGCCGGCTATGGTAGATCGGCCGCGCGAGGCGTCACGCGGAAGTTGCAGTTCGAGACAAACGGATCGCGAGCGATCGACCGTGCGATCGGTCGACGATGGCGTAACCACGCGCGCAAAAGAAGAAAAATCGAAGAAGAAAAAACAACAACAAAGCGAGCGTCGCGGTCGACCGACTTTAATTTATAGCGCCGTCGACCGATCGATCGCCAAGGATGAAAAAGTCGGTAGCGGCAGCGGCGGCGGCCGCTTCCCTATTGCGTTTCGGCACTATGCGTGATGGATCGAGGACCGTCGGCTTGTGTGCTACCAACAGCGATAAGGCTTTACCGGGAGGCTGTATCGCTTATCGCGTGCCGCGTGCATAACGGTGACTCGCTACGCCAGGCGGAAGAACGAGAAAAAGAAGAACACGAGTGACGGTTTGGACCTTTATTGCTGCTCGTACACATGTTGGTCGGGGCCCGGAGGCTTTGGCGGCTCGTCCTCCTGCGGCGACTCGTCGAGCGGCGTGATGGTCAGTTCGTTGACCTACGAGCAGAAAAAGTGAGATATATATATATATATATATAGAGAGAGAGAGAGAGAGAGAGAGAGAGAGAGAGAGAGAGAGAGAGAGAGAGAGAGAGAGAGAGAGAGAGAGAGAGAGAGAGAGAGAGAGAGAGAGAGAGAGAGAGAGAGAGAGAGAGAGAGAGAGCGAGCGAGCGGGAGACGACGTACTTGCACGTGGGCCGGAGTGCCGAGCGCGTAGACGACGGCATCGGCGACGTCTCGGGCCTCGAGGACGCGCATACGGCGCAGCGTGTGCTCGGGCACGCCAGCGGCCAGCAGCATGTCGGTCCTCACGGGGCCGGGGCTGATGCTCTGCAAGCCGACGCGGACGATTAGCGGGGCGCCGCGTGCACCGGCGACGCGCGTATACCGACGGTGATCTTGATGCCGGCGCGCAGCTCGTCGAGCTCGTTCCGCACGGACTGGGTGAGCCCGGTCAGGGCGTACTTGCTGGGCGCAGTAGATGCCGACCGGCGCCCGGACCAGCGCCGCGTTGTGGCCCGCCACGCTGTTCACGTTGACGATGTGGCCGCGCGCGCCGTGACGGCGCATCAGCCGCGTGGCCTCGCGGATGCAGATCGCCGCCGCCAGCACGTTCACGTCCAGTATCTCGCGGAAGCCGTCGCTACTGCCCTCTGCAACGAGGCAACGGCCAGCCAGCGGCGGGCGGGTGAGCGGGCTGGCGGGTGTGCGCGGCGCGCGGCACGTACCGATGATCGACTCGCGCACGAGCAGCCCGGCGCAGTTGACCAGCACGTGCGGCGGACCCACGCGCTCCTCCGCGAAGCGGAAGGCCTGTAGGATTTGCTGCTCGCTGCGCAGGTCGCACGCGCACGGGTGGAACGAGCCGGCGCACGGCGGCGGCGGCTGCTGCTGCTGCTGCTGCTCCTCCAGGCGCTGCAGCCGCTCCAGGCGGCGCGCCAGGCCCACCACCTTCATGCCCGCGCGCACCAGCAGCTCGCTCACGCAGGCCCCGATGCCAGACGACGCGCCCGTCACCACTGCCACGCGGCCGGACCAGCGCTCCATTTCTCCGAGCGCTCGCCACCGCTCGCACCGCTTTTATACGCGCGCGCTGCCCGCCGCCGCCGCCGCCTCCTCTCCCTCCGCCGCCGTCGCCGCCGCCGCCGCTGCCGCGAGCGCTCTCGAGATGCCATGAGTTGGTTCGCACGCGGTTTGCCGCCGGGGCCGAGTGGCCCGTAATTGCCCGGCTGCTCGCCGACGTGCCGATTAATTGAAATATCGCGCAGCCACTTGGCGTAATTGGATCGCGGAGTCACGCTCGGCTGCGAGATACGGCGTGCGCGTCGTCGGGCGGATCAGGGGAGCGCGCCACTGCCGCTCGAACGCCCATCGATCGTCGATAACGAGGGAGAAACGGAGGCAGGAGGCGGCCGCCGGCCGTAGTTCCGGCAGATAGTCGCTGAAAGGAGCAGCGCAGACGGATTGGGGGGCGCGCATTGTTGCGCCTTCGCCGATATTTAATCAAGCCCGCGGTGCGCTCGGCCCTTGCTCGTCAAGCACCTGGGCGCGCGCGAGTGCCCCCCCCCCCGTCGCGCCTTCCGCGACGCGGCCCGCGCAAGCTCCGAAAGCTCGCCCGCTCAGTACGCGGCGAACCGCCGACGAGCGCGCGACCGTGAACTCCCTTCTCGCTGCTGCCTGTCGCGCTCGTTGCTCGCTCTCTCCTCTCTCTCTCTTTCTATCTCTCTCACGCTCTCTCTCTCTCTCTCTCTGTCTCTCCCTTGTCGGTGAGTATGTGTCTTCCGTCGAGAACACAATTACGGCAATTTATCGTCACGACTCGACTTTCGTTCGGCGCTCATTAAAACGGCCAACTCTCTTCCCTCGCGGCACTGTTCGGCTGAGGAAACGTCAGTTCGGCCGTCATCAGACTCGCTAAACTTCTTCGCGAAAGTTGGCCCGGTCTATACGTGTCGACGCGGGCCGCTCTCGCTTCGCATTTTTCCGGGAAAGAAGATTACTTCTGGAATTGATGATTGATTTTGTCTTAAGCCCGGCGAATCCGTGTATCGCGATCGGTCTCGCGACCGGAGTATTGTCTTTTTCTCTCCCTCTCTGCCTCTCGGGTCTTCTTGGCGCGACCAACCGAGCGAGCGGAACCGCGCAAACAGAGATTGCGCTGATTCGAATCACTTTCGCTCGATCGCTCGCTGCTTCTACCGCGAAGCGCGTACTCGTGACAATTAATCCCGCATCCGAAATAAAACCGTCGCTCTCGAGAGGCGGAGCCCGCTCTTGTCTTTGCTTGCCACGAAGCGTCGAACGAAAACACAAATGTGAAAAGCTGGCTGGAGGATTCGCGCGAGTGGAGATAAAAAGAAGAAAGTAAAAGAAGAAGCGGGAAAAGTCAACAAACGATTGGTAGAAAGCGAAGTCGAACGGATTCCCCGTGTGCCGTGCCGAGGGCCGACGGAACGGGTCGGTCGGAGCACTTTAATAACAACGGCCAGAATTGACAGGAGGGAGAATCCGCAAGTCGGCGTTATAGGTATACGCGGTCGAGCGCACGCGAGAGTGGCAAGTGCAGGGCACGTCTCGATTAGTTCGAGAGGGCAAGTTTGCGGAGAGCGCGGCTGCATCGCGCGTCCGTCGCCGAGTCAATAAAAGCGCGTGCGGCCCCGCTCGAGCAGAGAGCGGAGAGAAGAACCGCGGCCGAGGCCGTTGCGAGGGGGAGCTGGTCGACGGCTCGCTCGCCCGACTGCCGAGCCCATCGCCGCGCGCACGGGAAGCGCGAGCAGAGCCGCGACGGTGCGCCAGTCCAGTTGCAGTCGCCCCGCCGAACGCGGAACGCGCGCCCACGACGGGGCCGAGGGGGCGAAGCTGCAGAGTCGATCGGCGAACGCGCGTACCTCTGGCTTAGCGCTTGCTTCGGCGTGACTTCCTAGCCCCGCGGCGACGTTTCTTGGTTGGCTTCGTGGGTCGACTTGGCGCTGCCGCGACGGACACCGAGGCCGAAGGCTCGACGACGCCGCCGGCCCGACGTCGCTTCTCGTCGATCGCTCGCCGCTCGGCCGCGACCGCCGCTGCCATCGGGACGTAGCGGCCGGCGCGCAGCTTCAGCAGGCCCTCGCCGACGGCTCGCTTCAGCGCGGCCCGGACCTGCGCCAACGCAGGTCGGTCACGAGGCAAACCGAAACGACGAGAAACGCTCGTCGCGACACTGTCCCAGCGCGATCGGCTCGTCTCGCGCAAAGCTCACTCGCACGCCAAGGTTCCGCGTCCCGTCTGTCCCAGCGCTCAGACGCCACTGCTCCAGGATCTGCTGGGCACTGTGACCGGCGGTGGTGGCGGTGGCGGCGGTGGCGGCGGCGGCGGCGCCACTTCGACCGGTCCGCAGTCGTCTGAGTACCTCCAGCAAGGCCGTCCTCCAGTCGTCGCGCGGCGGCTGCATCGTTTGCCCGCGCCGCCTCGAAATCAGCGCAATCAGCGCGATCAGCGCGCAGCCGAGCTCGCAATTCGCGCTCGGCTGCACAGCCCTTTGCCGCAATCGCGCGCCCGAGGGCGTCGGCCGCTTTGAGCCGCGCGCCGGCGTTCGCTCGCGGCTCCGCGATTGACCTTCCGCGCGCCGGGCAAACGAGGCCGCGTCGTTCGCGGTCTCACTCGCGGCCTCGCTCGCGACTTATTATCGATTATCGGCCTCGCTGCAGATCCTCGAGAGCGGCTGGTCGTGCGAAAGCGCTCTCCCCAATTAGCGCGCCACTTCGGAGCCGCCGCCCGGTCGACCGACTGGCAGCTGTACGGCCCGATAACCTAAGCCCGGCCGCGCGCGAACAGTTGAAAGGCGCGATGCCGGGCGGACAAGTGCTGGCGGCGCTGGCGCTGGCGCTGCTGGCGGGCCGCTCGCGAGCGTCCGGGCCGGTGGCCAAGCATCAGAGCAACAACCACGGCAACGTCAGCGAGCTGCTGGACAACCTGCTGCGCGGCTACGACAACAGCGTGCGCCCGGACTTGGGCGGTCCGCCGGCCGTGGTGGAGGTGGACATCATGGTGCGCAGCATGGGCCCCATCTCCGAGGTGGACATGGTGAGCGAGCGCGCCCGCACTCGCGCCCGTACTCACGCCGGCTCTCTCGCGCAGACCTACAGCATGGACTGCTACTTCCGGCAGTCGTGGGTGGACCGGCGGCTGGCGTTCGCCGGCGGCAAGGAGACGCTGGCGCTGTCCATCTCGATGCTGCAGCGCATCTGGAAGCCCGACACCTATTTCTACAACGGCAAGCAGAGCTACCTGCACACCATCACCTCGCCCAACAAGTTCGTGCGCCTCCACCGGGATGGCCGCGTGCTCTACAGCTCGCGGCTCACCATCAAGGCCGCCTGTCCCATGAACCTCGAGGACTTCCCCATGGACACGCAGCGCTGTCCCCTCAAGTTCGGCAGCTGTGAGTGATCGGCGCGCGCGCGTTCGCGAGCCCCGCCTCGGCTCACCGGCGGCTCCTACTTGCAGACGGCTACAGCAGCCGCGACGTGGTGTACCGCTGGAACAGCGCCAGGCAGGTGGCCATCGCCCACGACATGAAGCTCTCGCAGTTCGACCTCGTGGGCAACCCCACGGCCAACTCCACCGACTCGAGCTTCACCCAGAGTGAGTGGCCACGCACGCCCGAGCTTCGTCGCAAGGACTGTAATAGCCGCCGGCCTTTCCAAACTGCAGATTCGCGCGTCGCCGAGTACTCCATGCTGCTGGTCTCCTTCCATCTGAAGCGCCACATGGGCAACTTCCTCATCCAGGTGTACGGCCCGTGCGTGCTGCTGGTGGTGCTCTCCTGGGTGTCGTTCTGGCTGAACCGCGAGGCCACCGCCGATCGCGTGTCCCTGGGTGAGTCCGCGGCGCCGTCGTCCCGCGCCGCCACGCAGCCACGTGACACTGACACCGCCGCCCGTTGCTGTGCCGAAGGTATCACCACCGTGCTGACGATGACCTTCCTGGGGCTGGAGGCGCGCACGGACCTGCCCAAGGTGCCCTACCCCACCGCGCTCGACTTCTTCGTCTTCTTGTCTTTCGGCTTCATCTTCGCCACCATCATCCAGTTCGCCGTGGTGCACTACTTCACCAAGTACGGCTCGGGCGAGTGCTACTTCGGCTCGGAGAGCGAGCTGGAGCTCGCGGCGGCCGGACGAGCGGACGCCTGTAGCGACTCCGAGCCCGACGAGCCCAGGCAGCGCGCCGCCAGACAGCCCCGCCGGCGCGCACAGCCCAGGTACAACTCCGTGTCCAAGATCGACCGCGCCTCCAGGCTCGTCTTCCCGCTCTTCTTTCTGGCCATCAACCTCTTCTACTGGTTCGCCTACCTGTCGCGCAGCAAGCGCATCGACTACTTCTTGTGAAGCTCTCGCTGCCCGCAGGTACGCGAGTCGCTCGTCGAACGGTCGTCCCGGTTATCGCTAGTTGGCCGCGTCCCCGGTTTCCGCCCCCGCGCACAATGCCTCTGTTCGGCCGACGGATGGAGATCCCGGACTGGGTCACGCGGTTCCTCGAACGCCGCGCCCCGCCAACAGTGGAGCGATAATTCGTCAACGAGCTGCGATCCGCCGGACAGCTGATCGGCCCGACAGGGCGAGCGCTATCGAATTATTCGGTTCGCGGACGTCCGACGGGACGACTTGCTCTTGCCCGCTCGTCCATCCCGCGACGATGCACGGCCGGCGAATAAAGTGACGACCCAGCGCTCGAAACAATCGCGGTTCGCTTCGACGAGCGTACGGACGTTCGAAGAAAAAAGAAAGAGCAGGCGTCGTCGTAGCTCCACCGCATGGATGCTCGTAGCGGTAGGACGGGGGGGGGGGGGGGGGCGTTAAGTGGGAGTCGAGAAGGCCGAGAGATAATGGGATACGTATTCACCGTTTGCCGCAGATACGACACATTCAAGTCAGTCGCTCCGCTCGCCGGAGTAATCGCGCGGAGAGCGCTCTTGACCGTGCACCACTCGCCGCGCATTCTATTAACCTTGTTACGCAAACTGCAACTTTGCATACGTGACTTGGCTCTCTCGCCTCTCGATAATGCCTCGCTTTCTCGCGTATCATTTTTCTTACTCACTCGAAATTCCGTCGTTGGGACTCGCTCATTAAATGAACGCTGATTTCTAGCGTGAACGCTAGATTTCCTTTATTTTTGTTCTCCTTTTTGGTGCGCGCGCGAGTATTTACGCGGAGTAAAAGTTGTAATTCAGGCTAACGCAAGGAACACGGAATTAAAGTCGCTTACAATGTCGTCTTTTTGACTCGCGTTTTTCAAATAATCAATTTCAGCGACACTGTATTGTCATTGCCACAAAAGGTAGCTGTAAACATTTGCAGAAACATTTGTATGATTTTGTCCTGTTACCCAAATTGCTCGTTGATAGATTATCGCAAAGAAAGAAATCGATGTGTGATTTTCATTGGAAACTAAATGTACATGAACATGAATAAATGGAGACTATCTAAAAGATTGAATTGGATGAACCAACTCGAGTTTTATCCGATGACTTAATTTTCATACGTATAAATCGATAATTGACGTATTAGCATAAGAATTAGTTGCTATTATGCAACTTATACTTTTGTAGATGAGGATAGAGATCGCCCAGAGTATCGATGTAATAATCCGGCACCAAGTCATTATCGTCTTTGGACGAGGACTTTTTGCACCTATCGACGTCATTCAGAGTAGTCACTCCGGAAAGCACGAGCAAAGTTTTGAATCCGCAGCGCGTACCCAATAAAATGTCGCTCTTGTCCCGATCACCAATCATTATCGTGCGCTTTGGATCGATGTTGCACTGTTGCTTCAGAACGTCGGCGATGTACGGCTCGGGCTTGCCCATTATAGTGGCCTTCCTTTCAGAACACATCTCTATACAACTCACCAGACTGCCGGTACCTTTAAAAAAGGGCGTCGAGATTTATTCGTTGCTGCTGAGAAGGAAAGAGAGAGAATCCAAGTCGACGAACAGAAGGGGAAAGAATACCTGGCACGACCACGCTGTCTTTGGCTGGGAATCGATTGTCGGTGTTCGTGCCGATGAAATGCACGTCGCGGTCGTTCAAGTAGCTCGCCGCCTTTGTCATTTTCGGGTAGCTGAAGTGCTCGTCGAATCCTACGATCACAGCACCGACTTCGGGATCTTTTTGGACATTCATGGCCGTCCAATCTGGCGTCAGAGGATCCGGCCCCGTTCCGATATGCCGTATACCAACTTTGTCCAACTCTCCGGTGACGCCTTAATATTGAATTATTATTACTACATTTATAAACATTAATAGAGGATGCTCCGATAACTCCTGCGCCTACCGACCTGTTGACCCAATGACGTAGACCTTTTTACGAAAATTCATACTTTTCAAGTAAAGCGCCGCTAAATTAGATGTACAAAACAGATGATCATCGCTCGCTTTGAAATTAAGCTGTTTGCATTTCTTCGCGAACTCCTCTCGCGTCTTTGTGCTGTTATTAGTTACGTAGAAGACTTGCCTGCCAAGCTCCTGAAATAAATTGATCACCTCGGCAGAGTGTGGCAGTGCTGTATTTTGTATCCACAAAACACCTGAAACGAGGATTCGGCTGTTAAGTGGACGTCGATTTTAGCTTTCGAAAAAACAAAGACAAAACAATAAAACGAAATTACTTGCCATCGCAGTCGGTGAGCACTGTATCGAAGGAATCGAAGAAAGCCGTTAGGTCCTGCGAGCTCAACGTTTTCAGATTGACAGCTTGCTTGATGACCGACATCGTGGTACTGACAAATTTCTGTAACGCGAAAGAATCACAGCGTTTTTTTAATGCGTCACACACGAAACGCGCGGTCGAGAAATAATCGGAGTTCCTTCTTGGAAAGAATTGGAATTGAGCACGGGCTGCCATCTGATACGAGCAACAGACTAATTTTTTAGAAACGTAAACGCGGCTGCGGCAGCGACTAATTTATCGTCACTTTGTCTAGCGTTTTGGCGTCTGGAAGGAAACCTCTCGGAAAACCGGTACCCACAAAAAAAGAAAAAAAATGTAGCATTGTAGCTCAAAGGTTGAAAACGATTCAAGATATGATCTTTAGCTATATATATATATAAGGGAGAGAAAGAGGAGAGAGACAGGAATTCAATGAATGCATTAGGGGCAAATCGTCGTGCTACAAGGGAATGCGTAGTTGTAACACAAACTGATGATGTTCGTTGGATAAGATCAGTTAATATTCAATCTTTTGTTGAACACATCTCGTCAAATAAACTTCCAACAAGCAATTAATTATCGATTAAAGCTATTAATGGCAGTGGAGTCTAATTAACCTCTAACAATCGCGTATTTAACAATACTAATCTCTAACAATCCCGTCACTTATACCGAATTTACGATCCAGCATCCTCATCATATGCCTACGATTATAATTTACGTTACTCGTAATTTTATCATTTGTATTTAACGTTCTTAAATCACTGTTAAGTGCCAAATAATAAGCCAAGTGTCGTACAATCGATAAGTGCAGGCGAATCAACACGCGTTAGTTTAGAGATCGATTGTTAATTAAAATATTCGATTGTATTTTGCTACAATGAAATCAAGTCGTCAATTGTGCACATAATTATTTTACATATGAATTATTGTGCACAATGATATGACGTGAATTAGCGTAAACGTTATCTTACTGTCTACAATAATTCACGTGAAAATTAATTATGTCTGCAATCGTCAACTTGCCAGAAAAGCGTAAAATTACATGTAAAATAGAACGAGAACGAGAGTGGCAATATTGACTTATGAAAACTAAACCTGATTTTACGTGGTCGAAGTAATGATTTACTGTAAAGTTAAACTATACTAAGCTATTATTTTTTTTTAAGTTGCCATTTGCGGAAGTAATCGGGCAGTTGCAAAAGTGCTATTAGGACGGGTAAGCGTCAATCCTAATCAATACTCAATAAAGCCGGACTCGTAGTTCACATTGAACGATACACAAAGTCGTAATCCGGATACTTATATCGAAACTGCAAAGTTGTCGCGCTGTCAGCAGTTAATGTCGAGATGGCGATCACAAGGCTGACGGGCGAGAAATGCGCTGGGTAATTAAAAAAGAGGCGAGAGCGGCCTTCGGCGAGGCACGTGTTAATCGCACCCACTCTTGACGCCGGCGTGCCATTCGCGGACACGTGGCTGACCGGCTACCGTGGATATATCACGTGTACGTATACCATCGCACGGTATCGATCAGCTGATGTGTTGTCAAGAACGCCTGGTCCGCATAATTGTAAGCACGGTAAATGCGTGATTCCCGCATTGTAGATTTGACGCTTCCGTGCGAATTGAATCTGGTCGGGCTTATTATTGTCCTTCTTATTGTATACAAGGCCTAACTATACAGATCCATTCGAATTTAACGTGCGATGATCGCTGTCAGATTCGTAAATAGCAAAGTATAGGTTAGTGCGTTCAATCGTAACCCTCGATTATATCTTAAATTGTTATTTGTCGTTATTCACTAGATATCATTTCAAGAATACCGATGTCACACTGTCATAATCTATTGTTTAATTTATTACACTAACCTTGTTTGACAAATTTCTCAGCAGACTCATGCGGCCCATACTCTTAAGCTAAAATAACACGAGCAAATTATGTTCATTATAATAAAAATCACAATAGGTAAAGTCTAATTTTCTACGTGTCCGAAAAGATTTTGTCCGATTAATTTTTTTTTTCAAGCTTTCGACATGCAATTGAAACTTGATAAGATTTTTATCGACAAATCTGTATTGTTATCGTTGCGTAATAAGGATACGAATCAAGCGTTTCGAACAATATAAACAAGCGGCTATCGGATATTCTTTCAAGCGTGTCAATGCGTAGTTTGAATCATGCGCACGGCAATACTGTCTAATCTGTTTGTCTTCGGAAAATCATGCCATATATCTAAGTTCCCTAAGCGAGCTTTGATCTAGGAATAAGGCGACTCAATGAACTCGTGACCGCGGTAATGACATTGCTCGGTGTGATGATCCTTATGAATGAAGTGACTGAATTATTATAAATCTGTGACTTACGGTTACGTCGCGCGAAGCAGTGATAAAGCTTTCACAAAGCTGTCAGATTATGTAGCAATGGAAAAATACATGTGAGCCGCTATGGAAAGATTCACGTGGCCTTGAAAATCTCACGGTTCAAGCAGAAACGCACGGCGTCATGTAGACTCGCCGGCCAGCGTAAAAGTATCCAGTTCGGCGATTGTCGCATTTGACGTACGAGATTGCGGTGCTCAAACTGTGTTCGAGCGCGCTGTGTTTTGCGTTAACTGTTACACAAATGTTACGACGATAATTGATTGCGCGTTTGATATATGGACTGCAACAATCACCCCCGCTCGCGTTGTTTCAATCTCGCCTGACGTTGTGCTTCACGGTATAACGGTGAAACACGCGGAACGCTTGTGCGCGCGCATCTTTTTTTTCGAATAGACATCGTGCAAGCTCTTGACAGTTCTGTCCATTATCGTCTCTCTCCCTCCCCGAAACCGTTTTAACGTTACATCAGTTATCATTCTGATTTAACAACGTAGTTATTAACCTTTAGAGGACCGGAATTCGAGTTGCTTTGTCCCCTACAGAAAATCTATAAAAAAGGTATCTTATATCATAGATTCATCATGGGTAAAGTGGCGAACATGGGTTGAGCCAGTATACTGGCTTTCCGGTCCTCTAAAGATTAAATATTTTTGTAGAGAATGTGAAATTTAAGCCTATGATGATAAGAAATAACCGAAAAATATTGTAAAACAAAAATAAAATAAAATAACTGTGAGCACAGCATGCGAGTTGACGCGTTCTATTTTTGACGTCATCTGACACATTTATTCACGAAATATTTGTCGATTATAGATGTGTTTTAACGAAAAATGCCAAGGAAATAAAATAATCGTAGTCTACAATTGTAGAGGAAAATGTACGAGGAAATTCATTCGCGTGCGTGTACATAATACTGCTTGTATGAGAATGGCAACATAGCAGGCGCATTATGATGAGCATGAGCGAGAGTCGCTCGGCGTGGAGGTCCGGCCATACAAGCCGTTGAATCGGTGCCGAGCATCGCCAGCGGCAAGCGGCTCCGGCGCCTCGACCTCCAGTTGCGCTTCTTCGAGTACAGAACCAGGATGTCAGCCGAGTCCTCGTTTGGCCGTTGCGGTTCGACGGCTCTGCTCGTCTCTGCTCGGACGGTCGTCGAGATTGGTCGAGGTTGGTACGCACTCGTTCGTTAAAAGCTAACGCCGATGGATATTTCCCTCTCTTTCGCTCTTTGCGACATCGTTGACGACCTTCAGAGATGGATGCTTTGGCTGACAGGCAGTCGGGCCTCTCTCGAGAGAGTAAGGTTTGGGGCCGGTAGCGAGCGGGGACAGGCGAGCGCGGCTGAAAATAAACGCGAACGGGCAGGCCGCGAGCTGTAACGCAGAGCATCCGACGCCGTGCGCCTCGAATTGCGCGTCGTCTGCAGTCTTGATCGACATCGGCGGTCAACGTCGAGCTCTCGCCGCCGGGCGCACCGATCGCAAAACTCAACGCGCTCTGACTCGGTCTCTTGCTCACCTTGTTTATTCATAAAAAGTGCACTTGCCGTCGCTCGATTACAGATACAATTATTTACACAGCTCGCGTACAGTGGTGCTCTCGACGTGCGAGCTCGCGCCGAGTGCGCATTTATTTACATCGATTTTCGTCTGGAATCATTGTTGAACCTCGTCGGCAGGAGCGGCAAGAGCGGCAGAAGAAGCTCCAAGTCTCGGAGGAAAGAGGAGCCAGCCGTTGGCTTGGACCCGCCAGTCGGTACTCGAGTGGAGAGCAACGATGCGTCGGCGCAAACCTCGGATCGTCCGCTCACAAGGACGTGTCCTTCTCGGTAGAATCTGAAATATGCCAAGGGATGGGGGAACGTGAGAGCGAGCAGAGGCACTGCCGACGAGCGACGACCGGAGGAGCGGCCGAACCGACCGTTCGTTAAGTAGTAGTCGCTGCCTGCTATCGTCTGACTCGAGCTCGCTCTGATCAGAGGCTCGACGTTCTCGTACAGCGAGCCCGACATGCTGTCCAGCTCGTTCATCTCCTCCGTGCTCTCTTTACTACTGGTCGACGGGGAGTCCACTCCGGAGCTGCATATCGCGTAGCCCTCGCTATTGTACCTTCCTGAAAGATCGGATGGTAAGCGATTGTCGAGCGATCGCGAATGGCTGTAGTAGTCGTACCTATTCTACTGAGAGGCGATCTTGTGTCAATGGCACTTGTTGATTTGCAATACCGCAAACCTGCAAATAAAACTGGCCGAGCGATCGGCGGTTAGTCATGCATCCGCTCGATCTGACGTCAATTTTAACGGGCGCAATGTCGCTTACCATTCATAGGAATTTTCGGCGTGGTTTGAGGCGAAGATTGGCACAACGGCTGCAACGAGTCTATCGACATAGATAAGCTATTTTTCCTAACTGAAAAGGCGAAAGAGAAAAGGACAAGGGATGTATTAGTCGAGTGAAAGAATTCGCGAAAATCGAAGCGGATTTCCATGCAAGCAAATCGACAACAGTGACAATTAGGGGCTGGGAAGCAGATCGTACAGCACGTGTTTGAAAGCACACAGTGGCGTGGATTATTTGATTTGCTCATCATTTCCGTACCTCTGAAAGTGTCGTTAGTAATTTGCCCACTTGCGATCCATAAAATTAGCGGGAGAATCAAAACTAATCTACTAGTATATTTTTAGGAGGTAGTTATTAGAGGATGCGAGGTAGCTAGGAGTCGGCTTTTCTTATACAAGAGTCGTCAGAAGTGTTACATACGAGTGTCAAGACTGTCGACAATATCTGGACTAGAATTACATTTGTTTGTCTTTTTCTTGGCTTTGGTGTATATTGGATCTATGGGTGGTGGCTTATCTGCTTATAATGAAACGGAAGAATATTTCGTGAAACACGCGCGATCTATGTAATTGCAATAGCGAGAAGGAGTGAAACAATCTTACATGACTTCAGGAAGTAAGGGTTCTTCAGAACTTGCCGGATGCAGCTGTATATATAAGCGTACTGGCTCTGAAATGACAGTGGGAAGTTGCGTTACTGGTGATCACGAATCGATCGATCGGGCTCACCTCTCTTTGCACCATGTTCAATCGATGCCTCCTCAGCCTGTAAACAGTCCCGAAGACGTCCAGCTTGCGATTGTCCCTGATGGCTTGCAGCAGTATGTCTATTGAAATGAGCGTCCCGGTACGTCCGATGCCAGCGCTACGGGCACGTAATCACGAGTGGGGATTTTAATAGGCGCGCGAGACGAGCAGTCTCGGAGAGGAGGATCGTGATCGAACCTGCAGTGAATGACGGACAGTCCCTTGACGCTGGACATTTGCTTGCGGAACATCTGGCAAAACTGAATCATGGCCTCGAAATCATCGGGAACGTCGTGATCCGGCCAGTCTTTGAAATGCAGATGGCTTATGGATCTCCGTTTGTTGTCCTGTTGATCAGAGGAGCGTGACCGACCGACCGACCGACGCGAGAGACGTTTGTCAAGGCACACAACTGCCGATGGATTTCAGCAAACAGACCTTCTGGAGCAGCAGGGTTCGATGCGTGTAGGTGCGGTAATCCAACTCGCTGGTGCACTTGATCGAAAGCGTCTCGTAGTTGAAGGTTTCTCGGAGCGCCGGAAAGTAGCGGAAACACTTTTCCTAACGGGGCAGATTCGGTGAGAGTGAGCTGGTGCCGCGAGCAAGCTCGAAAGACACAACGAACATAGCGAATTGCGAGTTACCCTTCCTCGTTCCACCAGCTGCGTCAGCATGACGATCATCTTCACGTCGTACTGGTCGATCATCCTCCAAAAGTCGTGGCTCGTCTCCTCCTTGGGACCTTGGCACGCGATGTACTCCTCGTTGGATGAGTAGCCCTGCAAGCAAGCGAGCGAGCGAGCGAGCCTCGTCAGAATTGGCGTAATGAGCAACGCGGCGACGAGCGCGACGCGCCACACTCCGCTCACCCGTATGAAGGACGCATTGATGTAGTCCGTGTTGGGGTCGTTGTCGATGATCTCGAGCTTCACCCTGGAAAAGTCATCTGCGACGAAACGATGAGCGCGAGTCCCGGGGGACGAGCGACGACGGGGCTAGCGCGTGACTCACAGGGCAGAATGTCGGAGTAGCGGTTTTTCTTGCGATTGGCCTGCAGGCAGGCGGCGTTGCTGGGCATCTGCAGGTCGATGCTCAGCGTCTGCAGCAGCTTGAACTCGTTGCCGAGCTTCTCGGGATCGTCCGCGAGCTGCTGGCAGTGGTTGACGAACTTCCGGCGCGTCAGGGGCTGGGGTACCGGCGACTCGGGCACGCTGGACTGCGCGATCCTCTGCACCAACCTGCAACGCGGGTCTCCGTTACTCCGTTACAAATACCCCGGCACTCGTCGGCGCCCGCGCGGATCTGCTCACAGTCTGAACGAGGAGCGCTTGACGAGCAGCATGAGGGTGCTGGCGATGCCGATGAACAGGATGCCGAAGATCACTCCGAGCACCAGGACCAGGTTCAGCTCGGCGTCTGCGAACGAGGAAAGGTCGAGCAATCAGTCGAGTTCGGTCGTCGAGGACGACCACTGGTCCCCCGGGGAGCGCTCACTGGTCTTGATCTTGAAGGCGACGGAGTCGGCGTAGCCTTGATCGGTGAAGGCTCGCATCCGCACCTCGTACCAGCTGCCGGGCTTGAGCGGTCCGTTGCAGTAGGAGCGGGTCGGGCTGTTCGAGGAGACCTCGGGGCAGGTGGCATCCTCGCCGATCACGAACTTGGCGGCCTTCATATGGCCATAGTCGACGATGTGGCTGGCTGCCGGGGCGAGCGCACGCGTGAGTCGCGCGAGCCGTCGATAGAGCCGCCGAGCGGCCGCCGCGGGGCATACTCACGGAGGGGCTGCCACTTGGGCTCGGTGGCCTGGTAGGCGATGTCGAAGTCCGCCTCCATGGCCTCCTTCCAGGACGAGACGTTGGGCCAGCCCTCCTTGGCGACCTCCAGCCTGGCGGACGAGTTGTCGAACGTTCGGCCCGAGACCATCACGGCGTAGTACCTGATCTGGCCGTTGTCGTCGGGGAACAGCGGCAGCAGCACCGCCGCCGACGTGGTGGTCCGGCGCGCCTTGTGCGGGTCCAGCCTGATGGACCTGACGTAGTCCGGGCCCGGCTGCTGCGGCACTGCGCCATTCGGGATCACTCGTTACTCGCGACTCGACCGAGCGACCGGCGCGCGGGGGTGGGTGGCTTACGTCCGGCCGGGTAGTCGATGCGGCATGTGGCCGGCTCGCCGGGCTCCGCCGAGCCGCCGCGGATCGTGGCGACCACCCGGAACTCGTAGCTGTAGAGCGGGCGCAGCTCGCCGAAGTTGAGGTCGAAGCGCTGCTCGCGGCCGTAGTCGGCGGGCACGTTGACCTCGCCGCCGAGCGTGTGGTTCTCGTAGCCGGGTGCCCGGGTGCCGACGGCCGTCACCTCGAACTGGTAGAGCAGGCCCCGCGACAGGCAGGGCAGCGCCCAGTCGAGCACGGTGTCGAGGGCGCGCGGGTTGCCGTCGCGCCGCCTCCAGCGGCAGCGCAGCTCGGTGGCGTTGGTGGGCACTGAAAGAGCGAGGCGGCGGCCAGGTGAGCGCGCGAGCGACGGCGGCCGGGCGCGGCTGTGGCGCGGACCGACCTCCGCCGGACGCGCTGCTGAACTCGATCTCCGCCTCGGGGCTGTAGCCCGCCGCGGTCCTGGCGGCTATGCGGGCGCGGTAGCGGGCGCAGGCCTCCTCCCGGTCGAGGGCGGCCGTGGACAGCTCGGGGTCGATCTCGTCCAGCTGGTAGGTGTGATCGACGCGGCAGGCCTCGGGCACCGGGTAGGAGGGCTGCCAGTCGAAGTCGATCCGGTAGCCGGCCAGCCTGCCGGGCCGGTACTTGGGCGGCAGCCAGGTGAAGGTCAGCAGGTTGTTTGCCAGCCGGCCGATGCTCTGGAAGTCGACGGGCGCCGAGGGCGCGTCCTCGAGCGTCGCCAGCGACACCGGCTCGCTCCAGGGGCTCTCGCCGTCGGCGCTGATGCCGCGCGCGCGGCACGCGTACTCCGTGTAGGGACTGAGGTCGCGCACCTCCACTGTCACGTTGTCCGGGCGCTCGGGCGGCAGGTCCGCAGTGGCGGTGCCGTTGAGCAGCTCGTAGCCCGAGCCCTCGCTGCGCGTGTAGATGCACTCGCTCGTTACGTTAAGCAGGGTGCAGTTGTTGCGCTTGTCCTCGAGCAGCCAGACCAACGCGATCGAGTTCTTGGTCACGCTCGTCGACTCGTTCCTCTCGACGGCCAGCACCGGCTTCGCGCTCACTGTCGACGCGAGCGTTCGGGTTACGCCTGCGGACGAACCCCGCGGCCGGCCTACCTACCTTCGGACAGCGTCGACGGGCACTCCAGCCGGCTGGGCGGGCCGTCGGTGTCGTTGCGGTCGACCGGCGTGACCGTCACGTGGTAGACCGTGCAAGCGTGCAGCTCCTCGAAGGTGTGATTGGTGCAGTTGGTCACGGCCGAGACCGAGTGGCCGGTCTCCGAGTCGATGGCCAGCCGGTAGTACTTGACGCAGCGCCCCACGCTGTCCGACATGTTCCAGCTGATCTGCAGCGCGCCGGGCTTGCTGGGGGCGGCCGTCAGGTCCACCACTTGGTCGGGCGCTGCGTGTGGAACATGCGACACCAGTTGGCTGAGCTACCTTGGCGGGTTGAGCGCGCGGGCTACTCACGCGAGAACGCGGTCTCCGCCTGGGCGTACACCGTCTCGTTCTCCAGCTCAGCGTCGGCCCAGGCCACGCCGAGCCTGTAGGTGGTGCAGGCGCTCAGGTTGGCGAACGTGTGGTTCAGCCGCGCAGTGGTGTAGTTCTGCAGCAACGCCTCCTCGGCGTACAGGCTCACGATGAAGTCCGTGTCGCTGGGTCCGGACACATTCCAGATGAGCGTCAACGAGCTGGCCGTCAGATTGACCACGCTCACGCTCTCCACGACCGTGTCTGTAAGTCGACACTCGCGTTGGTGGCAACCCACCTAGCTCCGACAGCTCCGCGCGCCACCGGATAGTTAGTTACCAATCTGGTTAGCCAAGTCGTCGAAGGTAGCAGGCGTTGAGTAAGCGTGCAGGTGGTTGTCGTCGCGATCGGAAGCCTTGGTGCTGCGATCCAGCAGCGAAGTGAAGTCGAGGGAAGGCGAACCGGTGGCGGCGGTCGGGCCGACGAGGTCGTCGCCGCCGCCCGGGTCGCCGTCGCCGAACACGCAGAACATCTGCAGCACGTGAAGCAGCAGCTGCAGGCGCCTCCGCGGCATCATGTCGCTGCTGCCGATCGTGGGTACCTTCAAGCAGAGTCAGATGTCGATCGTAATCACGCGCGCTCTATCGATTTCTCGGTAGCGATAGCGTAGCCGCGTTAACTGGAATCAACCGCGATAAGTGCAGAGAGCGCGCGTCTGCCTCCGAATTCCACGGGTCGAGGCGAGCAAACGAAGCAAGCGACGGATGGCGATCGAGCGCTGCCTCGGCGACCTCGGCGCAGTTTCGAACAGCGGCATTCATCGTTCTTCGTGCGGTGCGCGCGCGAACTCTTACAGCTGTATCGCGCGCGCCGCGTGTATCGCTGACGCCCAGCTTCGAGCTCTCGGACTCCCGCACTCGCGCTGATTTCTTGCTCCTCTCTCTCTCTCTCTCTCGTGCTTGTCGCGCACACACACGGACGAATTCGCGAACGCGGTAGCTGCACGGGCGAGCCGCGCGTGCGATAACGCCGATGCGTCCGGAGCACACTGAGAGCGCGGGCGGCCGACTTCCTGCCTCGGGGGGGCTTTTTCGCTGGCGGTGATAGCGGCTGATAATAGCCGCGCCGAAGAGAGCGGTGGGCGATCGGCCGCGCCGATTGGAACGACTCACCGTTCCGCTCGCCCAATCGATCGCGATATCCGCCGCCGCCGCTGTCGCCGCGAACAATAGCGTAAACAAAGCCGCGCAACTCATCTTCATGCGATCCGTTTTTGCGGAGCTTACTTACCTGTGATGAACAAGCGATTTGGCTCTCGGCTCCTTTTTTCTTTTTTAACGAACAAACATTGTGCACAATGGCGGGACAGCTCACTATGTGCACCCCCGCGACTATGTGCACACACGCGATGCGAAGACTGCCGTGCGATGCGATCCAACGACGCCTCGACTCTCACTCTCTCCTTCCTCTCCCTCTGCTTCTCGACAAGCTAGCACAGATGGCCCTATGCAGCCTCCGGTTCTTTCTTTCTTTCTTTCTCTTTCTCCCTCCTACTTCCCTCTCCTCGCGCTCGTCTCGCCTGAGCCTCAAGGCCCAACCCTGTGAGCTACAATATGTACTCCTACGCGGATCGCCAACACGTGCACCTATTTCTATTTCTCTTTCTTTCTTTCTCGGACAACACATATGCGCTTGTGTCATTGCAGTTCTCGAAACACAATAATAATCTCGAAAACTTAAGCTAGCGATTTTTTTACTTTTTTTTTATTTTGCGTACTCGTGGTAACGTGAAGTCGAGAAATAAGTACAAAGCGACATTCTGTGAATATGCTGATGTTTTGCGCTTTATTTCAGTTCAATAAAAGAACATCTATCAATTAAAAATAGCGTTTTAATAAAGTCTTTGCGGCGTTCCCATCGAAGATTTAATGTGCAAGGATCTGACGTTTTGCCAGTGCTTTTTCAGTAGGGACACCAAAAAGTTGATTGACAGGTGAACGTTTTGAACCAATTCGTCGGGAGACATCCCAACGTGTCCTACGGCTACGGACAAGCACAATACCTGCGCAAAAATACGTGATCATTTGTATCATTTTGCCATTATTATTGAAATATCGTAGTTGAACAATTTACCTTTTTCATCTGGAATTTGATTGTGGCTTTAACTTCATCAATTTTCGCAATCATAGATTCTTGATGAGAAAGAAGACCAGGGAATTTACCAGCCTTGTTTAGACCAGGGCCCAATAAACGCGGAATTTGTTTGATCAATGACTCACTGGCCAGGAAAGCGTCGTATTTCTTGGCTGTAAATTGGTAAATAGTACATTTCTATTCTAGTACAAGAAAGTAATTTCAGCCTTGTGTGGCCTCTTCACTGGTGCTTTGAATTGGCTCAAATGTCTACACGAGAATAAAATTATTTTCTTGCACTAGTATCAAAATGTATTATAAACAGTAATCAAAATATACCATACACACTTGGACATTACTTAAAAATTAAAAAGGAAATAACAAAGATTTTTGTCTCTTTGTGGATTGAGGTACAAAATGATAAACATATTGCCCTCACCTTTGACAACCTTTGTTACATGGTAATAACATAACTCAAGTGCTTTTAGGAAGGCAGGATATAATATCTAAATTTAATACATACCTAATTTTTTAACAAGCTTTTTGTTCTTGTTCAACTTCTTCAAAGCTTCAGCATCCATGAAAGGAACATTATTAGCTTTAGCTTCGTCACAATGCTGCTGATCTCCAAGGATACATACTTGCATCTTGGGCTTTGGAATATTCTTTAGTCTGTAAAGTTTCAATGAAATTTAATGATTTTGTTAGAGGTGAAAGTACAATCTAATTCGATCTATTGAAATTCTCTCAGCTATAGATATTTCAACATATATTTTTCTGTTAATACATGCAATTTAATTTCACCATCATTGAGAAATAAAAAGAATATATAACTAACTAATATAATGTTCGAATTAGTGCACAACCAATGACTAGTATTTAATTTTTTTATACAATTAAAAAGAATATAAAGAAACTTTGCCAGGAATAACTTACCAGCAGGATCACATTATTGTGATCCTGTTATTTTTATAAAAAGTTCGGTTAAATAACCTCCCCAATTTATTTAAGACCCTGGGTGCAGGTCCGCTAAGAAAAACTTAGCTTCCTGGCATACGGAGTGACTCTGTTTGATATATATTACTTTATAATTAATCAACTTATTTTGGAAAACTAAATGCAAAAATCAAAAAGAGTACTCCGAAGCAGGTAAAAACATACTTGACGGTGCCCGAGAAACGCTTGTCCTTCGAGGGATCATAGTTCTTCAGTCCAATTTGAAGTTCCACAGTTTCTACAAATTTCCTTTTTTTCTCTTCTGCGCCCTGAATAACGCCATTGACGCATTCATATAAGGTGTCACGGGAGACTTTGGATCTAAAAAATATCCAAGTTTATTCTAATTAATGAATCTTTCCTTCACATTGACTATTAAATGAAATGTGACTGACACTAGATTAAAATCACTTGTAAGTTTTAGACTATTACTCTATTACTGTTTAAAGCAAATAATTGGTTTTAAACCATTTTAAATGAAATTTAAGGCTAGTGATTGAAATTTTTTTTGTTACAAATTAAATTTAACTTGCAATATTTGTTTGTAATCAAATTGATCTCTTGTCTTGTAGTTTTTATAAAGAAGCAAATCAAGTTGAATTGGTGAAAATTTATGAAAATATTGTTGAAGTCGGAAAAAGCAGGAAACAATTATGCACGAAATGTGATAATAATTGTAATTATAATTATGATTGCAATAAAATAAATGGATTTACTCACGTCATTTTTCTGGCAATACGTATGCACGATTCAACGACTTTAATCGGAAAGAGCAGCAGCCTAGACTTGCTCTGCTACACTAGCGCCAAAATCTAGGGATTTATCAGAAAATAGGGATCCTATAAGTTAGTTTACGAATATTAATATGATTTACAGTTAATGGTTTATCTGAAAAAAAAATTTTGCAAATAAACTTATAGCAAAAATTTTATAAATTTAGGTTATTAATATTTTACTTATGAAATGAAAATAATGATGCACTCTAGGGTAATAATTAATATCAGAAATTATTTGAATATCTACTGTCGATAAATGAAAAGAAATGAAATCGTGCAAATGCCAAATTTCAGTAAACGAACGCCCTCATACCAAACATTCGACAACGACAATCGTCATCGTAGCATCATTGCGGCAGGCTGCAGGTTGGTTATCAAGTTTAAACGTGATTTGTTTAAATTCGAATAAATAGACTTGAAAGTTAGTTAAACAAAGTAAAATTTCCATTGTCTATATATAAGAATTCAATCATAAATCATCAAAGATGTCGATTGGAGTACCAATAAAAGTTTTGCACGAAGCCGAGGGACACATCATAACCTGCGAAACCATTACCGGCGAAGTTTATCGCGGTAAATTAATCGAGGCAGAAGATAATATGAACTGTCAAATGCAAAATATCACAGTCACCTACAGAGATGGACGCGTCGCGCAATTGGAAAATGTTTACGTGCGAGGCTCTAAAATTAGATTCCTCATTTTGCCAGACATGTTGAAAAATGCTCCAATGTTTAAGAGGCCTGGCGGCAAAGGCTCTGGGTCAGCTGGTAGAGGCAAATCTGCTATTTTGCGAGCACAAGGTTAGTAGATTATATACTCTACACTTTAATTGGTTAATTTTTTATTATTGTCCTATTTTTCTTTTTCAATGCAGCAAGAGGCAGAGGACGAGGACAGAACCAACGAGGAAGAGGTACTGGTTCGGCTCCTTGGCTCAACCAGCAAAATCAAGCTGGTGGAGCTCAACCAGGTAGAGGAAAAAGCTAATTCTAGTGAAATCAGGAAAGGTCATGACCAAAAATGATCAACTGAAACTATGTTTAATAACTCAAATTTAATTATAATATTTTTTTAATTGTAAGTCTGATATAACATTGAATCAGTGCGATATTTCTATAGATTATTCCTACATCAATAAATAACTTAAATAACTATAAAATTATTATTATTCCTTCTATTTTTATTATTACTTTAAAAAAAAATTCATTTTATAAAGTAATTTGATCACATATGATCAAATGAGATAAAAGATTAATTGGTTGCTATTTCACAGTGTACTGCATGAAAGCTTGAATTATGAAGTATTTATTTTTAAATAAGTGATTGTGGCAAAACAATGTTGTATTTCCTATCTTAGAAAAATGATGAGTCGCTGAAATCCAGGGTTGTCATTGGTTGATAAAAAAAAATTCAGAAATTATGAATTTTTCTATATTTTTAAAATATTTTTATTATATATCTAGGAGTATGACATTTATATTTCAGCAGTAAAATTAGTTTATGAATAATTAACATGGAATAATCTGTAAGAATGGAAATATGTCGTTAATAAATCTTTTTGAGTACATAAGACATTATATTTTGAAATTATCAGTACAAATTGTTAATTTTATAACCATCTGTGATACTGAAATTAATATGGTCGTTTTAAAATTTGGTAGAAAGAAAAAGAAAACGAATAGAATAAAATAGACAAAATTACATTTTTACCTTCGGTACTTTGTAAATTAAGAAGTATGCGAGTAATGGAAACTAATTATCAGAATATTAGACCTGTTAAATTTGAAGAATATTCGCCGGTGCTTTTATAGAGGCAACAAAAAGTAAAGGATATTAAATATATTACTCATACTAATATAAGATTGGAGCCATAATCTCTACTATTGAGTATGTAAAGTTTAGTGTTGTATAATAATATAATTTATTGATCATGCGTTGAATTAATTTTTTGGGTAATTTTTCCAATGTATTTTGAAATGAGTAAACATTTATTCATTTTTGTGAAAAAATAGGTGCATGTTCTATTTTTATTCATAAAATACATTATTGTAGTAATGTATTTTAAACAACATGATTTACTCGTACTCATTAGAATCTCTAAATTGGCACGTAAAAGATTCAAATAATGTAATAAATAACAGAAAAACTTAAAAAGAAGAACACTGAAAAATAACACTAATAATTTCAAATGAATGAATTATATTTGTACAATCAAAGATAATTCATAAAATAACAACTAAAACATTATCTTTATCCTAAGATTACATTTCAAGTTACTTAGCATATAGTATAGTTTGATTTAAGAAATAAAAAGAATGAAATTCAATTCAATACATTAAACTCGCTTACAGTACGTTAACTTACACCTAACTTTACTAGATGGCGGTAATCTCTTGCAGCACAGTTTCAGTTTCAGTTTACTAGATGGCGGTGGGTCTCCTCTTGCAGCACGCTAAAACGCATGCGTTGTTCAGCAATGACCGGGTTCAGTTCAGTAATGGGCATCCTTGGCGGCGCAAATGACGTCCAGTTGATGGTCATTTTTCTATGAATTGACGCTTGCAATTGACAGCGGCCCCTTGTTGGCCTCGTTATTAATGTGAATAATAATAAGTATATAGCTTTATAATAACAAAAGTTGAAACAAGAACACCGTTGAAAAGTGCTCGATTGAGTTTGTGAAATTAGCGAATTAATAGATTGACAATATTTAGGGACTTGGCAACCACTGACACTCTTGGCATCACTTTGCAATCGCCCATAGTCACAGTTAATTTTTTTTTTCGCGGCAAGTGCAAATGACCGCAGTTACAAGGTATATAACACAAACTTTAATCGTCTATCCCTCCTCATAAACAGTTCATAAAATAAAATTTCTCGGTATAGTCAACATAGCAACTTCTGTATGCACTGTGTGCATCAACTACGAGATTATTTTTTTCTTTTTCTTTTTTCTCGTTTTACATCCAGGTGACGACCTGTCTAAGAACTGATCGCCAATATCGCCATTCGGGTGGCATTCACTAATAGATGTTATGAAGGTCGTCCAGTCGACCAGAGTTCGCGTCAACGTCGGCTTTTAACAGTACACCTGGCTACATTTGGCATTTTCTTGCCAAGCGATGCCTAAAATGTAGGCCGTCATTTTCTTGGTTATAACGGGCTTCGCGCGATTACTACTCATACGGCTCTCTCTCGACAACTAATAAAAGTTGCTTTGCTGAAATTTTGGCGAAAGTACTTATCTTGTACGCAATCTTCACTTCCATTACTCCTTCCTATCAATTTTGATATTTTTTTCCAACCTTTGTATATTCTAGCGATTGATAATTCTTTTGTGCCATTCGTTGTTTATTTCTGGTCAGTTGTTTTTTTTTTCTTTTTACTAGTTAATGCATATTTTTTTATTGAAATGTTTTCTATCTTAGATATTTGATATATAAAATCTTAACAAAATCTTCATATTTATTTATATTTCAGATGAATACTGTTTGCATTTTGGTCATTGACTACTGCTTACAAGTCATTCCACTAACTCAACAATCATTTGCTTAAATTAAACATATAAGTAAGTTTAGACAATGTGATTTTTTTTCAAAGCTTTATATTATCCTAATTTTATGCAATTACCAATAACATCTGTATGATGTAGGTAAAAAGATTACTTTGGGGAAATAACTAGAGTCATCATGGCAACAAAACTGAGGTAAATATACATTTATAGTAAATGTAAACATGCGCTTTTTCTTTCGTCGACTTGTACTTTTCATTTATGTATGTATATAATACTCAAAAGTAATTATCTGTTTGTAAAATAATTCTACCATACATGTCTATCCAAAAGTCTTTTTAAAAGAACTGGATAAAGAATATTTTATTTTTTTCTCAGTTTAATTAAGTTAATATTCATGCATATTGTCTTAAGCTCTTAAATTGAATTTATTAACCAGTTTTATTTAACATTTTTAATTCCACAAACATTTTGTCCTTGGCGTTAAGAAAAATGTCAAACTTTTTTTTTCTTGAATCTTGTAGTCTTGACAGTTCCTATTGATTGTCAAGCAAATAATTGGCTATATATATATATCTGCATATATATAAAATATAAATCAATTATTTGATACTAAACTTACCACTTCGTCAAGATAGCTAGTTACAAGACAGATTTCAGGACACTAGAAAATCACAGATACTGGAATTTAAAGTTGTGCAATTGAACAGCGAATAGAAAATATGCATGATTACAGAAAAAAACAAGATGCTTCTGATAAAATAAAGTATCTTGGACATTGATACTTTGTTTCAGAAAAACTAAAAGAGCAAAAATGGCTGAAAGTAATAGTGATGACAGTGACTCTGATAGTGGAATGAGAAAATCAACTTACATAAATAAACAGAAGAATAAATACCAAAAAACTATAACTAAGTTATGTGATGATGAAAGCAGTGATGATAAGGGAAGTGAAACATTCTACAAAAGTCGCACACTCATTTTATCTAAAAATAATGCTACCAATTCAAATTTCACAATAAAAGTAGATTCATCCCATTCCTCTACTTCAGATTCATATAGCTCTAAGATGTCCAAACATAATAAAAAAAGCACAAATAAAAGAAAAATAAAAATTATATCTTCAGAATCTAGTTCAGAATTAGATTTAGCAGAGGCCAAAAGTTCAAGAAAACTCATGAAGTCTTGTGAAACAAAAAGGAATTTCTCTAAAATTAAGAATAAAAGCAGGGATGAAATTTCAATGCATTGTAGTGATTTAAATTCATCTAAAGAATTTCAAGATACAAGATTAAAAAGAAAAAAGACTTTTCAAGAAAGTTTTCAATTAAATAATGTTGATGACTATTCAAATGTAACTACTCCATGTAGGGTAGATGAAGAAAATATAACTGTGGAAACAGCACAAGAGATATCCTTTAAGTATTATGTTGTTCAGGAATTAAAGAAATTTCAAAAAGTAAATAGTCAATTACATGATGATTTAAAATGTTGTAATGATTACTTGTTGAAAAAGAAAATTAGCTCAATTCAGGATGCAAAATTTTTTATACATAAAATTTTAAAATTTTACGAGGATACTCTTAAACAATGTCAGAAAAACAGACAAGAATTTGTAAAAATTTATGAAACTTGGACGAATGATCTTGTCAATAAATCAGAAGATACAAAAACGAAAAAACGTTTCAATTTATCATCTGATTCTTCAGACGATACTTTGGAACGGTCTCTTGTGAAAGAAGTGCTTGTAAATAAGCTCACAGAGAATAAAGAGTCTGCTGAAAACGTGTCAAAGCAAAAAATAAATGATAAATCAAACATAGATGAAGCTTCTTCTAATAACGTTTCAATTGACTCAAAATTATGCAAGTTCCAATTAAAAGTTCAAGGAGATTTGTCAGTGGAGCAAGAATCCAATAAAAGTGATAAATCTACAGGTGGAGACAAACGACTGTCGCTTGAAGACAGTGATAAATCAACATTGAAGGAGAAGAAAAAGAGTGAACTCCAGGTAAATGATACATTAGTTTCCAACAATGAGAAATCAGATCATTCATCAGTAAATTCTTCAGAAGAATCAGAAAACGTTTCTCTAATGCAAGGTTCAGATTATGATAGTGATTTGATATTTTCCTCTGAAGAATCAAAGTCAAAAAAGAAAACTAACAAGGGAAGAGAGATTGTCAAGAAGAAGAACACGGAAAAATTAACAGCAACAGCAGTAGCAGTAGCTAAAGAACTAGCAACAACAGTAGTAACAGTAGCCAAAGAACCAGCAGCAACAGCAGTAGCAGTAGCGGAAGAACCAGCAGCCATTCAGTCATCTGACTCCGACGATTTGTTCGATACTTCGACCTGTGAAATTACAAGTACTCCAGTGCACCGAAAGTCGGTAGCTGTAACTGGTACGTCGGTGGATAGCGATGGCGAATGCATTGACAAGATGCTGAAAATAACGGAGGAAGAAAAGTTATCATCAGCATTAACACCTGCGGCAACGGCTGCATCGAATAAATCAAGCAATGTGATAGACCTGAAGGAGCAAGAAGCTTTGGAGACGCTGTTGAACAACGACGATGATTCGGACGGCAATGCCGATTCGGAACCCGAAGAAGACTCTAACGAAATGGTGGAGATGTTAACGGCAGCAGCCAAAACTTCAAAGACGGCAGTCCGCGAAAAAAAGAAACTTTTCACCAAGCAGACTAAAAAACGCAGTTCCGTTTGTTCTGATAGTTCGTCGTCGGACGATGGAGAAGAGGTGAGGTCGACGAGGCGAAGTCGCAACAAGTTGGTCGACGGGGCGGCAGCCTTGAGAACGGCCACGCTGCCGCGAAGAAAAATGGACAAGTTTGAGCTGCGCAACAACCGGTATTATCTAGCAGACGAAAAGCTTCGTCGAAAATGTCGAGTCAAGCTGGAACGATTGCCCGAGAGCGAGTTAGCTAAGTACGCCAGAGCCTTGGAAAAATCGAAAAAACACGTTGAGCATAAAAAAATCCAAAGGTACTTAGATCGCGATTTCAAAAAAAATATTTTTCAATTACAGCTCTAATCGTTCATTCCCGCGCGTCTGTCATGCTCACTACTCATCGCACCTACTTCTATCTATACCTTTTTCTTCCATTTCTGAGAATTTTCCTATTTCTTTTACTAGTTTTTTTATTGAACTTTGAATATTGATGACTACAACTTAAGCTAAAATGTGATATCCTACCATATCGACACATTATTTAAAATAATCTGTCATCACCATTATTAAGAAAAATCCCATGTTTGCTCTGATAAATATACACAAATAAACTGTTTTTTGAGATACTTGAAAATAACATTGTTACTTATTTACTGCACCCTTTTCAGCCTCGCAAATTTAGACAATTTAGAGTCGCAAAAAAACTCGAAGAAAAACTTGGAAGCTAATGAATCTTCCGAGCTTAATGCTGATAATGTTAAACAGACCTCGAAAAACAAGAAGTTAAAAGAGGATGCAAAGTTATCCGTCGCCGATTTTCTAAATAAAACGGTTCAACCTGAGAGCAACGAATCGTCAAATGAAATAGATGATACCGAAAGTCAAAACGCTCTTGCACCTGTCGATACATCTTTTGATCAGAGTTCCAGTATTGATGCTGAGATCAAAGCAAAAGAAGCTTTGCTTCGCAGTAGCTCTTCTTCTAGTATTGGTAAGCTTTGTATTTTTTTCTTTAAATTAAAAATGCGGTTATTCATCTGTCATCGAATTTAGTAATTGTGTCTTGAATCTGTCATTTAATTGCATTAATTTGCAAATTCAGATATAATTGAAGATGAAATGTCTGTCGATGGTAATTGTAAGAAACAAAAAACGGATCATGCTAATGATAACAATAAGGCTAGTCCCTCAAACGATGATAATGATGAAAAAGATATTGATCAGAAGCAAGGTATGAGTTCTTGGAAAAAGGATAAGTTGTTGACCTTTAAATTGGATGGTAGTGAAACAGAAGAAGAGCAATTTAGTAAATCTCAAGAAAAGAAGAAAGCAAAACAGTTGGAAACTGAAAATGATAAAAGGTAAAGTAATATTTTCCTTTGATTAACCATTCTCGAATTTTTTTATAAAATTCTTTTTTTTTTAGTCAAGAACCATCAAGTCTATGTAAAAAAGTAAAAAGTCCGAGAAAAACACGAAAAACTAGACGAATTTTAGATTCAGATTCTGATGTAAAATCGATTTCCGAAGATCAAAATGAAAATTCTTTTGATGAAGAATCTAATCAAGAAGAAAAGAAGAACAATAATAAAAAGAAGCGGCAACGTTCTTCGCAATCTTCAGACTCTGAGTCTTCGTCTAGCAAAAAGAAGTTTGTATAACATCGATTTCGTTAATTTTTTTAAACATAATATGCAGTTGAAAGTTCATTTGTAAATGTGCTTTAGGCAAAAGGCCAAAAGAAGAAGGATAAAAAAAGTGGCAAGTGACAGTGACAGCGACGATAAAGATTCACCAGGAAAAGGTAGAAAAAATATTCGTAGAGTTTTAAAAGATAAGTATGTCACAGATGATACGAAGAAAGCTGCACAAGACGAAGAAGAACGTTTGAAACGTATTGCTGAACGTCAAAAATTGGTACGCTAGAACTTGTAAACTACGCGCTTACATAATATATCCAAACATTGAAAACAATTTAAAACTTTATTTTTACGAACAGTTTAACGAAATGTATGAAATACGACTAGCTGGAGAAGAAAAAGTCGATAAATTAGTGTTGGATATAGACAAAGAAACTAAAGAAGAATTGGTTGTTGTGGATAATGAATTAGCTAAACGATTGAAGCCTCATCAAGCTCGAGGTATCAAGTTTATGTGGGATGCATGTTTCGAGTCTATTGAGCAAATAAAGAAATCAGATGGCTCTGGGTGTATTGTTGCTCACTGTATGGGTCTTGGAAAAACTTTCCAAGTGGTCACTTTAGCTCATACATTACTCTCTAACGAGAAAACAGGTGTTAAAACGGTTATGGTTGTATGTCCTTTGAGTACTGTATTGAATTGGGTTAATGAATTCAATATCTGGCTGAAACATGTAAACAATCGTGATGACATAGAAATTCATGAAATGACAAAGTAAATATTTTATCGCTCTTTTACTTTCTACATTAACGATTGTCATATTTTATCACAATTTCTTTTTACCTTCCAGGCTGAAGAAGAACATTGAAAGAAAGCATAAGCTAGAAAGTTGGCAGAAATATGGAGGCATTTTAATCATTGGTTATGAAATGTTTCGTAATTTAACAAGCACAGGCAAAAAACTTCGAAAAAATATGCAAGAATCTATTATGAAATCGCTAGTTGATCCCGGTGCTGATCTCGTCGTTTGTGATGAAGGTCACTTGTTGAAGAATGAAGATTCAGCGCTTAGTAAAGCTATGAAACTTGTAAAAACTATGAGAAGAGTTATCTTGACTGGAACACCTCTCCAAAATAATCTGAAAGAATGTATGAAATCTTTAATTAGTTTCTGTTGCATTACTTGCCATTTGCGTCTAAACAGTATATGATTTGACAACTTTATTTTCATTTTCAGATCACTGTATGGTTCAGTTCGTGAAACCTAATTTGCTGGGTACGAAGAAAGAGTTTTTAAACAGATTTGTAAATCCTATTACAAATGGTCAGTTCGACGATTCAACGCCATATGATGTGAAATTGATGAAAAAGAGAGCTCATGTTCTTCATAAAATGTTGGAAGGCAGCGTCCAAAGATTCGATTATTCCGTACTCACGCCGTTCTTACCACCTAAACAAGAATATGTAATATTTGTTAGGCTCACAGAAGTGCAAAAAAAATTGTACCAACATTACCTAGATAACTTCGCTAGGTATTAATTTCTAATAATTCTTAATCAACTAAAATATGATCAAATTCATTAATAAATTTTATTTATATACTTGTAGACGATTAGGTGGACGCAACGTTACTTTATTTGCCGATTTTCAAGCACTTCAGCGAATATGGACACATCCGTACGTTCTGCGATTGAACGCTGAGAAAATTGAGAAAGCCAACGAGAAAAAGAGACTGGAGGCCAGTGATTCTGAAGGCTCGCTGAAAGATTTTATCGATGATGATAGTACATCAGTCAGCGAATCTAGCTCAAATTCATCGAATGTCAGTGATAGTGACGTCGAATGTCTAGATTCGGATAGCGAGAAAGTAGGCGCGGCTAAGAAACGCGGCACCAGAGCTAATCCAATAGGTAAGTTTCTTTGGATACGTATAATTTATTATTTTATGTTCACTTATTTTTTCGAACCATATTACAGCGGAGAAAGTTGCGGAACCAGTTGAAGAAATAGTTGAAGAAGCAGCCTGGTGGTCAGAGTTTATTAATGAGGAACAATTTAATGATTTAAGAATATCAACCAAACTCATGCTTCTTTTTGCCATTTTGAAAGAATCCGAAAGTATTGGTGATAAAGTGTGAGTTAATATTCGAATACTAGAGTACTTGAACAAAAAAAAATTATATAATTAATTTATGACGATAGGATTGTGAGTTAATAGCTAAATTAATTTTGACTTATATTTTTAGGCTTGTTTTCTCTCAATCTCTTTATTCATTGACACTGATCGAGCACTTTTTAAATCTCATGGATGAACAAAGCCAAAAAAATACGGATGTGGAACACTTGAATGGTCACGCCGGTTCTTGGGCTCTTGGCGTGGATTATTTTAGACTCGATGGTTCGACTTCCGCTGAAAATCGTAGTATATGGTCTAAGATATTCAATAATCCAAAGAATACACAAGCTCGACTTTTCTTGATTTCTACTAGAGCTGGTGGACTCGGTATTAATCTTATTGGAGCTAACAGGGTTATCATTTTCGATGCTAGTTGGAATCCATCTCATGATGTACAAAGTATATTCAGAATATACAGGTAAGTGCTGCTATTTTACAATTATAGGAAAAAACAATATTGTCTATAGTATTCCATAACTTATTTTTGTTATTTATTAGATTTGGGCAAAAGAAGCCTTGCTATGTTTATCGTTTTCTTGCTGCTGGGACAATGGAAGAGAAAATCTATAATCGACAAGTAACAAAGTTATCTCTTGCTTGTCGCGTCGTTGATGAGCAGCAAATTGAAAGGCACTACAGCAATACAGATCTGGCAGAATTATATCAGTTTGATACTTGCGAAGATCAATCCGAAACTCTAAGTTTGCCCAAAGATCGTTTGCTTGCTGAAATCTTTAGCAAGTATAAAGATCTTATTGTCAAATGTCACGAGCATGATTCTCTTCTTGAAAATAAGGTATTTATAGCAGTTCATAATGTTTCGACAATTGTGAATTGAACAATCGTTGTGAAGTTGATCTCTTGTATTTCACTTTTGTATATTGTCATTTATAGGAAGATGAGGAATTAGACGAGGAAGAGCGAAAGCAAGCATGGGCTGAATACGAAGAAGAAAAGAAAGGAATTCGCCAACAGGGTTATAATAATACTATGGGAAATAATTACGCTTTCAATCAAATGTTAATGAGCATGAATGTCATGCCAGAGTTCCAAGGTGTGAAGGCGTTACTTCAGAAAGATGTAAGCTATATAATACTTTTCTGTACTACTTTGACTCGGCAACCTAAAGTTATTTTTATTTTTTCAGTATCCCGATGTACCACCTGATCATCTCGATGTTTTGGCACGAAAAGCTATGTTTGATATGTATCGACAAATTGACCAACATGCGACTCTTAATTCGCTGAATAATTTTAGAGATTCACTCGTACCATCGCAAAATGCCATGGTTAATCCAACTATTGTAATTTAATTAAAATTTTAAAAACTTCTTACATTTAACATAATTTTTCAATATTAATAATAATTGATGTACTTTTAGCAAGGAGAAATATTTCGCCAACAAAACCTTATGATGAATCAACCACAACCGAATTATTATAACGTGAATCAAATGCCTGTTTATTCTGGCAGAGGGCGACCACCTAAATTCACATCAGTTAACAATGAGATCGTAACTAATCCCATCTTTTTCAGTAATGCACAGACAATGCAATCGCTACAGTCAGTTCCTAATGACAATGAAGTACAGGTAACTCATTATTACTGTTATAGTGGTTATAGAAGTATTATAATAATTATTTGTAAAATGTCTCTTTTCCAGGTTCTCAATGATATACTAACAACACCATCCAACCAACAAACACCTTCCAATACGAATGAGAAATAAATGTAATCTAATTTAATTAGTAGTTTTTACAATTATTTTTTCAAAGCTTCAAATTATAGCTTTGTACATAGCAGCAAATATTCGTAGGTGAAATATGATAAGTTGTTTTTTTGTGTTATAGTTTGATATTAAATAGGTTCTTTGTCAAATATTAGATTGAAAATTGTTTTAAAAAATACGAAAAACATACTGATACTTACAATAAGGAAAGTTCTTATGTGAATGTGATAGCAATTTAACGCTCAATATTTACTTGAACTTGTAAATATAACAGTTTTATTATTTTAACTGAGTTAGAATATTATTTTGTAAATCCAAAATTTATATAGTGAAATTATGTTTGATTATCTCATTGTAGATCACTGTAAGGTTAAATGTAGTTTCAGTAAGTTAATAATAGTTTTTGTAAAATTATCAATGGGTTGTCATTTAATTTATAAAATAAACAAAGCATGTGACTCTTCATATAAATTAATATAAAAATTAGAAAATACAGTTGTGTTCTTTATGATCCATTAAGCCCAGCTTCATATTGAATATTGCATATTAATATTAAATATAGTTATATTCAATATTGTCTTAAAGATGATTTCGAATGAATTGTTAACTAAATTGATTTCATTCAATTATGTTTACATACAAGAAAAAAGTGTTAATTTTCGCATGCGAAAAAAGTAAAGCAGACTTCGCACGCGAGCTCTGTTGGGAAATTTTTTTTCGCGGGAGAAATAAATGTTTTTTTTTTTGGAGAAAAAGGTCTTGTATCTTCGAAGGATAAGTGAACTTTCACGTGCGATTCGTCACCTGCTAAACAGTCTCAAATTAAAATTAAAATTTAACATGAAAGTTACAATTTGATAGTACTGACATCTTTGTTATTCAAAATAATAACCTCAAACTTTATACATTACAAACTTGTGCAAGGTTTGGGAGATTCTGTCAAAAAGTTTCCAACAGTTGACAAAATCGCCCAATACTGAACTTGTGGTATCCGCAGTCCGGATTGTCGTAATTTTATTTATGATCATGGTATTTAAAGAAAAATATTTCTCTTTTTAAATACAGATTTAAATAATACCGTAGTGGTACAAGTATGCACATTTTAGCAGTATGATTAAGGATTCATCAGTAGTTGTAACCGATAAGTTTACAAATGCTTATGTAAAATGTATCAAAGATGTGGTCCAAAAACTGGATAAAATTACATCTGAAGTAAATAGCAATATAAACTCTATATTACAATCTGTCAAGAATAATATAAAGATTGTTAGTGATGCTCAAAAAACTACTGAACAGATTTTATGCCTCCTTGAGAGCACGCAAGAAAGTTTTAATTTAGTTAAATTTAGTTTTGTGAGTTCGTATCATATGTGGTTGAAGAATATTTCATCTGAAAATCAAACTAAGACCAATAATATAGAACCAAATTCAAATTGTCATAATTTAGGTACAAATCAAAATGAGAATATTATAGATCTTGCGGATCCAAATATAGTAGAAGTACAAATTATTGAAGATACAGACCCACCTGATGTGCAAATTGTAAATGAAATCAGATATATTAGACGTTGTAAAGCTCATCATACTCTAGATAATAAACAAAAAGATAAACAACAAGACATCATTCATTCATCTTATTCTCAGCTTAGTACAAACAACAGAAAAAATAGTATCCTTGATACACAGAATGATTCAGTACCAGTAGATCAAAATGATTCTTTAATGGAAGTCAGTTTTGATTCTGTAACCAATAACATAGAGCAATTTGATACAAATAAAACGTATTGTCATTTTATAAAATTAGATTCAAATAAAAATGAGAAAAATCAAGATAACCTGAATATTGAATACAATAAAGAAAATAACTTAAACAATTCTGAATTATCCAGTGACAATCCAGGTCAAGTAATTTTAATAGAAAAACCACAAAACCAATCTGCCAAATCTATTGATAATCAAGATTATGTTGTTTTAAAGAAAGAACAAATTCAAGAAATCACTGATATCCCTTTAACAAATTTGAGAATAAAATTTTCTGATTATTCAGATGAAAAATTACACTTAAGATGCTTTGTTAATTTAGAACAAAATTTAAAAACATTCACAAGTTATGAAAAAAGGATGGAATGTACATTGAAGGATGATGCATTTCTGAGGTACTCTTGTAGTTAATATTTTATAAATATTTCAAATCTTATTTGATTAAATCTTATTTGATTAAAATCATATAATTTTACATTTTCATAGATTAATAGATTTGAGTAGTTTAGAAAAGAAAATAAATAAAAGACGTTACTCATCTTCCAATGATTTGTCTAACCCAACTATCAGTAGTAGTCTTCATTCATTGACAAAAACAAAATGTAAAAAGCAAAAAGTTTGTTCAGATGACAGTGATGTAATGAGCTTTTCTGAATTATCCAGCAGTGATACTGATGGTGATTTGAATTATGAAAACAGTGATACTGATGATGATTTGAATTATGAAAACAGTGATACTGATGATGATTTGAATTATAAAAACAGTGATACTGATGATGATTTGAACAATGAAAACGAGAAATGCTATAAACCAACATTTGAAAAATTAGATATAAATGAAGAAGATGCAAGATTAGTGTTGCTAAATGGTAAATTTTTTAAAATTATGTTTGACATTTATTTATGATAATATGTAATTTTTAGATAGTGATACATCAGATTACTCTGATGTAACAATAGACAATGGTGAGGATGAAAGTGACAATTCAAGAAAGAAAAGGAAACTAACGAAGACGAAATCATTGCACTTTAAGAACTCTGACAAAAAAAATTTTAGTAGATCAGCGTGGTTAAACGATGAACTATTAAAATTCAAATTACCTGATGACAAAAATCACGAAAAAACAAGTTTCAAAGATGTCAGGTAAAAACTACTTCTAGAGTTATATTTATTCCTAGCTTCCTAAATGAATTAATTTTTTTTTCCAACGTTAGTGATTTTAGATCTACCAGTGATAATGATATGGAGAATAGAAAAACTGAAAGTGTTGAAAGCCTTTCATCAACTGATTCTGAAGAGACCGAAAGTCATTCTGAAGATAAAAGTAATGAAGATATAAATATGTAAATTAATTTTTTCATAAATTTCGTTCTATATTTCCAACTAATACTTAATTATTAATATTTTAACAATCTTCAAACTAGTATTAGTATTGTATCAGCTAATAGTAAGACACCCGGTCGTCGTAATATTCGGAAAGTGCTGGATGATCAACACATTACTGAGATTACAAGACAGGCAGTTAAGAATGAGGAAAATCGCATTCAAAGATTGGCAGAACGCAAAACTCAGGTACGGTCTAATAATAATTATGCTTAAGGATTGTAAAACAATTAATTTAAACGATATTAAAACATACACTATGTAAACTTTGTAGCTACATTCATTAGTGAAATCTAAAGAAAGTTCAAATGCTGACAGCTTGACCTTAGATTTCGATTTTGAAATGAAAAAAAAACTTGTAGAAGTCGACAGAGGCTTAGTTAAACTTTTGAAAGCTCATCAAAAAGAAGGAGTGAGATTTATGTGGGATTGTTGCTTTGAATCTGTAGAAGAAATAAAAACACAAAAAGGTTCAGGATGTATCCTTGCACACTGCATGGGGCTTGGAAAAACTTTACAAGTAATAGCACTGGCACATACTGTGCTAAGCAATGAAGCGATTGGAATCGAAACGATCATGATTGTGTGTCCAATGAATACAATTCTCAACTGGGTGGATGAATTCGACATATGGTTAGAGCAAGTCGAAAATAAATCAAACATAAAAATTTTCGAATTGACGCAGTAAGTTCAATAGATTGATTACATGAAGCACCAGACGCTGATTTTATTAATTTATTCTTATTATTTTTTTTAGAGTCAAAGAAATATCAAGTCGAATAAGTAAACTTGATGAATGGCAGAAAAACGGTGGCGTGTTGATAATCAGTTACGAAATGCTTGTCTCTTTTACGTCACCAGATAATAAATTAAGTCCCAAGCAGAAGAAGAAAATACATAACTTATTAATAAAACCTGGAGCTGATGTAGTTGTCTGCGATGAGGGTCATTTATTGAAAAATGAAAAATCTAAGCGTGCTAACAGAATGCAATCAGTTGAAACACAAAGGAGAATTATATTGACTGGAACGCCACTTCAAAACAATCTAATCGAATGTGATTATTTTTTTATCTTCATTGAAGTATAATGAAAAACGTGTAATGCATTTTTTTATTTTCGCGGTCAGATCACTGTATGGTGGAGTTTGTCAAACCACATCTTTTGGGCTCGAAAACTGAATTTGTAAATAGATTTGTAAATCCGATAGCCAATGGGCAATTTGGCAATTCAACGACAAAAGATGTGAAATTAATGAAACACAGGGCGCATGTGTTGCACAGGCTGTTAGAAGGCTGCGTCCAGCGTTGCGAATATACAGTTTTGACGCCACTGTTGCCGCCAAAACAGGAGTACGTCATTTCAATTCGTTTGAGCAAGTTGCAAACGAATATGTATCAACATTTCATCAGCAATGTTGCCCAGTAAGTCGTAATGATATCGTTTCTGTCCTCGCAAAGGCAACATTAGTACTAAATAATTTTTAATAATATAGATTGTCAACAAAGTCAACCTCCGTATTCAAAAATTATCAAGAAATCAAACGTTTAATTACTCATCCAAAAACAATGCAATTAAAGATGCAGCGTCAGAAACAGCCTAATGTGAACAACCCTCGCGTGCCTAATAAATCAAGTGATAAAAATGGAACAGACGGTACCTTTATATTTGAAGCTTGTCCTTGCGTTATTCCTAATTTTTTCATAATTGTAGATTGGTGGCGTGACTTTATCAGCGAAGAAGATTTGGAAGATATGAGCATCTCGTTCAAATTAGTTCTTCTGTTTGGCTTATTGGATAGCTGTGCAAAGAAACAAGACAAAATGTGAGTATTTGGTCAATTATTTGATTAACGAATTTGAATAACGAACTGATTGATTTTGTCATTTCTAGACTTGTGTTTTCGCAATGTCTATTAACTCTCGATCTTATAGAGCTATTTCTGAAAAAACTCGACGGAAGGTGGAAACGAGATTTTGATTATTTTAGATTAGACGGGAAAGTTGATACAAATGAGAGAAGTAAAATATGTAAAGAATTCAATGACCCAAATAATGAGAGAGCAAGGCTCTTTTTAATATCTACTAGAGCCGGTGGTTTAGGTATCAATTTGACTGGGGCTAATCGAGTCGTCATATTTGATCCAAGTTGGAATCCCTCGGACGATCTACAAAGTATATTTCGAGTATTTAGGTAAGTTTAGAATTGCAATCTCATTATGTTGAATACGAAATTAACAAATAATACTTTTTCTTACAGATTCGGACAAAAAAAGCCGTGCTACATTTATCGATTTCTCACCGCTGGCACAATGGAAGAGAAAATTTACATACGGCAAGTAACGAAGCTTTCTCTTTCGTTGCGCGTCCTTGATGAACAGCAAATCGAACGCCACTACAGAGACTCCGACTTGGCAGATTTATACAAGCTGGAGTCGCTCCCGGAGGCGCCAATTCTGAATCGACCCAAGGATGATCTTCTAGCAGAGGTATTTTCCAAGTACGGCGATTATGTATACAAATTCTTTGAGCACGACTCTCTCTTGAAGAATCAGGTAAGCTCAGCGTGGAAATTCATTTGTTTTACGAATCGATACATCAGTTATTTATGACCATAGGAGGAAGAGGAGCTTAACGAGGAAGAGAGGAAACAAGCCTGGCTTGATTATCATCAAGAAAATCTCGTTCAACTAAGCAATGACGCAACATACAGACCAAAAGTCAATCAACGCAAAACCTTCTCAGAGTCAAGCGTAGGCTCGAGCATGGTGTACGATACCGCAACGGCTCCGAGTGATGAAATTACCTTGGAAATTATCGATTCTTGAGATTAGCCGCTGTGATAATTGACTGTGATCGCGAGTGCAATTTTTTTAATTTTGATGTATCATTGTTTATTTGATATGTGTATTTCTTTGTCCCTATAATATAATCATTAACGGAGACTGTTCATTAATCTATTTTTTAAATGCTGTTTCTGTAGTTGATGATCGGCGGATGCAGCGACGTTATACATTTCACGAACGTCAAGATTGTGATCGTAAAGCTCTTCGGCGAGAAGCTTTGTCCACTCAGGTCTATTGGTTCGCCATGAAAATGGTAGCCAGACAGTATATCTGTAATTCATCGTACGGATCGAATAGCCCATTATTCTAATGTGACGCAAACTAGGCTTATCTCCGTCGGGCTCGCAGACTGGTTCCATGTCCAAGCGTGGATAGAGACTAATAGCGATGCCCTTCCAGTCCGAGAGTGGCTGCGATCTGTCGCTTGATCGAAACAGCGGAAGCAGGGACGAGCCTTGACTGCAGAGGTTGGGAGGTCGTTGCCGTGGACAGATCGACACGGGAAATCCAGCCAGCTCGGCCACGGTTGGAAAGATGTCGAGCAGTTCGACAGGCTCGCGTACCCTCGCCGAGGAGAATCCCGGTACGGAGATTAGCAGAGGTACGCGCAGCGCCACCTCGAAGTTACTATACTTCGCCCACTCGGAATGCTCGCCGAGCGACCAGCCTGACGAAAGATTCAAAGAGTTGTGATCAGTTCTATTTTTGCAACCGATTGAAGTACTAGGCTTGGAGAAACTTGCCGTGGTCCGACGTCAAGATGACGATTGTGTTGTTGCGAAGCGCTCGCAGCTCAAGTTCGTACAAGAGCTTGCCGACGAGGTTGTCTATATATGTTACTGCCGCGTAGTATGATTGTATGATCTTCCTTGCGTATCTCCCTAAATCATTGCGTTTGTTTTTTTACAATATTTCATTGTGACATTTGGAGAATAATATTTTTGTACAACTAAAAGTAAGTGATTTGAAAGGGAGGAGGGTGACCTGGTATCTTCTGCCAAGGACAGCTCAGGGCCAACTTCCTCACGTCGTCTCGTAGTCGCAAGTCCATCCAAGGATTGTAAGCGAGGTGAGTGAGATTGTTCGGCCACTGGTAATTGGTCGGCAAGTGATGTTTCCGTCGTGGATGATGTTCTGCAATCGGAGCACAGATGAAAAGTGAGCTTTCGGGCTGGATGGTCGTCAGTGTGAGAGAGAGAGAGAGAGAGAGAGAGAGAGAGAGAGAAAGCTTAAAACTAACTCAAGTAACGCTTGGGGTATTTGAGCGGCACGTGAGGCTTGTGAAAGCCAATCGACAGGAAGAAAGGCTTCTCTTCGCGAGCTACTGTCCTCAGAAACGCCTTGGCCGCCTGTAGAGTCTCGATGTCCGGGAGGGTGGCATTGGGCATCGACTTGACGCGCACCGGGCAGACCTGTAAGATACATCGCGGTTGGAGAAAGAGTGAAGCGGCTTGCGTGAGTTCTCACCAGATTGCTGGCCAGCCGGACGGAGCCGCTGGGGCAGACGGGCGCGTCCTTGTAGATTTGGGTGTACGGATGGAATGCTGGCTCGGTCCACGAGTACGGACTGTCGTCGTTGCCGTTGCAGCTCGCGCCTGTAAAAGATCAGCACCTCGCGATTTCCGTTTGTCGTCACGCATCGTCGCGCGAATTACCCGGATGGAAAACCTTGCCGAACGACGCTGTTCTGTAGCCGTGATTCTTCAGGTGTTGAGGCATCGTGCTGTAGTTGCCGACGCTGTTTCTCCAGTAGCTGTGCGTGTCGTAGAGCCGCAAACTCGACGGGCGTCTACTCGTCAGCAGGGAAATACGGCTTGGAGCGCAAAGCGCTTGCTAAATTGTCAAAGTTTATTCAACGCTTTTTTTTTAATAATTCTACTCTATTTCTACTTCTATTAGAACCTTCTTTCGTTTTGTTTCTTTTCTTTGCTTGTCTTCATTTAAATAATTGTGAAATAACTCTCAGATGTGTACTTCATATTTATATTTTCTGACTGTCTGAGAAGCAACATATTTTACGCTTTTATTTATTTATTTATTTTTTAATTCTCCGAGCTGATCTGGTTTTGCAGCGTAATACTATTTTGTTTAATCATAGAATGGGTTGTCACCTGAGCATAAGCTTTCTCGAAAAGCACACTGCGCCGCGCCAGTCGATCAAGGTGAGGCGTGTAAGCTCTCGAGTCGCCGTAACAGCCGAGGGTCGGTCTAAGGTCGTCGATTATCACGAACAAAAAGTTCATCTGACTCGGTATCCCGTCAACCGAGCTCTTTAATTCTCCCGAAACGACTGACCAGAACACGTACAATGTCAATATTATCGTTATTTTGAACATCCTCAAACTTTACTTGTAAGATTGGTCTTCTAGCGTGCTACTTTTTGCGAGCTATATAAATATTAGGCAAATTATGTTTGTCTGGAAATCCACAACTTACGTTTATTTTATTTTTCGAAGTTCGAATTTCCGATTTTGACGATCAAAAACGAAGGAATTCATGCTATACAGTAGCGACGTCGCTGACTTATAATACAGCATATCAGCTACCAGTAGCGAGAGAGAGAGAGAGAGAGAGAGAGAGAGAGTGAGAATGAGAAGGGGAATAAGAAACATCAAAGCGAAAATGGGGAGATAAAAGGGGCCGCAGAAGGTTGACAATCAGCTGGTGCAGCTGCTGTAACGAATACACTAACAAGGTCCAGTGTCGAAGATAGCACGTCCTATAGAATTCCTAATTCACCAATGAGTCTTGTTTCGTTCGTCACATCTCGCCACCTTTCTTTCCACCGCGCTAGTAGCAATGATCATGCACTGTTTGTTAATTTTTAGATGACAGTGGCTCTTTAACTAAGAACCGATATGCCAATACGAAAACGTGATTTTTTGTTATGTGTGTGGAGAAGTGCCTTTCTTGAGAAGCATTCGGAATAGCAGCCAGGGTGCCAACCTAAATGCTGGACCTACAGCTTAACGTGGAATCCAAGTCATCAGAATTACAGTTTTAATTTTGGTACGTGCACTTTTTTTTAAAAAAAAGCCATCAATACCAGCCGGGAATTAAAACCCCGACTCCCGCTTAGGAGACTGACGTTCTATTTTGTTTTTTATAAAATATCCTTATTCGGTATTACAATATACATGATTTATAGTATGTAGAAAACAAACCAAAAAAATATATAATACAACGCTAGGCATAGTTTCTTTGAAGAGGCGTTAACAAAAGAGTAGATTGTAAATGCTGTACAAATAGACAAGTACAAATGACGCATATAGCACGTTAATACGGTATTCTGCAGTTATATACAGATTGATAAATTGTAAGAAATAAAAAAAATATATTTCTGTACCTGATTACATTTAATTACTTATATACTAAAACCTTAGGAGCTAAAAACCCAAAATTGATCTGCATACGAACTTGTAGGCTAATGTTACAAATAATCAGATGAATATCTATGGACGATAGAAATATACAATGTCAGTAAGGGACTTTCTACATAAGAGCCATTGGATATCGAATATCGGACGAATACTAAAGTAAAAAAACAAATTGATTGTTCGTCATTATCTTACCAAAGATTTATACGAGGTCTAAAAAGACCACGTGCAACATTTACTTTTATTTAACGAATTGATGTCAAATAACTCATTTTTACACCTTCGTGCACGTCTGGCGTCCGATGTCTGTTTTCTTTCAGTACGAGTACGCCTTCCGGCAATAAATTTATTGTTATCAGAAAGCCACTAGTATCTTTTATAAGATTCAAACGGCTATATAGTATCAATACTATCACGAGTTAGAATTTCCTTTGAATATTTTAAAGGCGGAATCAGATCGTGCAATATTAGGATCGTTTTCCGGTTTTTGTGACCGGCCTAATGATATATCAGGAGTAAATTAATTATTAAATGTTTTAATTTGTTTTCTTTGATATTGGTAAAATAATCGCTAGTTAATTTAATAATACAGTTATCAATGCGAGATAGTAAATCAGCCTCTTTACATGAGCAGTGGTTACTGATATATCGTTTATAATTGGAAGATACAGTTTCATATTTGCGTAAACAAGTATGCAAGCATTGTCGTTCGAAAATACAAAACTTTTCAGTAATTTCAAATAATTGGTTGAACACCATAATGGGCATGCGTATATTAAAATGTGTCTTATTAATAAACAAGAACAAATAAATTTCGTTTTGAATTTAGAAATTGGTTATAGAATTATTTGGTGTTTGTGTGTAAGCTCTGTGCGCTTTAGATAACATATACGTGGGGTGGTTAATTATAGCTTAAGTTACATCGTTCTTAAGTAACATAGCTTCGCAACGCGCAGACGCACAAGCCGCGTACTTTGCGCTCGCGCAGTGTACGCGGAGAATAACATGCAGCACAAGAAGAAAGGAAAAGCAGCGGAAAACCTAGCCAAAAGGTGCAGTGGTGGGGGAGCGTCGAATCTGAAAAGGTTTACCGAGAGAGAGAGAGACAGAGAGTGAGTGTGCCAAGAGGGGAGTGTTCCGAGGGGGAGAGAGAAGAGAACGAAGCACTGCGAGGCAGGCAGTGGACTGCCTGTGAGCGGTTACTACTGCGACATAGTGTCATTTGCCAATTTCGCGAAAATCAGAATCCCTCGAAGCACAAACTGGCGTGCCATTCGAGGAGTGGCTGCTGTGGACGATATAGCACGCGGGCGAAAAGGAAGTCATCGGTTTAGCATGAAAAAGACGCAATAAACTTGCTCGTATTAGTCTGCAGCAGCCAGAGCGCATCGAAGGTCAACAAAGAAGCAAGCGACTCGAAGTGAGTACGTTTACTCTGCAACGTTATTCTATTTTCCAGCGTACAGTGACAGATGTTTCCTTTGTTGTCACTCGAGCTTGTCTCTCTCTTTTTAGTCTAAGCTCTCGCGTTGTCTTCCGCTAGTTTGCTCTGCCTATATTCGTGCAATACTCGTTTCGTCGTTCGATTGAGCCTTATCTCACGCTGATTTCGTGTTACGCCAGTCTAGTTTTTCAGACGAGATGCTATTGGAAAAACAGTAACAACGTAGTAGCCCGCCCGAGCGAGAATGAGAGACGTTGATCGCGCGACGGCTGGGGGGGGGGGGGGGGGGCAGCGAAAGAAAGAAAGAATTCGTGCAAGGGCAGCGGTAGTGGGGGTAAACAGCTGTGTTTTGTCGTAGGAAGCTTCCTTGTGTATTTGCGCTGCAAAGCTAGTATTCTAACTCGCAATGCGCTGTATTCCGGAGTTAAGTGCAGGATTGTTTGTGGGTCAAAACAGCAGCTGATGTGGGTGCAATTATTTTTAGCAGACACGGTAAAAGAGAGAAAGAGCTGCTTCGATTGTTCATGAGAAACTGCGTGATTGAGGCGAGTGCTCGGCCTCTGTCAGTGGGCAATGTCAGCAGACTCTGGGAGGCGCGGCCTCGAGGCCCACGTCAATAGGCCTGTCCAGGTCGTCTGTCCACAACCAGTCAGTGACAAGTCCATCATCGACAGCGTCGCTGGCATTATCAATGACATTGTCCCCCAGGTCAGTGTACTTGGGTTTCGTGTAAGTTCTTATTCATAATTTTTCCATTTTACTTTTAAGAGGGCTCCAGCACGGAAAGTTTTAAAATGACCTATGATTATTTATAAAGATCAAAATGTGTTGAATCCAATAAAATCTTTATTTATTCTTGTAGCCGAAGGAAATTTTGGAATATTTCATGACAGTTTGAGCAGTTTTATAGGTTATACATAGATTCTTATAGGGCAAAGTGAAAAAAATATTGGAAATTGATACTTTAATATGCCTTAATGAAGTAGTTACGCGGTAAAAAACTAACATTTTACAGATAAAAACGTAAGTTTCCAGATGTTATATCGCAAAGTATAGGTAACCGTGGAGTTTTATAAGTTGAATGTTAATGAATATTAAGTCTTTCAAATTGATAGATATTTGTGAATTACTAATGAACAACATAAACGATAAAAATATGGATTTTTGAAAATTCTTAAGAGACGATTATTAATCGAAGTTACAAATTTCGTAACTTGAGATTTTTTTAAAATGAGTATCTTTTTTTAATGCGCGGAATCAAAGTTAAGAACCTGTTCCAGAACAACTACGACACTGGAGCCCCCTTAAAATCACTTGAGCGACTTAGTATTTTTTGAAGTTTAATTGTAGATACAATTTCGATTGATGCTAATTTTTAAACGTTTTCATGAAAGACTTAATGAATGTTGCCAGTACCAGTCGACGCATTAGCTTATCGCTAATCATTTTACTACTTCTTGAGTCTTTATTGCAGGCGTACACGAGCAGCGGGCCTAATTCTGATAATCGGGAGACGATAGCTTGGGCGAAATTCGAGTGGGCGGACATCAACGATCCAGCCTTTTTCCCCGAGGCGTACAATGAGGGTTCGAGCATCCCTCCGCTGCTGCTCGTGCTGGGCTACAGCAGCGGTGTGCAGTTGTGGCTGGTATCTGCCTCGGGCGAGGCTACCGAAGTCCTCTCGTGGCACACGGGACCGGTGCGCAGCCTGCGCCTGCTGCCCAGTCCGCGCTGCACCGCTTGCCCACAGCAACAGCGCTCGCGCATTCAGGAGGACCTGTACCAAGCCAAACGGCCCCTGGTGGCGCTCTGCGATGCGAGTGGGTCGCAGCCCCACTACCACTCGGTGTCATTCATGTCGCTGCGCACCGGCGAAACGGTCAAGAGCATTCGCTTCAAGAGCGCGGTGAACGAGGTGCTGGCCAACAAGCGCTCGATCCTCGTCACCTTCCCCGAGCGTATTGCCGTCTTCGACGCGCGCACCTTCGAGGACGTGCTGAGCGTGACCACCTGCTACCACAGTCCCGGCAGCAGCCTCAATCCTGTGGCGCTGGGCAGTCGCTGGATGGCCTACTGCGAGCGCCGTCTGCTGCCCGGTAAGCGCAGCAGTGGCGGCTGCGAGACCGAGGGCGTCTCCAGCTACACGGCCACTGTGCTCTACGCCGCCAAGTCTCTGGGCAAGGGTCTGCGTGGCCTCGGCGAGACGGTCGCCTCTAGCCTCACCGGCGGTGGCGTCAGCGGCACCGCCAACCACGCCGGCCCCCACGGCGCCAACGCGACCGGTCTGCCGACTGACACAGCCACCAACTCGAATAACTGCAACGCCAATGAGGCACCGCAGCCGGGCGTCGTGAGCGTGCTGGATCTCCAGGCGGACGGGCCAGAGGCCAGAGCGAGCCAGCTAGTGGCGCACTTCGCCGCGCACAGCGAGGCCGTAGTGGCCATGTGCTTCGACCAGACGGGCGCGCTACTGATGACGGCCGACCGCCGGGGCCACGACTTCCACGTGTTTCGCCTGCAGCCGCACCCCGGCGGCTCTAGCCTGGCCGCGGTGCACCATCTGTATGTGTTGCACCGCGGCGACACCTCGGCCAAGGTGCAGGACATGGCTTTCAGCGGGGACGCGCGCTGGGCTGTGGTCTCGACGAGCCGCGGCACCAGTCACGTGTTCCCCGTGGCGCCGTACGGCGGGCCGCTCGGCATGCGCACGCACTCCTCGCCCCACGTGGTCAACCGGCTGTCGCGCTTCCACAAGAGCGCCGGCCTTGGCGACGAGTGCGTGGCGCGCTCGCACTCGCCCGTCACCCATACCCACGACGGCGCGCATCTCGGCTCATCCGCCGGCTCGACCTGCCCGCCCGCCACCTCTATCGGCCAGGCGCTTTATCCTTACGGTAACCCCCGACTGCCGCCGTACCCACATCCCACGGTCGTGCATCCATTAGCACAGCTGCGCCAACCGGCCAGCCTGAGCCACGCAGCCAGCCAGGCGCAGACGAGGCAGCAGCCCCGTCAGTGCCACGCTTCCGAAGACTCTGGTTTTGGCCAAGTTAAGCTCTGCGCCTGCTTCGCACCACCACGCGCCTGGCTCTGCTCGCAGCGGGAGCCTACCGTTAACAAGTTCGCCAAGCGCGCCGTTGACTCGCTTTTCATCATGACTTGCCATGGCAACCTCATCCAGTACGACCTCGAGCCTAAGGCCTCCTCAGGTACTGTTGCTTTGACCACGGAGAATTGCGAGTGTTCACACGAGTCGCGGTTCACACGCTCATTCGTTTGCAGTGGTGCCCAGGGAGAAGGTCTGCGACGACACGCCGATCGAGCTGGACGTGGAGGCTAAGGGCCAGTGGCCGCTGATTCGCACAACCACCTCGTCCGACATCAATTTACCACTAAGTCCGGATAGTCCTCTGCTCGAGGCACCTCTCACGAGAAACCTCGACGATGAAAACAGCAACGAGAGTCGCTGGCTTAGTCAGGTGGAAATTTTCACTCACGCTGGCCCGCATCGTAGACTCTGGATGGGCCCGCAATTCGTTTTCAAAACTTACAACGCGCCTAGCGGGTAATTGATTTACTTTTATCTTTATTACTACATCCGATATCGGTGGGTACAACTTTTACGTGAACGTGGTTTATTTGTTTAGGATACCAGTCAACCTTGTAGAAGCTGAAACTGTGGAAGTTGGCACCACTACTGGTTCTCGACCAGCTAGATCAAATCCCGTGAATATGCCTCACACGACTAGTAGACCACTTATGCCAGTTGTCATCGATGGTTCCGGCAGTGAGTAACTTTCTTTCGTGCGAGATTAATTGATCTTCGTATTCTTAAACCATTGTATTATTGACAAAGTAGGTAGCTACGAGCAGTCACCGAGATTCGTCGAAACGTATGGAGATGCGCTGGATCGCTACGAGCACGTAAGCGTTGGCGGCGAGAATCAACTGAGAGAAGATCTCGCCGAGGCTATGTTGGAAACGTCGACCACCCCTCATCGATCGACAGGTATGCATATCTATACTTACGAAATCTTACAATTTGTTGAAGTATTATTAAGGTTTATATGTATTTGCATATGGAGTTATGATTAGCCTAAAACTCAAGTTTTTAATAACTACGTAATAATTATGATCCGTTTACTATTATTATAAGTTATGCACTTTGACGTATAAGCATGAACTTCTTTTTTTATTTATATATTTATTCTTTTTTTTATGAGATATACTTGAGATTACACACGAAACACTTAAACTCTTCCGCGGTGAATTTTCTTCTTTCAATATTCTCTAGTCAGAAGTAAACTGGTCATGAATATTTTTGAAAATATAACTTTAGAAAAATATAATGCTGAGAATCGAATTGATACTAGAATTAGATAACTGGATGCTTAACGACTTTCAATGGTTATTCTCATAGCACACGTTCCTCTCTCAATGTACTAAATGCACAGAAAAAAGTACTCTCAACGTAGTTGTTCTCCTGTTACGATATTTTTTATGTACAAATCTTGGTATTTTATCATTACTAATTGGTTTTTGAGAAACTGATTTTAACAAATACATTCTCGAAATGTCATTGAATTGGCTACAATTTCAATATAACATTATTTGATGTACATTTTAATGTAAAAACTTTCTTAATTTAAGAACGCTTCTTGATCTTTGCAGTTTAGGAACGATACTGTTCTCAAAAAACACAGCATACACATGCTTAAAAATATTTTTTTTCCTACATTTTAAGGACTTTTTTTTCTGCTGTATTATTTATTAATAAGCGAAAAAGCAAATTAGTGTGTGGCGTTGATGCGACTTTTGTACAATGCACGTGGTTCTTGGTGACTTGTGTACAGCTTTTGATTTGTATAAATGCGACGTGAATGTACATAACGATAAACGTAAGCGAGCCATTAGAAACACAGAATTAGCCGAAGGCAGGTATCTTTGTTGCACCTTTTTTGACCGTGATTTGTTATACACTAGCGAACTCGTAATCACTAACAGCAATATTTTGCCTGAGCACTCGAGACTGCGTGTTCATCGATTTTGTTGAAAAATCGCTCTTTTTTTCACACTTGGTCATTGCTAATAAGTATACTTCTCGCTACATATATCTGGCACGCAGTAAGCGGGGCTGCTTTCATGCCTCTTCTTGCCATCAAACCAGCATTTCCAAACTTTTCTTTTTTTAACTTTTTTTTCTTTTGTTTTATTGTTCTACTGTTCGTTATTCGCACACAAGTAGATCTTGAGAAACTTGAAAGATCGAGGCAGCGAGCAGTCCGTCGCTTATACCTCATATACGACTCATTAGGTGCAATGCAATGTTGGCAGGTAGCTAGTGTAGCGTCGAAAAGTGAGTGAGTGCAGGAGAGTGAGCGAGAGATGAAAAAGGAATAAGACGAGATATCTGATAGACCTGCCCACGGCTTTTTCTGTTGATCTAGGGAGGCGCTTGGTAGTTGAGAGGGTGGGCGGACCGGTAGCTAAAGTGGTCAACCCGTTGGGCACCGTGATCACGGTGTCCGCGGAGGAGGCGGCTGCGGCGGCGGCGGCGGCAGCGACGACGGCTCTCCTGCAGCAGCAGCGGGCGTCGGCGAGCGGCCTGGAGGCCGCGACGACGAGCAGCGTCGGCAGCCGTGCCAGGAGCGAGAGCGTCTGCGCGGAGGAGGGCAAGTGGTCGGGTCTGGGCGAGGAGGTGGGCGCGGAGGCGGTGCGCGAGCATACGGAGATCTGCGCGGAGATGCGGCCGGCGCGCGAGGTGGCCGCGATCGACCGCGTGCCGCCCGAGAGCATCGCCGAGGTGCGCGAGCTGCGCGCGCTCTGCGCGGAGGCCGGGGGCTCGCTGGGCGGCGGTGACCTGCAACGCGGCCTGGAGTCGGCGCGCGAGGTGCGCCCCGAGAGCCCCTCGCCGCTCTGCGCCGAGGCCGGCCTGGTCGACTGTCACGCCTGGAGCTGTCCGCCGACCAGCTCGGACGAGGAGGCGGCGCGCGGACCCGCGCGCGCCCCCTCCTCCTCCGACGACGACCTCGAGCACCTCGTGCTGCTGGGCTGCGCCGAGGGTGACGGGCCCACACCCACGGCCGATCCCGAGCCCGACGCCGTCGAAGTCCCCCAGTCGGTCACTCCCCCGGCCGGCCGGCGCGACAGCGAGCCCGAACTGCCCGACATGATCGAGATAATCGACATCGACGCGATGCGCCGCGACCTCGGCGAGCCCGAGCCGCCTGCGGACTGTGTTCAGGTGGTGTTGGGCCCGGCCAAGTCCGCTCACGCCAAGGCGCGGCGCCACAAGCCGCGGGCCAAGGCCCAGTCGGCGTCGGCGCCGGTGCCGGCTCGCGCCGAGGCGCCGGCCGCCTGGGGCTCGCTGCTCGAGGCCAACAAGGAGAACCTGGAGGAGCGGCCGGCGCCCGAGGACAAGCGCAGCGACTCGGAGCTGGACAGGGCGAGCCTGGGAGCGGAGCGCTCCAGCTCCTCGGACGAAGCGAGCGCGCTGCTGCTGCTGCTGCCCATGGACACCGAGGAGGAGAGCAGCGGCAGCAACAACGGCGCCGCCGGGGCCCCCGCGCTCGAGCCCGGCGGTGAGACCCTGCAGGCGCCGGCGCCGCTGCCGCTGCTGCCGAGCCTCGGCGCCGCCGGCAAGAAAGCCAACCGCTCCAAGAAGAAAAAGCGCAGATGAGTGGAGGATTGCGTCGACGTACCAGGGGCCAGTCTCGCCCTCTACATTCTGTTTATGCAAGTGTCCGGGGTCGACTAGCGCTCGCTGTCCGCGACCGGCTGCTCTCCGGCTCTGCGTCCACTTACTCCGAACACCTCGCCCGCCCCCAGCCGCCCGACAAGCTTACTGTAAATACACCTATGGTCGCCCACTCTCACGCGAATCGCACTCCCGAGTACATTTGTTTTCGATGAGTGAAACCTATCTACTTTATCTCGTAACAACCATTATTGACACTTGTTACTTATATATGACACACGTGCCCGCGCGCGCGCGCACGCACGCACACACACACACACACACACGCACGCACACGCACACACACACACACAATAGTACAATCACGATATTAACGATCCGAATGATCGAGCAACGTTTTATACGATTGGGCCATTAGAGGTTCACCTCGACGCAGATATATATGTAACTGTGCGCGTGAGCCACGAAAAATTTTTCCATTAACGCTCATTGTACAGTGTGGATACGCTATACATCTCTTAGCTAACCGATAACGCAACTCGCGTTTGAATCTCATTTTCGTTCGCGCACGCTTGCGTTTCTTTCAGGCTCTCTTTCTGGTTTGAACCGTACGGTATCTTATTCGTGAAAAGAGGATTTTATTGTTCAATTTTACCACTTAGATCTTTTTTTGCAGTATTCTTATCCATCGATATAACGAGTGTGGCGATATTATTACCGTATGACAACAATAAAAAATAACGAACTTCGTCCGTTTGTAGCTTCGATTCGTTAGAGAGGTTTCGATGATGCACGTTCAGGAAGAGTTCGAACTGAAGATAAAGAGTACAAACAGATTAACAAAATTAAACAAATGAAGCGCTTCTAACGATAAGTTTTTCTTTGTCTTAAGACCACCCCCGCCTGTAATATGACTGTGGCACATAATATTCGTATTGTGTTAGTAAAATTCACTGCACATTTTAAAACCGATAATTCGAATGACGATTTGTTTGAAGATCTGTGATGATTTTACTGTAAAGGGCAAAGAAACAATTTTTCGCGTTAGTTTCTTGAGTTATTGACTACGAGCGAATGCTGATATTCAAACAAAGTAATTAACTTAACGATATTACCAGTGATAGTAATTATTTTATATTCCAATGCTCTATGTGCAATATTTTTACCTTTTCTTATTTGCGTGCGTGTATTAATTTGAAAAAAGAAATATTAGTTTAATTTTACATTTTACACGCGAAGTGCCTGGCAAATAGAGGTGTGGGCGTAAGCAATGAGTTTACAATCAAAAATATTTTTTATTTATCTTATTAGTAACAAATTTATTTTTATGAGTATTCAATTTTTAAAATGTTTACAAAAAGCTACCGTACGATTGACTTTGCAGTTAGTTGTATTTAATATCGGATAAAATGTACGAATACCATATGCTCGTAGTCACCTAATATTGCAAAAGTGCTAATGAATAACGAGTGATGATCTTTACGTTGGTGTAAAGGTTATATTAAAATAAATAAACAAAACTATGCGTAATGATATAGCAAGCAGATGTATTATTGGCAAACAGTGCGAATAAGTCGACGTAGGCATTGCCATGTTGGAATGCGTGAGAGTGAAAGTGCGCTTATCGCGAGAAAATAAAGTTCAAAATACTCTCTCATAGATCATACTTAGTAACTACTATTAATTATAATCGATCGTGTTTATTGAATAAGCGGTCTGTGTTATAAACGAAAAACGTACGTCAGCAGCAAGCACACGCGTTTTTTGCGTCGATCAATCCGTAATTACATGGCATTGGCAATCGTGGCGTACGGCGACAAAAAAAAATGAATCATGTATGTAATTAAAAGTCTTAACAAACGAGTGATCCAATCAACTAGGATTTTAGTGTTAGCAAAAGACATTGGAAATATATTGTTGGAAGAAAAGAGTCAGAGAAGATTAAATTTCTATGTAATCGATCCTCTTGTTCCGATTCTGTATTAAAATACATATAGTATAAATGAAAAAAAAGGTGTTCACAATTAAATTATTAAAATGTAAAAAAAAGAATAGTGTTAGATATTCGTATTGCAAGATGCAAAGCTGCATATTGCGTGCATGAATGTATGGAGTGTGTGCGTGGTGAGTTTGCGCGCGCGCGCACGAATTGACGTTGAATAAAAAGAAATTTGGCAACCGATCAAATTAATTTAGTTAAAAAATCAACAATTAAATTAAATCAAGAGAGCTTTCTTATATCCGAAAAAGAAAAATTATACCACAAGTCAGCCATTAACTCTTAGAGTCACAGCTTTATGGGGGCATGGGTAGCACAAATGTGGATTCATATTTCCGCTTAAAGCATAATTTTAAGTAATTTTAATTTTGGTTCAATTACTTTAATCTATTAGGTACCGAGAACTGAATGTAGAATATTCAATCGATTTGTATAATTTATAGATCAAATCTAGTCTTTATTTAATTTTGTTGACGTTTTAAAGTATTGTCCCCTGTAGAGGATATTATGACTCTAAGGGTTAAAATAGTCGTTCGAATTAGCATTGATAAACAACTGTGAAGCCAAAGCAGAAATAAAGACAAAAAATACATCAATTGCATTGAGCATGAGAGAGAGAGAGAGAGAGAGAGAGAGAGAGAGAGAGAGAGAGAGAGAGAGAGAGAGAGAGAGAGAGAGAGAGAGAGAGAGAGAGCGTGTACTAGGTAGTTGTGCAAAAGTATTATCGAAAGAAAATAAATAATAATGGAACGTCTATTTGCGTTTTATTCCTTTTTATTAAAATTGCTAAATGACACAAATATAGCATGTCCAAGCAAAGTAGTTGTTGAGGGTATAATTTGTTGCAGGAGGTAACCAGTCAACGGCAAGCTGCGAGGATTTGAGTTCGAGCAGCTTCAGTTCTGCGAGCAGAGCTTCGTTGGACGCGCGAAGCTCGCCGACCGCCTCTTACAGCGCGGAGCATATGATGGTCTTTCCTGGCGACAGTAGCGGTTCCCTGTGATTCAGCCTGCAAGTGGCCCCGTCGCAACGCTTATCTCGGTCGCTGCTCTTGACTGCTCAACCTCTACGGATTTATCAGGCACCTCGGTCCACATTGGCAATTGAAACTATAAGCAACGAACTTTATCGGTTTACAATTACATTTAACTACTACCATCAATTTACTTCGATAATGATCTCTTGATTTGCTTTGCCTTTTATACATATTCTATATATATATTAATGCGTGTAGCTACGTTATTTATGTACATGCCATGCGACTTTTTACGACTTTACATCACATTGGACGCACGTACTATGGCACGCAACGCATTTGTGTCCATCTTCCTTAGAAATCCACTTTGAATTTTATATGTATTTTATTCCTGTGATTCTAATGTCTTTTCAATACTGAACGTTATTATTTGTCATTGATATTGTCGAACGCGATTTATCAATTTCAAGTTTCGGTGATATAGTTCATTCCTGACTTTGTGTTGATCTGAAAAATGGGCAACAATGTTAAATTTCTTCCTTTTACGTATTTAACTTGCATTTGTGAAAAAAAAGAAAGAGATAGCTTTCTTTTCTCGCGCCAATAGCTTCGCTACTTTAGCTTTTGACAAAAAATTAGCTCTTAGAAAAAGTTGCAGAAATTTTGCAACTTACCTTAACGTTTTCGCCGTAAACTAAGTTTTGAACATTCGGACGTAGTAATACGTTAAATGCTGATTTCTTCGAATCTTTGGGTTAAAAATAATAAGGTGTGGTAGTTACATGGATTGATTTTAAAAGCACCAAATATTAATATAATGTATTTTTAAAATGTTTACGTTACTTTCATTTTAACTGTCTTATTGAATGTCGATCGTATGAGTTTTCTTAACTTGGTCTGTTTTATAATGTTTATACTTGATTATTGTTCTGTCATTTGGTTCGAACTGCTCGATTGCTGATAATCCAATAAAGGTGCCACATTAAATTGATTTACAAACTTAACTGCTTCACATTCCGATTGGAGGCGAATAGTCCTTTAAATGATTTGGATTAAAAATGTCAAATTTTCGAAGAAAATCGTGTTGAGAAACGATTGATAATCGACTACTATTTTTAATCGATAGTATATAATACACACGTAATTGTAAGATTTTCACTTATATTTTCATTTCTTTTATCATTATTTCTATTGTAATGTAATAATTGTTTCAAACAAAAAAATTTTTTTAATACAAAATAACGTTTCTTTTTACTTTTTATTCCTACTTGTTTTCTTTTTAGATTAATGAGTTTTTGTTTCGAATGAATATGATAAAACTGTGATCACAACCGTTATGTAATAGTTATGATTACTTCAAAGAACAAGTCATAACGTGGAGTTGTAAAAACAAGAAAATGCATGTTTTTCTACGGGTATAGTAATATTTTTTATTATAACAACAACGTAATAAAATTATCAAGTTTAGCATAATTATAATCAAACTTACAAAATACGCACAATATATATTTTTAACGAAAGTAAGTTAAATATTTTTATTGTATACTACAATTAGTCTTCATAAATTTCAATATCAATCATTTATGATCAAATTGTAGTTTGTATATTGTGATAAGTACTGTTACATACAATTAAATTTAAATCGAAATAAATTGTTTCATACGAAAGTATTTTGTGTCTGTTGTACTTTAGAAATTATACTTTATCATAATACACAATAAAATAGAATGCAATAAGTAATAATTATCGAATAATTATCTTTGTATTTTTAAAAAAATTATTTGTTCAACATGGTATTTAATCTCAGGTAGATAATCGTTGAATTTTAAAGTGTTTCATTTTTCCCACGGGCTTTGAATTTTCTCTTAAGTCTTAACCTTGAAAATAATTATTTGGCGACTGCCGCGTCGCGGTTGCGATGTCGGGTGCGGCGTGGCAGTCGTTGACGGACAAAGAAACCAGGCGCACCATACATGTATTTGTTTAGATTAATTTACATGTTGAACAAGTGTTTCAGTGATTTTCGTAAAATGTCCTCGCACGTGACATCCAAGAAAGCTCATTTATTAACAGAAAACTTCTGCGTACAAAAATACGCGAATCCAAGAAAGTGCGTTTCAATATTAAGCAGCCGACGCCCACCAAAATATAATGTTGACGCTCCGATAATTATCTGATATTTGATAAGAGAAAAGGCCACTTGAAAGTTTGTCATTCAGTAACAAAATAGCCTACTTGAAAGCAGCTATATAATTAGTACATCATTAACGAAGGGTGTGAAAGTATTGGCAAATCCAGAGCACGTGTAAATATGTGCTAAGGGCTTGCCATTTTCAGTTCCGTGTTTAATATACTATTTTTTGTCTGCAGCGCGTAAAATGCGTGTTGTGAAACCTGACACCCGGGTTTCAAGACGCACTTTACGCGCAGTAGGCAAAAAAACAGTAATATACTGTAGTAAAAAGAAGAAAGGCAGATCACCTGAAAGAGTGGACAAGGAAAGGTCACGGTCATTACCGTTAGGTTTACATTCGAAGCTCGCCGACGGAGTAATAGCGCACATTTTGTCTACGATCGTTACTCGTTCATCAAAGGTCATTAACCATGTTAAATTTGCTGAAAGTTGCGTTTTTATTTAAATTCGTAAGCACGGTATTCGGCGGCTTTTTGATTAATTTTTTCGGACAATTTCTGCCCGATTCCTTCAAAAGAATTTATCTTCCTGGACGATTCAACGAATGCGCCAAGTCTAAGTCGATTGAGAAATTCGAAGTGCCTAAAAGGTTTGTGCTGGCGTTCACTAAATAAAACAATAAAATTTTGACGCTCAAATAAATATAGCATTATTATTGACGATAGGTGGTTCAGGCATTTCTATTTATTTGCCGCTCCATATTCAACTTTTTACTTGCTGCTACTTTGCTATCGGTATTTACTCAACGGTAGAACACCAAATTTTGTTAATTGGCAGATAAGCATCTTTTTTGATTCGTCGCGCGAAACACCCAGTAAGTAAATTAAAAAAAATTGTTTGAATATTTTCTTTCTAATGTTCAAATTTACTTTGGAACTGACGTGTAGTTTCAGCTGAACGCGTTTTGCTAGGTATGCTCATTTTCACGGCGCACTGCTGGAAAAGATATTATGAATCACACTATATTAGTGTTTTCAGTGATTCCACTATAAATTTGTCGGTATACATAATTGGTTTTACCCACTATTTTGGTGGCATTTTAAGCATCGTAGGTGAATCACAGAGTATTGACAAAGGTAACGTATAATTTTTTAATGACGTAATGCCAAAAATTTTTCTTTTATATTATGTATATTTCATTTTTTCCTGCTTCAAGACTCGACAATTCACTTGAACTGGTCAAATTTGACGTGGTTGGAATACACTTGTGCATCTATATTCATATTATCAACATATTTACAGTTAAGAACGAACATTATTTTATCAAACTTACGAAAAAATGAAAAGGGAGTTGTAATTACAAAGCAGCATAAAATTCCCCGAGGGGAACTTTTCGAATACATAACGGCGCCGCTACAATTTACGGAAATCATCTTATACCTATGTATGTCTATTATTCTGAGAGAAGGCTCAACATTCCATTACGTGACTCTGTGGACAGTAGCCAATCAAGTAAGATATCGGTTATTATTTTTAGAATTTGTACTGTTATAAAATTGTACAATTTTTATGTACGGATTTGTGTAATGTTTCAGGTTGAGTGTTCCTATCTAGCTCATACATGGTTCTTGAACAAGTTTAAAGATTATCCAAAATCGCGAAAGATGATTGTTCCTTACATTTTTTAATATGTTTCTCTTTTTTTAAATTCGTGCAAATGAACGATGTTATGAAAAATTAATACGAAATGTATTTAGTTTTTACATCACATAAAAAAATTTTAAAAAAATGTATACTATTGTGTATTAAAAGCTTTATAGATTATCAAAAAAGTTGTATATCTTTAAGCAAAAATATTTTACTAAGTAATATATTATCAAATTGAAATTACTACATATTTCAAATTGTTATGGTAATGAAGTTTCACTGCTAAATTTTAAATACTATTAGTCAATCTTGATTTTTTAATACAAATCACAAAGTAACAATCTTGATTTTTCATAATTTCATTTTCTTTTAAACATTGTATTATATCAACTGAAGTGTACAACAAGTACAGTTTTGCAATTAGTCTCATTTCAGGCAGAATATCTACAATACAATACTTGAAGTATTAATATCTCTGTTCCTTTTTATTTAAAAAGTAAGCTGAAAAAAGCAATTGATTTTGTTTACAACATAATTATTTATCAGTAAAAGATAAATATAGATAAAATAAAATTCGATAAGTACCTGTACGGATAACCCTGTGCTTTGTTTCGGAATATAGATAAAAGTAAACTGAAGAAAATTGCTACAATCATTGCACCAATAACAATAAATATCCGGCGCTTCTTGACGTCACTTTTACGAGAGGAAGCAGCCTCAGTCATCAAAATCATACCCAGAACAACAGCTCCATCTTTTTAGTTTAACATATAGGAAAATAATTCTCTAAATTTTAAATATTTTTATATATTGTTTCAAAGGATACTCAAAATCATAACAATGTAAGTTTCTAAAACAAATTGGCCTTGGGAGGAGCCATGGATATAAGCCACATTTCCATTAGGTGATTTATAGACGAAAGGAGGACTCCTAATGTGGTTCCACATTTGTCCCGAAATCATTGTAAGTGTGAAAAACTAACAAAAACATATTACACTTGATTTTATAATCAAAATCAAAATAAGCCTTGCAAATGTGAAACAATGAAATATATACCAGTGCTCCAAGACCCCATATTGTTTTGTTATAAATGAAATCGAGATTATTACGCCTCAGGTACAAAAATCCACCTATCAAAATTAACAACATCACAACAGCAACTGTTCCAGAGTAACTTGGTGGTCTGAAAACTCTGATCTGAAATTACAAAAAGAAATCAATTTAAGACTGGTAGTGTTCAAAGCAATTTCATGATTACATTTTTATACTATCATTATCAAAGCAATGTTCTAACTAAACTGAACCATTAATAAATAATATTGTAACAAATAGATATAGTTAAATGGATTAGCCCGTAGTTGAAATAATTATTAAATAATAAACAAACTATACCCATGTAAATATTTTAAATTTGGAGCTCTCTAATTCATAAAGTATTTTATCACATTTTTTATTATTCGACATCCTAGTCTAGGATCATTAGTCTTTCTGTGGCTAAACAAGGATTATGATTTAAAAAAGCTATCACAAAAAACTATTAATAACTTTATAAATATGATCAAATCAGGAATAAAAAGCATGTGTATCACTGTGTGTAAATTTATCATCGTGTCACACAATATCAGATTCATTTTATGTAAATTTTATATAATTACAAAAAGAAATTAAATTTAAAAATTGATATGATTGTTATTAGATTTTGATAAAGATCAAATAACCTGGATATCAGTACGCTCCGATATCCACTTTGCTATGGCTTCTGCAGCAAAACCCACTCGATGAATATCCATAGTATCAGCAGCTTTTGGTTTACCTTTGGCAGGAAAATGCATGTAAACTGGTGCAGTGTTTAACCTCATCTAAAAGTGGGCTAGACATTAAAGTTTATCTCTCAATAAAAATTAGCAAAGCTCATAAAGATGATAACGATACTTGCCATTTGGAATACTTCAGAACCCTCATCAAAGTCAACTAATGCAAAGAACAATTTATTTGAATAAGATTGAGAGTAACGAAAAGAGTTAGCTACTATAACAAATTCATCATTCGCATGTCTGTAAATTTGAAGCAATACGTGTTAATAAAATTTATATTTTGAATAACCTGCAACTATTGGTCAATAATAAAGCGCTAACCTGCATATTTGACACTGTCTCTGCGGAGCCATAGCCGTAAACATAACAATAACAGAATAATTCCTAGGTGTTGCCTTCACGAATTCCTTAAATTTAGCAGTATTAAACTTCATAACTGGTCTCTTCATGGCCATATCTGTAAGTTGCTGGACACGTTCAGCCAGTGGTGCATTTTGAGACTGTAATCAGGTCGATAGGTTACATTACTGGAGATAATCTAGCGTAAAATAATATTGGACTGATATTCCGCATTTGAGAGCAGCCCTGTTTTAGTGTGTCTATTGAAATCGGAGCACACGATAGTCGGCAACAAGAGGGTCGAAAAGCTGACCTGTTTGGTTCTGTACTGACAAGAAGCGTCGCTCAACAGAAGCAAGAGCAAGCCCAGGGTGGGCAGCAAGATCGTCTTGAGCATCTTTGGAGCAGTTTTTCCGCGTCGGATCCCGAAACAGGACGACGGAGACTATTGTCGGATATCGAACGTGTGGATATAGAACGGATTTGGAGATAAGTCGACTACCTAGTGCTTACTGCTACGTGTCGGTATTGCCGGGTTCACCGAGCTGACAACTGCCACGCCGCCGCGTGGAACTCGACGCGTTTTTGGAGTGCCGCGCATACCTCTGCGCAGCAATCTCTTCTCGTTTGTTGCTTTTGAAATTAGCGAAGCGGACGTAATAAGCGACGCTGACTACCGAACTTGCGAATCGGAGAGTATATATTTATAATGCATCGACGTGATAACTGCGAAAAAAGATCAATTCCGACGGCAGTTTGGCCGAGTAGCGATGATCGATCGTGGGCACGGAGATGTGAGATGTCAAACGTGTACGACGGTAAAGGAGCGGCCGCGACTGACGAACGATTGGCAACCGTTCGCGAACTTAGCAAAGCCAACTCCAACCCGATCGAAAGCTCCAATCCAAAAGCACCTATTGTTCTCGAAGACGTGGGATACGAATGGAGCGACTCTGAAGAAGGCCCCGAGGACGCGCAACGGCAGGAGAATTGCTTTCGCAACAACGATCGACGGAGCGAAAAGGTCGCGGCTAATGGGCTGCGCTGAGCTCGTCGCGAATCACCGAGTAACGGGTCTCGCGGCAAACGACAAAGGCGGCTGGCAGCGACAATCGAGCGACAAGTCGCATCGAAGAAGAAGCGCGAGCAAGGGGAAGCAGCGCAGAGGCGTCGAGGCGGGAACGAGCAGGAGCGTCGAGCGGGCGCGCGCCGGGAGGGGAGCGCAACAAGGCGGTGCGCCGTCGGGGGGTCCGCTCGCGACGCAATTGGAGGGTGTGGGGCCCGCGGCGGGGCAGCCGTTGCGCGATCGTCATCCCTCGAGCGGCGCGGCAACGGTCGGGCAGTCGCGCGCGGCGAGTGGCGATGTCGGGATCGTAGTTTCGGTGGCCGCGCGGTGTGCCAGTGTGTCTGTCCCTCGTACGTCGCGGTACCCGGGCGCGCGCGCGCGCGCGTGCAAATCGAAGTCGTTCCGTCCCGCGAGTGGCAGCCTTCGGCATCATGTCCTTCTCCAAGGCGCGCATTCAGCGCTTCAACGAGCTCACCAGTAAGTACAGCCCGAGAGGCGCGTGAGAAACGTCGATCGCCAGCAATTGCGGCGCGACGCTCGCACCTGGCGCTCGCCAGCTGTCCCCTTGCGACGATCGACACCCCTCGCTCGTTCGCTCGTTCGCTCGTTCGCGCGAGCACTCGCGCGCGGAGTCCCGCAGCCAGCCCCCCCCTTCCCTCGGCTGCGCGACTCGGGCCGCGGCGCCCGCCCCGATCCCGATGGGCCCTGTGGCGGGCGTGCGACTAACGATGGCCGGCCACCCCACAGGTGAGGTGCCCCCGCCGGGCGCCTACGACCCCAAGTTCGGCGACCGGGTGCGCGGCTCAGTGGCGATCGGCGCCAGCGCCGACAAGGCCGGCCCGGCCAGGAGCGTCAGCGACAAGGCCGCCGCCAGCAGCAGCAGCGACTGCGCCTCGTCGGTGTGCAGCCGCGCCAGCGCGGGCGCGACGCCGATCAGGCCCTTCAGAACGGTGAGTGAGGGAGCGCGGCAGCCGTCGCCGCCGCCGACCGTCCGCTAACCCGCGCCGCAGCCGCAGGTGCCGAGGAAGCGCGCCGTGGTGCGGCCCACGGGGCTGGCCAGCTGCCCGCGCGCCAAGCCCGCATGCCTGCACCGCGAGCAGCGCGCGCGCTACGAGCCGCAGCAGGAGCTGGTCGATCTGCGCGTGGAGCTGCGCAACAAGGACAAGAGCATCGCCGAGTGCGAGCGCCTGCTGGAGGAGCTGCGGCAGCGCGACGAGGCTCAGCGCGTCGAGCTGGGCGCCGCGGCCGAGGAGCGCGAGCAGCTGCGCGCGCGGCTCGGCCAGCTGGAGCGCGAGCTCGCCGCCTGCTCGAGCCTGCAGCTCGGCGGCGAGGAGCGCGTCGGCGACGAGCTCGACACTAGCGCCATCCTCCGGGAGCTGGAGACGGCCGAGCTGCGGCGGGCGCACTGCGACACCGAGCGCCAGCTGCAGGAGGCGCGCGGCAAGGTGAGGCCCCGCCGAGCCCGATGGTCGCGCGCGCGCGCTCACCCACCCCGTCTGTCCGTGTCGCGCAGCTGGAGCAGGCGGAGCGGCGCCTGGCAGAGTTGGAGCCGAGCGAGCCGGGCCTGGATGCGCAGCTGGCGCGCCGGATGGCGGGCGCGCTGCAGCAGTACTTCCGCGGCGGCGGCGGCCAGTGGGAGCCGGGCGGCGAGGCGGCGGCGCTGGGCTCGGAGGCCGAGCGCTTCCTCGCCGAGGTGCGCCGCCTGGGCGCGGAGCTGCGGCTGTCCTGCGAGCGCGACGCCGAGCTGGCGCGCGACCGCTTCAACGAGGAGCGCGAGGAGCTCGAGCAGCAGCTGGCCGCGCTGCAGGCCCAGCTGGCGGAGGCGCGCGCGGCCAGCGAGCGCCACGCCGAGCAGCTGCGCGCGGCCCAGGAGCTGCACAGAGAGGTACGAGGCCCGCGGGCACCGCCGACCGCCGACCGCCGACGACGTCTCACGCGCGCGCTCTCTTGCCCGCAGACCAGCCGCGCCCTGCAGGACTGCCAGCGCGGGGCGGAAGCGCTGCGGGCCGAGCTCGCCGAGGCGGAGAGGCAGCACGGCGCCGAGGTGGCCTACCTGCGCGGCCTGATCGATGAGGCCAAGGCCGAGTACCTGCGAGAGGTAGGCCTCGCGGCTCGCCGCCGCTCGTCCGCCCGCCGCCGGCGACTCACGGCGCCGCGCGCCTCTTGTTCCCGTAGGTGGACGCGCTGGAGAAGAGCCTGGAGGAGGAGAAGAGGCGCATGAAGGACTGCGCGGATCGGATGATCGGCAACGCGGAGGCCGTGACGCGCGAGACGCTGCAGGCCTGCCGGGCCGAGAGCGAGGAGAAGATCCGGCGGATCGTTGGCGAGACCGACGCCAAGGTAAGGCGCGCGCGCGCTCGCGCGTCTCCCGCCGAGGCAAGGGTACTGAGGGTGCGCCGCCGTATGGCACGTGTCGTAGATTCGAGAGGCGGCCAAGGCCGCGGAGGAGAGAGAGGGCAAGTACAAGTGCTGCCTGGAGCGCCTGGAGGCCGAGAAAGCTTCGCTGGTGGCCAAGCTGTCGCAGAGCCAGGCGGAGGTCGGCGCGCTGACGGTCAGCCTCGCGGAGCTCAAGTGCGCGGCCGAGACTCAGGTACCTGCGCGCGGATCGGGAAGCGCGGCGACTCGCGCACCACTGACCCGCGCGGGCTTTCCCACGCAGGAGAGCTTCAGCCAGAGCCTGCAGGCAGAGCTGGACCGCGTGGAGGCCGAGCTGGTGGAGAAGAAGGAGGAACTGCGCAACCTGAAGGACCAGCTGCGTAGCGAGTCGGCCGAGATGGTGGCCCGGCGGCGGCGATTCGAGGTGGTCATGGCCGAGAACCAGGCGTCCGTGGGCGCGCTCACCCGCCGCCTGGCCCAGTGCCAGGCCGAGAACGAGGCGCTGCAGCGCCAGCTGCAGGCCGCCGAGGAGCAGCGCCGGCTCCTCGAGGCCGCCTCGCAGACCGCGGCGGCGCTGCAGGACCGCCTGGACGTCGTCGCCGGCAGCATCGCCCGCAAGCTCGACTGCATCGCCCAGGCGGAAACGACCAGCCTCGACCAGATCAGCCTCGCCAAGAGCAGCCTGCTGTCCAACGTCGACCGCTTCAAGAGCCTCGCGCTCCAGCAGCTCGCCCAGTCCAGGCACAAGTCCGAGCAGAACGCCGAGGTACGGTCGCGCGACCGCCCTCTCCCCCCGCTGCCGTGCCGCCGCCGCCCTCACGAACACTCTGCCCGTCGACTTTCAGCTGAAGGCCAGCCTGCGCGAGATGTCCGAGCGCCTGGGCGACGCCACGGACATGCTGCTGAGGATGGAGGAGCTCAACGACGAGCAGTGCCTGCAGACGTCCAAGCTGCAGCTGCAGGTCGGCAAGCTCCAGCAGCAGCTGGACGAGAAGGAACGCCGCATCCGGGAGATGAGCGAGGCCTGCGAGGCGCACCTCGAGCAGCAGCAGCGCCACGCGGCCGAGGTACGTACGCCGGCGCCGAGTCCCGCCGATCTCGCTCTCGAGCGCGCCGTCGCTCTGTTGCAGGCGAACGAGCAGCTGACCAAGGCCGAGCAGGAGGCCCGAGCGTGGCAGGCGCGGCTGGCGCGGACAGAGGTAAGCGGGTCGGCCGAGGGGGAGCGTCGGCGCTCGGGCGGAGCGCTAACCGCGAGTGGCCGTGGCTTTCAGGGAGAGCGGGAGCGCCTGCGCGAGCTGGCGAGCAAGTACGAGAGCCAGCTGGGGAGCCTCGAGGCCGAGCGCGGCTCGCGGCGCCAGCACCAGTCGGACGAGTGAGTGCGGCAGCCGCGCGAGACGGCCCTCGCCCGCGGGTGATCGTGTCACTGATCCGCGGCGATCTTGTGCTTGCAGGAAGCCCGCGGACGCGCACAGGACCAAGCAGATCTACCAGCTGAAGGACAAGCTCGACCTGCTGCGGATGCGCCAGGTTCGTGCCGTCTCGCTCGCCGTCGTCGCGATCGGATTTCTTTGCGCGTGCCTGCTGCTGCTGCTGGGGACGCGCCCTCTCGCGGATCCGCGGCCAGCGCAGCCGATATAACGTCCACGGGCCGCTTCTTTTCCTCCGCTTTTCGTCCTCGTATCCCCACCTGTAATCCGTCGTTTTTTCTCTTTTTTTCCGTGTCTCCTTGATAAAACTGCAAGTGCGAGCTCTGCAATCGTGGGCCGTTGTGCTTCCTGACCGCTGCTGGATCGCTTGTTTTCTAGGAGCTCGACGCCAGGTGCCGCGTCGAGGAGATCGCCAGCCAGCTGAACGAGAAGCTGAAGCTGGAGGCGCGTCGCCAGATCGGCACGGGCAAGGAGAACCAGCTGTCGCCGCTGCTGCTGTCGCCGCACAAGCAGTTGTTTCCGAAGAGTACCAACGCCACGCCCGTCTCGTCGCCCGGCAAGCTCCACCCGGCTACCCCTCTCCGCACTCGCAACGACTGACTTTCGCCTCGCCAACGTCCTCGTTCGCCTACTCCGCTGCTTCCTGCTGCCGCCCTCGCCCTTCCACTGCGATTAGACCTCGAGCCCCGATCCTTTTCCGCTTGTTTCTCGCATTGTTGTTTTTCTGTTTTCGTTTTTTGAGCCCCGTTGTTGAGAAACTTTGCCCGACGTTCACTCTAAAGCCGACCTCCCCCCATTTTCCCCGCCTGCCCCACCTTTCCCGTTCGCAAATCTCAATCCTCCTGTTATGTGAAATTCTGAATCTTCTTTGCGGAGAGATCGTCAAGCTTGTTTTCTTTTTTTTGAAAAACCGTTATTGTCCCTAGATTAATTAATCGGTGAGTTGTTTTGCATTCAACTCCTCCACAATATTATTATTCATTTACGTTTACTTTTGCAACTTATTATATCATTAGTCTATAGAAATATAAACGTTTTGATTGTGTAACGGTTGAAAGTCTGAATCCTTTTTTTAATACAACTTTTACATAATAAAGTATAATTTTTAAATGTTTTCGCATTGTATTAGGGTTGGGTTTAGAGCGAGCGAAGCGAGACTCGCGTTACAGCCGAGAATCCGTGCTCGCTGACGAACCAACGATTTTTGTAAATAAAGGTAATTTATTTAAAAAAAGAATATCGATTGTCTCGATTTGTGTTTCATTTGCAAAGCCGAACGAGGAAGCCCGTAGGGCCCACGCGCAGTGCTCGAGTCTGCAGGCGCAGTCGGCAAGAAAATAGGGCTGCACTGAGAGCGCGAGTATATACTATTTGCGCGGCAGGTCACACACGCAAGTGATGAGGAGGGGGGGAAGGGATTCACGAGCGAGCTTGATGTTGATGCGCGTCGCGCATGTGAATGCTTCGCGGCGAGAGGCAGACGACTATTCGGCGGACGCTCGCGCCGCAGCTGATCGCGTTTGCGCGTCGCTCGTCGCTCGCTTCCCTTTCTCGCGCAGCACGCCGCCAAGCGAACATCGTCATGAGCTCCGGCAACACCAGTACTTTCCAGCAGCTCGGTAAGTATTGTTGCCGTTCACGTCCGTCTGCTCGCCTCGAGTTTGTCGCTTGCTTTTTCCTCGGCGAAACCGAGTGCCGTGCTCAGTGCTTTTCTCTACTCGCGCGTTTGCTGTCGCGTCAACGCCGCGCGTCTGATTCACCGACAGCGAAAGTTCAATCAGTCGATTCGTTATCGTGTTCATCGCGAAATTAGCCTCGTGCTTTGCTAACGCGTACAAGCGCGAAGTCGTCTGAAATCGGCTTTTGTCTTTCAAGTGTACAGTACGACGCCACTCGCCCATTTAAACGTGGACGACGTTGGTAACGCGACAGGCATATCGCTAATAAACCAAAAATATTACCGAGTGCTTGTTCGTCTACGGGTTTTGGAACAAGCGGTTTAATCGGATAAAATGACACGTGGCGTGGGACTTTCGGTGAATATCTTCCCAATTGCAAAGCGCAAGAGATCGATAGAGAATTAATTGGAAAAATAAGAAGTTTGAGCTCCCATAATATTATCTGTGTCAGATTATCAAATCGGCGAATTTAAATTGAGCGCGCTGTGCTGCCACTCCTTATCCAATGCATGAATGTGGCTTTTTCATAATACACGCCAGAGAAAATTTCATTTAAAAAATATACAATCTACAAGTGATCAGATTCAAACTGATAATCGGATCGGAGGAGCTTTCATTGTTGCAATGACGACCTTGCTGACGATCGCTGATCGTAGCATGGAATTGTGATAGACGAATCGAGATTGATATGTGATGCATTCATAATCGAAGCTGCTAATGTTACAGATGCGGAGGCTCAGCAGCTGATCCGCGAGGCCATAAAAGCCCGCGAATTTTCGTACTCTCCTTACAGCGGTTTCAAGGTGGGCGCGGCCGTTCGTTGCGCCGACGGCACTTTGCGCTCCGGTTGCAACGTAGAGAATGTATCGTTTGGCATGTCGATTTGCGCGGAGCGTTGTGCCATTGTTAAAGCTGTCTCTGAAAACCATCTTAACTTCGTCGCTCTAAGCGTCGTAGCGGAGAAGATCGAAGGCCGACTAACGACGCCGTGCGGCGCCTGTCGACAGATGCTGCGTGAATTCGGCGACTTTCCTGTTTACGTCACTTGTCCCGATCAGAGCCAAGTTCTTCTCACCAGCTGCTCGGATTTGCTGCCCCACGCATTCCAACCGAGTGACCGACTTTTTTCCTCTGAATCCTGCAATTCGGCAAAGTAGCTCCCCCCTCCCCACCTCACTTTCCTTCCACACTGTATGCTTTTTTTACTTCAGCTACACGTCGTAACCCAGTTTTAAATAACTACAATAATTTTTTCAATAGGAATGCATCTGTGTGTATTCTTTCGTAACAAGCTTTGTACACATTATATTTACAAGAGTATATTGCAGCAACATCTGTATGTATCGCTCGTTGACGATCGAGCTAAGGTGAACGGTTCACTGTATTAATCGAGAAATAATCTCACGCTTGCGTTTATCGCATGCACGCTTAAACAGATTCTTTACATGAAAAAGCATAAGTTGTACAAAATATTATTTTACAAAATATTGAAGAAAAACGAATGTAAAAGTAGTTTCTCCTCAGTACTGTATACTTATCCCTAATTGTCACTTGTAAAGGCGTAAATAGAAAAAGTATATATATCTGTATGTATTGCGTCTTTACCAGAATGGACACCTGGAATGCCAATAAAATTTATTTCATGAATTGTACTAGCATATCGATACTCCTAATTTGTTGATAAATAAGAGAAATAGTTTGATTGTGTGGTAATATAACGAACAATAAACTTACCATCCAATGTAACACTGACAAAGATTCTCATTGTTGGTTGCCTGTCGAATAAGCAAATCTACTTGGCGCTGCACGGTGAGCGTTTCTTCGTGTGAGAAATCACGCCCTGTCAATTTGTCTCGGACCCGATTAATAATTTGTAGCGCTTTTTTATTGAGAGCCTCGGGCTGACTACTTTCGCCTACAAAAAAGCAATGAAATTTACGAGTTATCGGAATTATTAATTCCAACGCATCAGCAAAGCAATAAGCATTAATTAACGTACCTCCGTTGTCGATATTACAAGGCACGCCTTTTTTTGGTAGGGTAGCGGTAAGCGAATCGAGCATGTCGGCGTGTTCTTGGCTGCTGCCCGAACTTATTCCTTGTGCTTCGCTTCGCTTACTCTTTGGTTGGGCATTATCCATCAGCCTCCAATTGAGCAATGGATCATAAACAAAAGCCTCAAGCACGGCCATCAGACTATCCTTATTTCGGTGCAATACCGACATAACAGATTCACAGGTACAACGATAGGTTCCCTCGATACCCGTCACTTCCATGGCGTTGATAAGCATTCGAGTCAAACGGAATGGGATTTTTTCAGGGAATTTTTCCCTCGTCATCGCCACCTATGATTCAATCAATTCAAGTTCTGGCAATTACCGAACAAAGAGAGACTTAAATTAATTAATGCACTAGTAATTACCTCAAAACAATCACCAAAGTCAATGTGGAGAATCTTGCCGGTAAGACGATCCAACATCAAATTCGAGGGATGCCGATCTCCTAGACCAAGAATATAGCCGACCATTGACATCACGGCGAGAGATCGAGTATAATTGGTGCGGCGATCGAACCAGACTTCCGACGAAGGCGACTTGAGCCAAAGTAGTCGAGCTAAATCATCGCCGTGAGTGTGCTCGAGCGCGTGTTCAAACACCTCGACCTTTTGCATCAGCATCAAGTGATCATAATCAGGAGCCATCTATTCAAAAGAAACACGCACATGATGATTACAAGCTCTTAGGTAGTAGTGATCGCGCTCCGCATATCACTTACCCTCAACATTATTCTATGTTCAATATTCAGCAGAATTTTCTTTTTCTCCCGATAGTCTCTTATCAGAGTATGCAAAGTATCGCAGTGTGGAACCCATCCGATGAGACCACTGTTCGTTGACAATGGGATGACGGCATACCTCTGCAATGAACAATTTCATTATATTTATTGATATGAAGTGAATAAAAGTTAACGGGTCGAAAACTCGGCAATAAATTATAAATTTTGATTCACCTGAATCGTGAGATTCCTCCTGAACGTGTCAGGATCGTGAAGTAGCAGAGTATTGACTAAACCAAATAGTTGCATTACTCGCTCGTCTTGGCGAAGATCTTCGTGTCCTTTCAATAGGAACATGTAGTCCTTGCCATTACTTCCTGCGATACAACACAGAAAATTGCAACGTTCAGTTGTGCTAGACACGTACACCAAATTAGGTTATTGATAACTACGTTCAAACTTATACCTTTGATGCAAAGTTTTCTTGGGCGCTGTTTGCTGGTAATCACTTGCATAGAGCTATGAATACTGCCAATCTTGACGATCGGTTGACCCGGTTGATAGCTACCGGGTACTGCAAGTTCGAGATCTCGACACAGCAATAATTTAGGACTGACGTATTGCAACTCGAGACTAGTTAGCTGAGGCAGTTGTCGGGAAATACGCCGAAATACGTGGTAGTATAGGTCCCAGGCTTGATTCAGATCACGCACGTTTCCTGACACCTTGTATCTGTGACACCAATCTTGCGCCTCCATCAAATCCCTACCGTAGGCCTGATTGAAGGACGTTTCCTTGAGAGTCTGAGGGCCCCGCTCGAGCATCGCGTGTAGCGGCTCCAAAGTGTCAAACATACCTGTGGTCATTTCCACTTGAGTCCACGTTCTCGACGTATACGCGATTTGGCTTACCTTTGACATTACGCTCTCCAAAATACAGACGACTTGCTTCCTCAAGACCTTCGTGCCAGAGCTCGTGCCAAAGTATGGCAACGCGAATCAATTCGTCACTGACCATTTTCGCCTGCTGTACCAAGGTTGGACTGTGCTCGCTCATGCTGTTCAGAATCTTATTGGCAGCGGTCTTGCGTGCTGGGCTGGCGCTCTTGGAAGCTACGGTCAATGGATAGACCAGTGCCTGTGGGTGCGACTTGCCGATGTCTACGAGCAAATTATGAATGCAGCGACCGACTAAGGCTCGAGGAGTGTCGATGCGAGCTATGAGTTGAGGTATCACCTAAATAAAATGACGAGAATATGCGTTAAAAGTATTCTTGTTTGGTGAACAAGAAAAGTGAACAAGAAAAAGTTAACCTGTAGCCAGGTGTTGATCTCTATCAGGCGGATACCCTCGATAATTGCCTCGTAAACTTCGGGCCACTGACCGTACTCAAACCAGAGAGTGAGCAGCCTCAGTGTGTCTTGGAGAGAGTTACCATGTGAAAGGTTGATTGATCTGATAAAACCTTCGAGAGCCGGCACGGTGAAGCGCGAGATGTATTGGGAAGCAAAAGCGTGGCTCTGCGCGGGCATGGCAACCGTCGGGCTCTCGACGGAATTGGCAGCAGCTACGGCAGCGGCGTTCGCTTCAGCTTGTTGCTGATGCTTGTAGAAGAGAACTGCCTCAAAGTTGGTGTATGCGAACGCGTGCCAGGCTTTGTACCAGCTGGGATCGTGTTTGGTTGCCGCTGCGTAGTATAAAAGCACCGCTGGAATGGATTTCTCGTCGATGCCATGCAAAGCTTCCAGCCACTCGCCCAGTTTGAGATTACAACGAGCCAACAGCCGCTGGCGCACCTCCGATTGTCGTTCGTCCTCTACTTGTACCGGATTTTGTTGCTGATTTGGGAAGAAATTCTGTACGAAACGTTGCAGCTGACCATAGGCTTCTTCGCGTTTGTCGGCGACCCACATGTGCTTACAGTAGGCAAAAGTAACCTAAGCAGTAACGTATTAATCAATATAATCATCATATATTTCATTTTTTTCAGGCAGCTGATTTTCCGTTATGACACTTACTTGAGGATGTTGCGTAGGAACCGGTTGCTCCGGTCGCTGAGAAGGATCAGCGCCAAGTAGCATCACAAGCGTCTTGTGACATAGCTGAAGATTGCCACTCTTCCGACAAAGACTAGCATACTTGAGCCAAGTGTACATGTCGTCCTGAGGTGAAATGACAAGTGTGTGCACCTGTATGATCTTCTGCCAGTCCTCAACGATACGTTGGCCACCTTGCAATCGTTCCCACCACATGGACTTGATCGTAGCTCGTCTTTCTGGCACTAATTTGTACTGTATGACTTCCTCGAGCTCAGCCAATTTTTGCACCTCGACCATGGCGTTGTAAGCTCTTTGGTAACTTTCGCCCACCATAGCTGTGAGTTCGGTATCAAGTAAATCTCTGGCGTTGTCGATGAGCCGATGTGCAAGATCGTACTGCTCGTCGTGAATAGCCAGCACGGCTCTATAGAAGGCTCCGTCCTGAGAGTCCTCGGGTATGAGAGCGACGTAACGTTGCATGCTCTCCCACTGGTTCAGACCCCAAGCCGCTGCAGCGGCCATTCTAGCCATACGTTGTTTAGTTTCCTGCGAGTGCGAAGCCCACTGAGTCATAGCGACTTCATGCAGCTGGCCCCACTCGCCCAGAGCTTCTAAGCAACGCATCTCGCCTAGAGTCGATTCCACGTCTTGCGCGTCGACCTCCAGACGCTCGCGATACAGATGTAAGGCTTTGTCCCAATTGTGCAGCTTCTCGTACCAACGCACCTGCACCTTCAGCTCTTGTTTACCCTCCTGCTGATTGCCTTTGTTTTCCTGCTGTTGTTGCTGCTGCTGATTCATCACGTACTCGAGCAAACCCTCAGCCGCTTCCTTCTGCTGCAGCTTGTTGTTAATACTTATCAGTGACTCGAACACGGCACTGCTTCTGTCTACAAGGAAAGAACCGTCAAGGATAGAATCAGCAGTAAAAGGCAAAATGAAAAAATAAAAGTCTCACTTTTATGAAACTCATCCTCCTTGTAGTGCAAGGCTTTGGCGTAGGCGCGGCAATGCATGGCTCTTTCACCGAGTATACGTATATCAAGTGGCAATGGTCCTTTATCGCAGTGCTCCATGAACTCGGCGATGTTAAGAATGGTTTGACTGATCTCGGGCAGATCCGGCACCGTGAGGGCCTGCTGAAGGGTGGAGATCAGCTCGGCTCGATGAGTCTCGTCGAGCTCACTCCAGCACGAGACAAAAGCCGCGTTGAAGAGGTCTCGTGGCAGCTGCGAATAGGTCTGTGCCAGAGCCCAGCAAGAGCGCAAAGCCGGCGACGGCGACTCCTTAAGCAGACCGATAGAAAGGCTGCGCAGCCACTCGAGCCAGTCATCCTTGGAAACACGTCGCGTGGCCGTCCAAGCCTTCTGCAGATTTGAGGCGGACACGTTGAGCTTCTTGATGACTGTAGCGTCGCTGGAGTGCGAGGCTAGGCCCAGCTCGGCGCGCTGACTTTGCATGCGCGCTTGACGCTGCCGCCGCGAGGCCAAGCCTGCGGGGGTCATTCCGCTCGACCGTGGCGGCTCAGCGTTTTCGCTACCCAGTTCGAAGCCGACGCCACCACCCAGGCGCGCCTCGCTCTGCATCTTATCAACGAGGGCGTCGAAACGCTGGTGGACGATACGCTGGCGCGTCATCACGCGCTGCACCAGCGGTAGGAACACCTGGAACTTAGGTCCGAGCTGGAGCAGTAGGGCGCACAGCGTGTCGCAGGCGGGTCCACGCAAGTCAGGGCACTGCTCGAGGCAGCGCAGCAGTGGCTGCACGATACGCGACGAGAAATCACTGAAATCCAGCACTTCGGCTAGCTGCTCGACGGTCTCGAGGGCGGAGCGTGCCACGGCTATGGGCACCTCTTGTCCACCTGCCGCTGACTGCCCCGGATCTTGGCACTGGAACAGTCGCACTACCGGCGGCAGAATCAGGTGCAGGTAGCTGTCGAGGTTCGACCCGAACTTTTGCAACGCCAGGAGCAGTTTCAGTGTGACCTGGCGCTCCTTGCTCGCGTCGTGGCAAAGCACGCGTAGGATTTGCGGCATCAGCCGAGGCAAATAGATCTTAAACTCGGAGCCGAGAGCTACGGCGATGTGCTCGACCAAGAGAATGAGGGTGACTTGCAGCGGACTGTTGCACGTCCAGAATTCCTGCACCAATGCGAATATATCGTCGAGGTAGTTTCGTATGTGCTGCTTGACGATGGCAATGAGGATGGCCAACTGCTGGAAGAGATACTCGCGGAAGCTCACATCGGCGCTACGTAATACGTTGAGGAAGCTTGGCATCACTTGGGCGATATAGGGCACGCACTTGATGCCTAGACTCTTGAATATGAAACTGACTGCTTGCACGACCATCGTATGATGCTGAGCGAGGGTCGGCTCGCGAATGATACGCATCAGCGTGGCTATGGCTATGGCGGGGTAATATTCCTCGAGCGTGGCCGACGGCATGTTGACCAACATCTCGCTAGTGCTCAGCTCATCGCCGGGATGAGCACCCCCGACACCGACGGGTCCGGCATTGCCGAGGGCGGTTGCCGTCCCGCCAGCCGCCACCAGTCCCGCGCCCAGACCGTCTGCCGATGGCCTTGAGCTCACGTTCTCGTACTGCGGCGAGGCAATCTGACCTAGATTCATCTTGTGCTTGTAGGGGTCCAGAGCCCCCAATAATCCCAGAACACGGATCGTTTCGCGGCGCACCACCGATTGTTGCTCCGTCTTCAGGAAGTTCATCAGCACATCCAGCAACGAGGGATACTGAAAATGGAAATGCAAGGACCGTTGAGGCACCCAAAAAGAAATGCACAAAACTAGGTGTGGAGGGCTACCTGCGTATAGGGGCGCACCACGTGGCCGGTGCTGCTAACCAGCTGACCGAGCAACCAGAGGGCGAGAGCTCGCTTCTCCGGCGACGAAGCGTCGACAAGCATCTCCAGGAGTATGGACAACAGCTCGGGCATCCAGGGCTGCATCTCTTGACCGCTGACCTCGGCGAGGTCGCCGAGCGCGCGCAGCACGGCGAGCACCACGCCTGGATTGGGCTCGGGCTCGCGCAGCTTGGGCACGAGCACTTTGAGCACGGGCTCCATGTAGGGCCGGATCAACCGCGGCGCCGAGCAGACTAAGTGGTCGAGCATGCGCGTCGCCTGCTCCTTGTTGCGACCCATGCCCGAATGCTCGAGCTCGGTGAGCAACTGGATGAGGGTCTTGCGCAGCGCCGGCATTACGTAGGCCGGATTCATGCCGCTCAGCCGGCCGATCGTACGGATGGCCAACTCGCGGATCTCGAACACCTCGTCGTTCATGGCGACGAACAGGCAGGACAAGCTCTCTGCTTGCGCGAGGTGGATGTCGAAAGGCTCGTCCAGCGAGGCGAGCACCCAGTAGCGCACCTCGGGCTCCTGGTCGGTGATGCCGACTACCAGCAGCTTGCCCAGCACGCTGGACACGGTGGCGGTGACGGTGGGCCCGGACTGACCCACGCTGGCCAGCCGTAGCAGCCGCGAGCAAGTCTTGACCGCCTCGAGGCGCACCTCCGGCTCGTCCCAATCCAGAAAGTAGTCAGCGCAGCGGCGCACGAACTGCAGCAGAGGGCTGCCGTCAAAGTCGAAGGTGCCGAGCGTGCGCAGCCCCAGCACGGTGGCGGCCACGTCGGCCTCGGGGCCCGGTGCGTGCTGGTGCGCGTGGTACACCCCGGGACCCGGCCCGCTCGTCTGCGGACTGGCCGCGGCCGTCCAGGGCGCGCCCGGGTGGCGCAGAGGCTTGTACATGAGCATCTGCGACAGCATGCGCAGCAGACCCTGCGAGACGTCGGGCCGCAGCGACGGCACCGTGGCTGCCAGCTCGCGCAGGCAGGTGGTCAGCACGGGCGACAGGCCCGTGGCCAGCATGGGCTCCAGCAGCTCGCGCAGCTCGCGCGCCGCCTCCTGGCCGCAGGCGTGGCCCAGCAGACCCACGCAGGCGAACAGCGCCGGCTCCAGCGGCTGCGCGCGCTTCTTGCTCGGCGTCTCGCGCTGCGGCAGGCCCGCGCGGATCAGCTCCCAGAGCCGCGGCAGGAAGGGCCGCGCGGCCTCCTCGCCCACGGCCAGCGTGGTCAGGCCCAGGCAGACGAAGGCCTGGGCGCGCTCGCGCTCGCGGCCGCGCAGCGCGCCCAGCAGGTAGGCCACCATCTCGCGCAGGTGCTCGGCCACGAAGCTCTGCCGGCGGAAGGCCGCCAGTCGCGGGAGCAGCTGCATCAGCGCCTGCTGGATGTGTGGGCTGCGGCTGTGGCGCTGGGCCAGCGCCTCGTCCACCACCTCGTCCAGGCGCTCGAGCATGAGCGCGCGACAGGCCGCCGACTCGTGCAGCAGCGGTCGCCGCGGCGCCGGCTGCTGCTGCTGGCGCCCGTGGTGCGGCCCAGCGCCGCGAAAGCGCGGCGGCGCCAGCGCCAGCGGGTCCAGCTCGGGCGCGCCCGGGCAGCTCAGCCGCTCCATCAGCTCCTCGTAGCGACGCTCCCACTGCAGGTTACTGCAGCGCAGCAGCTCGTTGAGCACGAGCAGCGAGCCGTGCGCGCGCTCCTCGCGGCTGCCGGCCTTCTCGCGGGCCGCGGGTTCCTCCAGGCCGGCCAGCACCTCGTCGTAGCAGAGCCGGTACCAGTGGCACTGCTTGGGGCGCACGTCCAGTGCGGCCTCCGTGGCCGCGGCCGGCCCGCCCGCCGGCTGCACCGACTCGCGCTGCGCCGTGACCACGAGAGCGGCGCGCAGCGCCTCGACCGCCTGCTCGCGGATCACGGGCTTGGGGTCGCGCACCGCCTGGAACACCAGCTCGAAGAACTGGCTGACTTGCTGGTAGAAGTAGGTGGGCATCGTCGAGGCCAGCTCCTTCAGCACCAGCACGGCCGCGTGGCGCTTGTTCTCGTGGCGGTCGCCGCTCAGCCACTCGAAGGCCTTCTTCACCTCGAATTCCACGTACTCGGCGGTGCAGGTGCCCGAGACCAGCGCCAGCTTGCCCACCGTGCGCGCCGCCAGCTCCATCACGCCCACGTCGTTCGACGGCAGAAGGTTGCGCAGATAGTTGGCGAAGCGGATAGTGCGCGTGTTGATCTTGCCCACGTCCGCGCCGATCAGGCACACGATTGCAAGGATGCCACCCTTCTTTTCGTTTATGTCCGAGCCCGAGACCATCTCGAATATATGGTGGTTGAATTCGTCCATGAACGCCGTGATCTCGTCCTGGGTCGCCTCGCGCAACTCCGTCTTCACGTACAGGCTCAGCTCCCGAGCGGCTTTTGCGCGCACTTCCTCGTGCTTAGACTTCAGCCGCCCGACCAGTTGCTGTACCACTCCCGTCGACGCACTCATTTTGGCGACACTATTTTGTGCCCGCGACTTAGATCAATGGTGTTGTTAGAGGTTAGATCTCTACTGCATTTCTCGGCATGCGTCTTCTCTCTGCTCGTTCGCCGAAAAACGAGATTGTTAGTCTCTTTTGATCATTTCATATACATGCGAATAATGTTTTTCTTACCAAATGTGAAATAACATAATAGTTACGCTTTAATAATAACACCTACTCGATGAGATATCATCATTTTTTGCGTTTGGTGGGATTTTTTTACAGTGAAAATAGATTCACCGCCAATATCGCTAGCCAATAACCGAGTACACCAACACTTACTAGTCCAACTCGTGTAATACTCATTGTTCAATTTTTATTAAAACATAATAGAATAGATAAACACCCATGTTTAGTTAATCGTCAACATCTATGGTGACGTAGTGTCTATAATATAGTATTATAGTATAGTATAGCAGTATAATACAAGGACATTTTACGAAAATTTTAACCAAGAAATTTCGAGTATCGTGCGCCATCTATGTGTACATATTTTTGACTACTGCTGGCACTGCTTACTGCTTTTGCCTCTTACGAAAATGTTGGATGAGTGAGGGACAAGTACAGATATATAACGAAATACAGATTAGGATTGAAAAAGTTCGCATCAGATTCTCCATGTAATTCAGGCCCCGGTCACATATGTACGTACGCTTGCGTACGAATGCGAATGAATCTCACGATTTCAGTGCAATCACTAAAAATTCATAGTTCTAGTTACTAATACCAACAGTCGCAACAGATGCTTAAATGTCGCTAACTATAAGTAAACAAAATACAGTTTGTTAACCTCAAAATTATTTTACCGTTAACATAATTGTTATTTTTTATTGCATGTTTCTTACCTACTTAATATCACCAAAATAGCACAATTATTAAAAAATAACAATTGTGTCGACGTTAAACAAGTTATCTCGTATCTTGCTGCTTTTACGTTATAGCATAAACAAACTGTATTTTCTTTGCTCAGTTAGCGACATTTAATCATCTGTTGCGACTGTTGGTATTAGTAACTAGAACTACGAATTTCTAGGGAATACACTGGGATCGTGTGATCCGTCCGCATTCGTACGCAAACGTACGGACATATGTGACCAGGGCTTCAGTAAATCAGTAAAAATAGGACTGTTGAACGTAGCGTCCCCTCGATTTTGTTGCACCGATCGCCATTCACCAGTAAGGCCCTCGCCACATATGCGCATACGTGCGCGTACGAGGGCGTACAAACGCGTACAAATCGCTAAAAATTTTGATAGTGCCAACAACAGAAAATTACTACTATTCCTCGCATGCCCCAAACGAACACACTTACTCCCGGAACAAACGTATCATAACCTTCAATAATATAGCGTTATGATACGTTTGTTCCGAGAGTAAGTGTGTTCGTTTGGGGCATGCGAGGAATAGTAGTAATTTTCTGTTGTTGGCACTATCAAAATTTTTAGCGATTTGTACGCGTTTGTACGCCCTCGTACGCCGCATATGCGCATATGTGGCGACGACCTAATATGAGAACCCGATGACTACAAAAAATTTCATTTTCATGAAGTTATATCGCATCTATATCTTTTATACAACTATGCCCAAGATTCACAGTCAGCACTGCCGAGCATCTTGAACATAGTTGTATAAACAATATAGATGTGATACGACTTTATGAAAATGAAATTTTTTGTAACCTCATCAGATTCTTACAATAACCTATACTCTTACGGCTTATGTTACTGACTAATAGAGGCGCTGATTCGAACTTTTGTAATACCACCAATACTGTGCCATGACTGCCATGAGTGCCATGTGACTATGTGAGTTGGTTGGTACTTGGAAGGATCACTAGGATCAAACAACAATGTCTCAACTAATGAATTTACCACATTTAGATGGCAACAAGATTTTTGTTGTTAGCGAAAGCAAGTAAAACATTTTGTAGCCAATAAAATAAGATGATTATGCGAAAAATATTCATGATTAATTCCATTTTAGATGTGGAAGCAACTTATGCCAACTCCTTGATAATAGCTTGGCTACAAACAATCAGAAAAAGAAGTCCCAGACAGCAAATTGTTGTTCTACTTTTTTCATATCCAAAATATTGTTTAGAACGATATTTAAAATATTCAACTTTGACCAACGTTGATATCAAAGATTACTTTAGTATCAGTTGTCAAACAGAGGAAATCGATGTATTGCAAGAAATTACTTTCTTTGCAAGCCAGCATAGTGATTCAGTTCTAGTTATTAACTGTATAGACACACTTGCACTACAACTTGGTCTTGCTAACACTTTGAGGTTTGTTGAAAAATTACAGCAAAACCACAAATCAAAAATCTTTATTATACACAGGAGAGATTTCTTTACAAAAATTCCAAAAATAGAAACATTAAGTAATACATATGTATTATTGGAAAAGTTTACAAAAACTACTACTGAAACAGAAGTACATTACAAAGTGTCCATAACTCACAGAAAACCTGGTGGTACTGTAGTACATTCAAAAGAATTAGTTTGTCAAAATATGGAAAATTACAATCTCACATCAGAGAAATTGAACGATAGTTTAATTTCAAATTTGGAACAGAATAAAATGCCCAAAGTAAAAGTACAACCTCAAGCATCTTTCAGGATAGAAATGAATGAACAAGAAATAAAACAAAGAAATAGTGTACCTTTACCTTTTGTATTATCTTCTAGTACAGACAATAAGGAATTTAAAATTATTTATGTACCTGATGATGCAGATGATATAGATGAAGAAGATCCAGATGATGATTTAGATATATAATTAAGAAGTAATCATAATTATTTTATCATACTATGTGGATTTATTAAATTTGCCAGATTTACATTTACAATCACAATCATTGTATTTTCTTATTGTCTTTAGTTAATATAATCTTTGTTTAAGGATTCTAATCTCTTATCTGTTATTCAATCCATTTTAAGAAAATTTCTATCAATTTGCTTTACCCTTTTTATTTTATGACACACAATAGTTATAATTAGCTAAGGCTCTGCAACAACATTTTTTACAATAAACGTAAGCAGACAAATACAAAAAAAAATTAATTTAATATTAAAACTTTAAATAAAACACTAAGATCAAAAGTCTCTTAGAGTCAAATTATTTAGGTACAAGTATATCCTATCATTTAAGATATGGAGATATTTTTGTCATCTTAGTATTCTAAAACATTCAGTTTTACAAGTCTTTCTTTTATTTGGCTACTTGAGCATGGAACTTATTAGTTATTTCAGCACATCATAAATAAAAAAGAAATGTGCAATACTATGAAGAAAATGTAAACTATCAACTTTAATTGGAATAATAATATTCATAAAATCTCTTTTCTGTTCTATATGAATATTATAAAGCAATACCACGGCGTAAACAATTAAATATTAGCGCCAGCGCTGTATTAGAAACAATTCAAAGAAGTTACTTGTGTTTACAATAAATAAAGTTATTTTTAAAACATGGTTGATCATTTTTCTATGTAAATTGTAACTTTCATTCAGATAGACATCACATTTTTTTTACATTTATAACAGTTTGATAGTTTAGTATGAAAAATTCATACTGTTATAAAAATATATCATTCTGAAAAATGATTACCTTAAAAAAATTAACTTCATCTCTTTTATCTCACTCAATGAATCACAGAATTTCTGTATTCTCAAACTATTTCGATATATAGTTGTTATACTCTAGGATCCTAAGGATAGTGTAAAATTTGATCAGAAACGTAAATTTGATACTAAAAATAATAAGTAAATAAATAAATTTTAAAAGAGTACCTAATCTGCACGAATTAAAACACACAATAGAGTGTTTAAAAAATTATTACTCTTTTAAATATAAAATGTGCATATGTACTAATAAATAATAATACAATTCAGCCTCGAAATTTGTAAAGAAGGTTTTGATCGTGAAAGTGCTGAGTGTTGTCTACGTGATTAAGAACTCTACTATCTAGAAGACAACGGCCATAGTATATTGCTTCATCACGATTTTTCGCTACACCAGCTTCCAAAAACCAGTTGACGAGGTCACTGCCAGTAAAAACGCCGTTGTACGTCCTTAGCAGACTCCTTCGGCACACTGCAATACGGGCTTGACAATTTTCTAAATGACAACGTTGGAATTGTTCACGGAAAGCTTTGGCTTCAGGACTCAATGAATCTTCGTCGGGAAGCTGCAGCTCTTTATCTACAACAAAAAGTATATCCAATCTTTTATGAAACTAAAATATTTATGTAGAATTCATTATTTTTCAATTCTTATTAATTTTCGTTTCAACAAATTTAAATGACGCATAATTTCACTCACCCATTTTCCATTTTCGTAACATGTTTCTCAACCAGCAGCCCAGTTTGCCTAGTCCAGGATCAAGACCAAATATAGCAAAAGCTATCAATGACTGACCAAAGCCCAAAGCAACATCCAAAAAGGCAAGCTCCGCATAAATACCAGACATTTGTTCCATTATCAGAGTTGCTACAGACATTGCAAGGCCCTGTATATAAAATACACAATTAATTCAACAATTTTCATTTAAAAAGTATCTTTTTACGGAAGAAATAATAAAAGAAACAATTTTTATAACTCACAATGAACATGGAGCACAGAAGTAGAATCAAAAGAACCACATGCCTCAAAATTTCGGGATCATCATCGGTTTCCGCTTCGTTTTCTTCGTCGTACTCGCATGTTCTATTACAATCATAATTATCGCCAGTTCCGCACAATCCGTTCACGCAATCGTTTCTAAAAGAATATAATAAATATGTAATTAGTTATTAAAAACTTGAAAATTATAACTTCATTACAATATAATTAGATAAATTTTGTTCTTACGTTGGTGCATTTGATGGATTTTCTGGGGACACAAGATCTTCAACATCAATCACATTTCTTGAATGTAATCTGTTTGATTCTGTCACAGTCGGTATTAAACTACTATAAGAAGATGATAAATTGTTTCTTCGCTGATACCTCTGCCGCATTACCAAACTGCCTAATGTAACTAAATCCATTTACATTGATTAGAAGCTATCGTATCTCAACAATGTATAGTAAAATAACTAGTAAAAGTTAAATACTTACCAAAGAAGCAAAAAAGTAAAACAAAAATTGTAATTGCTACATGTAATCTGCCAAATTGAAAATTAGGATTTTTCAGTTCAGAATCTGTTTGGTTGGTTGGAGAAACTGCTAAGCACATTATGCTTATTATAATCAATGGACCTCTGAAAAGAAAAAAAAAAATAAAAAGTAAATGTATATCCCAAATTACTGTGAAATGCAAATAATTTTAATAACTCACCCCCAACACACAAAATAAAAGTATTTTAATAAATTTTTAACAAAAACGTCAGTTTGAGAACTTAAAAATAATAATGTTAAGCCAATAGCCGCTGTCCAAAAACGACTGGCATAGATTCCAACAGTAATTAAAGTAAACTGAATGTACCTGTAACAAATGTAATCAATTAAATTACATTTATATATAATGCATGGGGGAATATAAGCATGGAGGAATGAATGAGTGGGAATATAAATAAATAATTGTGGAATGTATATATAAATTACCAGAGAAGACTTGCTACACCGTGAGCCCCTAATTTTGTCCATATGATAACACCTACTCCAGTTGTCAGCTGAAAAATTAATAATCACAATTCAGTTACATAACATTTATTTTGTTACAGATAATATTTGAACAGTATTTTACCTGGGCTATGATGAGACACAAGGTACACTGATGAGTTGAATTTTTAAGCCTTTTTCGTTTGATTAGTAAAAAGCAGATAAGTAACCAAATGCCAGCTGCCACTGAAGCTACACTTGTGTCAAATGAGAAGGCTTTGAGTTGGTTGGTATATTCTGAAGGTGATACTTCTCCTTCGATAGCACTTATTAATTTTGCTGATATAAACATCAAAGGGGCAGACAGGAAAGTACACACAACCATAGCAGAAGCAATCAGATCAATATCAATATTATAACGCAGTGTGAAAATAAATAAAGCTGGAGCAGTAGGAATGGTTCCATAGAGAAAACCAAAAGTGCTCAAATCAGATGTGTCAGTGGCATTTTCTCCAGCATTCAATAGTATCACAGATTCTCTAATAACTAATGGAAGGACTAGAAGCTTAACAGAAATAAGAATTCCTGGTATTACTAATGCTACACCCTTGAGCTTGTGAATTTTGCCAACCATCATGAGTCCAAGCAAAAAGAGAGCACTTGCTGAGAATGCATTTCCAAGGACTTCTAGAACAACTTCGAGCAAAGCTGGCAACTTATGACTGAATATGAGATTTCCAATGATTCCGAGAACAGTCATAACTAGTATAGGATTTAAAGCAATCCCTTTGGCAATTGCTTTAAGCATGTCCCAATTACTTCTTTCAGTACGATTGTCTACTCCTTCATTGCGCTTAGCCACTTCCAAAAAAACAAAACCAATGGGATTCAAGGCAACTAGTGATATTGGTGCTACTAAATATAAATATGCTGAATACTCAGGATGTGTTGAGGCATAAAGAGCATTTACTGAAAATAACACAGAAAGAATTAGTAACCATTAGTGTCATAAATTGAAATGAATAACTGCAGATTTACTTACTCATTGGATAGCCAATAGCAAAGTCATTGCTTTGTGTTGTAAAAATGGCAAAAAGAGCTGAACGTCCATAATTGGATGGTTTGGTGCTAACAATGGAAATGATTAAAACAACAAAAAATACTATGCTTTTTGATATGAACACTGCTATTAAAAACTTGTAGTTAACTGTTGAAAAATCAAGTTTAGCCATGGACAAGAATATGAGTGCAGGCAAAGAGAAAGTTCCAACAAAGGTATTCAAACCATTTGCTTCTGGTTTTGTAATTACTTGTAATCTTCCTGCAATATAGCTAAAATTCAGCAAATCAAAGGATTAGACTAAAGTCAGTAAACTGAACATTGTTGAGGCTAGATTTTCATTATAGAACTTACCCGCAAAGAATAATAACAAAGCATTGTACCAATGCTAGATATAGACTATCTGTGGGTGCAGCCTCCTGGTTAACTGTAATTTCCATTTTTACAGTAGTGTTAGTGCATGTTTTATTAACTCATTAAGTGTCTGAAAATAGGTATAAATTAGTTCATAGGTACATGTATTTGTAATTACATGCACAAATGATAGTCATGACAGGAAGAGAAATAGATTACTTACATCAAAAATTAAATATTATACGATACAAGGTCATTATTCTTCGTATAATCAGCAACATTTCTAGAGGAACTTTTAGGATAGTACTCTGAAAACAAGGCCATCATTTGTTTGGACGCAAATTGGCATTGTTCATCGTGGTAACAAAAGAATAAAAACTCAGCTAAATTGAGATTATCGCGTATTTTACGTACTTAGTAATGTAACGAATGATCGATCAAAGCGCGTGATATTCCAATTTAGCCTCCATTGCCCTCGCTGCAGCAGACACGTAGCAGATAGCCAGCAGCTGACGGTCAACGAGCACCAATAGCTGTAGGTAAGGATGAAGGAAAGAGACATCAAAAGCTCGCCCGTAATAGAGTCTGTCTCTTTCGGTTGTGCTCATGCGCCCGCGATTATTATGAATTTTCAACCGAGCAAATTTCGCTCACATGATCGTGATTCATAAAATTCGCGACAATTCAGTACTGCTGTACGTTATATCGACAGCGAAAGTATTAATTCGTAAAACGTCTTGAGCTCAAGTTCTGCGTATACGATAGCTTTTTCGGTATCTCTTTGATACTGTATTACAATCATTTAATATGGTTCATTATGATGCAACAGGCCGTGCTATTTTGAACCATCGATTCAAATTGTTTTTATACTGAACGTCTTCGGCCGATTTCATTGTATTAAAAAAAAAGAGAGCAAAGGTTATAAATTGACGATGGTAATGATGAATAATAAAATCAAAATAATAATTTTGATAATAATCAGGCTCGCCAAATTTGTTGTTCTGCACCAGCTATCATACTCCTACACATTTCAACGTTATTCTGGCAACGCATTGGCGTTGTTTGCTCGCATGCACGAATACCTTATAAAATAAAATCTTTTACGATCATATTCACCGTATATGTTGAATATTGAATATTTAGTCACGTTGTAAATTACGCAAAAGTATAATTATTAACAAAAAATAATTTATTACGTTACATATAATAAATACGATTGAAGTTTTCGACTAATTGTAGTTTTATGTAATATATCTGTAACTCTCCCGACAAAGAAGATATAGTTATCGAGATGGTTTGACCTTCCGCCCAAACGAACTGTTTATTTACTCGTATAAACAATGACGCCACCGCAGCAGCTGCCGCGTGTTCTTTTCCATTGTTTGTTTTTGAAAATTGATAAAATGCGTAAATGTGTACAATGGCGCATATAACTATCGTGTCGCGCGCACGTGCTTGGAAGCGTTCAAAGCTTTCGAGGAAATAGCGGAAATGTGTATGTGTGTGAGTGTGTGTGTGTGTGTGTATGTGCAATGACGTCTAAAAAAAACGTATAATGTATCATTATGAAGATAAACTGAAGAGGCACACGAGAGGGGGAAATTCCCCCTCGCGCCCATCTGAATTCCCCGTCATACGCGCTCACGCACGCACAACAGCGGATTAATGACGCATATATATATATATATATATATATATATATATGTGTGTGTGTGTGTGTGTGTGTGTGTGTGTGTGTTGCCAACGGCAAAGATCAACGTAGTAATTTATTGAAAATTTTCCGATCGATCAAAGGAAATCTAAAAAGAAAATAATGTCACGTAGTTGCTTTACCCCTGCTCGCCTAGCTTGCAAGCTGCAATTTGCATGTTAACACTGTCGACTATACATTTTCAGAGAGCGCTTCGAGTGTCCTTTGCTGTAACATTATGGAATTGTTCTTGTTGCGCAGTTACTCAGGCGATCGCTCTTTGCGATGACTATTGAGTAATAGAGCTGAAAAAACGCCTATCTCGAGTGGCTTGTTTGCCACATCGCTGCAAACATTTGTCGATAGTTTGTCAACGCGCCAATCTGAGTTTGTGCAGCGTGAGTGTACAACATCCTGCCAAGCTGTAAAGCTAATTTTTCTTTTTAATGATGCAAAGCTCGCACTCGCAGCTTTAGCTCGCTCGGGAACAAGCGTTCGATTTTTATAGGCGTGCGTAATTGACCTCGAATCGCTGGATTAAAAGTGATTTGTCCACGAAAAAAGCCGCATTTCAAACTATTCCTCGTTCGATGCGACCAATTTGGAGCACGGCACTCGCAAAACCAATTAAACATCTAATGCGCGCTATTACAGTCGAGTATCAATTGAGCGCTGTTTTGAAGCTGATATTCGAGCGTGTACCCGTGGCGGTTACGGTGTCGTAACGTTGAGCAACGACTCGGCGTCCCCAATCGGGCGTCGTGACGAACATGTTCCTGGAAAAAAAAATCCATAGAAAGGACGCGCTCTGCTCTCAGAATCGATATAATCCGTATATATATATGTGCGTCGAACAATGTGAGGGCGTCGCTACGCGGCCCGCTTGAGACGGAAAAAGAAAGTGAGTGTGGTCACCGCGTATTCTTGACTCACGCGCTTTTCACGGGAACGAGCTCGTCCATGCACCCACGCGTACAAACACGCGCGCACACATATACATCAAAATACACACACACACTCGATTCTCAGAATTGGTAATTAACGAGCAAGCGCAGACACGTTATCTACGCATTTGTTGTGTATCCCTTCGCCGTCTATATGTATACACACACTCATCGATGACGGCCGCAAAGCAATGGTAAAAGAAATTGTTGCGTGAAAATAGCTTCATCCGAATATATAGCGAAGGAACGGGTGCGTGACCTTGACTCAGTAATTAGCTTAATAGGTATAGATTGTGGTAAAATTCGTCGAGAGCGTTAATGCATGCATATGGTCGCAGTGCAGTCGCCAGTGCACGTGTGTGCGTTTGTGTGCCATCAGCTGATCCAGCCAACAGCATGCGTACGCGATGCTCTTTAAAAATGCACGAGTATTCGTGTGGCGAATTGACAAATCGGAATGAAAACTGCGACGCAAGAGGGAGCCGTAGAGCGGAAGGGAAATGGAATATCCGTGAATTTGCCCGCATCAAATAGTCAGAGGACGTGGAGGGGCGAGAGGGGAAGCGTTGCTTCTACATAAGGCGCGCGTGCGCTTTCGCTGTTCAGTTCTGCTTGGACTTCGGATACGGTCACAGTGCAGTACAGCTACAAGAGGGAGGAACAGTTTTTATTTGATCGGTGCGCTCATTGTATGGGTGAGTAAACAATAACAAATTTCCGTAGAGGCGCGCGGATGCTTTTGCAATCTAGTTCAACGCTTTCTGAACGACGCAAGACATCAAGAACAGCAGTTTCTTGCTGGACTTACGTAACGACGCAAAAGCTTGAACCATGCGTTATTCTCATCTCTTTTCCACTCGTTCGATGTCGTCACGCGCTCGTCAGCTGCTAATTCACACGTTCTAGATCGTGAAGCGAAAAATCTGGGAACGTGGCTTATGTAGTCGTGTTGTCGTATTGTCAAGTCGGAAAGGGTCGAGTCAACATTTAGCAAAATAACAGGATGAACAACTATTAACGACGAGATTGTTTCGTTTTGGTAGAGCGAGAGAAGAGTAAAAGAGACGGTGAGTGCCCTGTGGAGCCAATAAGCAGCTGCAGGGACGAGCATGGCTACGTGCCAACGGTTGGACGATGGGGCAGCGAGTGGCCAAGTTGACTCGAACAGGCCACGAACAACAACAACAACAACAAGACGAAGAGCAGCCCGAGCAGCGAGACCAGATGGTACCTGCCGGGCACTCAGGAGAATCAGGCGCGCGGGCCCTGGATCCGAGGGCTGCCGCTGCCCTTGCCGGTCTGGGCCCACTACGAGGCCCCCACCTTGACCGTCAACAGCATACTACAGTATGAGGAACTAGCAAGCAGCGTTGAACTTGAAACTCAGCGGTTACTTCGCGAGCGCCGTTACGACACGCTCGACAACCTTCTTAGGTAACTATCGGCTCGCCGGAATTCGATCGACAAACAGCAGCAGCAACAACAACAATTAATCGGACGTCGCTCTTTGTAGGTTCTACAGAGACTTTAAGCAGAGCGGAGACAACAGTCTTGAACACTTTTATCGCAAGTATCAGCCGTTGATAGTCGAGGAGCGTCACACTTGCGTGGGCCTGGGCCTCGAGTTGGTGCGCCGTCTATGCGTCAACCTCGAGTGCCGCTTTCCTGGCTTGAGCCAGGGACTCTATCTGGCCTCGTGCGAGGAGACCATTGGAGATGTGGCCTCGTACGTGGGCGGTCCGCCGGCGGCGGATAGTGGCGAGAAGGAGCATGTGCTCGTCTGCCTGAAAGTGATCATAGGCGAGAACAGACGTGGCCTGCTGCTCCTCGACCCAGGCTACCACGTTGCCAGGGTCGTCACAGTGATGCACGACAAGATGTACCCTCACACTGGCTGGTTCACCCAGTCGGACGAGGAAGGTAGCCCCAAGAAGGAGTTCAACTACAGCTTCTGCTCCAGCGATCCCGACTACGTCGAGTGGCACGAGCGCAGGACCGCGCGCCGACTTAGTGCCTTAGAGACCCGCAGCCAGGTCGCCCTCGTGTACGTGGCGCGGCCCTATCTCACTGCCATCGACGTCACCGAGCGACGCAATCTCGCCTACAATTACAGGAGCCTGCTCGCTAGAGACGCTAAGGGACATCTCACCGCTGGGCTCTACTTTGAATTGAAGTCACCCAGCGAGCAGAGCCCACAACTGGCCTCTTTCAACATCTTTCACCAGACGAACACCGGCAAGAACAGGACCAAGCTGCCGTTCGCCAAGTTTCGCCAGTGCCCCAACAAGGTACGCACGCAATCGCTGCACTGTCGATCAATGTTTTTCACGCGCATTCTTATACTCATGTACATTGTCATCTTCACACAGGTCGAGCTCGATCAAGAGGATGCAAGCATGATCGCCGAGTGCGCTCGACTCATGTCAATGTCCCAGGAGAGCCTGAAGCAACTACTGGCCCAACTGGCCACGCTCATTTTCGACACGTCCTTCACCAGTCAATTACTTGCAATCAATGCAAACATTAACTGCATTGCCAAGGACAATTAACACACGTCGCCATGCCCGACTAATACGTCAATCGGGTCTAAACACAACACTTTGAACAATTGTTTTATTTCTGCTAGCCCTCCTCTGACTTTTTTCACTTGTATTTTTTTCCTTACACGCTGCGTTACTTTTTTCCTCTACTTCCTCTTTTTTATTCTATTACTACTTGTGGTGCTGGGCAATCAAATGAAAATTCTCTAATTATTGATGTTTTACATGCCCAATTTTTTATTGTTTTATTATTTTGTGACTCAGCAAACTTAGTGTCTTGCTTTTGTAGACTTGTTTTCTTTGCTTCTATAGCTTTATTGTCTTGTAATATTTATTTTATCCAAATAAATTGATTTGAAATGATTAAATGTTGAATTACATCATTATTATTCCCACCAATTGTTCATTTTCTTAGGAAAAAATTCAAATACTTGTTTACCTGTTGTAACTTTATTCATCATAAACTACATTGATGTACTCACATTTAAGAGTCTATTGGTTTCTTCGACCGCGAAAAATTGCTATAAAGGAGCGCGAAATTACTTGAAAATCAAATACATCTGTTGACCTTAAAAACTAATGGATTTTCCTCAAAATTATCTACGATAAATATACAGTAATTGAATATAATGGACACTGAAACTTGTAAACATTGCATTTAGAAGCCTCTTTTTCCAATTGAAAGTATAAATAAAGATAGATGGTGCGTCAAAGTTAGCTAATGAACGAAGAGGCTCTAGGATGTGCTTGTTCAGGTGACGAAATATGGGCTAGCTATAGTATTACATTATGTGATGATGAATGAAATCTTTAATTGTCAGTTAGACGTGCGATATAAGTTCTCGAGCACAAAGCCAGATAGGCTATGTGCGCAAGTAACGAAATGAAAAGGCAAAATTGATGAAACCAGTAAGGAAGATGGGATGAAAGAGTACAGTTATATTAGGACAACTTTAATCGGTCACATCGATGTAGGGTATCGGATCTTTATCAGAGGAAGAGGATCGCGACTGCGACGAGTGCCGCTTGCTCGAGGGTGGAGAGCTGGGACCAGGGCTACGCTCGCGCTTCCGACCGGAGTTACTTCTTGCCGTAGCTGGCGATGTTGATGTGCACCAAGTTGCCGTCGAACCAGAATCTCCTGGCTGCACGCTGATTACTGGCGTTGATGCGGACGAGATCGCGTTGGAATCTGTACTGGTACTGTTACTGCAGCTATTCTCGGCAGATCTTCAATGACAAAAAAACGAAATTTCAAGTTTTAAGATACTGCTAGCGTCAGAAGACGGCTTATATCTACGGATGCAGTTGGTGGAAAGCCCTTGTAAACAGAGTGCATAGTGCGTTATCAGATTGCCGAGGCCTAATCAATTCTTTTTTTATTAAAATTTATTGTTAGTCGTCACACAGTCACAGCAGCAGCGTAATTTTGATATTGTTAGTCGACACCGATAACATCTAAGCGATGCCCCAAAGCTGCGTTTCGTTGAATGCTTACAAGGAGCAGCTCGATCGATGCCGTTAACGATTAACCAGCGGAGAAACGAAGGGAAAATAAAACGAAACGCAGGATGTGTGTAACAAACAGAAAGACTGTTGATAGGGCATGAATAATAAGAGAAATTGCAGAGAAATTGCATGTACTTACGATGAGCAAGCGTCACCGCGCGTAGCATGCTATTGTTTTCTATTGTCTAATTATTTGTGGTTGTACCTGGAATACACACAAGACAAGATATTCCACAACCCGATCAATACTCTCTCTCTCTCACTCTCACTCTCTCTTTCTCTCTCTCCCTCTCTCTCTCTTTCCTCCATCTTTTTTCTTTTTAAGTTAATGCATATAGCAGAAAATCACTTTCTTTTTATGTAAATAAAAGCCCAAGCTGCTCAATGGACAGTTTTATGTTTGCTCAACTCGAGTATATTCGAGCACGCGCGCCTTAAGAGACAAGTTTCTTCTCATAAGCAACTAAATAAGCCAAACAAGCGTAACCTTCCAGCAGGTAAAACTTCGATTTAGGTCAAACATAGATTATTTCACAAGTTTTTCGTGCTCCACTATAGCAGACTGAATGTACACTAACCCTTCTACGATGTTATCGTTAATGTTTCAAGACCACAGACTTTTTGTTCAGTCAAGCTTTCCCTATGATAATTTTTAATAGCATCATGCACTGCTCTACTAATTATACATATAGATCAAGTTATGCATTTATTTGTTAGATTTAACGTACTACAAGCGAATTATCACGAGGATAACTCATAATTCACTTACTGTATGCATTCTAGTAATTAATTATTTTCTTCAAGTAAAATGACAAAAACCAACATTAAGGAGTAAGTTATTTAAAACAGCAGCTTCAGTAGCTACAATATGAAGTTGGAAAATACAAGAGAAAGAAAAAACAACTTACCTGGAACTACTGTTTGTATTATTTGTTCTAGAAGATAGGGTAGGCCTTATTCCTCGCCAAGATGTAGCTATGGGCCTTGACTGATTCTTACTTTGTCGACTATTTTAAAGTAACAGCCAACAACAGTCATATTATCAAAGTATAAAATCAGAAAATATGTGAAACAAAGGTAATATGCAAATTTCTACACAAATAAATAACTTTAAACATCACCAAGATGCACAAACATACGATAAGTTTTTTTCATTTGCTTCATAACATTAATTCTAATACCTTCACAAATAACATTCAAGCATCTACTTCTCTATAGCTACTTCTTAAAATTATGCAAGTAATGTATTGATTACTATTAGGAGATACAATCACGTCATATTACTCATAATTGTCTTTTTTGGACATTTGTTGAGCAAACATTATTTTCAAATATAACATCCATATAGACCTTGCACAAAAATATTTATTGCACTACGTGTAAGTGGTGCCCTTCAATGTATTAGAATACATTTGTGAATTACTCACCTTTGCACTGTACTTGGCAGAGCTAATGGTTTATTTTCCTGTTGAGATCTATTATATGGATTACGTGCTCTATGTGAAGAACCGGCTATAGCACCAGCTGATCGCTTTGTACGACTCTGCCATTCCCGATTGAATGCTTCAGCTTCCTCTGAAAATTTATTTCATTTGTTATAAAAGGACAGTTATTTAATTTATTTTCTATGACGCCAAGTATGCGCGTGTGTGTCCGCGCGTATGTAAATTAGTAACTATATGCTTACTAAACACACTACAAGAGAGTAAAATCTAAAATTTTATTATTTAAGGTCGTTCTCTTGAAAATCACTTTTTCGACACTCCGTGCGGAAAGTGCGTTTTTCCCGCACGCTCGGCAAACAACGTGTTGAAATCGCACTTTCCACACGTCGTATAAAAAAATACGGTACGGCACATGTTCGGGAAAGAGTTTCTCGTCTTGTGTGGCGTTTACGCCCGAGCGAAGCGAACCACACGAGACAAGAATCTACTTTCCCCCACTTGTATCGTAATGTATTATATCTATTTTTTCCACCATTTCCATGCATTTCATTCAAAAGGCATCATTCAAAAGATATCTAACATAAGCAATGCTATTAACTGATAATTAACAAAAATAAGTCTTTTCAGTAAGCTGTTCCAAGAAAACTTCCTTAAAAACAATGTACAATATAATATCATAATAATTCAATTGAGACTGGTAAGTAGTGTTCAATTTTCACCATAATGTTAAATATAAAAAATCAGTTCATATAAAATATTTAGCATAATTTATTGTAAGTATTATCATTCTTATCTTTACCTTCTTCAAGGTTGATAAATTCTTGTCTTTCTTCTTGTTCTCCACTACGCATATTCTGCTCTCTTTCAAGAATATGTGCTCTATCTCCAATGTGATGACCAATAGCCATGGAACGTGTTCCAGTTCGTGAATCACTTACAGTTTTTTTAGTTTCTTTTACACCTCCAGGTGCTGATCTTGTGGACATTGTTTCTTGATAGACTTGTGGTCGTCCATCAGGACCACTACTTGTCATGGTCATAATGGAGCTACTAGTAAAGGAATGACAATTTGGATTTTGGCTCATGTTTTCCTACAACATCATAAAATGATTGTCAATAGATATAGTAAGATAAAAATAATTAATAAATTTAGCTTGTCAAATAACAATACTACTTCAAAAAGTTAACATACCAAACCAGCGAACATTCTACCCATAGGTAATGAAGGCATCATTGGAAAACCAATAGGCATTAGCTGCAATCCAGGTGTTGAATTCATTCTAGTTTGTGGATCATTATTCATAAGTGCTGGAGAACCAAATAATCCAAGTGGATCGGCAAATAATGAATTGTTCATCACACTCATCATTTCATTCATGTATCGCATACGAGCACTACAACAGACAAAAGATATTCAAGTCCAAATTATTAATTTAGTCAATGTTATTGTACAAAATTTTGCAATTTTTATCAAAAAATAAACAATAAATTCATTTGTCAATATGGCATGATTTCATTGGTAGGACAGTAATAGAAAAATTAGTAGAAAGAAAATAGTAAATAATGTTAGATATCGGGAAATTTACCCAACATAAGGATCCTCGTCAAAGTCACCAAACATTCCTAATGCAAAGCGTTCAGACATTTTGTTTTTTGTTTTGCTATCCGAAATCCGCTGAGCACAAGCTTTGTTGAAGATTGATTGGCACTACCGTCAAATTAACTTATTCACTTGTAGATTACTTTGTGTACACTGAAAATCAGTTATGACATGCTCTTTAACGCAAAAATCAGATGTAGATAAATAGTCTTATAAAGTCAATAATCTTTATACTCAACCCACACCGTGAGTGCAGAAATATTCACTCCGACGCAATAACCAAAGAGCTCACACGCGTACAGCTTGCCTCCCTGATCGACTCGAAAAAAATATCTAATTCACTTGAACGGATTTAGATTTATTTGATAGTTTTCTTTACCAAAATGTAATTACGTTCCTCACATTGTGGAAGCCACTACGTCTAGAGGGGTCTTATTCTAATATTGGTCTTGCGTACTTGGACGGTGCGCAGTGCTATATATTATGCACCGATCATGTCCGTCACAAAACCAATGTTGATTTAAATTTAAACATTTAAACATAAAATAAATTAGGGACATTCTACATAAGAATACATCGGACATCGGCTATCAGACGTTTCCCATGGTAATATAGTAGATCTATATTTTTTATCATTCTCACATATCCTGCGCAATCAAGGACACACCCATATGTTAAACAAACAATTGCTTTTTTAACTTAATAATCTCGATACACGCCCAATGTCCGCATTTTCCGATGACCAATATTTTCTTATGTAGAAAACTTTGAAGTATATGTGTAAATATAATATAACCATCCATATTTATAATACGAATAATCGTGAAATAAATTTTTATCTTCAAGTAATTTCTATTATTCGTTAGAATTATACATTTTATTACTAAACATTTTTTTTAACAAATTGTTATATTCATATAAAGTTGATTATGTTTTATAATTTTTTATTATCAAACGTACTAAAGATCATAACAATTTCCTATTTACTTTTAACGAACGTAGTTTAAAATATTTGAAACAAAATTCTATTGACAAATATAAATTATTTTATATTTACTAATTAATTTTTTGGTTTCATTAAAATATTTTGTCATTTTTTTTCTCGTTAGAGAACAATTTAAAAAGCTGTATAAATTTTCTTCACTATGTAAGCATTACTTTAGAGCATCTTGAAATTTTTTTCCGATACGTCTGGCATGAATTATTTCAGTCGACATGAAAGTAGTGTTTGAAGCGTTCATACGTAAGAATTCATAAACATGTTAAACCATTGAAGTAATTTTTTTTGCTGTCGCAGCATAAAAAATGCGCTCAATCTAGCTTACGCCGTATTAATACTACTATATATTATGTAATATTAAAATATAGCTACATGAAGTGCATTCGAACCTATTTGATCAACGTAATTTACGTTAAATTCATTAATATTGAGTTTCAATTAAATCTGCGTTCTTATGAACATCTAATCCCATTTAGTCCATTTAAATTATACGCTGCTTTCACCGCTCCGTCATTCGTCAGTCAGCTGTGACTGAGTTCCAATAATGGCCGCACTAATTCCATAGATGGCGCCTGCGCTGCCTACGGACGCGAATGACTCTTGGCTTGGAATTATTGGAAGCAACTGCGAGAGACGGCGTTGTGTTTGTGTTAGTAGTCTGCAGTTGCAGTTTGCATCAAGCTGTGATATTGTCCCACTGCGGTCGGTTGGCGTGTGGCGTTGTTCTTTACGTTCTTTTCTATTCTGCTCTGTCTCTCATCCACTACAGACATGAGCGAGTTAAATCCCGAAGAGGTGAGGTTTAACCGCTGGACGCCTGTATTTTCCAAATTTTGTCTTGTTAAGTCAGCTGGTTAACAGAAACTTCGTTTCATAAGCTTTGTAAATCAACGCTCCATTTTTTTGTGGTGGTTTTTTTGTTACCTCCTGTTTTTTTTTATAGTGTGCGTGTCATTTAACTTTCCCTTACCTCCCTCCTGTTTCCTCACATATAATACGTTCTCTTACCTATCGACTGGCCTCTTTGTTTTGCCTTCCAAAACAGCTTCATCACGCGCACGCTTTTCGCGAGAACCTCTTCATCTTTTTCAATTCTCTTTCTCTTTTCCTTTGCTCACTTCAAGCCTTTAAAATCATATTACACTAATTTTGCCATATCATTGTTTGGATAACAAAGCATACTTTCTAAAGAAGATTTTCCTAATTTTATAATAAAACACTTATTGGTTCAATTAGCTATAAACAGTAGTTGCTCCATTTTGCTTAGCACTTTATGAATCCACAAAATTTACATGTCTTTGTTTTTATGCTAAAAATAAATTATCACTCACAATTCTTTGTCCAAAGTACAGAGCATTGAACAAGGCTGTAGATGCTGACAATAAAAGCTTAAAATTAGCTTATTTACATCTGGTTTGTCTATTTTTTAATTTCTTTGTTCAATTTTAAAGACTAGCTACAATCAATGTAGCAATGTATTTTTCTCAACATAATATTGGTACAGTCTGCATCATCAAGAATGAATTGATTAATCAAAGCATCAAATTGAAATATAGTTAGTTGGGCCAAGTGGGCCACTCCGAACAGGTGGCATTCCTTATAGATGCCAATACCTTTTGGCAATAGTATTACATTGACTGTCTATGCAATGATTTTTGCATGTGAAACTAAAAAGTTTAACTATTAACAATCTGCAGATAAGACGAAGGAGATTGGCTCACTTAAGGGGTCCCATGACTTATGCTGCTCTTGCAACTACTGCTACAACTACAACTGCTGATGGCTTGGAAAATGAAAGTAACAAACAGCCAGCATCAGAAAGAGTGGAAGCTACAGCTGAATGTTCTACAGTCCCAGAACCATTGGCCAATCCACTAGTTCCAAATTCGATGGAAACTTCAGTCCAGCAACAGTTTGCTGAAAAGGAAGCACCAATGGAGGTGGAAGAAAACTGTGAAAAGCAGTTAACGTCGTCCGGTGTAGACGTCGACTCAGGTATTGAAAATATGGAAGTGGAGGATTCGGATCGCAAAGATGTGACTCCAAGATCGAGGGTATGTCACTCATTTAAACACGATGACAACCGAGCAGCTAGTTAATGGCGAATTTTTGTTTTAGAGAGCGAGTTCGAGTACGGGTGAAATAACACTGGAGCAGGTGCACGCAGCCGTGTCGCGAATACTGTGCGTGTCCTGGAAGGAGACAAGCGAAGGTACAATATACCTGCCGGAGACGGCAAAACACGTGGCAAGCAGGTGTTCGGAAGGCGAGGTTGTCGACACAGCGGATCTGTCGAGTCAGGCGATCATGGAGGTGCTGTGCAAATTCGCTCAAGGCGAGGACCCGCTGAAAGACATTGCTGTAGATGCTTCTCTCGACTGCCGGGACAGTCCGAACAGTCAGTCAGCTAGTCCGCTGCAGAGCCCGATGATGATGACGGCCAGCAGTAGCACCCCGTCAACGAGTCACGATCGCGAAAGAACTTCCGAGAAGCAACAGCAGCAGCAACGCAATGAGGATCTGCCGCAGTCCAAAAACTTGCTATACCTATTTGACAGTTACTCCAGGGTAGGAGTGGAAGAGCGAAACCATCCGAAGCGTTGCAGTGTGGCTCCGCTTTCGGATGTTCTGGCAACGCTACGCGCCCAGTGTGTACAATTTGCGAGTCTGCTGCTGCAAGGCCGACTACCGTCATTGCAAGCAGATGCTTCTTGCAACGCTGCCGGTGGAAATTCGCCGCTCCTGAGTTTCGTGCTGGCGCAAACGCTGCCGCGGGGTTTCTTACACGAGTTGGTAGTTCGCACGCAAGGTTACCCTGAGGCCATGGAGCGCATCTTCACACCACTCCTGCAGGGCCTTAATCAGCAAATGCAGTGCGCCAGTCTCGTGGGAAATACGCATCGAAGGCCTATCGAGGCATTGGCCGAACTTGTGGATATACGCTGTGGGCCGAGCGGCAACTTCCGACCCATGTGCCGTCTCATCGCCAACCAAGCGCAGTTCTTGCCCGAACTGATTACTCCTGCACCCGGCCGTGAGATCGCCCGTACCTCTTTCCTCGGACCATTTCTTTCTGTATCTATATTCGCTGAGGATCATCCCAAGGCGAGTGCCCGTGTAAACGTGTCTTTCGTCACCGAGTCTTGTCTCGATTTGGCTAACTTGCGTCGTGCTCTTTCAGGTGGCGGACAAGTTCTTTAGCGGCAACAATTCCAGCGATAAGATGATGGTCATCACACTGCAGACCGAACTCGAATGCATTCGCGAGTCACTATATCAAATTGTGCATTCGATCTTGGCGTATAGTGCGTGCCGAGAGACTGCTGTTGCTTATCTCGCTGCTCTTCTCAGAAACAACGAGAAGCGTACGCAGATACAAACCGATGAGTATACGCTAGCCGGTGACGGCTTTGCTCTCAATGTTCTCTCAGTCCTACAGATGTTATCAGTGAAAATTAAGCTCGACACCGTGGATCCAATGTATCCCTTTCATCCCGAGTGTCTCGTCGATATCAGCAACGAGACAAGGCTCAAACTCACGTCGCAAGAGGTGACCGACTGGCGCGAAGAACTGCAAAAAGCCGGACACAATTGGTCCAAGGTGAAATTCCCGACGCAGTGCTGGTTCCTAACGCTTCACTGTCACCACATCGCTCTCATACCGGCCATTCAGAAGTACCAGAAGAAAACCCGAACTCTGCGTGAGCTGCAGAAGATGCTTGATGAACTGCAAGCTAGTGAGCCCCAGTGGAAGGACAGCACATATGCCGCTCAGAACAAGGAACTGATCAAGCGTTGGAAGCACCAGCTCAAGAAACTTGTTAAGTACAAAGTGTGCGCAGATGCTGGCCTCATCAATTCGCAGATGCTGCGCAGGTCCTTGCATTTTTACACCTCAGTCGCCGAAGTGCTGCTCAGGCTATTAACGCAACGTGACAACATCAATGATTTAGCCCACGACAATAATCTCGTCAATATTCTCAGCTGTCGCTCGGAAACGCCCAAGATATTCACTGCCTTGCCTGAATGGTATATTGAGGACATTGCCGAGTTTCTGCTATTCACCCTTACGTTAGTATTATTTAATTCTAAATTACATTTACTTGGAAAAGAAGAATTTAGTATATAACTCATTAATATTTTTGAATTAAACAAAACCGATGTAGTAACTAAAACTTATCGTCTTACAGGTATTGTCCCCATGTCGCATCTACAGTCGACACGACTCTCGTCACGTGGTTGCTGGTTCTGATATGCGCCCAGGACTGCATTAGGAATCCATACTTAGTAGCTAAGTTGATCGAGGTGTTGTTTGTGATAAACGCAAGTAGCCAAGCGCAGGGCAAAACAAAGGGGCTGCAAAAGCAAGTGATGTCACATCCCCTTTCAAGTATGCTGCTTGCCTCGAATCTTATGAGGTTTTATACGGACGTAGAGACGACGGGCTCATCGAGCGAATTCTACGACAAGTTCTTCATCCGTTATCACATATCATTGATCCTCAAGACCATGTGGGAGAGCCCAGTACACCGCACCTCCATCATACGCGAGAGCTCCAATGGCAAACAGTTTGTCAAGTTTATAAACATGCTAATGAATGACACGACCTTTCTGCTGGACGAATCACTCGAATCACTGAAGCGTATTCATGAGGTACAGGAGTTAATGAGTGACACGACCGCCTGGGCGGCTCTACCTCAGGAGCAGCAACAGTCGCGTAATCGTCAACTTGCCACGGATGAACGCCAAGCAAGATCGTACCTTACTCTTGCTAAGGAGACCGTAGCCATGTTTCATTATCTTACCATCCAGATAACCGAGCCATTCCTCAGACCCGAACTCGCATCACGACTGAGCGCTATGCTCAATTTCAACTTACGACAACTCTGTGGCCCCAAATGCAACAATCTGAAGGTGCGCAAGCCACAAAAGTACGGCTGGGAACCGAGAACACTTCTCGAGCATATCGTCGACATTTATTTACATCTTGACTGCCAAAAGTTTGCCGCCGCCCTGGCCAGTGATGAGGTACGCGACTAATTGCTACTACATGCGATCTTACGTACCATCTTTTATTTATTACTTTTTCGTTTTCAGAGATCTTTCTCGAAAGAATTATTTGCCGAGGCGGCGAGCAAACTCGAACGATTGGCTATCAAGTCGGCCGCTGAAATTGAACGATTCCTTGCTCTCGCTGATAAAGCCGCCCAGATTGCTAGCGATAATCGAGCCCGTGAGGAAGATTACAACGACGCACCCGATGAGTTTAAAGATCCCCTTATGGGTACACTCATGGAGGAGCCTGTCAAATTGCCCTCCGGAATTATCATGGACAAGGACGTCATTATTAGACATCTGCTTAACAGTGCCACTGATCCCTTTAGCAGGCAGCCCCTTAGCGAGGATATGCTTGCCCCTGGTCAGCATCCATTACATAGTTTTGTTTGTTTGTAAATGTTACTTATGTTATCATTTTCTTTTTAGTGGACGACTTAAAGGCCCGAATATCTGAATGGAAGCAACAGAAAAATACGTCGACCAACGTATGAGCGCTGCAAGTCTCCAATTTGTTCTATTCAACGCCAGTGTTTTGTCCTGATTTCGACGAAACTGTGTGGAGTTTGACCAATACAAACTATCGCGTTATGGTGAAAACTTTTTTAAGCGCACGGGCTAATTTGTGTAAGTGATCTGGCATTATGACTGTGTGATTAATTGACAATTTTTTGTCCCCTCTTTTTTATACCCTTAGCAAAAAGGATGAGTGTTACTAATCTTTGAGCTCGCAAAACTGCCACTATTAATCGAACCGCTTGTCAAAATATATTACAACGCTGTAAATATTAGTAAACTAAACGAGAAAACTAGTGTTTGCAAAAAACGTTGTGTCATTTAGATTTTTGTTTTCCATTCTTTCTTTTTCTTTCGGAGATATTCATAAAACATACTGAAATAAATGCAAGTGTAAGAAAAAAAGAACGAATTTAATATTCTTCGACATTGACAAATAATATTAACTGAAAGCGGACTCCTTCCTCTTTGTTAAACTATGGTACATAATAATATCAATTGTAAAAGATCAAATTTAACGCAGTGATTTCACTTTAGTGAAGGACAGTCCAAGTCTTGAAACTTATGATGAATTTATTTTAGTACATATATCATATGTGCTACATGTAGGTATGAGGGATCTTAAACAGTTATAATTACATTTTCTATGTAACGATATATTACTTTTAAACATAAAAAAAATTTGTTATTGTGAAAATTTTATCATTCAACAAAGCAAGATGACAGTCATAATATGAAAACTGATTCCTTTATGAGTTTATTATAATTATTTATAAAGTGTATTTTATAATGATCTGGCTGCAGAGGAATTCGTTAAAACAAAAAAAAGTGATAATTAATTTACTTGTAAGCAAAGTAAACATTGGTACTAAAGGATTATATGAGAATATAAACGCGGTATTACTTTTCTCGGAACTATTGTTGTTACGAAATTGTATACATGTGTATGTGCGTATATATATGTAGTTTTAACATCAGTCATTTTTATGCATTTATCTTTTACGTTTTTGGTACAAGTAAATACTGCTGAATTGATCAATTGCCGTTTCTCAGCATTTGAACATAAAACATCCTGCAAATTATGTAAATAAAAAGATCTAGCACATGTAAGTGATAAATAAATTAACATGAAATAAGTAGTGTTGATTTCCTCATTTCCTTTAGTAACTCTTGAAATCTTTAATTTAAATAGTCTATTTTTAAGACCAAAATTTAAGTTGCAAAAATATACTTTTGCTTTATTATATATTTGAATCTAAAATAGTATTAAACTAAACCTATATTTATTGTCACTTATGTAAAAAAAAATTATAAAAAGTTAAAGAATAAGTGAAAAGCTTATTGACCTATTATTTTCTTTAAAAACTAATGTCGTAATCTACCTCTAATACCTGTTCCCCTTTGGTATTGCCCACTGTAAGCTCCGGAAATATTTCGACCTCTTCCTATACCTTTATCACTTGTCACAGATATTGTATCTTCATCTTTACTCAAATCCAAATCACTAGTTTCTATCATTCGTGATTCAGAGTAACCATGTGGAGGACGTAACTTTTTCTTGAAATGTTTTACAACAAACATACTACTGAAACATATAATTTAAATATTTACTTTGATTGAAAAGAATAAAAAATAGTTAATAAGTAATATGCACACAAAAAATTTAACTGGACAAAATAAGCAATAGATTATACCTCTTCATGGATGAATGTTCAAAATCAAATTCACTACCTAAATTACTGATATCTGAATCAATTGGTAAATCTTCATCCCAGACTTCATCATTGTTAGGTTCAACTTCTTCTTGTAACAAGATCTCAGATGATACTGATTTACTTTGACCTTGTAAAAAGTTGTAAATTTTATTATTAATTCTTATTATTTATAAATAATACATCTTACCCAGCTCAAAAGGACATTGATATTTCATTGGGCACTTTTGCATGTGTTCCATCAATTCATGCTCAAAAATTCGATGACTAGCATCATATGGGCATTGCTTTTTGTAATTGGGAGGAAAATTCTATAAAAGCAAATCATTCTGTGAAAAATTCTATATTGAAAATATAATAAAAAATCCATACCTTTTCACACTTGACAAGATGTCTTTGTATTCTAGACTTAGCTATTCTATGATTTGCATCATAAGGACATATTATTACTGGATCATAATCTGTAGACATTCTGCTTATGTTAAATTATACCTATAATAAATTTTGAAAATTACTTTATACTTTATATTTTTGCATTACGTACACACATTCTTTTCAAATTCACGTATTAATAACTTACCTTATTTAACCAAACAAACGAGAATAGATAAGAATATTCTAAGGTTAAAAATAATTCATTCAAACTATTAAATACTGCAGTTATACCTTTATGTAATTTAAAAAAATAATTACAAAATATTCAAACAAAGAAAACTTCTTTATTTGGTCGGCGTTCGGCAAGTCAAAATGGCAATTGACACTAAACTCGTAAAGTCGTAACGTATCTCGTATGTTATTTTTCAACGAAGGTCGGGTTAAATAGATTTAAGAATTCTGATAATCTGATGTAAACAAATGCAGCTAATATAGGATCTGTCACCTAGACTGCTGCGACCTCTTGTTGCGTGTAGTAGAAAGCAAACCAAAGCAGAAACCTATATATCTGACACTGTGACTGAGTCGGTTAGATACGCATATATAGTCAGAGCATCAAAAGCGCATGTCAGCGAATTTTTTAATACACTAAATTTAATTGACAAGAAAAATTCTATGAAAAATAAAGATTCTGAAATATATTGTTAACAATAGTGTGTACTTTTTTCAGAAACATATTTCATCTTTAAATATGACAAAAATCTAAGTAATTAGTGTAAGGAAATAATTTAATTAAAAAAAAAAAATATATATATATATATATATATATATATATATATATATAAGAAAAGATTTGCAATTCCATAATTAACCAGTAATATAAAATGAAAGTAAAAATTTTCGAATCAGATTTTTATACTTTAATAGTATTAATTAGAGCGTTGAGCGCGCTCTTTCATTAATGTTTTCTCTTATTTATTACATTACTTAATTACTTAAACCTTTTACATGACAACTTTGAGATTCTAATGGTATATATACGTGCATGAATAAATTATGCTGTTTAAAATACGTATGTTATATCCATCGATAATTATCGATGAACATATAAAATTTGCACCCATTTTATCACAATAACCGATGTACTTTTATTTATTTCAAGATGTATCAGAAAATATATCCAAATGATTAATTAAATAATCTATGATTGAAAAAATATATTAAGCAAATTATAAACTATTATATTTTTATACAATACTATCCTTATATACATACTGAGTAATGCATTAAACATGTGTTTTGTTACTTTTTTAAAAAATTTAACGAATTTAATATTCTAATAATTTTCCGTTGGCCGTATACCTCTTCATTTATAATGTACGAAAAATAAAAATGTTATTCCATTTATTTTCTCTCTTTTCCAACCAAATTTTACGACAATCTTAATTTTAGTATTACAGATATATAGCTATTAAATTATTGATTTTTACTAATATGAAAATATAATCTCTTATGACCTCTTTTTTAGTATCAACAGCATTAACAATACACACATTGCGGATCTCGGCGACTCACTATTTTTTTAAGATATAGGAAAAAAATGTTTAAATCGTGCGGAAATTCTATTGTTATATTATAATAAAAGAACAAATGTAATATCGAAAAAATGATTATTATTTATATTATAATACAATCTGTTTTATTTCATAAGTTCATTGAGAAAGCTGGAAACAAAATTTTCCAACATTAATTCAAAGCACCACGGCATTCAGACAACATTTCCTTACGCAATAGAATGACTATACAAAAATTTAGCATATACTCGATCCAGCCCTAATACATTGTCATAAATTCATGACAATCATAACAAATACATCTACAAACGCCATAACGTATTAAATCTATGTTTTCTGTTGTAAGCAGTTACTGTTCATTTGGCAAATTGTTAGAAATATATAAATTTTATAATAATCAAATCATGACTTACAATTATGTGAGAGAATATCAAACTTATGCATTCATACATATCATGAAAATGAGATGGCGAATTTGACAAACTTCCAAAATATTGAACACATTTCTAAGAAATGTCAAGCACTATGTGATGCATTAAAAAAGAAATTATATTATTATGCTTGATAAAATTTATAAAATCAACCAATTATGAAAACACTCTTACACTTGAATTAATTAGATCTGTTCAATGTAAAAGATGTGAATTAATTATTTTTCTACATAGAAATTCTACTTAAGATTTCAGTCTTAAGTACTCAAATGAACATATTTTTATAAAATTTAGTTAATAAGTATCTCTGTAGATTCTGAAATTCTTTTCAAAGTGAACACAAATAACTGAACTTTAAAGTATTAAAACTGTATATCTGCTATATTGAGTCTCTGTTAAGCACTGAATTGTGCCGCTGACACGTGATTGATCTATGTCCAAACAATTTTATACAGATTGCAGATAAGGGAGTCTATCAGTTTGTAAACAAGCAATAATGTATAAAATTCCTAAGTAGAGATTGAGACTGGCAGTTCTCTTTGGAACATCCTGTATTGTAGTTGGGTTTCGAAACCTTTTTTCTATTGTAAAAGCCTGTGGTAAAGTAACTAGTGGTAGTAAAAACCATTTTGAATATCTAAATGACAGTACCACAAGTGTTACATATGGCGTGAACAACAGAAATGCATACAAAACATGTGATGCTGTATAACCTATTAAAATTGCAAGTGTCACTATACCCGCTCGTTTATCACTTTCAAGATCACGTGTATTGTTGCTGTGCAGAATGGCTTCAGTGTTAAGAGCCAGTGGTATAGCATAGTACATTATATTCCATTTGATGTATCCAGTCTGTGCCATGAAAGCAAACAAAACTGATATTGGACCAAAAATTACAAGTATCAAAACATCTCCAAGGGCAATATACTTGAGACCAATACCACCTGTGTAGAGAAACGAAGAGGATAAACCTCCAAAGTAGATGAGAGCAAGGTGTTCCATTTTGGCAGGTGATAGCATTGCTAGTAAAACAAAGCCCAAGCAGCCAGCTGCATAGAGCCATGTCCCCAGTGTAACCAATTCATTTTGAGAGAGCAGGTGGTCTACCAAAATCCTATCATCACTTTTACGACTGTCCACTCCTTTGATATAATCAAAGTATGTGTTGACAACATTTCCAGCACCATGTACACAAGCGACCGTCAGTAGAGTCAATATAAAAATAATCAAACAGAGCTCGGACAGTTCTGTCAATTTATATGCCAACGCGGAACCTAACACAGTTGGTATCAGCGAGGCGCTCAGTGACCACGGTCTGATCGCTAATAGGTAAGACGACAACTTCATCAATGGTGAAGATGATGATGACCTTTTTGGAGAACATTTCTCCGCTTTTACCTCTTGAAGTCCGTTTGGTATCATTGACCCACGTTCTGTAATTAGAGAAAAAATATTGCGTTAACCTCAATTTGGGCTTTTTTACAAAACACTACTTATTAATTTATAAAACAATACTTGTTTAATGCTATGTAGAGAGGAAAAATTACGGGAAATCCGTTAAGACCCGTCAGTTCGATCGTCGAATAAAACAAAGTATTGCAGGTTAAGTGACAACGGTGCACGGTTCCATGCCTTATTTTGTTATTCACTGCTTGGTGGATGATCGCATGCCCGAAGATCCGGACTTCTACTGTATATACCTATGTAAGATGTGTACGTAATTTTCCGTAAACCTGAAATGCTGAATGCGGCTCGGTTTTGCTGTTTAATTTTATTAAGGTACGTACCGAGATATGGTTCACAACAAAACAATTTCCCGTGACGTACGGCATATGTGACTATTCAATACTCGTACCGCATAACCACATACCACATTAAATGTTATGAGTTTTCAGCTTTGGTGTGTGTACGTAGTTCTGCTTCTGTCGCCATTTTTTTTTTTTTTTTTCATCAGTCTTGACGCGACATCTATGACCGGTCTATATTACTGTGTGAGGCAAACAACGTGGTCGATGGCTTGCACGCTGCAAACACTTTTGATATTTTACTTATAAAATATGAGCCAATTGTTATTAAGGAATAAGTGCAACATAGTTTGATCATCAAGCAAACACACACGGATACTGCAGTTTTCATTGTGATCTTGGATTTGATTGGTGCAATGATTGGTAAAATGACAACAAACGTAATACCGTTAACAATCAATTTTCAAGTACTTGTCTAATTCATTTCTTGCTTCTTTTTCAATATATTTAGGTCGCATCAGTTAAGATTTATGAAGAATAGGCAAAGTACATATTTTTTGTATAGTTGACAGTTGATATCTTATTACACTAAGATGGTGAAGGAACAATATAGAGAAACAGACGTGGCTAGAAAGATATCACATGTCTCCTTTGGAGTTGACAGTAGGCACCATATGAAACAGCAGGCTCATTTACATGTTGTGGTTAAAAATCTTTATAATGAACAAAATCATGCACCTCTGTCTTATGGGCTTCTTGACAAAAAACTTGGAACCTGCTCTAACAGCAATAATTGCGGTACTTGTGAGAAACCTTTGAATGAATGTGTTGGACATTTTGGCTATGTAGATTTAGAACTTCCAGTATTTCATGTTGGTTATTTTAGATCAATTATTGGAATTTTACAATGCATTTGTAAAAAGTGCTCACATGTAATGCTTAAGTTGAAAGATAAAAAGATGTATCTTGACCGAGTGCTTAATCCTAACTTGAACTATTTAAGTCGAAAAGCTTTAAAGAAACAAATTTTAGAAAAAGCAAAAAAGTGCACAATTTGTCCAAATTGTGGAGAATTAAACGGGACTGTCAAGAAGGTTGGATTTTTGAAAATTGTTCATGAAAAATACAAAACTAAGAAACCTACAGATCCACTTGTTCAATCCAAATTAGTAGAATATCAAAGAGCATTGGAGGACAACAAAGAATTGGAGAGCTTGTTACAGAGTGGATTGATATCGATCCTCAATCCATTGGATGTCTTGGGTATTCTTGAGCGTGTGCCTGAAAAAGATATTCCTTTGTTATTGATGAATCCACAGTGCAGCTTACCAAAGGATTTAATATTAACAAGAATCCCAGTTCCACCAATATCTATTCGACCAAGTATAGTTTCCGACTTGAAGGCTGGAACCAATGAAGACAATTTGACAGTGGCACTAACTCAAATAATGTTAATCAATGATGCAATCATAAAGCACCGTCATTGCGGAATGAAAATGGAAATGTACAATGACGATTGGGAATTTTTACAGCTGCATTGTGCTCTTTATATCAACAGTGAAGTATCTGGCATTCCTTTGAACATGCAACCAAAGAAGGCAGGTCGTGGTTTGGTTCAGAGGTTGAAGGGTAAGCAGGGAAGATTCAGAGGAAATTTGTCTGGCAAGAGAGTGGACTTTTCTAGCAGAACAGTAATATCACCAGATCCCAATCTTCGCATTGACCAAGTTGGCGTTCCCATCCACGTTGCCAAAATACTGACTTATCCTGAAAGAGTGAACAAGTGTAACATAGAGTTAATGCGAAAGCTCGTGCTGAACGGGCCAGACGTGCATCCAGGAGCAAATTTCGTCGTCGAGGGTAAAACTCAGTTCCGTAAGTTCCTGAGATACGGCAACAGGCAGAAAATCGCTCAGGATTTGCAATACGGCGATCGAGTCGAGAGACACCTACGCGACGATGACGTGGTGTTGTTCAATAGACAGCCTTCGCTGCACAAATTGAGTATCATGGCCCATAAGGCGAAAGTCCTGGAGAATCGTACGTTTCGGTTCAACGAGTGCGTCTGCACGCCCTACAACGCCGACTTCGACGGAGATGAGATGAACTTACACTTGCCGCAAACCGAAGAAGCAAGAGCCGAGGCATTGGTGCTGATGGGCAACAAATCCAATCTGGTGACACCGAGGAACGGTGAGCTATTGATTGCGGCAACTCAGGACTTTATAACCGGCGGCTACCTACTCACCCAGAAGGACACCTTTCTCAACAAGGCTCAAGTCAGTCAGTTGATCAGCTGTCTGCTCTGCGACGCGGATACGACTATGAGCATAACTCTACCGAGGCCGGCAATCCTGAAACCGGCGCTCATGTGGACCGGCAAGCAAATATTCAGTCTGATCCTGCGGCCCAACGACAAGTGCCCTGTGAAGGCCAATTTGAAGACCAAGGGCCGAGCCTACACGAGCAATGAAGAGCTGTGCATCAACGACTCGTACGTGATCATCAGAAACTCGGAACTGCTGGCGGGCTCGATGGACAAGTCGACTTTGGGCAGCGGTGCCAAGCAAAACATCTTCTACGTACTACTGCGCGACTGGGGCGAGGACGCATCGACGCTTGTGATGTGGCGCTTGGCCCGCATAGCCAGTTACTTCCTGATGAATCGCGGTTTCTCCATCGGCATCGGCGACGTCACTCCCGGCCACAAACTCCTCGAGGCCAAGCAGGAGCTGCTCGAACTCGGCTACAGCAAATGCACTGAGTACATCGCGAAAATGGAGGCGGGCAAACTGCCCTGTCAACCGGGCTGCACACAAGAGGAGACCCTCGAGGCAATGATCCTGAAAGAGCTGTCCGTGATCAGAGACCACGCCGGAAAGGCCTGCTTGAAGGAGCTACACCCGTCTAACAGCCCTCTGGTAATGGCGTTATCCGGTTCTAAGGGCAGCTTCATCAACATCTCCCAGATGATTGCGTGCGTCGGTCAGCAAGCTATCAGCGGACATCGCGTGCCTAACGGCTTCGAAGACCGGGCGTTGCCCCACTTCGAGAAGTACTCCAAGGTGCCGGCTGCCAAAGGCTTCGTTGAGAATTCGTTTTACTCGGGACTTACTCCCACTGAATTTTTCATGCACACGATCAGTGGTCGCGAGGGTCTCGTCGATACCGCGGTCAAGACCGCCGAGACCGGATACATGCAAAGACGATTGGTCAAGAGTTTAGAAGATCTCTGTCTGCATTACGACATGACGGTGAGGAACTCGGTAGGGGACATAATTCAGGTGATGTACGGCGGCGACGCTATGGATCCAACCTACATGGAGGGCAAAGACTGCCCCGTAGATTATCAGCGAGTTCTCAACGACGTCAGGTGCAGGTCGGTTTACTCCAATGAGGATCCGCTCGACGGCCCCTCAATCATCAAAGCCACCAGTGAATTGCTCAAGTCCGAGGAGTACTCATGCCTGAGCGAGGAATTTAGCCAGGAGCTCGTTCAGTTTCTTAAGTCTCAAGCCATCCGAGTGGAGCGAGCGCGCAAGCAAATTGTGGCCACAGCGTCGAAAGCTCCGGTTCACAAGTACATTGAGCGCCTTACTGTCTCTCAGCTCGTCGAGTTCATCCACACCTGTAAGGAAAAGTACATGAAGGCCAGGATCGAACCGGGCACCGCGGTTGGCGCTCTAGCAGCGCAGAGTATCGGCGAACCTGGCACACAGGTTAGTTTACTTTGATGAAACACTGACGCAAATTATTAATTAATACTTATATTAATTACATTACATTATCGAATCACATATTCACTACATTTGCTTTAATTTTTATAGATGACTCTTAAGACTTTCCATTTCGCCGGAGTTGCCTCAATGAATATTACCCAGGGTGTACCCCGTATCAAGGAGATCATCAACGCCAATCCAAAAATAAGTACTCCCATCATCACAGCCTCTCTGGAGATCGACACGGATCCTGAGTACGCGAGACGAGTTAAGAGCCGAATTGAGAAGACAACTCTTGGCGAGATTACCGAGTACATCGAGCAATTATACCTGCCCGATGATTGTTTTTTGCTGTTGAAAATCGACGTCGATAGAATAAAACTGTTGAAGCTGGAGGTTGACGTTCAGTCCATTCGCTACTCGCTCTGCACCTCCAAGTTCAAGATACTCCCGAAGAATGTCGAAGTTCATGGCGATTCCATTATCATCATACGTCCGAATAGACAGAAAAATAACAATCTTAGTCATAGTTTGACTTTATTAAAGGATCAAGTGCCGAACGTTATCGTCAAAGGTATCGCTTCTGTCTCGCGAGCTGTTATTCACAATGACGACTCGAGTGGTGCGACCCGATACACGCTCCTAGTTGAAGGCGACAATATGAGAGAAGTGATGGCAACTTTGGGAGTCAATGGAATTAGGACCACTTCCAACAACACGATTGAAGTTTTCCGCACGTTGGGAATTGAAGCCGCTAGAGCAACTATCATGACCGAAATAAAGTTAGTCATGGAAAATCACGGAATGAGTATTGACCGCAGGCATCCGATGCTCGTGGCAGACTTAATGACTGGTCGAGGCGAGGTTCTAGGAATTACCAGGCAGGGTTTGGCAAAAATGAAGGAATCAGTATTAAACTTGGCTTCTTTTGAAAAAACTGCTGATCATTTGTTTGATGCAGCCTATTATGGACAAAAAGATGCCATTTGTGGAGTTTCAGAATCCATTATCATGGGAATCCCAGTACCAGTGGGTACTGGCATTTTTAAGTTACTGCATAAAGCTGAAAAGGACCCAGTGCAGACGCGGGCATTGTTGTTTGATTCTGAAAAGTATCACAAGAAAGTTCCTACATCGTAAATATTTTTTTTGTAATTATTTAGCAACTTGTAAATAGAACTTTTATCTGGTTTTTGCTATGAGAAATTCATGTGACATAATACCATAAAATTGTTATTTATCTTTATTTTTCACGATAATAAGAAAATAAATATTGTTTACTATCTGTTTAGTAGTTGTGTTTTTCCAACGTCTTTCATAACTCTCGCGTTTATTTTTCAGTTAAGATTGTATTTGTCTTTTATAGAACTACGAAGTTGACCCTCGAGTTTTCAAGGAAAAATGTAAAACGGAAAACGGCATAAAATACCTTAATTTATTGTCCGCGATATCGGTGATATTTACTATTTTCTATTCGTGAATGCGGAATAGGTGGAAATCGAATTTTTTTGCGTAACTAAAGTATGGAAGTTTTCTAATAAAATTATTGATGAATCTTAACATTTAAGGGCTTAAAATAACGATTGTAATTTTTATTGACATCTCCTGTATTCGTATTCGTTGTAAAGTATATATCGAATTTTGCTAAAAACTGCAAGAAAGTTGGCCATCTAAGGAGTGCCTCCGAATTTTTTCGCTTTAAAATATTAACATTTCTCTAATTTGAGCAAGCCAAACACAACCATCGCTTTTTCAATGCGCAGAACCCGTAGTTGAGAACCCCGTCAGTAAAGAACTCAACTCCCTGTGTATAGAATAGTATATGAAAAATAATACGTGCTCACATAGGTGACGTTTATGAAACCTGTTTTTTTTTTAATTTTTCTACTAAGGTGCTCCTTGAATAAAAAAAACATCTTAGTGGCTATAGTTTCTAAGTTAATGGTTATTTTTACATAAGATTCATTTACGGGAGAAAAATTTGAAAAAGACAAGGTTACCTGATTGTCACCTATGTTTAGATGTGCTATTGTGGACGTACTTTTAGAGTGCTAAGGTGAATGTGAGGTAATACTGTGACAGGCATATACAATTATAATGTGTATTAAAACAAATATTTTTGTTATTGAAATTTTAATGATAACAAGTGAATGTCCCTAACAAGCAACATAAGAATAGAAATAATAATGAACATTCTTAGTATTTACTGTATTCTGTTTTTGTCCAGTAATTGATATTATTAAATATTCAGTAATTATTCAGTAAATAATATTTTCGAACAGGCGTTAATACATATATTATTTAGTTATTGTTAACGTCTTTTAAGATTTTCGACAAGATAACTCGATAACCATTGTCAATTAAAATTTAAATAATTTTCAACTTCATTTGAAAATGTTCCCTGTCGAAATTTGGGAAAAAATTTTGAAAAATATTGATGCAGGCGATCTCATTCGCTTGAAAACTGTAAATAGCGTGTGGAATGCTATTATCTCTAAATATTTGCAAGTATGTATATATGTCTCAATTTATTGAAATTGTTAAGTCGACACGTTTGAGCTTATTTACAAATTTAATTCAACATTATTCTTTCAATTCAGGAATCGGATGCTTGGTTTAAGCAATGCAGCAAGGATGTTCCACAAAAGTATTGGCTTTCACTTTTGGAAAATTCACTTTACTTGACAACTCTATTGCACAAGCACAAAAACCTAAATGATAAAAGTGAATATCTTAACTATAAAGTATGGATGATAATTTATCGGGCTTGGGTAAAATGGTCTAACATTGAAAGCTGTAATGCTAATATTATTGACATATTCTATCCTATGCCTGAACATCGCCCATCAGAGCATATAACATGTTGTTCTACTTTAGGTATCTATAATGTTTAATCTATCCAATGGTTTTTGTGCGGTACTTATTAAATGATTTAATTTTATAGGAGAACTGGTAGTTATTGGCTCTACAGAAGGATACATCAGGATATTCAATCTATGTAGCAATAAACTTGTATTCAGAATTGATCAATATGTAAAAGTTTTAGATGTAAAGTTGTGTCTTCAAGGTATGCTTCATTATTTTAAATATAACTTGATTTTTTAATGAATTTTAGTAAGTTATTTTTCAATGTTTTCTTTTGTAGGAAAGAACAATGATAAAATTATTTTGATAGCTACTTCAGTTACTAATAAAAGTACAGTTTGGGATATAACAAGTCAAACAAACTTGATGACTATGACTGGTGATGTAATATGGTAAGCTTTAAAAAATAATGCACAATCAAATAATTAAGAGTTCTAAATCAGATTATTTGTTATTGAAGTGCTGGATATGGGTATTACTGTACAACACTGTGTTATGATAAAATTCTTGTACATGATGCTGTAAATGAAAATTCTTTTCCTATTAGACTGTTTATAAAAGATTATAATATGAAACCTAACAAAAGATACAGCAATACCAGGCCTATTATGAAATATGTAGATATGGCAATTAATGAACAGCAAGTAAGTTTACATCTCTTACATTTTTTAAAAAGATATTAAAAACTAGTAAGTGTTTATTATTGTAAATATCTCTTATAATATAAAAAATTTTTTTAATTGCATGTCACAAAAAATATACTTTTTATGTTTTTAGCTTTGTTTCTTGTCTGATACAGGATTATATTGTGAATTAAATTTGCAAGATATAAGTCAGTCTTCTAAAACCTTATATACCCCAAATGTCACATATATTGGAATACCAAAGAATCACAAAATTTATCGTTACTATTTATTCAGTCAGCATGTATCATTTTGTATTACAGGTAAGTTTACAATTACTAAATAGCAGTTATTATATTCATTTAATATATATCAAACTGAGTATTCTTTTCTGACGCTAATTTACAGATAGAGGATATTTGGGAGTTTCCATTCATAAAAAGAGATGGCAAATGTATAATGTATATCCATTTCTTGAAGGCAAAGTTACAGCTCTCACATTTCACGTTCGTGTTTTAGTATTTGGTTTAGATTCAGGTAAATATCAAGTTTTAGGCAATGTAATACCAAATAAAAATTGATTTTTTTTATTAATTTGATTTATCCCACAGGAGATGTATGTCTGTTTTTTGCGGAGAACATTTTAAGTTTACAAGCACTAGATTTCAAATCTCAAAAGTTCAAAAGAATCCACGTTGCGTCAGAACCAATTGTTTGCGTAAATATTATGGAAATCAAAGGTGATCAAAGACTGTTAGTTGCAACGAAAAATACTGTTTATCATATCAAATTTTAAGTTTTATTGTAGAGAAAATGTTATCGCGCAAAAAAGTTTAATCAGTTACGAAAGGAATTAAGTTCTCCTTAAAAGAAATTTAAAAGAATAATTATTTAATAAAATGTTTTTGATTTAACTATAAGTAAATGTAACAAAACTCATACAATTTGTACATGTCATTGTATCGAATATTTTTTATTTGTACTTTTATTAAATTATAAAATATAATGACATTACTTAGTTTGAACACTTGCTGTACCATATGTACGATCCCAGTCTATATAAACAGATAAATCTTTTTGAGAAACTGACGGTCGAATAGTATCTAAAGCTTCTTTAAAATCGTTAAAAGTAACTTTTCTAACATCTTCCTTACTAATATCTTCAAGTTGATCAAAAGGGATGCTTCTTATAGGCCCCATGCTAGCTTCTTTGCATAGATTCGTCATATCAGCTCCTGAATAGCCATCGGCTAATTGGGCAACTTGACAAACGTTTTCCTCGGTGAGATCATGGCATTCTGTTTTTAACAAATTGCGCACGATTTGTGCCCTTGCTTCGAATTCCGGTAAAGGAACGTACAACCGTTTTACAAATCTTCGGCGTGCTGCTTCATCTAGCTCATACGGCCTGTTAGTAGCACCTACCACTAAAATACGATCTTCATCACCAGTCGACGCACCATCAAGTTGCACCAAAAATTCAGTTTTCATCCTCCTTGAAGATTCATGTTCAGTTTCTGATCGTTGACACAACAAAGAATCTATTTCATCAATAAATATAACTGAAGGTTGTTCCACTTGAGCGACTGCAAAAAGTGCTCGAACCATCTTTTCGCCCTCTCCAATCCACTTCGAAGTAAGTGAACTAGCAGAAATGGAAAAAAATGTCGACTTGCTCTGAGAAGCTATACATTTGCCAATTAATGTTTTTCCCGTTCCTGGTGGGCCAAATAGAAGAATTCCTTTGGGAGGCCTCCTTAATCCTGTAAAAATATCGGGTCGGAGCATAGGATATACGACAATTTCTTTAATAATCCTTTTAGCGCGTTCTAATCCAGCTATGTCATCCCATGCAATGGGATTGCCACAATCCATTATCTCATTTTTTATAAGTTCTATCATTTTCGGTTCTACACTTTTCAATCGTTCGTCTGTTGGCTCAACAACTTCCTCTTCTTTTGGCTGATTTTCTTTGAATGGGCACACATATGGAGAATTCACTGCTTTTCCACCCAATGACTTTTTAATTGGTGGTTGTTGATTTCTGTTGGTTACTTGCATATTATTTTTTTTAACTTGTTGAATATTTAATGCTGTTCTGGCAGTTTTGAAACTTCCAAATCTATCATCTGAGCATTTTTCTACATTCTTGTCAGATATACTATGATTTTTGGAAGTTGTAAAACTTGATTTATTTGTATATGCCTTTCCACAATTTGAAAATGATCTGTCAGAATTAGATGGCGGTCTTTCAGCATTGAAACATTGTCTTTTACTATTAGAAAGTTGTCTATCGCTGTTTGAAAATTGTTTTTCGCTATTTGAATATTGCTTATAACTATTTAGAAGTGGTTTTTCAGTATTTGAATATTGCCTTTCAGCATTCGATAATTGCTTTTCAATGTTTGAAAACTGTTTTTCAATACTTGACAATTGCTTTGCAGGAGTAAATGATAATCTTGAATCAACCATTATTTTATTATCTTTTTTTTTAGGTTCAAAACTTGTTTCAAAATTAGATAATATATACTTGTCATCTATGTGTTTATTAACAACTTTATTTTGCACCAACCCTTGTTTCTGTTTTGAAATCTTTCTTGTCCTTGGCGATACTTCACCATTTCTCCACCAATTCATCACTTTTTCTATATCTCTTTCACAAAGCTGTTCATTTTTGCATGGTAATATTGAGCTGTTATTGCAAGATATTGGTTCTATATGTTGCAACATCTGTTCTGTATCACTCAAGTTCAATTTCCATTCCAAAGGATCATTATTTGTTGTGACGTTTAATGAGTTGAACTGTTTCCAATAATTATTTAAACCATTTTGACTGTCAAAAAAATCTGCATATTTTGTTAATTCTTCTTGTAACAAGGAACTAGCAGCTTCAGCATTGATACTGTAATTATGAAATAATAAGGATGATAATTTTAAATGCTTATGCTTATTAGAGAATAAACAAATAATACCTATGCTTTGATGTTACGAACTTTAAAAATGAACACCTTCTATCAATATCAGCTTGTTTAACGTCTGATTTCTGACTTTTAGAGAACTGTAAATTTTGATAAATAAATAGATAACTTGCTTTCAAATTATCGATTTTATCATTTTGCACTAGAGCCTCATTTGTATTTCCCGCCATATCGGTTATAAGGTTATGTGATTATCAAATATATTAATTATAATCATCAATCACTAAGTAAATCCTTTAACAAATAAATTAAATACATATTATACATATTACAAACATTAGTACTCTGATCACAGCAAAAAACAAGAATCTTCGGTTAAAGTCGTAATAATTATCTGAATATTCCTCTTAATTTACAATAGTTCCCCTTTATTTGCTTTATTGTTAAACTGGAGAATTTTTGAACTGAGTCACTAATTTTGATTTAATAATTATACAAGTGCATGCATCAATAACTAGATCAACAACAAATATACAACGTTTCCTTCAAAACAACCAGTCTACATGTAAATAACAACATTCACATTTAAATACTTCCTTAACAATATCATAACAAATGTCTCGATCATTGCGTCACACAACGTATTAATACGTCACGAAGTGTGTAAATACACACATGTGTGTAGATTGAATACGAACACACGTAGGCACGTGTGAAACGAGATTTCACCACAATTGAAAGGAGAAGAGAAAACGCAAGATTAATGTAAGAACGACAAAACGAAATCGTACCGATCAGTTAAATCTAGATTTTTCTTTTTTGTTTTCGTTCATTTTTGTATTACTGACCATTTTTAATTATCAAGATGATTGATATAATCAATTTGTAATTGATAAATCAATCGTTTCAAATGAAAATCTGCCATCTTGAAGAAACATGCACATAGATCTTTGTTGTTTGTGCATGATCAAGTTGAAAGCAGTTAATAATCGCATATACAGATTTTTCGAAAATTCTAAAATCGCGCATTTCGTGATCCGCCTGCAATGCAACTAGGCGATCGTGATGGTTTTCGAAGTTCAAGGTATACATTGTGTGTAATAAAAATATTCTTATTTTTATATAAATTACTTTTTACAATCAGGATGATGGTGATTATAGTTTTAACATTGAGATAAAACAATGTCAAAACCTAGTAGCTCCAAACAACATGAACAGAAACTTGACTCTACAGAGTCTGCAAAGACTTGTCATTTGCGCAATGCTCAGCTACAAGAATCATTCAATAATTGGATGCATTGTTTATGTATTGTCACATTTGATCTTGAATTGGGACAAGTTATTGAGGTATATCTTAAGTATAAAATCAGCACAATATACCCATATTTATGACATTTGCATCATTTGCAGTCTATATATCCCAATGATGCTGAACTCTCAGAGCAAGAAAGATCTAATATTTGTTACTTGGCATTTCCTGATTCTAACTCTGGATGTATGGGAGATACACAGTACCATGTGAGAATAAGAAAAAGTAGCAGCAGTAAAAATAATAAAGAGACTAGAGCACTGAGGGATTATGATAGAAAATCACCACTATTTTTACAGATTGATAAAGATTATTACTGGGGATCTGTATATTTTCGCCAAGTTAAAGATAGAAATCTTCCACGAGGATACTTCCAAAAGGTAAGTGCTAATAAAAAAATGAAATATCTTGCTATGATTACATAACTAAAAATATTTTGCTTTTATTCACAGAGCATAGTGATAGTTACAAGGCTCCCGTTTGTCAATTTATTTAGTGAATTATGTGCTGTAATTGCTCCAGAATATTTTGATAGTAATTCAGTTTGCATGGAGAGAGTTATTCAAGAAATAAGTAAATGGCCTCCTCCTGTTCCTGGGCAAGTAGTGCATTTACCTTTACTAGGAGTACTTTTTCAAGTAAGATATTTTTGAATTAAAATATTTTTTTGAATGCAATTTTGTAAAAAGTAAATCTCTTTCAGACTTACATTCCAAATCATGTCTTTAAAACAGCAGTGCCAAATGTTGCAGCTATAGACTGTGCACCCAACAAAGCTGCTTTAGCTCGCAGTTTGATTTTAACACCTGCTTTTGATGGAAATATGTTCAAGAGCTTATCTAGTGTATTAGGTCACATTCATTTGTTATGGGAACTCGTTCTATTAAGCGAACCCATCGTTGTGATGGCTACTTCACCAACAATTTGTTCTGAAATTGTTCACATTCTAACTGCGTATGTAATAATAATTTTTGATATAATTTTTACGCAAATAGCTTTACAAAAGTACATATGCAATGCTGTTAACAGGATGATTGCTCCACTGAAGTATTGCGCTGACTACCGACCTTATTTTACCATTCATGATTCAGAATTCAAAGAATATACAATGGATAGTCAAAGTCCACCTGCCTGCATTCTAGGTGTTACTAATCCTTTCTTCGCCAAAACTTTAAGGCATTGGCCACACATTGTCAGAGTAGCTGAGAATGGAGGATCCATTGGAGGTAATAAGTAAATCAAGATTTTCGTAAACATAATATCAATTAGATAAAATAATTACATTATTTTCTTTAATAGATAGTCCAAAGTACAAATCAAAAAGATCTGAAGGTCTCAAAGTGTTGGAGTCAAAACCAGGACTCTATACTCAGTACAAACCTTTTTTACAAAAAGACAAAGTTATATTGAAAAAATTGATGAAAGGAGTACAAACAAAGAGACCAGGAGAGGTACAGACTGCTTTATTGAAGCGCCACTTATCTGAATTGACTGAAAGTTTCATGATACCACTAGAAAGATATATAGCCAGCCTCATGCCCTTACAAAAAACTATTTCACCTTTCAAGGTATGTAATTTAATTGAATGCTTATTATAAATTTATGACTATTGTTTCTTTTTTATCTTTGTAGGCTACTCCTATACCTCAGCTTTTTAATCCCGATGATTTCCTGGCCACTTTGAACAGTTCTGGGCCTCATCTGACTACGGGAATCAAAGGTGATTGGGTTGGTCTTTATCGTCGATTTTTTAGGTCTCCTAACTTTTCAGGATGGTTTCAATCAAGATATTTAGAGCTTACAAATAAATTGCAAGCAATTCAATTGGAAGTTCTTTCTCAAACGGTAATAATATTTCACGCTACTTTTCAATTTTTTTATACTAACAGTAATGTTTCATCAGATCAATAATATTTTTACTACGTATTTGAAGGATTTGACTGGTTGGGTTCAAGATAAACAAGAAGTTGAAGTTGTTGATATGGTTTTAAGAATACGACAAAAATTGGAGAAAAGTAATCTCGATGATATACCTTTAGAATACTCTGTTCAAGAAATGTTACGTGAACGCATTAATGAGATCACGCAAACGTTGCCACATGATCTGCAAACAATTTTAAACAAAGAATCTTGACACTACTGCCATGGTGTCGCTTTATGCAAACAGCAATAGCGACAACACACTCATTTACTCAATTCTCTAAGGGATTATTCGAGGTGGTTTTCTGATTGAATACCTATTTTTTATTATTTATTTTTATATCTACGACAGGATTTACGGTGTATATTTCAAAACTGTAGTGTTCTTACAGTTTTAATATACCTTTCAGAATCGCTATAATTTGTAGCTGATTTCCTTCAAAAAGCAGTATTTTTAATGTTAAAAATTTCATTAGAAAACCGTTTTAGTAATGCTTGCATTGTTAAATGTTTCTCAACTAACGTAACCGTTATCATTACAACTGTAAATATTTTATTATGCTTCCATTTAATTTTTTATCTTTTTAAAAAAGGTTTGTTAATGGTTGTTTTTAATGATTGAACATTAATAATTTTCAATCAATTTAGGGGGTAATGAATGTCTTTTTAATTAAATGTACAGAAAAAAACATAATTGACTACACTATATATTGTAACAAGAATCATGTATATAGTAAAAAGTGGAATTGTTGATAAAATCATTATTTTTGTACACAATTCGTTTCTTGGTCTTTTTTTTAAGTGAAACAAAAAAAAACATTTTTAAAAATACGCATATTTACGCGTGATTTTTAACGAGTAATACAAAATTCTTATCAACAATTGTTATACTTTTGTCAGTTCACATTATAACAGTATCATCCTAGACTTTGGAAAAATAACGAATTTTCAACCAGGCAGAAATATTTTGCAGCTGTTCATCCTTCGAATTGCTTTGAAGACGTAGTCCGTCTGCATTCCTGACTAAATGGCTGCGAAAAAAAGTGCAATTAGGTTCACTTGCATCAATCTGAGTGCAAGTGAATCATGCGGTATTTGACAGACTTACCAGCCTTAGTATGGCGTCGTTTATTTCTTTGTACCATTCTGTTATTGCTAGTGCATTGTCTGATTGTATGAGAACTTGTAGCCCTAATATTGTGTTTATAAGATAAACATTTTTTCTATTGCTCAACTTATCTATAGGTTCTATAAAGGCACCGTTCAAGTCCACTGTAATATCCGGCTTCGCTGCCGCAGATTGGTCCATTTTCTGCAAGATGTAAATTTTGCATGGAATTATTATTTTTTAATTAACTATTTAATTATTTTTGGATTACCATTGCAGCAAAAGTTTTGGCATCCTTGAAAAACAACAAAAACAACTCCGTTAATACTGCATAAGACAAACTCCAAGCCTTCCTTAATTTCTTTCCATTCTCAGTTGTTATTTTGGTCTTGTTTATCACGCCTTCTTTGAGAATACACATATTGCCATCAAAGAGCTGAGGCCAATCACCGTTGGATATCGTTCTAACGCGCCTTTCATTGGCAATTGCGGGAAGTGCCCACGAAGATTCATTGCTGTTTTCTTCGAAGAAATAAATTTTTCCCTCGGCATCATTGGAGGAGAACCACTGTGCATTAAAAAAAAATACGCATTATAGGTATTAAATTGGAAAAATTAAAAAAATAAAAGTAGAAAGTTACCTTATCGCCTCTATCATTAAGGAAGCAGAAGCGTTTAGCATTGTTATCGTAAATTTGCCTCCAACCCGGAGGTAGATCGACGATATTATCGAGTTCGGGCTCATCGAGAATCCGAGCCGAGGCAGAAGAGGAGCTGAGAATTGTCTCAGATGAAAGACTTCGGCTGCTACTGAGATTGTCGTTGGAGGCATTTTGTTGTTGGGAATGATTATGTTTCTGTTCGTACAGGTTCTGATGGGGCCTGTTGAGTATCAGTAGCGAGGGCAAAGAAGGAAATGTCTTGCTCTGAAGACATTCTTCGGAACCGCTGTCGGATGCGCGCAAAAGACTTTTGAATCCAACGGCCGTGCTGCGTTCAATGTCAATTTGATCAAGGTCGTCGCAACTGCTAATAGGCGTATGATGTTGATATGGCTGCTGTTGCTGCTGATGTACTCGGCGCTTGGCCGGCACAGGTCTAGCGGCCGCCGCAGGACCCTGTAGAAAAACTAACTGCATTAGAAGTGTACTGATAGGGAGTTTGAAGAAAAACAGAAGGAAATAAAATTCGACTGACCGTGAGCGGGAATGTGGTGTTGGGCTTATGGAACGACAACAATATCTTCTTGAAAGAGTCCTTTGAACGAAGCTTAGGCACGGGCTTGTAGCGTCTCCTAAGCTCAAGCTGTTCTCTCTCATCCATCTCCGAGCAGTCGAGGTCCCCGAGACTCCTCGACTTCCTTTGAAGTAGCTGTGGCTCAGATTTCGAGCGTCGTTTATACAGTCGCAGAGAATCTTGACTGAGGGTCGTCGTCTGTGGCCAGTCCAACGTCGTCGGCACTTCCTGAGAAAGTCTGTCGCTGTCGTTGCCTTTCCACGAGGCTGGCAGGAATTTTATTTCACTGGCCAACTTTTCGAGGGATGGACTGAGCTGCAACTCGTTGCGAAAGTCAGCCTTGCTGGGCATGTTGGACTGCTGTGGTAAAGACGGCACGTTGTCGCGTCGCAAACGTAACGGCACGCTCGAGTACGAGGGCGATTCCGGACTACTTTGACTACGACGGACTCTCTCTTCGCCCCGACGCTTCTCCGAGTTCACGGCCGCAGCTCTCTCGCCAGCAGCTTCGCTCAGTATGTTGGCTTCGTTGTACTCATCCAGCAACTTGGGCGACCTCGCACTAGAGCTTCTCACGGCTTGGGAACGAGGTACAAAGTCGAACATCCTCCTCTCGGCTTTCGGAGCAACCGCTTTGAGCTCTCGCTGCCGGCCGTTCTCCTCTTCGGCTTGAACGTCGTCGAGCAAATTGACCTGGATCTCGGCTTCTCGTCTCGACACGCTCATGTCGTGCAGCTCCTGCGCCAACTGCTTCGCCCCGGAGACCGACTTGGTTGCGTTCGACGCCTCGCTGGCCAGCGTTTTCACCGCCATCGAGCTCGACTGCATCAACTCCGACATCAGAGTCTCGATCGCCCACATCTTTCGCTTGTCGTTGATGATGTCAAGTCCATTGTCTTGCGCCGGAGCTACACTACTCGGGCGTTGTTCTTCGGGGCAACTCCTCTGCCGAGACTCCGGCTCCCTGTCGTCGGTCAGCGACTTTTCCTCGGGCAGTCGGCTCGCTCGACGAATCGCCACCGGTTCCTGCTAAGCACAACAAAGGCACGCATCATTCGTAGTCCTCCGTCGATCGTAACCTACGTGCGGGAAAGAAAGCTTACGTTTGGAGTTTTCGCCGGGGACGCGTTCGGCGACTTGCTCTCCTTGATGGTCGGCAGAGCCTGCGCTTTCTTCGTCGAATTGTCCTCGCTAACTTTTCGAATCTGCTGCTGGCGCTGAGACGACGAGTTGCAGGAGAGAGCGCTGACCTTTTGCCACTTGTCATGGATGCTTTCGAAGGTCGAGTCGGCCGCCGGTTGATGGCTGTCGGCGGGCGGCGGTTGCTCCTTCCGGACGTTACGCAAGCTCGCGCTCGAAGCGAGTCTCCTCTGGGACACTCGGCTCGAGAGAGCGTTCTCGAGCTCCTCCTGGAAAGGATTGAGCTGAGCCTCGTTGGCGCTCTTGTTGTCTCTGCCGAAGCACATGGCGAACGTCGAACTCTCCCAATGGTGATGCTTGAGGAGCGCGGGCTCGTCGCTCGTGTCGTTCGAGTTCTTCCGCGAATGCTTGATCGCCTTGGTTGGCTTATCGCCGCTGCCGTCCGACTGCTGCGAGGTTGCCGACAAGTTGCCGGAGAGCTTTCTTATGACTTTGCTCTTGAACGAGTCGTGGCTCGTCTTGCGAGACTGACCAGAGGAGGAGGAGGAGGAGGAAGAGGAGGAGGGGGGTGGTTCGGCCGCCTTGAACATCTTGTCCTTGTCGACGTAGAAGCGCGTACCGTCGGGCAGTTGGTCGGAGGGCTGCTGGAGACCGACGTAGCCGGTGGGCACGTAAAAGGTCGCCTGCTCGGGCACGTAGTAGCTGCCGGCGAGGTCTGCGGCTCGCACCACCTGCCACCAGTCGTCGTTGGTCTTGCGCACTAGAACCAGCTGCTCATCCTTGACGATCCTCACGCGCTTGCCGCGCGTCTCGTACTCGAAGTCGTACAGTACCTTCAGCCGCTGTCTGCTCGCGCCCGAGTCCGAACTACTGCTCTCCGACGTCCACGAGGATTTCGTGCCCATTATCCGCCGCCGCGGGCCTCAAGCCGCGCACCTTGCGCTGCTGCTGTCACCGTCGTCGTTGTTTTCCCGGCACCGCGGGTACCACCACGCACTCTCATAATATATTTATAAACTGCAGCGCACTCTCACTCTCCTTCACACGTTTTCCTCTGCACGCTCAACCGCGGGCGGTCTCATGCATTTTTCTAACGCGCACCGATACGCGACGTCAAGCCACGGGCATGTTTCCTGCGACAGCTGCACCTAATTGACAGGCCGCCCTACGCCTGCTTGTGCTGCTTTTTCTTTACTCACTGATTCTTTCCAATGTGGCTCTTGTTCTCGCTCTTTGCTACTCGTTCGCAGATTATAAACTCTATCGAATCTCGCAACAATGCGAATTGCAGCTGCTAACAATTCTCCGCTGATTCCTCACAACAAATAACAAATGCTGCAACGAATGTATCTGTCGTCACGCCCAAGTTGCGTTTTCGAGGTTGTGATGCTATACGTGACTGACCAGCTCTCCTCGAAGGCAATACCAAAGCAATATAACACGCTCGCTCTCAGTACACAACTATACTGTACACTCTCCCTCTCTCTCACTCTCTCGTGTGTACATACGTATAAATTTACGCTACACGCCCGACTGTATATATAACTCGTATAACTCGCATTACTCGTGCTCGCTTCGTCTGCCGCTCTCCTTCACCCCCACTTTTTCCCACCGATCCTATATATTTGTTGACTATTCCGGGGATAAGGAAAATTTCTTTACTGTGCTACTGTTGGTAAAATAGAGCCAATGTTGTCAAGACATTTGGAAGAGAAAAATAAATCCAACGAACATGATTATACTAATAATTTCTTGTTAAATTAATCGATTGTTGTGTTGGATTGACTTCAGATTGGACGATTATTCTACAGACACAACATATTACCGATGCCGACAAATGACAGTCTCACTTTTTATAAATTTAGAACAGCCTGAGAATCAGCTGCGCGTGTAAATAAACGATATGCACGGACAGTGGCGTTCCGTTTTGAATTCGGTCAATGCAGACAACCGCCTAACTCGCAGTATATTGTTCATTGCACTCCGCGTCATTGACCATTTGCAGATTAGGACGTTAATTGTTGATATCTTCTCTTTTCTACCATTACCGTGAGATAGAGAGCGCCTTCCGCGTGTGTACGCGTGTTACTACCGAGTGAAGGTGGCCAGTCTGAACTGCGAAGTCTGGGGCCCCACGCTTACCCGAGTTTATAAGCGAATCTGCCGCCGCTCTCTCAAAGCTCGATTTATACTCGGGCTCGCTGAAACCAGTGTATTTTTATGGAATCTCAGCTACTGCTGAATAACAAGCTGATGTGCGCGTGATCAAGCGTCTGAGGCAATCATACTTGGTTCCAAAATCGATTCGTTAACAATAACTTGAGCTCTCTCTCCTCGTCCATCAGCATCTTATCCACAGCGCAGTAATAACTTTACTCCCGATATACACAAATTACAGTATTTAGCCTACTGCTATCTTGACGGTTTTGCGTTCTGTGCCAATTTTAACGGACCTCGATCTCGATTGTCACTTTAGCCCGGACTATTGACAGTGTCAAGCTCTGTGTGTCAAGCCTGTTCCATCTGCGCGCATCCCATTCAAAGAAACACTGTCACACTGTGTAATTGAGTCGCGATAGCTCGCTAAACTGCAGTGTCAACTCGCTCACACGTGGTGTTTTTTACGTTCCTGCAGTCGAATCGACTACGTAAAATTGATATATTTGTGTCGAGTGTTCAAATGAAACCACGGAAGCAGTCCGTTCAAAGTACTTTGGTTCGTTCTATTTTGGTTCGAGGTTATGTGACTAGGGACTTTGTCAATTCAAGACATGAATAAGTCTTAATGACTTCTCAGTTGCTTGTATGCTTACTTGGCACTTATTGCATTGTCAGGTGACGATTTTTATATCCAACTTTCATGTTTATCTTGTGCATTTGTTTAGAACTAACAATTTTAATGCATGTATTTCTTGTTTTTCAGATAACAACCAACAGTTGTTGTCCATTGTAAGATATGACGTTGAGTTACCAATTCAAGCCAGTTCATAATGATGATCGAACCAGCTTATAGTCTAGAGGATGCTTGCCGGCAGGTCCAGGTAAATGCTAAGCTTATTAACTAAATTCTGTAATAAATATCCATCAAATTTCCATTAATAAGTTTGATTTATTAAAGCCAATGATAAACCAGATATCTAGAAGTCAACGAGATTCTCAAAGCCAAAACCAAGGAGGCTTAGAAATTACAGTGGGCAACTTGTCCAAAGTGGTTTTAAGTCAAAAAAAAGATCAGGCAATCAGCTCCCGGCAGAGCATCCAATGTAAACTAACAAAGCTATACTTTGAGGAGTTGTCCAATGGTCCCCATGCCAATTCTGACTCTGTTTTGGTAATTTTTACAGCCCTTATAATATTCTCTACTTATTTTTGATTATGTATCATAATTGTGCATTTTTTCTAAAATGTTTAATAAAATAGAATAATTTGGAAAATGAAGATGACCTTCTGGGCAAATTGGTGCAAAAGGATGGCCTGCACACGCTGATTGTGAACCTTTATGCTGGCAACAAAGGATACTCATTGGCTGTGAGAAACAGGTAAAAGAGAAGTTGAAAGGTTGAGCATACGTTTAGGACACATTATGAAATTTGATTGTTAAACAGTGGACAGAAGGGCCTGCAATATGACAAGCTGGGAATCGCGTCCGATGCAAGCGTAGGATCAGTGTCGGAGACGCAGTTGATGGGTTATGAGCAGGGCGAATTACTGACGTGCATCGACAACGGTCAACTGCCGGGAGTCCTAGCGGAGCAGCTCGAGGCGAACAACTCGCAGCTATTCTATGATGGCTGTATTATCGCCGAGGTACGAGACTATCGGCGGGTGTATCCGCACAATAATCCAGAGACGCATCATGTGCTCCTCAAGCCTAGCACGCAGGTAAACTATCTCGTGGAGTCACCTTGTAAGTGGTCGATTCACGCAGACGCTAATTTGAATACAGAGCATATTGTCGGACGTGTCGGCGCTGACGAGTGACGGCGATTGGAGCCATGAAGAACGACTAGTACTAGAATCGCAGATCGTCGCGGCGACGCAGGGCCCACTCTGTCTTGACCCCAATCCCATTGCCGGCCTGACGAGCAGTCGGCTGCGACAGTGCAAGTCCCTTCTCGCCTCACAGCAGCTTGTGCGACAAGCTCGCAAGTTCTCGCAGGTCACGCTCAACCGTAAACGCAAGCTTGAACAGCTTGCCCAGCCTGAAGGCATCACCATTCAAGATCTCATGCAGAGGCTTCGCACGAAGCGCACCAGTCAGCCGTGTTCGACTGGTTCGGGATCGGCCAGCTTCAGTACCACTGTCCCAGCGCCGTGTCTCCCGGTCCCGGCGCTTTCTCCTCCAAGCAGCCCAATAGACGTACTGAGGTACGCTAAGGCTTACGAGCAGCCCAGAGAAACCAAAGACTGCTTGCCGCAACTTATCGAGGAGTACATACTGGAGACGGAGAGAGGTCAAGGTCGGATTTACCACATCAAATTGTCTATACTACAGCGACCTTCGAATTCCGAGTATCTGGGCGAGCTCTACGTAGATATAGACTACCGAGAAGCCGAAAAGAAGGGTTCTTCCTGCAGGTAATTGTTTAGTTCGATGGAGCCGACCATTAATTGGTTTTGCATCACCCGAATTCACGTTTTATTAGATTTATCTTGGGCACGCGAGGGCAAGCTAATCACTACATTCAGCAGTTCACGGAAATTTTTACCGAGGAAGGTAGAAAGAATGTCAAAATTCAACATATCGTGCCCGGTCAAGCTCCTCGTGTTACTTGTACACCAAGTATGCAGAGGATGCATCAACAGCAGCAGCAACAACAACAGGCACTGCAGCATCAACACAATTCAAACGCACAACGTCTCGTCCAACAAGTCAAGGTACGACCAATTTCTAACAATTCATTTGTATTCTTATTGCAATCCTAAATTCTTATCGAAATTTCTTTCATCTCTCAACAGACGCAACTGGCTGCTCAGCATTTACAACAATCGCAGTCTCAGCGTGTTGCACAGCAGGTTCGTTAGAATACATTTTTCAACGAATGTTTTATAGATCTAGAGTTGAAATTAAGCCATTTCTTATTCTCATGTAGATTCTATCGGCTAGAACGCAAGGACACTTGAATTCGTTATCGGGCAACCAACTGAGTAGTTTAGCAGGTCAAGTGGCAAATTCCATCAAAGCTATCACCGAAGCGGCTGTGAGACAACAGCAGCCTCAGCAACAATCCAGTCAACCACAAGCACAATTACCTACAGTGACGCAGCAGCCAGCAGTAGCAAGTTTGCTCAACTGCTTAGACGGCGCAGTAACGCAAGGTTTAACTGGGATTGTTCAAAGTGACGACGGGGTGAATTTGAATGTGGATCAGCAGCAACAGGTGAACGTGGCGCGCATCCCAACGGTTGGCTCGCAGAATTTAGATAATACAGCCAAGGTTGCGCTTTCGACCGCCGACATAGCCGCCTGTAACGGATCCGCCAACATTCTAGTCTTCCAACAAAAAGCAGCACCGACGACAGTTCCTACCGCTTCTTCCAATGTATCCGTTCTGGTTAGTTCATTATTCATTAATACAACAAATTATACACATTTTTTAATTATATACCGACACCGAAAACCTACGACTTGATTGAATTTCAGCAAGCGCAATTACAATCGGGAGCCCTGAATAGCTTAAATGATGATAGTGATAGTGATGCGGCACGGAATTCGACAAATTTAGCTATTAGCGCTCTGGCGACGTCACTTATGAATTCTGCTCAGCAGTTTACAGCTCAACAACAAGCAGGTTAGTTAATATACGATTATTGCTGCAATATTTCAATTATACATTTTCATGCTGTAACGGAACTAATGTTGCAGCTCAAGCGGCCGCCGCCGCAGCTGCAGCCGCTGCTCAAGCGGCGGCGTCCTCGACGTCGCCGTCTCCTGTCGCTTCAGTACTGAGCAACCCAGCTCCTCAAACTGCTCCAAAATCAAACAACGCAGCTATCCTCAGTCTGCTGAACAGCGCACCAGCTAATTTACAGCAGAAAAATCAACAATCTCGGCGAATTTCGTTAAACGCTGGCAGTTTACCACAGAGGGTTTTAGGCCAAGGCAATCTTATCACAGTTCCCAGTACAACTGGTCAAGTCAGAGTAAGTTTTAGCTCGGCTTTGACGGCAAATCAATTGGCAAAGCAGCAACCAGTCAAAGCAACTGCAGTTAGACTGGCTCGTGTGCAGGATCCGAGTTCCACTTTAGGTCTGTCTATGCCAGGTCTTTCGGCACTATTAGCCGGTAAGCATCTGTTCAATTCCAATTGTTAAAAAGCATGCCATGTAAACTAATATTGATTTTTTAAATCATCAGGTACTCCGAACGAAGACAACTCGGTGCCCGGCATCACGGCGGCCTCATCTCTCTTCGAGAGGCTGACTGCCTCCTCACAGAATCAACAGGGCAGTCAACCTAATAGTCCGATGACTAGTCCGCCTCCCGCCACTCCTCCACTCCAGCAGAGTCAACAACAAGCCTCGGCTAACGTCAATCTCCAGGGTGTCAACCTCTCCGGCTTGCAAAATCCCATCAACGGCCTTCAAAACGTTCAGGTTTTCTTTATATTTCCATTCATCGTTTTGTTTCGTTCCGTTCCATTCCATTCCATTCCATCATATAACTCATCTCTTCTCCATGCTCCGCACATACTTCAACCATTACTAACCACATTTTTGTTGTTCATTGTTTTTTTTTTCTCTCCCACGATATCTTCATCGTCGATTGATCGTCCCTCGTTACTACGGTACAGGTCTCCATTCCCGGTCTATCGCAACCAATCACAATGTCTTTGAACGTTTCTGCAGCGACGCCAGGCAACAATGTTGTCACTCCAACAGGAGTTATCGTATCGCTTCCAATTTCCTCAGCGACTAACACTTGTTCGACTGTCTCTAGTGTAATTCATTCATTTGTACTTTTATCAAATAATCTTCGATTAACAACTCTCGTTTATTTATCGTAAACTGTCAACCTTTGCTTTGTTATCTAGATGGTACCTGCAACTATAGTGACCACTGCTGCCGCTGGAAACACTCCCACAGTCGTGATAACGAATCCTGCTAATGCTCACCTATCTTTACCAATCGGTAAGAACACATTTCTACATGAAATTGCAATAATTAGATCTAGTTATTGAATGTGTGCTAAGAAAATTCCAATGGTCACAGCGCAACTCATACCGTCCGGGGTAAAAGGCTTAACTCAACAAAGCATACGTGGTAACAGTGCGGGAGTAACATTGGCACAGGTAAAACTATCTTTCTTTACAAAATCTATTTACCAAGGAATTTTTTCATCGTTAAATCCCTGGTATACAGGGAGGACAAGCCATACAGCTTGTCGGATCGCCAAGATCCAGAGTTGGCCAAATGGCACGTCAAGTACCAGGAGCTCAGAGTAAAGCGCTGCCAAATCAATTAATGGCTGCTTCGAAAACGGTCACCGCCAATCAGCTGGTGTTATCGAGAAATAAGCAAATTCTGACACCCATTGTAGGTTAGTGAAATGAATGCAAAACAAAACAATATCGTCTACAAGTAAAAAAGAATTCTGAATAATTGACTAATTAATGCGCAGTGGCTGCTTCGAAACCAATGCTGATGACAAGTCAAGCAAGCGCATCTTCCTCTCCATCAGCGATATCGAGTATTGCCAACAAGCAGACGCTACTCGCTAAAACTCTGAACGCGAGGTCAGCCCAGTGTAACGCCCAACCCGCAACTCTAAACGCTGTGGCTGGTTTGTCGCCGCAACAGGTAAGTTGCCGCCAATCGCACAGTCGCTCAATTATTTGTCACGTATTGTAAAGTCTCGCAATTATCGGTTGCAGCTCCAACAGTTGCAGCAGCACCTGGCAGCACAGCAACAGCAAAAAGCTGCAGGAGCCAGTGCGCTCGCCAATCCGATAAGAGCGCAAATCCAGCCGCGAGGCAGTGGCACTGGCCCTACCATCAGCGACGATCTGCTCTGAGCTTCGCTACTCATGATCGGCTCTGTTACGTATTTTCATCTACTGGGACTAGTAGCCACCATCGGCCTTTTTCATTTCACTGCCTGCTGAGATATGTAAACGTGCTGTCGCATGCCCATAATCTCTATACTCGAAAGAAGAAAGAGGCTGAATTTTCCAGCCAACTCTGTCTGTGCTGCTGTGACGAACCAATGATAGCGTTCCATTGTAAAGTGTGTGTGTGTGTATGTGTGAGTATATATATACATATATATATACAGACACACACGTACGAATATACATATATTTAAAGAAAAACTATTCGTTAACAGGCTCGCACCTCGTGTTTGTAAAATTTCGTTCGTCGTAATATAAAACTTTCCCTGTTAATAATGTTGCCGCCAACATAATGTCAAAAGGTTTAATCGCAAATAATCTTGTACATGTGCTCAGTGTTAATCTTTATCGGTTTCTTTTTTTCTTGCGCAATCTGCATCTGCCAATTTTTCCTCCATATACATTCAACGATTATTGTAGATACGTTAATTAAGATACAAAAAGCGCGTACACTTACAATTTGTTTTATATAATAAACACAATAAAATTTTGATTTTTACTCGAACTATCTTTTTATAACTCCAGTCTATGTCTGATTTCGTAGTCGTTTCAGCTACATGATGCATCTCTCTTAATAAATATTTTTACATTTAAATCAAATTGTAACGAGTTGATGGAATTTCATACTTGAACATACCGTTGTATTTTTTTTACTCATGTACACAAAATGAAACTTCATTAAGAATAATGTAAAATGGTTCACGAAATGATAATGAAGAAATAATGTGTTTTGAACAATATTCTTTATTACAAAACACCCAGATCCGGCTGTGTGACTCAGTATAGCATTAGACAACGCACAGTATATTATAAAATGTTTGCCTGTCGCATCAAAAATTGCTTAAAAAAGTTCTCATTTGTATATCATTAAGTCTAGATAATCGTTGTCCATGTAAAAATAATTTTTGACTACAATGTTTTAAACACCTGTATGAAGTAAAAAAAATATGTTTTTCTTCATGCACCGCTCACAGATAATTGTAAATACTGTATAGGCCATTCATTGCATTGTAAAAAATGATTAATTAGCTAAATCGAGCCATTTTTCTAGATTTTGTTTGCGCAAAAATTCCCCGCTTAGTAGGTATTTTGCTAAAAAATGAATTACTTCATAAATATACGTTTGCGCATAAAAATTGTCTGCATATCTGTATTCATTTAAAATTTTAGATTAGATTAATTGGGCGAGTTTTAATTATTTCGAAATTGTATACTAGCTCGTCCAAGTTCAATAATTGCTCTTCATTATTGAATTATCAATGAATAGTGCGCTCATAAAAAAAGATATAATTAAATTACTTATATCATTGACTATTCTTCGCTTAATTAATTGACTATCTCATTTCGTTGGATTCTAAGATTTCAAAGTTATTTTCTTCACGTAGTGGATGCATTTTATCTGATTCTTTTTGCATGTTATTGACGTCAAGCATTCTTGAAAAACAGGCTTTACTGTCATCATCAATATAATAATATGCTGTCAAAGCGTCTTGACCCGATGTGACCTAAAAACACAAACATAAATTAGAAATCTAAAGTAGATGAATGATTATTTTTGAAATAGTTTTCTTTTTTCAAAACATACTTGCAAAATATCAAATGCATCCCTTGCGGTTGGTTCTGCATTTGTTGACACATCTATGACGCAGTTAGCGGATGGTTCCGAAATCGGCCAATTATTCCTAAATAAATTTTTAAATATTCACAAACTATCAACAATATCATGAATTTCAAAATCAACTAATTATTTGAGATCAATTAAAAAAAGTACTAACTCATTATCGTAGGCCAGAGTCAAATTTAATCCGCTTTTTTGGTGTTCGTACACTGACTTATCCGTTAATTTATCGTCGTACAAATCTGTAAAAAAATATAATAATAAGAAAAATTTGTCTCGCTATAAATAACGTAGATGAATAATGTGAAAAAGATGTACCAGATTGGTAGTCCATAATATTAAGGTGGCAATTAATTGTCTGAGGCACAGGTTGATAGTAAACATTTATTTTTGGAAATGACAGGCTTAATTGTTCCAAAAAGTATCGGGTCATTTGAACAAGACTTTTTTGAAGTTTAGGCATGTTGAAGATAAATCTGTAAAAAGCAGAAAGTAATAATAACAAACAGGCAATGTTAAAGCCGGTTGTTTATTTCCAACGACACATATATAAAGATCAGCGCGCGCTATCTAATCAAGGCCTGCGAACGCATAAGAAGCGCAGTTGCGCGAAATGCTTTTTGTCTATAGTCAAGTACAAAGAGGTTGTTTGAATGGGCTATCAGTATTGGAAAGCCGCTTATCAATCGAGATTCACAGAAAGAACAATTTCAAGAGATGATGACTTGACCTATGACGCATTTGACATACATAGAATTCAGTAAGCGTAAATAAATAATAACACAAGACAAAATCGGATAGTAGGCTCGTAAGGGCCAACGAACTCTGCTGAGCAAATACTTACTTGGTAAACGTAGCGTAAACAACGTCCGCGGGTAAGGTGTATGGTAAACTCAGTAAAGACAAGAGTTTCACGCTTTTGTGCTTAAAGAGCCAATTGATCAGACCTTTGTTTGCCGAGTCGATGGCATCTTGGAAGATCATCATCACCGTTTCCGGCAAATTGGCAACCGAGGCTTCCTGAATGTCAGAACAATCATAGCGCAATCAAACATCCATTCGGCTCTGATCAAAAAAGATTACAATTATCAGTACCTGTCTGTGTATTTTGCACTCCAGGCATTCAGGATCGAACTCTGCTGAACTGTCCTCGATGGTCTCGGACACGACGAAAGTCGACTGCACGGCAAGACAGCGGTCGCAGTTGATGAGACTGTTTCGGTTCAAAAATCTCAAAGCGTCGTCGAATCCTTGTTTACACATATTCGCCAATATCTGCGGAGATTAGTTCGAATCGGGAGGCAATAAAAAAACGGATACATCGATAAAAAAAAGCTCACCTCTGGATTGGGTGGGAATAAAATCCTGGCAAACCTGTACATGTTCTGGCGAGAAAGTTCGATACTCGTGTTGGCCAAGTTCACCTGACAATTGTGAAAGACAATTATCAACAAAGCACAGCTGTTATCGAGCAATAGTGGACTTTGGCTTACGTGGAAGAGTTGCGCGGACAAATCGCGTGGGCATATGTCGCTCTCGCCGCAGAAGGGGCTGACGGTGATGGTGTTCTCGTCGAGCGTAGGCAGGTTATCGCTAAAGCCGCCGTCCATGTAGCGGATCCCATGGAACCGAGGCGGCAGCAGTCCGCAAAACAGCGGCACAAACGAGCTGGCGAGCAAGGCCTGCAGCAGGTCCTGCCGTGAATCGTACTGTGACACAATAACGTTCTTGCCATCGTAGACTCTGGTCAGGGAGATGTGGAGCTTGCCGCTGACGCGCAGGTGCGCATCCTCCGGCAGAAACTGCAAGGTAACAACGGTTTTACGTCGCGCGTTAGTCGATCGCAAGTGCAGCCGTTGATTACTACCTTTTGCAAACTGTCAAGCAAGACTTCCTGTACATTGAAGGACGGACTAAAGGGACCAAGGGTACGTTTTCGTGCATCTCTTGCCAGTTTCAACAGATTGCTGGTCATTTCACCTGTAATCAAAAGTTTGCGCCATTCACGTAAACCATTTATTTTTGGCGTTGTCGGAACGGGTCGAGCGCAAGGATTTAGGCTGACAGATAAAAGCCAGCGAGACAGACAAGGGGCGTTGGGAACAGGCGCTTTCTTTGTTCGCGAACAAAGAGTAGCATCGACGTCCTCTGTAAACGCGCGCACACATTTATTGCCGCGAATGCTCGGCTTATCGTACGTTCATATCGACTCCCCCCGACGCTACTCGCTGCACGCTAAAGCCAAGTCTTTGAAGCGCGGATAAATGAATGCAGGCAGGTGTACTGACCGAGTGGAAGGTCACAGAGGAGGCAGCAAGCGGCGATAGCCCCAGCCGAGGCACCGCTGATCTTGTCGAGCAGCAAGTGAGGTGCATACTTTTTAAAGCAGACGGCTACGCCGACGTGGTAAATGCCGAGGAAGCCGCAGCCAGCGAACGACAGATTCATCCTGCGCAGCAACTTGTCGATAGCTCTTTAATTTACCGACGATCGCCAATCTCCGTGCACACTCACCTGTAGCTATGACTGTGCACGCTTGTTTACATCTCTGTTTGCACTCACTGACACACTGAGCTTAGTTGCAAGGTCACGCTGTAGATCTATATCGCACTACACTTTTGCGATGTATGGCTTTCTGCGATCTTCCGCGAGAACTCTATAACTGCTGCACCAATTGAGCTGAGCTGGCCAAGACTAGTAACTCGCTTATTGCTTGCGTTATGCGCTGGTTAGACTGAGTAGGTCTAGGTACTTATGCGAACTCAAGTGCATTTCGTGCTCTTCACACAGCTAACGAGAGGACAGGATTGGCTGCTTGCTCGATGGTGTGCTCATCTCTCCCCACTATGCTACATTGCCTTCGTAATTCGTATGTATATACATATGTGGCAGTTCTTCGGCGCGTTGAGCCAGCACCAGATGACGCCACACTTGGTACCGAAAGACTGCGAGCACGGAAGCAGACAATCGTGCTGCGGTTGCTGGTCATTTCACCTGTAATCTGCGTGTAATCAAAAGTTGGCACCATTCACGCAAACCATTAATTTTTGGCGCTGTCGGAGCGGGTTCCAGATTACCTTCAAAGACCAAAGCTCCTGCCGCGAACATTAGTCGTGCGGTCTTTGTTTGCCACAGCTCTGGCGATCCGAGCAATTATTTTAAATAATAAAAGTACCTCTCCTCCTGCCTCATAGGCCCTCGCCACATATGCGCATATGTGCGCGTATGAGGGCGTACAAACGCGTACAAATCGCTAAAAATTTTGATAGTGCCAACAACAGAAAGTAACTACTATTCTTCGCATGCTCCAGACGAACACACTTACTCCCGGAACAAACGTATCATAACCTTCAATAATATAGCGTTATGATACGTTTGTTCCGGGAGTAAGTGTGTTCGTCTGGGGCATGCGAAGAATAGTAGTAACTTTCTGTTGTTGGCACTATCAAAATTTTTAGCGATTTGTACGCGTTTGTATGCCCTCTTACGCGCGCGTATGCGCATATGTGGCGAGGGCCATAAATTCGCGTGAGTTCATTCGAATCACCTTTACCTTGCTTTTCGAAACAAACGAGAATAGGCCTGGTGTGCATAGCGACACTCTACTTAGTTCATCGCACTGTCAAGACCTTAACATATATATAAACACACTTATATACAGTTGTTTGCCTCGTATAATACAAACATTATTGTATGTATGTATATACTCTTACTGTGCTGTTATCTTAATACTTACTACGCTTATACTTAACTGTCATACTGTCATAACTGTCACAGTTTTGCTGATATCTACGCTAGGTAGTGATCGGTTGTTATTCCATCGTATTTTTAGTTTCATCAATAGACAAACTAAACTCAGATATTTACATATCATATTATTCATTTATTATTTTCTTTTTATAATTAGTGTGTATTTCGCGTTTTTTCACTACGCTTGCGCAGTAAATTAGTTAAGTTTAAGCTATGAGCTCTAACTTAATCTGCTCAACCAATAATCCAACCTCCAAAGTGTGCAAAATTCCAACTACCTAAATACAATACGAATAATCGAATCGAATATAATATAATTGTGGTGTGCTTATCGGTGTTTATTATCACCTGTGTCGACTTGTATCAATGTCAATCCGATTCTCTCTCTTTTATATGGGTTCCTCTTAACTTTAAACTTTCTCTCGTCTTCGTTACTGATTATGAAGTTGAAAGTAACTAGCTACCAGCAAGCAAATGGAGACTCGACAACCAACTGTTTATCATGCGGTTTATCTGCCTCTTGAGGAAACTCTTGTCGAAGCAGAAGGTACATTGTCAATCTCTTTTTAATTCTTCACCTCACGTTTATGTCTGTTTTTCTATTTTTATACGTGAATTGTTCTTTATTTTCAGACAGCAAAGTTCATATTTATTGCGACAAAAATGAGGCTTTAAAAATCATAAAAAAGCACAAAAAAAGTCGCTTAAAAACCTTCAAAAACATTGAAGAAGCTCGCGAGTTTGCCCGGAATGGCCTCGAGTCAGTTTTACCTAATCCTCTTGCTAATGCTGTGCCCACTATTGTATTAACAGAAGAGAAAAACCGTTTCAAAGTACCAAAGCCTCAAAATCTAACAAAATTGAGAAAGGCGATAGAGCAAGATAATATTGAATTTGTCAAAACTACAGTATGGGACAATCCACGTTACTTGGTCAGTGGTGGAGATACTCCAGCAATACTACATGTTAGTATAAAATCACTTTCTTTCTTACCTACTTGTATTTATTTTTCGCTTCATTTTTCTCAATTTTCAATAATTATTATTAAGCTTACTTTGACGTGTATTGTAGGAAGGTTGTCGTTACAATGCCTTGCATGTTGCTGTCAAAGTTACCCAAAACCCAGCTATGTGTGAATTCATTTTAAATACAGTTGGTAATCCAGAATTTCTTAGCTTATATTATGGAGATGCAGATAAAAAGACTTATGTTAATAGAGCTAGTATTTTACAAGATTTGTATTTGAACACCCCAGATAAAGGACTTAATGAGACACCATTACACTTTGCTACTAAATTTGGTTTGAAAGAGTGTGTTAGAACATTATTATCTTATCCTCAATGCCTGAGATCTCCACTTAATAAGTATCAACAAACACCAGCAGATGTAACTTAGTTTTTGAATAAACATATTTTTTTAGATTTTCTAGTTACAATTTACAATCTTTCTACAATGTTTTCTTTGTTACACAGATTATATGCAGCAGAAAGTCAATTGATGACAAAGAGTTGATTAATGAAATACGCTCTTTGTTAGAGGAACAGTATTATGTGCCTGTTTTGAGAGCTGAGGATAACAGTCTTCAGCCTACTATTGGAGAACCATTCTCCCCAGTCAGTCCTCCTGTAAGGTTAATTTGGATTTTCTATGGCTACTCTATATTTTATTTATGAGTTTACTCATTTCTTTACTGTGATCTAATATATTTTAGCGAATTAACATTAATCCAATCAATCCCAAAATTGAAGTGCGAGCTTTTGCTGGCCCAATGACGAAATCTCAAGCTTTAGAATTCAGAAAAAAATGGAAAACTCCTCCACGATTATTTGGAACTCCAAATAAAAAAACACCATTTTCTAATGAAACTAATGGTCTCAGAAGTCCAAGCTTGCACTTGTCTTTGAGGTTACAAGATAGTGATAAAGGTCTTGAAAGAGTTGGCAGGTTGGTGAAAATTTATTTCTATTTTTTTTCACTAAAATATTCTATACAATGAAACACTTGAATTAATTAAATAAATTTATCAGAGACTTAGCTTTAGAGCACCATGTGTCATGGAAGGAGTATTGGCCATTTCTTAAAGATTTTGCAGATTTGAGATGTAATGATGGTTTATCAAAGCTTGAAGAATTCTTAAAAACAAAGTATATAAAAAAAACTCCATCTTTTGAGCATGAACAAAATAGTTCAACTCCTGATGATGAACAAGTAATCTGCTCATAGTGATAATTCATTTTTGCATGTTTGTCACTTATAGCTTTAATCTAATATTTAATATATAAATATCTTTCAGCCAAAATCGAAATTAGAATTGAATAATCTATGTAACCAATTGAATTCTCTTTTACTTGAATCACAAAACGTGATGGATGAGGATTGTGATGGTGAGATTAATCAATATATTTTCAAAGATATCTTTTCAATTATATATTTTACAATAATTGTTTTTATAGATAACTGTCATTTTGTAACACCACCTTCATCTCCTTCACATGGTATAAGCAATGATGAATCATCTGATGAGGAAGAAATGGATTTAGCTGATGACAACTTAAAAGAAGAGTTATTTTTAGAAGGGTAAGAATAATTAATTCTACTTCATCATTTTTTAATTTGATAATAAATATTTGTTTACAAAAAATATGATTAATTAGGAAATTGCCAACTAAAATAGATTTTGCCGTTTTTACTGCTATCCCAACTGAAATTGATTTAAGCAAATATCCGTACATCTACCGTTGGCGACATGAAATGTCTTTAGCTAGCAAAAATCACATCTATGAAAGGTACTATTAGAAGATATTTATTATTGTTACGTCTATTTGTTTACGTACTTATGTGTTAACTAATGTAATTTATTATTTCAGGACAATAAAACATATTCCTTTCAAAAGAAAATTATTTTCATCTGAAACGTAGCAACTCACTTTGGAGGAATCAAATGTGCTTCCTATGTATGTAAAGAAATCATCAGATACAACTTCACAGTATTCTGATTCTAATAATATTTAACAGCCAACACAAAACTTAATTTAACAAAGATTTGTATCTTTTTTAATATAGTCAATAATAGATTCATTAGAATTTAAAGTAAATTAAATTAATTTTAAGTAAATTATGTTTTGACTTTGATACAATGATAAGTTAACTAGTGACAAATGTGTAAACGCAGTCATTGAGCGTTGATCTGCTAGGTTTTATAAACATGAAGTTTGCAAATGATACATAAATGACTCATAAAGAGCTATATTTTCGTACTATTTTATACTGCATGTAAGAAAAAGTAAAGAGTGCGACAAAACTTTTTTTTATATACCAATAAATGTAATTAGCATGATTGAGACGTTTATTTATTATAAGTTTTGAGGTTTTTATAAAAAAAAAGGTTAGCCATGCTTAACCGCAAATAACTTCAACAATGATAAATTAATTAACTAAGACTGAATTTTTATTAAAATTAATCAAAAATCTTTTTTACAATCGAAAAAGTCAATCTAATAAACGAAACTTTCAATGACAAGAAGTTGAGCTTTATTAAATTATACCTTTAAGTCAAGTTGATATTCGTAAAAAGAAAATGAGTATGTATATGAATGTACCGTACATCTTTAACAATAATAATAATAATAATAATAATAATTTATTTATACTCATGAATTTGATGTACAAAAGAATGTTGATTTACTAATGAATACAATATTGTTTATTGGAATGAGTCGACTTCACTACTTCAAGCTTTGACTAATGGAGGTGGATTTTGCTTCAGTTGTAAGATAATAGAGCGCATTCTTGATACGTCTTTCGAAGTTCTTGATGATTTGGGATTGAAGTCGCAAAGTTTTGCTATACGTTCCCATTCGGTTCCTGGCTCGATATCATCGGCCTCTGCTACGAATTGTTTTTCAGCATTCCTAATCATAAAAATGATTCATTATTATCATTACTTATACTATCAAATATCATTTCTAATTGAAATAATTATCATAAAAAACAACTAGTTGTCAAAAAAACATTCGAGTTCTTAATACGTGAAGCTACTACTTTATTTGTAATATAATGTTTTTCATCATTATTATTTCAACTTTATATTATGTAGCGGATTTACATGAAACGATAACGAATTTGAATGATGAATGCTCGTGATTATGAAATGCTTAATAACTTTCGGCAAATTTGATTGCATGCACAATCTTATGGTGCAAAACGTGCATGTGTTTAAAGAGTTTTTTCTTTCGGTTCATTGATTAATTTATTCCTCTTTTCTACCACTATAACGTTTGTTTCAATTATGCAAAGAGAAATTAATAGTTAAATTAACGATCATCGAGTAGCAACATTTTCTTTTATTATTGAATTTTCCAATAAAAAAAGTGCTTTTCATGGAGTAAAAATATTCAAGTACTATAATAAGAACATAAAAATAAACTAATGTAGAGATGTTCTTACAATATACTATTATAAATAGAAATAAGGAACATGCAAGGAAAGTGAGGCTATATTTTGAAAGACAATATATGTGTCTGAAATTATTTAAATAACTAATGCAATTACATTTTTATAGCTAATGAGTATAAATTAAATGATGCAATTGTCAAAAGTTTCCAAACAGCAACTGAAAACATTAGTCTTTCATAAGTATACTTTAATTGTTGAACTGATGGCACAAATAAATGATTTTCTACTTTTTCTAATTACAGAAGAAAATTATTTGCCTCTGAGAAATTTTGATCTAACAATTATTATATTATATGTTATATAAACTTTTTAATACATTATCTAAACTTTATCTTGCCATTCAATGTGAAAAACATTTTAACATTATCTACAGAAAAGGTAGATTCACTGTTACGAAAACGTTTGTGTACAATTGTATAAATTTATGTAATTATTTACAACTCAATAGACACTAATTTGCATATTTGTTAAATATTTATTATAGTGAAATTAAAATATGATCGGGATTGTTTTTGAATATTTTTTGGGGTCCAAATTCTAATATTATTTAATCTGGCTGGCATTGAGGTAGTTTTTAAATACTTGAGTAAGCATGCATGTATACAAAGATCTTTTATAAACTTACTTGGCTGATTCCCTAAGTAGCAAAATCAAAATAATACGTATCAGAGTTTTGTTTACGTCAAATCGAAAATTATATTTCACACAGTCATGAGGGATTAATTATTCATTATCAAAAAAGCAGTAAAGTATTTGTATAAATGAAGATAATTACCTGTTTGTTGCTTTTGTTTTAGCAATGGCTTCTGCATGGTGTTTGTACCAATCTTCTAACTCTCTTTTGGCTATTTCTCTTAATTCTTCTTTTTTCTTTTCTTCTTCAGCATCTATTGCAAATACAAAATATTTATTCATAAATGATCAATTAAAAAATTCGTCAATTATTGCTACCTTTCTGTTCTAATCTTGCTTTTTGCTCTTCTCTCCACTTTTTAATTTTTTCTGGTTCTTCTTTTATTTGAGCTGGTGGAGGAGTTGGATTATCTGTATTTTATTAAACAAAAAATGATAATTTCAGACTGAAGGTACATAATCACTTGCATTTATATATCTTACCAACGACTGGATCAGGACGCTGATCAATGGTATTAATCATTTCAAAGCTTCCTCCATTTTCACTGCTAGTCTGCACATTTAAAACTGCATCATCTTTAATCAAAATACAAGAACAATAACTATAAAGTAAATGATCACAAAGTGATCACAAATTAATAATAATCAAAAACATCCAACCTTCAGTAATCAAAGCACCAGTAGAAACAGGTGGAATTTCATCTTCTAATCCAGCCAGCTGATCTTGTTCTCGCGCTAGAAATTCTGCTGCTGGGTCGACCTCGACATCATTACTCACAAAATTATCTCCAAATGCGTCCATAATGTGATTAAGATCTTCAAAAATTATTCAACTTTAATAGTAAAAGAAATCAACATAAGTAAATCATATTGTACGAAACATGTTCTAAGCAGATAATAGAAGGTTATACGAATGATGACCGTTAGGTTTTTTTGTTATTATTATAAATCAATACACTAACGTAGTATAGTTAATTAAAGGTACACACAAAAAATGGAATAAAACATATGAAAGTAAAATTGTTTTGACATGGGACATTAATTTTTCGTTGATACTTTACTACTCCATCCTCATATACGTACCATACACAGCAACACCCACTTTTATTCTGTCGAGTTGTTCTGTGTTGACTGTTCTGTCATTGCATTCTTTTATTCAGTCGTGACGTCATCAGCAAATATGGCGCACGTTCGGAGGAAGAATTTGAATTTGGACTTTATTTTACTTTTAAGAATAAAAAGAAATATGCAATATAATTTCTTTGGAAACCGATTTTTATAATTACTACACTTCATAAACGACCAAACACAATTAATTTCATACATAAAAGTTTTTTAATTATTAATAATCTCTAGTCATACTATTAGGTGTTTGTTTGCGCGCAATACAAATTAATTTTGTATTCTAATATCAACGATTATGACGAATATGAAAAAAAAACTGTTGTATGAAATAAGGTTGTAAAATTTATAACAAAAGTTATGCAATTATAACTTAAAAACTAATATTCTGAACAAATTTGCTTGGGTATCTGTATATTACATTGAAAAATTAATAAAAGTAGTTAGATGTTGAAGTTCACTCTTTTCTTCATAATGCATTTATATGGGCTCTCTCTTCCCTTTTTTTATATTAAAATTATATTGCTGCCTGTACCACATCTAGTACATTCAGGTCACCGCATACTTGTTACAATATTGTTAATCGGTAATTTTTGAAAGTTATCTGAACAAGATATTCTCTATTGTTGTAAAGAATGTAAATTTTATTAGTTGTATATTTATATCACATCTCATTGAATTATAATCATTTACAAGTTTCATGCTTTACTTATTCATGTAAAGCGCTGAAAATTATGCAGTCACAAAAATTATTTTGCTTACGCCCTTATTTATTTTTTCTACAGAACGTTCGATGTGAGTAGTATATGTGAATAGTAAAATTTTGAACTAAAATTTTCAATTGATCTACCAATTGTAACACTATTAGAATTTCTTAATATCAACTAGTTAAATTAATAGCAAATAATTTAAGCGATTTCCCTCATGTACTTATTGCAATTTGTTTCTCAACAGATTAGCCACTATGTGTTTCTATATTCAACCTAATAACATAATATACATATAAAGGAAATAAATTAGCGAAGTATATTGCATGGCAACGTGCAAAAGATTCTATAGCAGGAACAAAATACAAAAGAAAATTGTAACTGAACGATGCAAAGATGGCGACAATATCTATCTAAGTTTGAGAAAAAACGTGTTGAAACATAGTCGGCTCAAAATCATTATTCATTTCTGTAAAGTAATTTTTAAATATTGAAAGGCATGAGTTTTCAAATACTGAAAGGCAGTTATTAAATAGTGGTAGACAATTTTATGATTCAACAATAAGTAAAAATAAATTTTAAAAAAATTTTACAAGTTAGTAGCAATGGTGATGAACTATTTCACATGACAAGATAGAAGTGTGTAAAACTTATGCGCTCAAATACAATGCATAAGATTTTTACTTTGCACGCTTTAGTTTACATACATGACCCTCAAACTTTTGTAAAAATTGTTTCATACATCGCATAATTCGCATAAAAATATCGCTCGCCATTCTCGTATACATGTCTCTCTCTCTCTCTCTCTTTTCTCTAAATGAAACATTCATTTACAAACACAGAAGAAAATAATGTTTACATGTTTGTTATAACACTCACTATCTTTTTATTCAAATGTATACATTTATAACAGTTGACGCAAACTGACTCAAGTATAATGCTAATATGAACAATAGACTGTCTAATCTGTTTTAACGCTTATAAACTTTATATGAACGTACACATGATGAGTAGTTCAGTAATCACAGACTTCGACAAAACCACTAAATGGTTAAATGACTATATATACGTATACACATATATAAGCCTTTTTGTTTGAAAAAAAACAAAAACAAGAATAGGAACAAATCTTATTTAGTTGAGATGTTTTCTGGTCGAAATTTGAAATTTTTGTAATCAATGTAATCTTTTTGGTGCGCAAGATTTAAGATATGTTGTTCGAATGCTCTTATTATATGTTTCACCTAAACGTCATAAAGTCTTTGCATCATAATTTAAAGTAAAAATGCTTTACCATGATGATTTACTTGAAGCTGTTGTGTATTTAAATAAATGATAAAACAGTCTCGAATAAGCAGAACCTTTTACATTTTGTCAACTTATATCAGTTTGATCAAATATTTGGCTGTTTGTGATTACGTTGAGTACAAAAATATTGCAATTTGACCGGAAAGGTATCTAAAAACAATCTATTTCTTTCATTATAAAAACATTGAATTCTGAAAAAAGCAATGCAATTTATAAAATGTACAATAAAAGAAGTAATGTTGCATTGAACGCTTTCACGTGCGTTTGTATTTCTTAAAATATTTCGAGCGAATTTTTTCCGAGACTTACCAATCCGAACCGCGATTGTTTACGACTCTGAAGTAAATTACAAAGTTTGCGTATGGACCATGAAAAAAATGCTAAATTCAGTTAAAATACAAACAAGCAGGAAAATATGTAGCAAACTTGAGATAACAAGTTAGAAAACAAAAGCGGGTCTGAAAAATGTTACATTACATCATCGATCATTTTCAAGCGTAATACGACAGTATATGATTTGAGTAATTTGAAAAATATAGCTCTTCGGAGCACCTCATTGAATTATTTTTTACATCTCCAAATACAACTATTCTATCAAAAATTTCATCAAGTTTTTAGTTAAACTTTGGTAGAAACAAGATAAAAAATATAAGCTGATCAATTCCTCAAAACATTGCACTATAATACCAGAGCTGTTAATGAAAAAAATGCATCAGTTTGTACGTAAACTATTTTAAGGAATTATCAAAATTTTGATATACACAATGAACTTAATAAGCTACCGAGAAAGTTACTGTCACAAAAATGTAAAAAAAAAGAAAAAAACAACGAGAACAAAATAATTACAACTAATTTTTTCGTTTTTGTATTTGCAAATAAAATAATGTATGTATATAAATAGATAAAAGATAATTATAATCTACAACCTATAACTTAAAAGAATCTTAAAGATAAAATATCTACAAAATTGATGTACAAAACTATCTGCGCACCGTTGTCGAGCAAGAGCACGATGCCTATCTTGCTGGTTTATTTTGTGCGAAAGTGGCAGAAAAAAATAATATATTTTTTTCAATTTAATTAATCAACCATTGGTGAACGTATTATTCGTTCCACATAATACTGTTGCCTAGTCGTTATTCATAAGAATTAGGTCATAATAGGTACACGGAAGATGTTAGGTTTTTCATTTATCCTTTTTGGTCGTATCGAATGAAGCACGCGAATAATTTTTTAGTGGAGTTTAGCTAACTGCAATATATATATATATATATATATATATATATATTCATTTATAAATTTCCTCGAAGTATTAATAAATTATATTTACAACTGTACATATTTGAGAGAAGATTTGTTAATGATTGGCTACAACTGCACAATCTAACTTAAGCATACATGATGCGTATCGTACATCATTGCATGACTAAGTGAAATCAGCAAACAGAAAAAATGAAATTTTATATAATAAGAAATTTGATCTATGATTTCTTTTACAGGTATTTTTCGTTGAGATCTGTTGGCTAGTAATGAGCAATAAACACCTCGATCTCTGTGCTCTCTAAACAGACTTCCTTGAAAGTATGTACATATGTATTCATATATACACGGGTTGAATTGAATTTCGCTTAAAGTAAAATTCTAGGAACTTTAGCAGAAAAAATTTTTTTTGCTACCAACAATTACTATTACTATAATATAAATACGTACCCTAAGCACAACGTACAGAAATCAGCCATAGCAGCGACCGATTCATCTTTGTATAAATTTTTCTTTCATTTCCTGGCAGATAATCTTGTTTTTGTTTTAGCCAAATCTCTACAGTACGTCGATACGTTCTGGCCTGCGTACGCACGTGTAAGCACGTAAAAATTTTGAGAGTACACATTTCAACGTAAAAAAAAAAGAAAAAAAAAGAGTTGTAGAAAATGTAATTAGTGTTGCAGAAAGAGGAAAAAGGATGCTGTAAGCTACTATTTCAAAATATCATTTGAAAAATTACGTAAGATCTGCATATATCGCGGCTGCGTCAAAAGTATAAAGGCGCGCGCGCTCGCGCAAACTGTCGGATTTTGGCAACTGGTAAAGTTGAAGGGGATGGACGACGATGCGCGAGAACAATTATAAACGAATGAGAGTTACAAGGCGAAGAACTAGCGTAGTATGCCTATAGTGTCCGACTATTCTGAGATGTGACAGATGAGAACAGCCACGAGCACTGGCAACCAACGATAGAATGCCTGTCTTTGTCCGATTTTTAAGTTCCGATGCTGACGACTCAAGATCAAGAAGAATGAACAGATTGGCGATCGGTAGAGCTGGGCTGAAGGATGATTGGACAGGAAGTGGTTGTGGTCAGTGCCGCGTCTCGCTGATCGTTTTGACAGTACGCAGCTCGGAGTCCTTGTCATCTTCTTCCACTTCGTCATTGTCTGGGTTATCCCAGGATTGCCGTTCGCCCGTGCCGAATATGATATAGAACATTGCACAGAGTACGTAGACAGCCGCGGCCAGAATGAACACTATTCTCCACTTAGTATGTGTGGGCTGCTAATAACGAAAAATATTGAAAAGTGAAGTTGAAATACCACAAAGAAGCTGAGATATAGCCATACCGTGCCGACGATGACATATCCTGCGGTGATTGGAGCGAGCAAACCGGCAAGATTGGCCAGGCAGTTGGTGAAAGACATGAGAACGCCGGCAAACCTTGGCGAGATGTCAAGGTGGTTGACTTTGAAACCCGAGTAAATGCCACCGTTGAGACCGACTCCGATGGTCAGCAGGGAGACGGTCAGCCAAGGGTTGCAGCCAGTATAGGAGGCGGCCACGAGGGCCAATGCTGGACCAAACTGTCCAATGCTGTTGATGAGCTTGCGAGTATGTGTGTGGTTGAGGCGTCCGGACGAGATGATCCAGTCGGCTACGTGTGATATCACCATTGAGAACAACCACATCGCCAAGTAGGGTAATGCCGACACCAAACCGTTCTGTAAAAATGAAAGTGTTCTAGTATCAGTTAAGGTTTAACGGCTATGCTAAGAAACGATGATCGCTCGTCACTTTCTGCTGATTCTCTAAAATGGTATGGGGAACTGCACGAGCCGTTGCCGAGAAAGTATGTTAAACCGCTGTCGCGTGAAATTAAAAGAAATTGAGCAGATAAAGCGAGTTTTATTGCCACTCATTGAATAAAGTTGGATACGTGCCGATGATTAATGTCGCGATGAGCGAAACGTGAGATGAGGTGTAAATTTTTCACCAAACTTATCAGCAGCGGGCCAATGCAACTTCTTACCGATTTGATATGGAAGTGTAGAATTTGCTTCATAAAGGTGGGCAACTCCGTCATAAGAGTCTCGTAGCCGTAGTTCTGACCCATGTGGGCGATGAGAATAGCCCAGAACGGCAGCGACGTAGAGATAGCCTTCCAGGGTACCGTGGGCGACTGTTCGAGGGAGAGAAAAGAAAAAGCGACGAAATCAGTTAGGCGCAAAACAAGGAGAAAGGTAGAAAGGGCTAAGAAGAGAGGCTTGTTGCAAACCTTCGTGCCGGTGCCACTCCACAGAGCACTGAGTATGTACTTCTTCTCGTCTTCGTTGATGCGTGGATGGGACTCGGGATCTTCGTGAACCATCATCAAAAAGGCGATGCACCAGATGGTGCCGACCGTGCCGAACACGTAGAAGATGGAGGGCCAGCCATCGGCGAACCCGTGTTCCGAGAGCAGACCGCTGAGCGGCATCGAGATGACCGTGCCGAACTGGGCGCCTGCAAAGGAAACATACGATGGACAAATTGACCAAGCTGGCCTGGGCGGCCTGGGCGGCCTGGGCGGCCTGGGCTGCAGGGCGGATGATTACTCACCGGCGTAGACGAAGGCTCCCATGCGACTGCGCTCATTGGGCGGTATCCACTTGGCCAGCATGGCGTGAGTACAAGGCACAATGGGACCCTGCAATAGGGATAATCCATTCCTAGAGGGGGCAAATCGCCGTCGAGCAATCAAAAGAGCGTTCACACTCGCACGCAGGTGAAATGTCCGGCTAGATAGCGGCTCTCGAGACACCCAGCGCCCAACGAGGCTACGACGCCGCTTTCACGCTCGACGAGACGTTCGCGTACACAACATCTCTCGCTCGCAAACGCACGCACACGCACACCGACGGCCGACGCGAGCTCACGCGGGATGGGACACTTACCTCGCCGAGGCCCTGGATGAAGCGCACGGCCATCAGCCAGTAGTAGCCCCACTCGGCGGACAGGGGCACCAGCAGGCCAAACACGGAATTGATGAGCATGCCGACGCCCAGGAAGTACTTGGAGCCGTACCTCTTGGCAAGGATTCCAAACGGAATCTGCGTAATCACGTAGCCGTAGAAGAACGAGCTCAGCAGGTAGCCCTGCAGCCGGGCGTCCCAAGCGAACTGGCCGTCGCTGCTCCTGCCGCCGTCGCCGTCCTCCGCCGTGCCGTTGAGGCTGTCGAATGCCTCGCCGCACTCGCTCACCTGCGTCTCGTTGTGGCCGTCCTCCGCCTTGATGATGGCCGTGTGATTGACCATCGCAACGATCGCCACCGACATGTTGGTGCGCATCACGTAGGCGTTGGCCATGCCCAGGAACAGCATGAACGTCACCACGTGGCGCGTGCCGATCAGCCCTGAAACCAGATTCGCCGGCAGAGGCGTTACACATCGCGCAACACGTGCTAAGCTAGCCGCGCGCCTTCGAGTCAGCGCTTCTGCTTGTTACGTAATCGAAGATCGCCTCAAGGATACTATCTCCGCTCCCCCTCTCCATCCCGATGACCGGTGGTCAGCGATCGACCGCAGACGCGCGTTTTGTCACCGTTGGGCTCGCGCATTTTCTTGGAGAAAACATGGAAATTCGCCGAAAGAACGCAGCCTGCGCCGCGACGAGGAGCGCGCGCGAGCTACAACGAAAGAGAAGGGAGAGCGGTGGGGGAAGTCAAAGTTCGAGGGCGATGCAACAAGTTAAAGTCGGCGCGAAAGAGAGACAGAGGGAGAGAAAGAGAACACGTGGCTGGCGGCTGATTTGATCGAACGCCCCTTCGTTACCTCGCGAAGTCTGGAAAAGACACTCGGGTGGCAAGTGTTGCACTGTTGTTTCAGTTTTCGATGAAAATTGCCCGTCTGTCCGCGCAGATGCACACGCCGACGCGTAACGAGCACGTTGCACGTGAGCTGTCGCGTTTCCGCACGAACGAGCCTGACAATTAAAGCCACGGCGCTCGATTATCGAAATTACTCCAATTGGATTGATGCGGTTATCGGCGATGGGGAAATTGCGGCGCGTGTGCGCGCGTAAATATCGACAAGCGAATCGAAGGTAAAGAAGGGGGCGATCGTAAAAGGCAAAAGGTCGGGCTTTTAAAAATAGGTACATGTCACGCAGAGTGCCAGAGAGAGAGAGAGAGAGAGAGAGAGTGTAGGTGTGTTTGTGTGCGTGACTAACGAGCGGCGTAATGGCTGATCTTGAGTATACACGGTCTCGTGAGGTCTGCTGCGAGAAATCGGTGAGCAAGCAACGCGAGAAGCAAATAAGAACAGGCATAATAACTTGTGGACATTTTTTTGGCAGCCAAGGAGGACTCCGATTACCTTTGGGACATTCGGGCGAAAGTGGCGTTGGCCTCTGTGGTTGCGTGCTAACGTTGTTTGTGCTGGCGACAGTGGTGATGTTGGGCATGGAGCGAGCCCGGTCTGCTTCATCCAGACCAGACTGCTCCCACACTAGCACGTGCCCGTTTCCGTTTCTGCTCATGTCTCGCACCGCGCGTGAGCGTGGAGAGAGCGAGAGAGAGAGAGAGAGAGAGAGAGAAAGAGAGAGACAGACAGACAGAGACGGTCAGCGCGACGTCCGACTGTTGTTGCTGCTGCTGGGCTGGCTGGCTGGCGTTACGACGACCGAGCGAGCGAGCGGACGAGCGGGCGAGCGGGCGCGCACGCGGGAATACGCACCAACCGAAATATGCAACTACGTCGGAGCGATAGACTCCTTCGACTATTCGAGAGTCCGACGTTGTACCCCGAGTAACTCTCCTCAGACTGCGACGAGAGAGAAGCACGGCTGACGTAAGCCGCGCAGCGCGGACTACAGTGGATCGGAGGTAGAGAGAAAGAGAGGAGAGGTTCTCGATTAGCGCGCGCGCTCTCTCTCGTTTACTCTCTCACTCGCTCGCACTCTCGCCACGAGGACGAACCGCGAACTGCTGACTGTGTGAGTGTACGCGGGGGGCTGCTGTTCGTTTCCGCGATGCGCGCACTGCACTGCCTCGCACACAGACACACACTAACAGCAACTCACACATACGCTCGCAAATGCATCGCAAGTGCAGCACTGTCCGTCCGCCTGTGTCTGTGTACGCGTGCTCGTGTGTGCGTGCTCTTCGTTCGTGTACGCTTATAGCACTTGTAGCACTTTGCTCTGTCGTATGCCAACTACAGTCTGCCAACTGCTGTCCGCTTCTTCTCTCGCCAGCAAGCGACGGCTATCAAATACTTAAGCGAACGAACAACGACGGCAGTGACTGGATCAAACGAGGTTCTTCGACCATTTTACACGCGACATTTTAAACTCGGACATCTGGCGTGATCGATTTTCCGCGCTCGCGTCGTACCACCTTTTTCTCGAGAAAACGCCAAAGCGAACGCTTTTTCACGCAACTTCGTTGCCAAGATTTGGTAATTCCAACAGCGCACGTACAACGAACCGCTGATGATTACTCTCGGTGTTACTTCCGAAGACTCACTCGTGCGAAAGAACTAATGCCGCTCTTGTAAAAGCACGCGACGCGGCGCCGCGAGCGACCACGTGCAAGCGCGTCCTCCTCGGCAGTCTTCGGCGTCGGCGCAAGGCGCTGTTTTGCAGCCGAGTCCAGCCGAACGCGCACGATTTCCCCGTGGCGCGCGGGAGAGCGCTTGCATCTCCCCTCCACACCGCGGCGATGTTTGCTGCGCGCGGGCAGCGTCCCGGCCACGTGCTCGTTTTAAATTCTCTCTGAAATGCTTATGAATGCCCAGAACAAGAGAAAGAGAGAACGACCAGGCTCGAATTGGCCACTGCAGTTTCGAGTGCTAAGCTACAAGTTATGTCTCGTCGTCGCCACGTTTAGTCTGCGGCATTTTCCCAGAGCAAATATTTGTCTGGAGTCAGACAAGGCATCGAAAGGCTCGTCGTCTGTTCAGGCCTGACTGACTCATATCGGGAATCGACCGAGACCACCTGTGTGCGCGTCTCCCTGGCAAAAGTTTCCCTGATAAGCATCGCGCGCCTGTCGTAAATTAACAGGCGCGCAAGTGCATCTCCGAGCGGATATAGACGGCATTGGAGTTGTCGAAAAATTCGCGGTTTTTCCACTGCGCCACGGAGAAGGTCGGAGACGCTACTCGCGGCGGCCGACTCTCGCCTGTTCTGCTGACGCAGGCGTGCGTGCTTGCAAATGCCTCGAAGCGGTTTGCGCAACCGTCGGCAATTTTTTTCCGAAAATCCGGCGCGACCTCTCCGATAACGAATAATCAACGCAACAAACGTTGCGCTCGCGGCGCGGAACGGAGAAAAAAATCCTACAGAGAGCACAAATGCACAGCATCGAGTCAGGGGTTAACGAACCATGTCAAGGTGATCGGCGAGCTTGAGCCGCCGTAGCCGCCGAGCGCGCTAGTACCCGCGGCTAATCAGACGCGCGCACTTGACTGCCGCGCGTTCCGCGTTCTGTCGCCGGTTCCCTTGACCAGGCAGCCTTTTTCAGTGCAGTCCCGCGTCGAGACTCGCCGCGTCCAAAGCGCTGCGCTGGCTTTCCGCGTGCGACCCAAGCGCTTTGTTGGCACGACCAAAGTCGGACAAAATTCCAATTGGTGATTAGGTAAACACGAGAGCGAAAACAAAAGGTTACACGCGAGAGCGATCGTTTTCTAGTAATTACGATTAGGTAAACATGCGCTCGAACAAAAGGTGGCAATGGTTTTCTCGTAAGATCAGTTAAAACGTTGCATTTTACGAGTCGCTGGAAATGCCGCGCATTAAGGATATTGGAAACTCGTGACATTGCGGTATGGACACGTAACCGCTCGCTAATTGAATTGTCGAGGGAAGAGAAGACGTAACGGCAATTGGTGGTCGCGGAAAACCAAGGGTATCGGCCGTCAAAATAGTTATAGCGGGACACTCGTATAAGTACATCCGGGTGGCATCGCGCGAGGAAATACCTCAGAATTTTTATCTCCTGGGCTCCCGGGATGCCAGGTGATACATAAGTAAATTCCACATTCCGATCGACGCAAGCTTTCAAAAGGCAACCTGTTTATCTAAAAATATCGGGGAGGGGGAGGGGGCGGGACTCCGATCCGATAGTTGGCTCGCGTTGCGCAACCCATTGTGCTCGACGACTCGGCGAAACGAGATCGTTCGCGGGAGTCCGCGCTCGGTACAACGACAAGGTCGCGCACGCGTGCGCGATCCGGCCGAGCGCGCGCGACTCGCGAACGGCCGCGCGCACGGCCGGTGCAGCGTTATCGGCGATCTCTCTGTGTCGCCGATCACCGATGTCCTACCTGCCCTCGACGAGCGCTCCGGCCTCTCGTCCGGTTTTTCCCCGGCACGGAGACAAGTCGACACACTTTCGCCGCGCGAAATCGTCGCCGCGCCGCGTATGCTAAGCACGCTCGCGCGCCGCCTTGCGCGGTGGAGCGAGAGATCGACGCGGACGGGACGTGGATTTTCGGCTGCGGCCGTGAAAACGACGCGCGCGCGGCTCGGCTCTTCGTCCTCGCATCCGCGGCGATCGCCAAGCGAGCGCCTTCCCATAATTGGCCGTTTCTCTCTCGGCGCGCGAGTTCCATTCTATAATTTTCTGGAGCGGCGGCACTCATTATCTCGCAATTTGCGCGCGGAAGTTATTAGGCGCTCGCGCGTCGATGTAACGATAGCGCTGTGTTTGCTAATCCCCGCCATAAAAAAGACAAGTGTACGGCTTATCGCCTCGTGTAATGCTCATCGAGAGTCGAGTAGCGCGAGGAAAATTTGACAAACGCCGCCAAGAGTAAATAAGTCTCTTTCTCTCGGTACGCCTTATCTTGCCATCTCTCGAGTGCATTGCTGGAAAAAGACCGGCGTTTACAGCCTTCTCGTTTAATAATTCGATTACATCACGCATTACTGGCTGTCCTATCCCTTTTCTCTCTCTCTCTCGCTCTTTTGCAACGACAACGACGATGAACAAATGTACGCGCGCGCTACGTCAATGTTTACCTAGTTATTGTTGTTGCCAGATACAGGTGTAGCGCGATTCCGTCTTTACAGGCAGACAATGCATGCCGGCAAGTTAAATTCTGAACGCGCATGGCTTTCTTCCTGGCGCGCTCGCCTGTATCATGAAGCCAGGTCGTGCGAGGCGTGTGTTAACAGGTGTTCCGTCGGCGGCATCGAGCGAGTGCCCACGTAGAGGTCTACGCAGACGTAAAGCGCCGCGAGTCGTCGACGGAAACGCGAGCGCGGCCAGCGGCTGACGCTGTCGAGGCGGAAATGAGAGAGAGAGACTCACGGTTCGGGGGCCGCAGCTCGGCGTCCTCGAAGCAGCCGGGCACTTCGGCGCCCAGGGGCGGCTTGCTTTCGCCGTTGCTCTTGCCGTTGTCCAGCATGTTGTGCGGGGCAGCGTGTGCCGGTGCGTGGGTGCGTTGATGCGCGGTCGTGCGGATCACTGCGGAACTGGGCCGCCGAGCGGTCGGCGCGCGATATTTGACCGGCTCGCAGGACGGGCGACACCTATAACTTTCGACATGGATCGCTCGCGCGCGGCCGACAGATAGAGCGCGGAGGAAGGGGCCCCGGCCGGATTCCGGGGAACACCGCGCCGTCAAGAAGTGGGGACGTCGCCCCCACCTGTCTGGCTTGCTCTCGCCCGCGTTCTTTTCCAATCCGCACTCTTTCATCTCGTGGCTTTGTTTTCGCTGCCGAGGCCTGTCAATATTTGGCCGTGCTCTGCAGAATTATTCCGTTGCCAGTTGTCTTCGGGACGAATTGCTCACGGCGTAACGACGAGGAATGCCAAGTGTCGGACGCAATTAGCCGCTTAGCCTGAGATCTCTCGACCAACCGAACGAGGTCCATAAACAATGACAAATGCCCGCTGCGACTAAGCAGGAAACTGTGACCCCCATTCGCTCGCGGCTCTTCGCTCCGATTATGTGCTAATCCGTTGCACCTTCCAAGGCTCTCTCCCTCTGTTTCTTCAATAAAAACACCTCTTTGCAGCGTTATACACTTTAGCTGCTCGACGCTCCTCTCAGCGGATAGCCTTAGGATCCCGTCACGTCCTATGCTGCTTCATTTTTGTTTTCTTTTACCAAATTGCCGACTCCCCGCTGTGCAGAAATACGATTTCACCCCCGGTTCACTCGGCCGGAAAAGTTTGCGTGGCTCGACACGCTTTTTCCAATTATCGCAGTCTGACAAATTTACAAATTATCTTTTGAATTTATAATACTTTTGAGTGCTACAACTCGCGCATGTATGTAAAAGTAATAATTCCTTATTTTCCTAGTCAATAAAACGAACGTTTCGTATTAAAATGCAAAAGCGTTTTTTTATCGCAACTATAACAAAAGACAGTTACATCTGACCCGGCAAGATTGATCAATAACTCAATTATGTCTGTCGAGCGATATAGGCAGAACGAGAGAGAGAGAGAGAGAGGGAGAGAGAGAGAACACAAAACAGCGGATATACTACAATTTTCATTGCGGAAACACAGATCTCCGTGCTCGGTCGACGATCTGGTAATGACGAGCGATTCGCAACTCCTTTTTTCGGACGCGTCGAGCACGAAACAATCGCGACGAAAATTAACAGCTTATCGTAATCGCCGCGAGGAGCAGTCTCGAGACCTCGCAGGCGTTCATGGCGGAGATAAAACAATAAACGTCGAGTGCACAGCGGGATGCAGCGCTCGGCGGATAATGAGGCGCGTAATCGTAACAATTAACGAGGATCGCTCGCTCGAGCGAGGAATAATGGTCGATTGTCTCTCGTAAAGCGAGGCTCAAGGTTCGCTGTGCTCACATATCCAGAGCGCGGCCGATTACGATCGATAGAGAGGGGAGGGAAGGCCTGCGGCAGCGCGGAGAACGACGCGCCGAAATTAGGAATGATGAGTTTTCGACTGCGATGGCTCTCGCGCGAGTTTCGCTCCGCCGGCGGCGACTACGCGATTACGGCCGGTGTGCGTGTGCTTAGCATTGAGCAAACACGAGACAGCCACTTGGCGCGATGAAAACGGGCGACGAGCGTCTCGAAAGGCTGCCCATTCACGGCTCTAATCGCTCGTAATCGTCCTCACGACAGCGCCGGTTCACACGCGATCCCCGCTCGCCACTCGAGCACCAGACCTGGCCGTTTTTCACGAAAATGCCGTTCGCGGCTCGTTCGAGCGTCGCTTGCGAGCGATGTGGTCGTTGGCGCCGATCCGCGCGGGCGTAGCTTCGTTGTTTACTCGCGCGCGCGTTCGTTGGAAGCGGCGCATTGACATTCAACTCGCGTGTCGAACGAGATTCGACGGGAGGAGAATCAGATATCGTCGAGCTTGCGGCGATGGATATCGCGTCGCTCGATTGGCCGATCGCGCGCGCCTCATCCTTCATCCGGTCGATCGGGCGTCGATCGATCGTCGGCCAGGAAAGCCTGATCGATGCGGCAAAATCGTCGTCGATCGAATCGTGCCCGCGATCGCGAAAAATCGCTTCCGAAAGCAGGTCAACAATGTGCAATGCCCGAGAGCCTCGCTATTACTGCAAGTCAGCGCCGCTAAGCCGGAATGACTGGCGAGACGTTCATTGGGCGACGGAACGCGAGATAAGCCCCGATGCGGCCTGACTGCGAAAGAACGTGACGCTAAGGATTCACGCGCTGTTCATCGCGTCCTCACGCAGCGCGATTACGGCGCACGCTATTCGTCGCTCGCCGCCGACACGCCTTCCACTCTCCTCGCCGCTTTTATTTAATAATCCGACTAATCCGACCAAGCGGCGCGTTTGCTAATCTCGCTCTCGCGTGTCAGATTAGCAAGCGTGTTATTTTTTTTCTTTTTATTTTTCCGCGCGGCCATGGCGCGGCATGTTGCATCTGCGAGACGAACGGGAAAAGAAAAGCCGATTGAACTGTTTGGAACGCGTGTCCGGTACGTCGAAAGATTAAGCCATTAAAAGTGAATTAGTTACTGATATTATCTTAATGTACTTTCATTCTCGAAAGTCGCCTTGAATATAGCGTTCGTAGAGCAACAAAGGAAGAGCGAGAATTTCATTTTTATAAATTAACTTCAACGAGGCAAATCATCTCAATCATAAAATCAAACTACGTCGCTTGGTCTCTTGATACGATTGCTTCATGCCCAAGTTGTTTTTTGAACGCGAAACACTTTCTCAACTCGGACGCAGCTAATTGAATTTTACATCGGTGCTCTTGTAATTATCTATAGCTTGTTGGAATTTCTCAAAATATACCGAGTGCAGTAGTAAAGAAAAGCTCTTTCCCTATCAACGAAGATGTACTACTCTCAGCTCGCACTTTTCAATGTTGTATTTTACTTGACACAATGGATACACGATTGCACCTTTGGTTTACTGATCAAGATGTAATGTCTCACATTTGTCACGCATTTCAAGCAGCCTCGCTATTATTTTACAAGAATTAAAGACGGGACGACGAGGTTGAAAGGAACACCTTCAGCAGTTATGAAATTAAAAACATTATAACTGCTAATTGCGTTATTCAACTGATTCATACTTTGAAATTGTAATATCAGCAAAGACGATAGTGATTATTGTTTTTACTTCTTCAACATAAAAAAATAGACTATTCCAGAGAAGTATAGTGCGTCACTAAGCATTCAAGTATATATGCTGACATCATGTATTTGCACAATTGATAAATTATCATTTGGCGAGGGTGTCGTCTTTGTGGACTATATTTAAAGGCTGTAAAAGAATCGTGCATCACACGTGAATAATTACAGTATAGTATTGATGTTTTTATACCTGCTATCTTTTTAATAATTCCTTGGTAGGTGGCACTTTTCAAAATACCAGGTTTCAATTGGATTGTATATCGAAATCGAGTGTAATGTAACGCAATCTGCGACAGACTAAAGAAATTTGAATCAACTTGATTTCATAATTTAGAATTCAAGTGTGACTTTATAATAACTAAAATTATCATTATGATTCTTGAAAAATGCAATGCATAATCTTGAAAAGCGCCGTATGTCAGACTGTTCCTAAATAAGAATTTTAACTTTAAATTAAATATTTTGTAACGTCAGAATAATTACAAAAAGCTTGATATATAGACCAAAGTCTAAATGAATTATCTTTTGATAGATATCTTAAATAATTGTGTTAAAAAAAAGGGAGTTTTCATTTTTATCGAAATTATGAAATATTGAGTCTTTTGCTGAGAATATTTGTGATGAGACAGCATATTCATCATACATTTTATCTTTACAGAAATTTAAATAAAGCTTATTTATAAGTAATATTTTAACAAATAATTTTCATACAAGTACAAAAGCAGAGAGTTTACAGGAGAAGTTAAATAACTGTCTGAGTAGTATTGAGAACAATAACTTTACAAGTTGAATAGGTAATTAAGATTATTATTACTAGATGTTATCACTTGTACACTGTTTCATAATTAAATAAGTATTAAGAGAGATATTTTTTAAATAAAAATAGATTTTTCGAAAAATTTCATCTATTATTGTAAATAAATATTTTTACAATAGAAATAAAAAAAGTAATTAACATCGACGTGGATAATACAACTTCAAATGTGTTCTTCAATAACTCATGGAAGTTTTCTAAAATTACCTTTATATTGTTCTTCAAAAAAAATGTCTACGGTGCTTTCGCTGGTATAAAGTGCTGATAGTAATTCTTTGTAAAATCTAGCATTAAATCTAAAGTACACTCTGGAAGATCTTCGACACATTTCGCTGGATTACCAGCAAACTTTGTAAATGAAGGTACAACAGTTTCAGGAGGAATCACAGCACCATCTTCAATATAACAGCAACTTTTCAACACACATCTCCTTCCCTAAATATTTTAAGTATGAATAGAATTGGTAAAAGAAGTAAAGTTTATTCATTAAAAATAAAATCACCCACAATAACTGCATTTTTTCCAATGTAAACATAAGAGCCTACTACTGCTGCACTAACTATAGCACGTTCTCCAACAAATACATGATCTCCCATTTGTAGTGGAAAAAATGCAATCCTGAATTATTACATGTGGAAATGAACTTTAAATGTTTAATTCTATTTCAAGTTATCAACTGACAAGATTTTTCTCTTACCCTCTGCTGAATCTTTTGAATGGAGGTCTAATGATTACATTTTTACCAATAATACAGTATCGACCAGTCTTTACATTAGCCAGATCTCCTCTGATTATAGCATCTGATTGTACGATAACCTTTCCATGTAAAACAATATTTTGTGAACCACATAAAACCGTCTGTCTACTTACTTTATTGCCTGATGCCTAAAAATATGATTTGCATATTTGTTAGTTCAATAATAATTGATTTATATAATCAAAATAACTAATAATTTATACTTACAGTTTCTACATACTCATTTTTATTATAATAAACGTCTTGGGCTTCCATTTTTCAACTACTATGTAAGCAGCTATCTAAAACACAAACAGTTTCTAACAAATAATATAAATTCTTGGTGTTTATTTGTGCATACATGTGTATGTATTATTATAATAATATTATATCTTTTTAAATACAATCTATGATAATAACATTATATTATCATCTTGTAAACAAATCTAAAACTGCAATAGGTTAATAATATACCCCTCTCATCAACTTGTTTATTTAATAAAATAGAGAATTGTTACAATTGTCATCAGAGATGAACATATACTCACAATAGTGATAACGAGATTTTATTACAAATTGGTGCGAATTAACTAAATTTTCATCACCATTATTTATGTCGTATGAAGAGTAGGTTTGTTACATTTATGTTATGACAAATTCAGTTGTGTTGTGACTGCGATTTACTTATCGTTATCGCGGTTGGTATCATTGACTAAGTATACATCTATATACAGCAGATGGTAAAGTTGGAATCATTGTTTGAAGAAGGATATGTTGAGTTTAGTTTGAGTAAGTGTGGTGTTGAAATTAGTAACTTAAAAATGTGATTGACTATATATATGTATACATATTATATATATGCTTTATGTATGTGTGTGTGAGCTTCCGCGGTGTCATTTTACTAACGAGCAAAAAGCCTTATCAAAAATTCTTTATAATCTGTGAAGTAAATATGTTATTACTGAAAAATCCAATTTTTTATGGAAATAACTAAAACTAGATTAACCGACATTTTTCAAATTGTTAGTATTCTACTTGTTCCATTGTTTATCACTCTGCTGTTTCTTACGTGCTGGATGAGACAGTATTTGTTGACGATAATATCAAAAATGAGTATATGTTAGGGGCGTATCGGATTGGACATTCGTATCTAAATATAAAAAATGGAATTGAAAGTAACTGCATTTCTTGTTAAGCAAAGATTGCATGAATTTGTACAGCTTTAAGAATATTTCTCTTCTAAACCGTGATAATTAAAGACTGCATAAATAAGATTTATTGGAATTTCATTATATGAATTCAATAATCCAAAAGTGCCTAGTATATACACATGTTTGTTTTTAATATGATATCACTTTTTACTGGATAAGTTCCATTCAATTGAATCAATAAATTATTTGTTCATTTCATCAAAAGAAGGACATCGAATTTTCATCTACGCACAATGGGTATACTTTGATAAATGATATACGCTTTGAATACATTACTACTAATGTTTCAAATTATTAATATTTATTTCTATTTCAGAAGATTCAACTGACTCACAAAAGTGGCAGCAGCACTTGGCTCTTCTTAGAGAGCAATATGTTAATCTTTACAATAATTACACTGAATTACAACAGAAGTACACCATTGCCACTGCATCAAAAGAAGATCAAAGTTTTATTGGAAAACTCTTATCTCAAATAGCATTGTTACATGGAGAACATCGTTATAGGTAGATTAAAAACTATCTACTATTGTATATCAATTACTCAATTAATTTAGTCATAATAATAACTACAATTTTCAGTGATATGACAGTTTTATTGGGAGAAAAGAAGATTCCTGTTCACAAATTTGTATTTGCAGCGCGAAGCGATTTATGGAATTCTCTGTCAGAGGAAACATTTCTTGGTATATTACAAAACATTTATTAAAATTTTATAACTTTGTATTACTAGTAATTTATTTCTTTAGATTGGAAACATCTAGATAAAACTGTTGGAACAGTCCTGTTAAAATGGATATATACTGACACGGTTGGTCAAGATCAACTTACACTAGAGCTTATGAAAGCAGCTGCAGGATTTGGACTGACAGAATTGGTGGACAAATGCGAAAGGTATTTAATAGGAAGTGTAAAGTTACAGGATTGTGTGAAACTGTACACAGTTGCAGAGGAGCTGGGAACAAAAAAATTAAGAGACCACTGTAGCTCATTAATTTCTTGTCATTGGGTAAATGTTTCAAATAAGAATTTATTTATAAAATACAAATTGCGCTTTAAAATTTTTAAATTCGCTGTAATCTTAGGATGATCTCAATGGTGAAGATTTTAAAGAAATGCCTGGATCATTATTGTATCAGCTGTTGAAGGCAAAAAGTGAATATCCATTGCATTTTGCTGTTAGACTAGAACGTGAAGATGTCGTATTTTTATATTTGGTTGAACACAATGCTGAGGTAAGTACTTACTGACAAAAAAATTACCACATCTTCATACATCTTTTTTCTCTTTATTATCTTAGAATATCTTTCATATTTTTGGTAATTCATAATTAAATTTATAATATCACTGTCTATTATTACAATTAGTATCACAAACAGCTTGTTCTTTCAATCTCGAAGAAATGAACCTATCTAAAGTATCAAACGCAATGCAAAATACTTGATTAAGTAACAGAAAAAAAACTTAAAATAATACACAACGTAAAATGAGGATAGTGACTAGAAAAACGAAGGTTTCACGATGATCAATTATGGGTCCAGAGGTATTGCAATAATTCGACGAACAGTAACAATATTCCGAAGGTCCATTGGGTGCACCGCGGTTCTCTCCCGTGAAACATCCTGCCGTATAAGCTTGGGTATCGATTTTTTCTTTGCTGTGCCATCTCCGATCGTCAGTGCTGTAATCTTGAAAGACGTATTTCTGTGGTGCACAATCCCGCTCATAAATAGAGATCGTCGCTGTAAAACAAAAAACAAGACGTATGGCTGGATTTTTCTTTAGCTGACAACGCGTCATCAGGATGACGCAGGCCATAGAGCGAACGCTCGATGAGTCCTTTCACAAGACTGGTCATCTAAATTGGTATACGAGCGATACTTGCATCCATTGGAGAGCTTGTAGTGAATGATGCGTTTGAGGCAAAATGTTGACGTCGGACAGTTTTGATAGTAGCTTGGGCCGGCGTCGAATTTGGAGCAGGGCTGATCCTTTTCGTTCATGTACTGCGGCGGATGGACCGTGCATCTATAGCAGATTATAGCACGCGCCGACGGTAGAAGGCACAGCGCTGTCATGGAACGAGCATGTAAGAATGTCAATAAAAAAAAAAATGACGTGCGCTAAAGATCGACTTTGGAGAAAGAGAAATCCATGGTACGTGGCTCACCCGTGATAATTACCACTGGCAGCCTCGAAAGATAATCCATCCTCTTTTTGTCAACTGTTGCCGTCGTCGTCGTCGTCGTCATCGCCTCGATTTCGTTCGTTACTAATTTCGATTAATAATTGACAGCGAATCGCCCCGTGCTCGAGAAGAAGCTCGATCGCCGACGGCGAAAAATACATGAGTGCGTACGCGCGATCAAGCGCGGCTCGACGATGTGGCACGCGCACTATCGTGGAATGGAAGTCGATGATAAATCGTGTCGCCGCGGAGAGAGGAATAATCAGAAGAGTCGAACTCGTCTCCGAGCGTGACTCACGGCTCTTTGTGCGACTGTTGCCTGCTCTGGATGCGTCGCTCGGCCGATTCGGCGGCGATCGATTCGTCACTGCAGACTACTGTGGTTTCCGCACGATATATGTGCCACGAATTTTTGATCGTCAACAGTGGCCAAATTCACAGCAGCCGCAAGTTCGGACTGCAATAACGTCCGCGCCACGTCTTTCGCGCTGTGCCTCCCCCCTCTCCCGCCTCTCGCTGTTAGCTCACTCTTGTCGTTGCGTGTCGTACTTATATGAAGGAACATGTGCATTATGTATTCGGTTCGAACGCGATATCTCCTTTCCTTTTGGGAGAACGAGCTATTTCGCGGAGGCACCACGAGCTTGATGCGAAGCCCGCTTTTCTATTTTCAGCTGGACGTAGCGGTGAATCGACTGGACAACAAAGGCGAGCGAGCTTTAGAAGTAGCCTTGGCAACGCGGCAGCCCGGTTTGGCGCGCAGCCTCGTCGAGCACAAGGCCGATCTGAGGGCGAAGGATCCGCGCGAGTTGACGCTGCTCCACTCGGCGATCGTCAAAGCAGACTCCTACGCGGCCGAGTTCATCGTCGAGCAACTGGAGCGCGGCAGACGCGGCGCTCCGATCGACGAGGCGCAAGCTTCGAGCGGCCGCTCGGCGCTCCACCTTCTCGCCAAGCACACCTCCGCCGATATGCTGCAAGTGGCCAGGAGTTTGCTAAGGGCTGGCGTTGATCCCAACGCTCGCACTCACGATGGATGGTGAGAGACGACGTTAGCGTCCATGGTAGAGACTGCGTTTGTTCGGCATCGAATCTGTCGACAAGAAGCGCTTTTAATTGCAATGGCTTGACCGCGAACGGAAAAACGGCTAGGCGCGATCACGATTCTAAATCACGCAAAGATTTCGGGGACACCAACAGTATAATTTGTGCCCAGGACTCCATTGCACTGCTGTATGGTCGAGCGGAACGAGTCGCTGCTGGAGTTGCTACTGGACCTGGCGGAGATCGACGTGGAAGCGCGAACCAATGACGGCGACACAGCGCTGTGCCTGGCACTAGAGATCGAACCCGCGGACGGTGGAGCATTCGAGGCGGGCGCCGCACTGATTTTAGCCAAGGGCGCCCAGCCGAATCCCCGCTATCCGGACGAGAAAGCCGACTGCCTGCTGCACCGACTGGCTCGACGTTCACTCGAGGGGCCGGCTCTCTTTTTGCTGGAGCGCCTCGGCACCGACGACGGTAACAGGGACGCGGAGAGCGGAGACGGATCCCGAGGACTCGCGGCGCGAAACCGCGATGGTTGGACCGCGCTGCACGAGGCAAGCAGATCTGGCCTGGCGAAGCTTTGCTCTATGCTGCTGCGACTGAGACCCCAGATGCTCGCCGAACGCAACCGCCAGGGCGACACGGCCGTTCACTTGGCGGTGAGCCACGCGAGGATCGAGGCACTGAGGGCGCTGTTGGGTGGCGCCAGCGAGCCTGAAGCGATGCTGGCTGCGAGGAACGAACGTGGCGACACGCCACTGAGCTTAGCTTTGACGGCGGGCAGCGAGAACGCCAGGCCGCTCGTGCAAGCTCTCGTCGAGGCTGGTGCGTCGCTGGAACTTCGCGATCAGCGGGGTTGCACCGCTCTTCACCAGGCCATCCTCAAGGAGGACGCTCCGTTGGCACTGCTGTTGCTGGAGCGTGGGGCCGACGTGAACGCGCGGATTGAATCCGGCCAGCTCTGGGATAAGTAAGTGTTCGCAATGCATTGATTTACTCGTTGCTCGTTGGTAAACTATTCGGAACTATGAATGGAGTCTCAGCAATGGAAACTTTCGAGCCATAGTTACATTCGAGTATTTTATTTAAAAAGATGTACCAAAACGTTTTCTGGTAACGTAATAATAAAAGTTTAACGATGGGTCTAACGTATAGATATATACAGAAATATAACAAATCACTCATAGATACTTGAAAAGATATTAAGCTCTTCGCATGGTTGCTTTGAAATTGCAAGGGATGTGAACGACTCGATTATGGGTGCTGGCCCCGAGGCAGTAGGCAAGACAGCATTGCAGTTGGCAGTACACTGTCGACTGGCCGAAGTTGCCGAAGCACTCTGTCGCCGTGGAGCGGATCCTTCTCTCGGATGTCCCTTGTGGGACGCCCTCGAGAGCGAACAAATCGACGTTGCGTCATGTTTGGTTACCCATGGCGCCGATCCCGACTGCTGGACTGCCCATCCAGAGCTGCGCAACTGCCAGCAAAGCCTATTGCATCGTGCTATCGACGAGAACCGTGAGGACGTCGGGCAGTTTTTGGTACGCAGCGGCTGCGATCTGAACTCGCCTAGACGGTCTCTTGTTGGAACTGCAGACGCGTCGACCACGGCTCCAGAGGCTCGAGATGAATGCACGCCGCTGCACCTCTGCTGCCAGTGGGGTCTCGAGCAACTGGTGCAGACTCTGATCGAGCACGGTGCCAATGTGAATGCCCGTGACGCTGAGGGCAAAACGCCGCTGCATGTCGCTATCGAGAACCAGCACGAGCGCATTACTTCACTGCTGCTCTGCCATCCGAACATTAATCTAGCCCTCCGCGACAAACGCGCTCAGAGTCCCTTTGCCGCGGCTTTGTCACGGCGCAATAACAAAGCTGCCCAGGCGATCCTCGCCCGATTACCTTCCGCCGCCGAACAGCTCGACAACAAGGGTCGCAATTTCCTGCACACTGCCATACAGCGCGACGACATGGAGAGTATACTGTTCCTGCTGTCGATCCAGGTCGACGTCAACTCGCGAGTGCAGGACCAGACGCAGACTACACCTCTGCAACTCGCCACGGCTACTGGCAACGAGATGCTCGTGCGAAGTCTTATCCTCGCTGGAGCTCGGGTGCACGATCAGGATGCCTATCGTAATACCGCACTTCATCATGCAGCCAAGCATGGCCATGCCGCTATCACCTCGGCGCTTCTTCAGGTAATTTTCATTGTTCTTCGTCTTTTAAAATTCGATCTCATCAAACGATCTTTTAATCAATCAGAATAACGTTAACTTCGACGCAATCAATGCCGACGGCGACAACGCTCTTCACGTAGCCACGCGGGAGGGTCACGTAAGCGTGGTCAGGACACTGCTCACCGAGTGCACTCTGGATGCTGAAGCGGTCAATCTTAAAGGCCGTAATCCGTTGCACGAACTCGCCAGATACGGACGTGATAACGCTGCTACCATATGCGAGCTTTTCTTTGAGTGCATGCCCAAGTATCCGCTCAACAATGCAGGTACGCAATTGATATTTTACTTGTATTTATGGAAAGCAGTTTAGTATATTTGTCGTTGACAAATTCTTAACGTTAGATCTTGATGGCAACACTCCGCTACTGATTGCCTACATGAAGGGTAACGGCAACTTGTGTCGGTCTCTCGTAAAATTTGGTGCTTGCTTGGGCTCCATGAACAAAGATGGTATTACTATTTTCAACTACCAAGTGGCTACCAAACAGCTCCTCTACAGATTATTAGAATCGTTAACACAGGAGGCTCCCTGGGCCGACAAAGACCTCTGCCTCGAATGCGGCACCAAGTTCTCGTTAACCATGCGCAAACATCATTGGTAAGTATTCTCAATTGACGGCTGATATTTGTTCTTTGCTGATTTTCTTTTTTTCTCGTTTACAGTCGTCATTGCGGCAGAATACTGTGTAGCAGATGTTCAGATCAAGACGTTCCAATTCTCAAATTCGGGCAAAACAAGCCAGTTAGAGTCTGCGCTGTTTGTTTTGATGTGCTTCAAATTGGTGCTGATTGAACCGAACACGCCAATTTTTACGAATCATTCCAAAATCTCTTCAAAATTTATTATAATCAATATATTATTATTTACAATTGTTGTTTATACTAAATAATATTATTCATTATTAACAACGATACGATTTTCACTTCAAATATTTTAAACTTATTTAAATTTTGTTGAAATTAACGGTCTTTTGAGCTTAAATCGTGATTATTATCTCCATCATCGATATTTATATCTCCCATAGTCTCCCAGTCATCGTTGATTCTTTCAAGCCAATGCATTTCCTCTTGCATTTTCACTTCAAGTAAGTTTATTGAACGCTGCTTTTTTTTCTCTTCAATTTTACGTTTTTTCAGAAAATCAGCAAATAATTTATTTTGTTCTCTGTTAGATATAAAATCAATAACAACTTCTGAGGTGGGTTCCTCACAGCCTTTTGGCTCACTTGTTACATCTGTGTCTCTATTTTGTTCAGCCATCTGTGCTTTGTTTATTGATCCCATGATCTTTGAACATTCATAAATTATTCAATTGTTACAAATACCATCAACATAAAATTCATTGAAATTTAATTTTTAATATAATTACCCTTTCCATAACTTTTGAATGATCAAATCCCATAACATCTTGTCTCATTTCTGGTATTACAAATTTATAGATTTCATTGTTATTTGAATTGCAATTAGTACCATCAACTTTGAAAATTTTAGTTTTGAGCTCTGCAGACAAAGATGTTTCCAAAGTTGGTACTTTAGCATTCATTATGTGAGCTGTTGGTGTATAGTCTTCTCCAAAATCTACTTTAGCTAAAAGTTCTTCTACTTCCTTGACAACGCTGTACTGTTTGTTTTTAATAAAATTTATTGGAGGGACTATGCCGATTACACGCAGTTGTGATAGCTCATGCTGTAAGTGACCTGCTGATTCGTGGAGTAACTTTTGCACTGATCCATCAGTAATATTGCCACTTTGTGAAAACCAATAAACATGTACTACACTGAAGTCAGATGCAACATTTACATGAGAAATTTCAATTCCTTTGTTGACTAATTTTGATCCAACTTCACCAGTTGCCATAAAATCTGTTATATATTTCATAAAAACTTTATTTAAAACTGTTACACGTCGATTTTTATGAGTAGTAGCTTTTACTGGTCCTCTATTGAAATTAACTACTGGAGGAGGTTCTGTTGCTGCCTTAAGATTTCTGTAATTTAATTATTACGTTCATGGATTTGGTTAATTTATATAAGTTAGGGAAATAAAATATACACAAAATTCGACATTACTTTTTTGTACGATCTGACTGCATCACTTTATTGAATATTCGTCCTAACTGCATTGCCTGTTGCAGTTTTGTACCGGTAGCCATAAATCGTACTTGCATTGTGACATTCACTAATTTAATCATGATTGAATGAGTATCACACGTTGAAACCTGAAACGAAATTTAGAAAACTTGAGAAAACAGTAAAAAATTAAATCAAGCTTTACATTTTGAGAGGTATCACTTTATAACCTCGAAAGAAAAGAAAATCGGAAAATTTATTCTTTTAATTATTTTTATCAGTTGTAAGTTTATTTGACATTTAAAGTATATCCACAATAATATTTAGCTATAATACGAACTATTATATGTAATACAAATTATCAGGTTACTTCGGAAAAATTGTACATACACTCCAATTAACGTTTTAACCACTACTACATAATACTTCTACAGTATTTATATACAAGTGAATACAACATGCAACGGCATGTGTATGGAACTATATGGAAGTAGAGATAAGAAAAGGAAATTTTTTTATTCGTATTAAGAAATTATAAATTACAAAAATATTGGTGATAAGGTAGATTTTCAACCATTGAATAATTATAATTTAAATAATTGAACATTTTGTCACATAAAAGTTTTGTAAAAATATAATTCTAAACCAAATTTTTAGTCAAAAGTAAAACAACTATTAAAAATTATTATTTCACAGTAGTTACTTATAACAAATTTAAATTCTATAATTTATTATTTCGTCATAAATCAGAATTTGTGTAAATTATTATAGGTATAAACTACTAACTTATAGATATTTGTTTTGTGAATCTTACCAAGAAAATTCAAGATTAATTATTTTGCTTTATTTTCCAATTTTATTGTTTAAGATCAAATAATAATATTGTTCAGCTACAGTTTTAATTATACAGAAAAATTTTAGTATTTTGTTTTCCTATGTACAATGAACATAATATAATGAAGACTATAATTTATCAGTGAGTTTTTTGCATTTTAATAAGCATGTTAAGTTTATTTGAGGTGATGAAATAGAGTCTTAGCAGCGCAGTGATCTATGCAGCTCATGAAGTCGATAACCTCTTCCACACAAGTTTCCGTTGTTTGACTTCTTGAATTGACTCGATCATTGCAAGTATTAAGTTTGTTTTCTAAATCCTGACATTTCTTTGTCTCCTTGCATTTTTCCTGAAATTTTAGTGACAATTGTAAATAAGCATTATACTACAGGTACACACTCATGGATTGATAATGTAACCAAAATAGTAAATAATTGGAATCAACATACATAAAATTGAAAAATTAACATTACTTCTTTAAAAAGAAGTTATATAATGACTGCTATGAGTATGTACGTAATTGAAAAAACGAAATGGTTAAACGCGACTTACTCGGAGTATCTTTTGGGGATCGACGAGTTCGCCCTCATCTTCGTCTTCAGCCTTTACAGTCGGAACAAAACTTTGAATGAACGACCAAATCGAAGAAGACATTGTTCACAAATTCTTGCACTCCAAAGCTATATGTTTAAGTAGATGAAAATTACTAATTGATAATTTAATTCTATACTTCAATTCTGTCAACGTTTACTGCAATTCCTGCAAGAAAAACAGTGTTTCGTCTTGGAAGAGATATAGTGCGGACTGTGAAAACGGAGCAGCACAGCAGTAGACAAAAGCTAGAGATATTTCTATAAGAGAATAATGTCAAGAGCAGCCATTATTAAAAACTGCGATAAATACGCGGAAATGACTCAAAACTCATCAGCGCGCAATTCGATTCTTTTGGTTATTGTTAAATGAACTACACTAAACAATTTTTTAATTTTTACCAATTTATATTATTTAATTTCAACACTTTAACTATTAAACTTTATTAAAAATCTGGAGGTACTCTATATCGTATAATATATAATAATAATAATTTTATTGTATATAATATTATAATGATATTAAAATAATATCCTATTATATATTATATTATAATATTTTATTTTTCAAGAATTCCATTTTTATAAACAATTTTATGGAACATCAAAAAAATACGTACGCGATCGAATAAATAAGTTTTACACTTCTGTTATTTTTTAATGTCGTTAAACAAAACTATTTTACGTATTATTATTTAATGCGGTTGTAAATCATATGTACAAATAATTTTGTGTATCTTTTTGAACAATGCATTTTTAAGTTGTTTTTCTATAATGTTTTTTTCAAGCAATTTTCAATTATGTTTCAGCCTATAGTATATATAAATATTATAAATATAATATAATATATTTTTAGTGAAGTAGATTACAATATATTTACAATGTTACCGTTTTATAATATATAACTTACGCAGCGCAAGGGTATAAACCATACAAACTGTGTGTGTGTGTGTGTGTGTTTGCGTGTGTGTATGCAATGTGTGTAAGATGTAAATATATACATATATATACCCGCGAATTGTTAATAACACACGTTGGTTATGTGTGCCTGCATTTATATGTGGGTAAAAAGTATTAAAAGTTGATCCAAAAAGAACGAGAATACAAGAAATTTTATGTCTCTGATGCATGCGTGCACTACATATTCTTTGTAGTCAGTCACAGATAGACTGCGGTAGACGTGTGAAAGACGAAAAAACTTATGTGGTAGATACATACACAAAATCATCGTTGTAAATAAAAATGAAGATTGAAGATGTATACAAGTATAATGCAAATCCCGCAAAGGCGATACAATAACGTTTAGATTCAAGAATAGAAGAGACAATTGGAAAACCGAGGGCTAAGCAACAACTGCAGCATTTGGAATAATAAGTATAGTATCGCTATTAAGCGGTTGTTCAAAAAGTCCATAGTATTTATGCCTACGAGTGTCAAAAAATTTTAAATGTATCAATTGCTTGTAAAACTATGATGTCGTTATTAAATCTTCAAAGTTTTACTTTCTATAAGATTGATATGGTTAAAGTTAGTTGAGTTTATAGGTTATGCTGGATATCTTTACGTGAACCCGATTAACAACAACGTATGATTCAAGATCACGTCAGTTTTTCAAATTAAAACTGTTTATCAGTATTTTAATTATTTACTCATTGAAAAGCCTCGGAAGTAAAGACCGCTTTAAGAAAGGGTATTATTCAATGCATCAATTCAAGAAGAAAAAACACAGTAAACAGCTACATATTGAGCAACAGATTTTGGAAGAAGTGTTTGTTGTATTGTAGCTGCTATTTTTGTCATAGTTTCATTAGCAAGTTGTTGGCAATAAGATATCATACTAATGAGATTAATCATTTTAACTACAATCAAACAAATAATAGCATTAAGCTACTATAATAAAAGTAATCAAGTGATCAATGGTACCTGGGACACATCCATATGTGCTAGCAGTGGCTAGAACTATAGGACTAACAGCTAGTGTTAAGTTATAGAACATCAAAACCAACATCGAAAGCTATGCATGTAGTCATAGTTGAGATTGGGAGTTGAATAAAGTATCTGTTACGAATGAATAATGCTAGCTGGCAATGAACGGTATGGAGAGACATGGACATGGACATGGCCACTCGCACCATCATCATCACCGGCATCATCATTCTCACCATCATTCAAGTGGTAGTTCATCAGAAGGTAGAGATGTCAGAGATGTCAGAGATTTCAGAGATTTCAGAGATTTTAGAGATGTCAGAGATACAAGAGATGTCAGAGAGGTCAGAGAGGTCAGAGATGTCAGAGATGTCAGAGATGTCAGAGATGTCAGAGATGTCAGAGATGTCAGAGATGTCAGAGAAGTCAGAGAAGTCAGAGAAGTCAGAGAAGTCAGAGATGTCAGAGATGTCAGAGATGTCAGAGATATCAGAGATATCAGAGATATCAGAGATATCAGAGATATCAGAGATATCAGGGATGTCAGGGATGGCAGAGATGGCAGAGATGTCAGAGATGTCAGAGATGTCAGGGATGTCAGGGATGTCAGAGATCTCAGAGATCTCAGAGATCTCAGAGATGCCAGAGATGCCAGAGATGCCAGAGATGTCAGAGATGTCAGAGATGTCAGAGATATTAGAGATGGCAGAGATATTAGAGATGGCAGAGACGTTAGAGATATCAGAGATATTAGAGATATTAGAGATGTCAGAGATTTCAGAGATTTCAGAGATACAAGAGATATCAGAGAAAGTAGGGATATTAGAGAGAATAGAGATATCAGAGAGAGTAGAGATACCAGAGAGAGTAGAGATATCCGAGATAGAGATACCAGAGATAGACATCACTATCATTCCCATACTGCTAGCTCTCAACATAATTCTAACAGTAATGCTATGGGCCATCAGCTGCCAGGACCGAAACAAAATCATGGACCACAGCACAGCCAGGATAAAGAACATGTTGGTGGAGCTATCCCTAGTGGGCCATCAATACCACAAAAATTTAAAAATTACAAGCTGATTGTAGATCCAGCTCTGAAACAGGGTCCAGTTAAAGTTTATAGATGTGACGGTCTTGTGGCCGGAGATCCTACTTATCCTGTGGTGCAAGTGAGAGATCCACGCTCTCAAATGATTAGGATATGGACCAGGTTAGATAAACTTGATTTACCTGTGCCAAGGTTCAAAATTGATGCTAATTATTGTGGTGATCCTCCACCTCTGGAAGTAACATTTTGCCATTTAAATGATAATATTGACAGAACTTTTCTCAGTGACATGGTTCAAAAATTTGGCCAAATTGAAGAACTAATAATATATTATCATCCATTAACAAATAAGCATTTGGGTATCGCAAGAGTAGTTTTTGAAACCACAAAAGCTGCCAAAGCATGTGTAGAAAAACTGAATAACACTTCTGTTATGGGCAAGGTATTGCGAGTTTTTTTAGATCCCTTTGGTTATGAGTGTACAAAACTCTACGAAGATTTAACAACTGAAAAAAAGGTTGAGAAAAAGTCCAAAGAAGAGCCTCCAACTCCAGTTGTAGTAGCGCCTGTTGTAGCATCCACAAAGGTAAATTATTTGATTTTTATATTGTCAACAATTATTTAAACTTAATTTAACTGAGTAGTTTTCTTTATCAATGCAATATTATTGCAGACTGATGTAGAACAAAACAAACGAGGACAAACGACGCCTGTTATCATCGACAAAACTCAGAATTGTGCGAATGACGAGAGAGAAGATTTCAATAGACATAATAAGAAGTCTACTTTAGAAAAAGTAGGCAGGGACGCGTACTCGGAAAATTCGAGATTTGGCAATAAAGTGACGACAAATTATCGAGGTGATTACCCAACACCTGCCGGCACCAGCACCAGCAGCAGTGATTTGAATTATACGCCTGGCCCGAACGAACTCACCTACCCCAACAATTTCTCGCAGAATTCTACGCCTGCTAGTAATTACGATTACTATTATAGTAATTTCCATCACCATCACCATCCGCATCATCATCAGACTCCCAGTCAGACGGGAAATTACTTGGCTGAAGGTATACCACCGACTGCACCTCCAACTCAGCCACCGTCGCAAGCCCAGCCACCTTCACAGGAACCAATATTACCATCACTGCAGCATCCACCTCCTGGTGTTTGGTGGAGCAATGCCGAAAATCAAAAGACCAACTTCCCAGTAAACGCGGCATGGCCAAAAGCAGCGAGTGACAGTTCAGTGAGCGTCTCGGCAGCAATACCTACGACAATGACAGTTGTTTGCAACGAACCGGATATTGGAAAGATACTGATGAAGAACGTTGCGAGCGGGGATACGAAAACGGATACAGACAGTCGTGATGATTCTCCTACAGAGACCCGCAAGACACTAGATCTCGACACGCGCATAGCCATGCTGTTAAAAGACAAAGCAGGTGGCATGGCTCCACCATTTCTTCAGTTCGGCAGTGATTCTGAAGACGATGATGACGAGACAGCTTCCAGAAGCAAACCCGAAGAAGAGATGCTATCGAAACCACCGAGTCCATTTCTTTCGCAAGATCTCTACGAAGAATCGTACCAGAAAGGATTACAACGCTCACGGGAAAGACGTAAGATGCGACAAAACAGTCTCAACAGTCTTAGCCAGATGCCAAAAGCAGCGAGGGTTGACGATGACCTGGGTAGTATTATCAGCTCTAGCGAGGATGAGGCATTGCTCGGTAGCTATAGTCCAACTATGAGTAAACCGGTCGCTGTCAAGGAGGCTATCGTAACTAACGGTTCAGATGGAGAAGCGCGAGCAGCTTCCTTGGACGATGACCGCATGTCTCTCAGTCCCTTGAGTTCCGGCGACGAGAAGATCGAAGAGGTACAGCTGTTATTTTTCTAGCTTCTTTTTTTTTTGTTGCTAGAAAATTCCACTACATCAGAGTTATGTTACCGATACATATTTTATTACAAGCTTAACTTTCCCTTGCTTTTTTGTACAGATATCGAATCACGATCCGCAACACATGAATCAGCAACAGCAGCAGCATCTCTACGGTAACTACTCGACAGTGGCGCACTTGCACCATTACCCGGTTGCCGCAGCGGCCACTGTAAATCATCATCAAGCCTATCAACATCACCACCATCACCAGCAGCAACAACATTGGCCAAGACCCGGCCAGTATCCCTACCCCCCGTATTGCGGAAGCGCAGCCACGGCCTACATGCCCAATCAGTATCCACCCCTTGGAGTGCCGCCACCGAATCATCCTTTGCACGTTCCTCCACCTGGTCCTGTAGGAATACCGATTCTCGGTCCGAACGCTCAGCCCAATGCCGGTTTCTACGGTAACTTTCAAAATCGACTTCACGCAATGGTTAATCACAACGTAGCCAAGGATAATCCACAGGTTAATAACTATTTCTTATCCACTGTAGTTCCTTTTTAGACGCGACATTCAATTTTCGCTTTGTGTTCTTAGGGGCCTACGATAAACGGTGTATTAGATCGGGTAGTCAACGAATTGAAGCTTATTCTCAAGCGAGATTTCAATAAAAAAATGATCGAGAGCACGGCGTTCAAGTTGTTCGAAGTCTGGTGGGCGGACGAGCGTAAGAAGACCGAGAAGAATTTGACTCTCGGCAATGCAGTTAGCGGCCTAGCCATAAATGGTGGTAATAATGTCAGTGCGGGTGTAGCTGCGAATGTCATTGGCAATAATGACCTTAGCGGTAGCACATCTCAGCCAGTAGGCCCACAGCAACAGCAACAACAGCTAGGACAAATGTCCAGCACTACCAGTGCCATCTCGCTTGCCACACTCAATAAAGAGCCTGAGTCCAAGAGTCAACCTCTTGCCGCACTTCTCGAGCAGACTGCTACGCCGTTGGGTCTAAATTATGACGGCTTTGGTCTTGGTATTCGGGCCAGTATACCTAAGATGCCATCTTTCCGGGTACGGCTTTTTTAAGTTAAAAATATTCCCGTTTTATAGCGTAACTCGTATAATCAAATTAAAATATGTTAATTCGTTATAGCGAAAGATCAAGGCTCCGAGTCCAGTAGCCGCACAAGACGAAGAAGATAGTCGACAGTCGGAAGAGACGCGACTTGACAGTTCTTTAGCTCAAACCGGTAACCACGCTCGCACTCTCGATAGTGACAGTGATCTCGATCTCAGCAGTCGCATCTCGCAAAAAGTCAGCAAGAGGCAGATGACCAATTTGGCCAGCAGTTCCTCTTCCTCATCCACCTCAAGTTCAGATGATGAAGACGACCAGAGCGATTCTTCGAGCGACGGCGAAGAAAATGCTGTCAGCAGTACGAGTAGTACTAGTAGTGGATCATCCTCTTCCAGTTCGAGTTCTGATAGTGAAGAGGAGGTAAATGATCTAATCGATTGCCTTGATTTTGTATTTTACAGCAGAATCTCACTCGTTTCTTGTATGTATTACAGGTTGACTCTAGGCCGTTGGCACGAGACAGTAAAAATCCGGAAATAATAGCGGAATTAGATGTGATTACCTCTTTATCTTGTTCGACTCCTACAGTGTCTGATCGTAGTCGAACTCCAATACCGCATATTGAGCTCACTGAGCTCCGAGTCGATTGTGAGTTTCCGCAAATCGATGACTTTGACGATGACATGCATGTGAATGCGATGGATTATGGTAATGAGATTTATTCTGCTGCTATGTCTAAAGACACCGAATTGAAGGCTGACATGCTTAAGACTAACTTGGAACAACCTGTGCCAACGATTTGGGTAGGATTAATCACTATGACGATATATAACATCAACAATCCTTTTTATCTATTTTTCATCATTTATTTGTCTTTTTTTATCTTTTCATCTGAAAGCCTGGCCAAGCATTTGTGTCACCTGTTGAACCTTTCTGTAAGCACCAAACCATATCTCGCGACATCCAAAAAATGGAAAGTTCAGCAGCAGAAGCTCTGATATCTCTAGCAGGTCAACAAACCGACAACGCTAACCCTACAATTACACCATCGACTGCTTCCACGAATTGGTCTAACGATCCGAGTATTATTCGAAAACTTGAGACAATGTCCGATAAGTACATCAACAATGATCCAATCCTTAAAGAGTCAGAGAAGATTGAGATGTTTAGCGAGATACCTACTACTGATTCCGAAGAAGAGGAAAGTTTAGAAGTCAGACGGTTACGGTACGTAAACTGATATTTATCAAGTGTATTGATAATTAAATTATGCAAAAGCTAATCAGTGGTTTTGGATTTTATAGCCTATCCGGAGCACGTCAACCTCAACGTTCTCGTGTTTATTTGGAACATTCATATTCTCTACCTCCAGAGCAGTCGCAAACACAAAAGCAACAAGCAGTTGCTGGCCAAAAACCTCTGATATTAACTCCAAGCGAATTAACTACCGCCGATTTGGCTAGACAGTCAACGAAACCTCCAGTGATAGGGCTCCTTGACGAGAATGCAGCTGAACTAAAAAGTATTGGTAATAAAGAGCGGAGTGAGAAAAAGAGAAATAAACACGCAAAGGTACTTTTACGTAAATCTTGTTTGTTGAATAGTAAAATTGGCTTTTATTTCCGAAAATAATGATTCATTATTATTATGTTTTCTAATTAATAGATCAGTAACAATGAGATTTTACATAACAAGATGGACGAAGAGCGTGAGAAAGAAAATATTAAAATGCCAGCCAGAAGTTTTGAAGCGATGGTTCCGCCGTCGAGTCTATCACAAGGAATGCCGCCAGCTACTCACCACTATGCGACGCCAACGATTTATAAAGAGCGCGATCTCATGTCCGAAATGGAAATACTTTACGAATTTTTGACACGAGGTATCGATCATGAAGACATCGAGTACCTCCGCAGAAGTTATGAAGCTTTGCTAAGTGATGATTCTCAAAGTTACTGGCTCAACGACACTCATTGGGTTGATCATCCGGCAACGGATATACCAACTCCGGCGAAAAGGCGTAAAAAAGACGATACGCGTTTACATGCTTCTGGTTGCGCTAGAACTGAAGGTTATTATAAGGTGGATTTGAAAGAGAAGCTCAAGCATAAGGTTGGTCACATACTCTACCTGAATTTTAGAGTTTATTATTATTACGATTATGTTTACTAAATATCACAATCAAATCTTCATCCTAATAATGAAGGTCAATAGATTAGCTAACGAACGAAAATTTTTTTGCTACAGCACCATTATGCACAAAGTGTTCAGCGTAATGAAGACGTAAGAGAAAGCTCGAGTGGAATGAATGTTCTCGGCGGTGATGGCAGTGCGACAGTCAGTGGGCCAAATTCGAAAGCTTTGACGGGTAAAATGCAGGCATTGTCGCGAGAAGCTAGAAGCAATCAACGACGTTTGTTAACAGCTTTTGGTATTGACACGGACAGTGATTTGTTGAAATTCAATCAGCTGAAGGTATGTGGATACACAACATAATATATCGCATAGATGTTAATTAAAAATCAAATAATTTGCAGTTCCGGAAGAAACAACTCAAGTTTGCCAAATCTGGAATTCACGATTGGGGTCTGTTTGCCATGGAGCCAATAGCAGCTGACGAAATGGTTATTGAATACGTGGGACAGATGATCAGGCCAGTAGTTGCCGATCTACGTGAGTCTCAGTATGAGGCTACGGGTATTGGCAGTTCCTACCTGTTTCGTATTGATCTCGATACTATTATTGATGCTACAAAATGTGGCAATCTTGCAAGATTCATAAACCACAGTTGTAATGTAAGTAAATGTTCATCAACCTTGAATTTTATTTTTTGATCTGTGTTATCAGTTCAGAACTGATTAAAAATATCCATAGTTTCTTATGATAACTTAATTATTTAATTTATATATTTATATAAATTTTACTAGTAGATTTATTTTACAAATAGTAAATCATAATTTCCAACTGTTCTATTATTGCTACCTTACACGAATATAAATTTTTCGTAACATTTTAAGTATATTTTTAGATTAATTAAAGGAAATTCCTCACTCCGGAACTCCGCTCGATTTAAATATTACGTTGAAAGTGTTATATGTACATGTAAATTTGAATATTTCTTTGTTACAGCCTAATTGTTATGCGAAGGTTATTACGATTGAAAGTCAGAAGAAAATTGTGATTTATAGTAAGCAGCCAATCGGAGTCAACGAGGAAATAACTTATGATTACAAGTTTCCCTTGGAAGACGATAAAATACCATGTTTGTGTGGAGCACCTCAGTGCCGAGGAACTCTTAATTAATATATTTGTTTTATATCGCTTCGCCGTGCTCATCTTTTTCATTTTCTCACTCTTTACAAGGCATTGTGCATTACCTACGTCACTCATATTTTTGTAAATATAAATAAATCTTCATGTAAACATTTTATAAAAACCGCCCTCAGTTTTGTCATTTTTCAAAGAATCTTTAAATTTAAGTGTGTATAGACGATTTTTCGCTGCATTACTTCAGTTACGCAAGTTATGTAGCTTAAGGACAGTGATTAGCTATGTTATATAGGTAGATACGTAATAAATTTTTTCATTAATTAAAGGAATTTTATGCTATGAAAATAAATTTTTTTCATTATCTTCGTGAATTTTGAACTGTGAATATTTGAAAAAAATTGTATTAGAATACTATAATTAATAATGGCTTTTATTTTTATGAAATTCATTAGCATAGTAAAAAACTAGTTCGCGCCTAATTTATTATATTTGAAATTCCGAAATTTATAATAAAGTATTATATTAAAAGACTATTTTGCGTTTATTTTTTGTAATACTGTAGAGTACTGTATAATTCATTGGATTTTTTTATTTATTAATAAAAATTGCAGTCAACTGAAATTCCTATATGATTTGTATTTAGATATTTTTGTCACATTCCAACTATACATATATAAATTATACTTACTCATTTTAATTTATATTTAAGGAACATAAGGAAGTCAAATACAATAAATAATTATGAAGTTATAATAATGACGCAATAATAATACATTACGATAAAAAAGCACAAAGTAGGTGATTCTCATACGCGCAAGAATTACCGATCCGAGATCGGTAAAAGCCTTTGCGCACACGTTATGAAATATATACTAATTTTGATACTTCATGCGCAAAGTATGTCTTTCTTGTACTCTCGATAAATAGCGTACATCGAAAATCCCACTTTTCTTACGTCATATTAAAAAATACGGTACGACACATGTTTGGAAAAGAGATTCTTTTCTCGAGTGCCTTTTCACCCTCGCTTCACTTGAGCGTAAACGGCGTGCGAGACAACAATCTATTCTCTCGCACTTATACCGTAATGTATTAATTTGAACAGCTTCTCCAATTTCTATCGGTATTTATTCGTATCACTTACGTAACTCTCGAAACTATAGACATTTTTATTTTAATGACCGTGAAAATACAACTGAATCAATTACTGCACAGAGAGGTAACGGATCGCAGTATGCAAAAGGATCCGAGAGTTTTACCAACGAATATTTCACTTTATGTACTATTTCGACACTCTGTGCGCAAAGTTCGTCATTCCCCCACGCTCAGCAGAAAATGTACGTTGAAAATCGCACTTTTCACAAGTCGTATAAAAAAATACAGTACGGAACATGTTCGGGAATAGTACATTACGACATAAGTGCGGGAAAGTAGATTCTTGGCTCGTATGGCGTTTACGCCCGAGCAAAAAAAAAATGCCATGTCCCTTAGTTAACGAGTAATTGTTAAAAAATGTATTTGTATTGAACGATTTTCAATAATTTTTTCTCGCCATCGGCATGTTTTAAGTTGACGACCTTAAACGATCATGCCTATTTGAATTATACATAGGAAATTATAGTACATACATTAACGATACAAAAGGTAAAGGTCACAGTCAAGATTCAAAATCAATGATGAATTTTATAAGCAACAATTAGTTTTTTATGACATTAATAATTCAAAGCAAATAATCAATTGAATAAATTTATACCGAAATCACAATCTAATCTAATCTAAAAATATACATAACACACATGTTATTTCAAAAAATTCGCGCTAAATTACGTAAAATTGTATATAGGCTAATCAAATGTCTAAATCCCCAATTTCAAGCGACCAATCAAAATGTTTATGGCCTCACTTTTAAGGATTCTCCTTTTTAAGAAAGGATTGTCTTTTCTAAGAAAGGAGAGATAGGTTAGGTGTATAAATATATATATATATATATATATAGTGATTGTGAGTTTGTTGAGAGTAACACGTGTGCAGTCTTCCGTAGCTTTTTGTAGTGAAAGCAAGTTAAGTATTCGGATTTTCATGTAAAAAATGCCTTCCTCGGAGTTACAGTTATTGGAACATCGAGCGATAATAGCGGTAAATACTAATTAATACTAATTCATTAATACATATAATTTATATGGACCTAGGTTATGTTCGAAACGGTTATATCCAGATATTAATTTATAGCTTTGTTTTTATTTATTATAGGAGAAAGAGATTGCAATTTTAAAAAACGAATTAAATTCTTTGCAAAAACTTGTTAGTTCGAAAAACGTTGCACTTGAAGAAGCCAGTGATGATAGTAACATTGAAGTTGAAAATCTCAAAAAAGAAAATGAAAAGCTTAAAATGAGAATAAATATTTTGAAAAAGGTAAACATTTTAACATAATTGTATGAGAATTAGATGTTTCAAATAGAATTTGAGTTCTCTAATTTTTTGAATATTAGGAAATATTTCTTTTGTAGACACTTGAAGAACGAAAATCGATACATCTTGCTCTTACCACCAATATGTCCAACTCTGGTAATCTAATCAGTATATATGACAGCCTTACTTCCTTATTTGAGAAGGCTATAAACTCAGCTTATCCAAACTTGGTTGATGCACCTGTTATACTTTCATCTAGTAATAAAATAAACTTTGGCGATTATCAATGTAATAGTGCTTTGCCACTTTGCAAATTGTTGAGTGCCCAAAGTGACAACAGTAAGTGCAATATTTTTTCGTGCTAATATTTTCATTAAATGAACAGTCGAGATTATATAGCTTAGTTATCAACTTACTTTTATATTTTAGAAAAACAAAAGTTATCTCCTCAAGATATAGCTAAAAAAATATTAGCTAACATAGAATCTTCACCATTAGTTGATAAATTAGAAGTGGCTGGTGCAGGATTTATTAACATTTATATTAGTCGTGAATTTGCTAAAAATTCACTCACTGGTTTATTAATAAATGGAAAAGTATCTACAGCACCGGTAGCTACAAAGCATAGAGTTATTGTTGATTTTTCGAGTCCAAATGTTGCAAAGGAAATGCATGTAGGACATTTACGCTCTACAATCATTGGAGAAAGTATTTCCAGACTATTAGAATTTTTAGGTCATGATGTTGTAAGATTGAATCATATTGGTGATTGGGGTACTCAATTTGGTATGCTAATAGCCCATTTAGAAGATAAATTTCCTAATTATACTACAGAATCACCATCTATTTCTGATCTACAGGTGTGTTTTGAAAATTATCTTTTTTGGATCAAAATTTAAGCTAATTGAATTCATTTGAATTTTTTAGAGCTTTTATAAAGAATCTAAAGTGAGATTTGATGAAGATAAACAATTCAAGGAAAGGGCCTATGAGACTGTTGTCAAACTACAGGCGCATGATCCAAAAATTATTCAAGGGTGGAAACTTATCTGTGATGTGTCTAGGAAAGGTAAATATATTGATTAATATATTATATATATAAATTGGTATCTTGAGTTTTAGAGAACATTTTATTTGTTAGAATTTCAAAATATCTACAATCGTTTGGATATCAAATTAGTTGAAAGAGGTGAATCGTTTTATCAACAACACATGATAGATATAGTAAAAGACCTAGACAAACGTGGCTTTCTTGAAGAAGATGATGGTCGAAAAATAATGTGGGGTGAAAAAAAGCAAGGAATTCCATTAACTATTGTTAAACGAGATGGTGGTTTTACTTACGATACGTCAGATATGGCAGCAATAAAACATAGGGTTGAGGATGAAAAAGTAGATTGGGTAAGTAGATCAATTATCAAATATCATTTAGAGTTTTCTTAAATATCAAATTTACTTTTGTATTTATTTGAGGTCATAATTTGATACTAATACATTACGTACTCAGAACAAAGACAGGTTATTACTTTACTTAAGTAAGCTTTCATTATGTAGGTAATATATGTCACCGATGGAGGACAAGCAACTCATTTTCAAATCATAGAAAGTTGTGCTAAGAGGGCTCAGATAATTGGAGATCGTCATAGGATAGACCACGTAGGTTTTGGTGTTGTACTTGGTGAAGATAAAAAGAAATTCAAGACTCGTTCAGGTGACACTGTCAAATTGAGTAATTTACTGGATGAAGGTAAGAACTTAATTTACATTTATCATATCATTATCTTTAGCTGTATTAATTTACCAACTGTTAACTTAATTTTTTTAATCAAAATCAGGTCTAAACAGAGCAGAGCAAAAGTTGAAAGAAAAAGAGAGGGATAAAGTTCTTACTGAAGATGAAATGAATAAGGCCAAGGAACATGTAGCATATGCTTGCATAAAGTATGCAGATCTGTCTCATAACAGAAATCACGAATACGTATTTTCTTTTGATAAAATGCTCGATGATAAGGGGAACACAGCCGTTTACTTGCTGTACGCGCTTACAAGGATTCGATCTATAGCTCGAACAGCAAATGTTACCCGCGAGCAAATACAAGAAGCTATTAAAACAACTCCCATATCGTTAGAACACGAGAAAGAATGGAAACTCGCTAAAGTACTTTTGAAATTCCCCGATGTTATTTCGAAGATTACTAAAGACCTTCTTTTGCATACCTTATGTGAACTCTGTTACGAAATTGCTTGTACATTCACGGAATTTTATGACAAATGTTACTGTGTCGAAAAAAATCAAGCTGGCGAAATCATCAAAGTAAATATGGGGCGCATATTACTAATTGAGGTTACCGCGATGATATTGGAGCAATGTTTTGATTTGCTAGGATTAAAACCAGTTGAAAAAATGTAAAACACAAGAAAACAATCACTTCTAATTAAGTGTTATGCATCATTATGCGTGAAGTTTCTTCGCGAAATACATTTATTTATTTCTTAATCTGTTTACATTTTTCTTCTATTCTCGATTACATTAAATTATCCCTTCATTTCGTTGGAAACCGTTATTCTTATCTCTGTTTATCTAATCATGTAAAGTGCAAAGTATTGAACCGCACGGACTAAAAAACTTGACATCTAACCATCTGCTGTGTATCAGTTAAAGTTACAATAAATCAAGTATGAAATCCTATTACAGAATATAAAAGTATGTACAGTAATTTTACAACGATCTAATTTTTTTATTTTACTGTTTGAATAACTTTCGTCGTGTAGCATACGTATAAATTTGATTTGCTTTTGAAATTCTAAATTGATCTCGAAATTTCAAAATTAATCACTTCGTCAAATTGGCGCTCGCTCATGCTCGAAGAATGCCGAAGATAACCGAGATAGGTCGAGGGCGTCGAGGCAGTCGCAAGAATCAAGACAAGTGACAGAGTATAGAATGTAGATATCTATTAATACTATAGTGTCAGTGCTTCGACTTTCCAAAAACTTGTGCAGTCTGTACGGTCTTAAACTTTTATCATAATCTACGTGTAGTTTTTTTTTACTAGTTTGACATCTTAAATAGGCGCAGAGCTTGTGAAATAGACGTAATTACAAATAAAGAAGCTTACGTATAATTTTCGACGTAAATATGGATCTAATAAAAGGCTAAGTTTACTTGTTCCGAGTTCGGATTTAACAAAATATAAATTTATTTATTTACTGTGTGGTTTTGTGTAAACTGTAAAATTCAACTTTCTTTAGCATAATTATTTCTCTCTGTGAATACGCTGTGATGAACGGTTGCAATAAAAAAAAAGAAAATTTGTATCAATATTTTTTATCACCTGACAAGTAGATACATTGGAAAGATAAGTTAATTGCAAAAATCGAGACTGAATGTGACCATCAAGTTCCTAAATAAGCACAGTAGCTCAGACATTTTATAATGAGTTGGTTAAGAAGTAGTCCACTCAGAAGTAGTTTTACAAAGCAACGCTCCAGAGATTCGCCTCCCAAGGATGCAGATCCAGTTGCTTGTTATGACAGCTTTCGTAAACATTGGCAGCAGAGTCATGATATTATTCTTAATTCACTTGTAAGTTATCAATGTTGCATGAAAATCTTTTACCTATAACATTTTTATGCAATAACTCAAAAATTTTATTAATATTTTAGCCACCTAAAAGTATTCCCTGTCAAGATGATGTTTTGGGTATAGTAAATCATGTTGATCAAATGATAACACTACTTCTTTTGGAGCTACGTGATTATTCTTTAAGACAACGACATCAAATTCAACGTTTGCAACAAAAAAATATTGTTGTTGCTGCACAGCTGAATTCCCAATGTTTTCCTTGCCTTGAATTTCTATTGAGTGAAAATCTGCTTGATACTCTTTATAGATGGAGCATACACACTGGCAGGTACAATGACATTTTTTCTACATTTATGGTAATTGAACTTTTTAATGAATTTCAAATTGAAAATGGGTATTTTAGGTTTCAAGATGCTGTAAGATTAGAGCAATTGAAGTTGTATGAGTTGTTAGTATCACATGATAGTTCTTTATTAGCACATGAACCTGTCACCCGCCCATTATTAAATTTGCTAGATGCATGTGTTGATGATATTATGCCTTTGGAAGTACAACGAAAATTGGTTACACTATTAAATCATGTATGTGTTGCTCTTGTACAAAATACAGAACTTCTAGGTTTATTTTTCAGACCTGCATCAGGAAAAAATCGGTTTGTTGGATTTAATTTTTGATTATTACCACTAAAACTAACATTTTTTTTTAATATGTGACTGTTGTTTTAGATTTATTCCTTTTTCCCTCTTGATACCTTACATTCACCGTGAAGGTGGTGTTGGTCAACAAGCAAGAGATGCAATGTTGTTATGCATGTCACTCTCTAAAAATAATGATGAAATTGGTAATTATATCGCTAAGGAGTCACATATATGTTCAGTAAGTATCCCATCTTAATTTTTAATCATAGTTATAAAATCTAATAAAAATTTATTAATATTTTTAGCTTCTGGCGACAGGACTAAGTGGTCTTTATTCTGTACTTCCAAGAACTTTAGATATCGAAACTCCTGATTGGCATAGACTAATAGTCGATGATATCAATGATTTACCGTCCTTAACTCAGCTTATGAATTCACTAGAATTTTGTAATGCAGTGGCTCAAGTTGTTCATCCGCTAGTGCAAGAACAGTTGTTGGAATTTATTTATCGCGGATTTTTAGTGCCAGTGATAGGTCCAGCACTTTTGCAGGTACTTATTAATAAATACTATTATTAATATAATGTTTAGTTACGACATTATTTAAATATTCTTATGTCAAATCATGTTAATATGAAAATATCATACTCATTGTGTTAAAATAAGTTTTGTTTGACCGTGTCCATTAGTATATCATTTCATATTCATTTCTCATTTTGTTTTGTGTTTCCTTTCTATTTTAAAAATTAATACAAAATTTCTTGTCTCGTACCCACCTACAACTTGAATATTAGTATATTATGCATTTCGTATTAATAGTGAATTTTTCACAATTTACTTTTATTGAATTATCGATTTCGAGATATTTTTTATTTCATTACAAAGAATATTTCTTTAAAACAATATTATATTAAAATAACTTATAAATAAACATTGTTCTTCTGTAGGCTCGTTAATCGTGCCTTCATTGGTATCATAAAAATAATGCTATAAGATAGGAAAAAAATTGGTGGTGGTGCTTCGTCAATGTAAATATCTAACGGCACAATGATTTATATTATTTCAAGGAGTCTGTTGGCTTAACGTGGGAAGACCATGACTCACCGATTTGTCGGGTTTGTTTTTCATGCTTCTAAGCTTGCACTATTGTACGTTTTCGTGCATGCGATTGAAAACTTAGCTAGTGTTTATATTTCTGTGCACGTAAACCTTATTTGCGCATGCTTGTAAACGAGTGTTTGTTAATTGTTACTGTTTCAACTCGATGCTTATTACAATAATTATCGCGAACTTCGTTGTTATGTGTTTGTTACTAATCGCAAGTTATTATCTCGCCTGAATTTTCAGCTAAAAAAGAAACCATTTTGAAGAAGTTTGACCATGAATTTAGAGTACATAATGCCAAGAGAATGAGATGCATGGAAATGAATATTTTACAGTTGCAATATAATTTTCCGGTTTGAGTTGACACATATTCGTTTGAAGATCGTTAGACTAGATGAAATAAAAGTTGTATTGCCGCGTACATTAGATAATGGTAATGTAAAAGAACTGAGTGTAATCGCAGAATTTAATTTTAGACGACAGTGGAAGAGTTGGTAGCTGCAACGGCTTACTTTGACTTGTTTCTACGTTCGGTCACCGAGCCCGGTTTGCTGCGACCATTGATCAAGTTTTTATTGGAAGAAAATTACGACGACAATCGCATACTCGATCATTTAATTCGACGAATATCTTCTCAGATTCCCAGGGTAAGTGCTTCAGCAAATATGATGATAATTTGAATAATAAATAAATGCCTCAACAGTTGAGCATGGTAACCCTAGCGTTGTTCGAAACATTGGTGGACTTGAATTGCGAGGACGTGATGTTGGAATTGTGTCTTGGTGCGCTCGCACCCTGTTCCCATGTGATGCTCAGCCAAAGGCGTAATCTACTCCACGAGTTAGATCCTTTTGGTCGCTGTGCTGAAAAATTCCTCTCGCTCACGCCCAACTGCTGTTCCGTCTGCGGTATTTACGGTGGCAAATCTGCCACTGACGTTCCTACACCAGCCGCTGTTCCTCCATCTCCAAATACCATTCACAATTCTAACTTTGCTGTCTATCAGGCAAGTTCTTTTTCAAAAATTAAAAATTTACTTGAACAAGTATTTTTGCATAAACATCAACTTTGGTATTTTCATTTGCTTTTAGTCGCTTGGTAACAATAACACGAAAGCCCCACCGATAGGAGAAAGTTTATACAACAATTATTACGCTTATTTACGGGATGCTAGGCAAAAAATTGCCTCATGCCAGCAGGCGTGTGAAAAATGGTCGAGAAAATACCAGAACACAGAATATCAGGAAGCTAATGATTACGACATTTGGGACGAAGATGCTGCTGAAGACACCGATGACGACGTCAAAGCTAAATACAACGATGATGATTATGATGAGAATGAAAATTGCAATGAAACTAATGGTTCAACTAGTCCGAACTCGCAGTTGTTTGGTCGATTGGACCAGCGACAAAATAATGATGGTTAGGATATTTTAAGTTATAATTGTTTTGTTTGTAGTGCTCATGATCAGAATGGAGAGTATTATAATATTCATTTGATATTTTTCTCATTGACAGCCACAAAAAGCCAAAAACTTGAACGAGTCATAAGGAGAAGCAGCACCGATGAAAAAGTCGACAAAATTTTGGCCAGTTTTACCGGTAAAATCAAGTTGTCAGGGCAAGATCATAAGCAACAGCGTCAAGAAAAGAGGCAGGAACAAGGCCAAGAATCAAGTGAATTCGAGAATGTAACAAACAAGCTTGGACCTGCTGAAAGAGAAAGATTAGAAGCTGATATTGCGGCGTTATTGAGTGAAGTTGTCGATGAGCCGAGACAAGCAAAGTTTCAGTCAGACGACTTGAAGAGTCCTACTTTCAATACGGGAGACTTAAGCGCTGCATCAAATTCATTACAACTGTCGTTGAGCGGCGCAGAGAGTAGTGGCTACGAAAGTTACGCACCGTGCAAAAGTTCCAACGAATCAACTCCTCTGAACGAAGATTATGACGAGTGTACCGAGCCAACGACTAGCACTGATCGCCTCTTCCCTAACTCACAATCCATGAGTGAATCTTTGCACCTATCACCTAAAAATAAATTAACGAACAAAGTACAATCGAAAAAGCGGAACGGTATGCCTAAGAATGACCATGTAGTCCACCTCAATTGGAAAGAACGACAACAAATTGCTGCCGAAGTTGATACAAGACCACCTAGTGTTGGCATTTTCTTAGACATTCTACTCAAGAAATTAGAATATATGACCGAGAATAGCGTCTACGTTAACTTACATTTAACTGGTCTCATAAGCCGTCTTGCCATTTATCCTCAGCCTCTCTTGCAGTCGTTTTTATTGAATCATTCGTTGGTTTTTCAGCCTAGTATTAAATCACTATTTCAGGTAAGACCTTATTTGTTTCTTAACTTCATTAAAACGGTAGAATATTTAAAAAAATAAAAGTTAATTTTTCTTTAACAGGTTTTGGCATCGTTAAAACACAAGATCGACGGTTATCTTTCAAAACAGCAACCAGATGTTGTGAGCGTTTTGACTGAACATGCTAAAATATTTTTGATCAACCGAGAGAATAGATTAGTTAATGCACGGAAAAATATACTGGAAGCTGCTGCACAAGTACCTAGTCCAAAGAAACAGTACGGCGCAGGGGATCATGAGTCATTAGCCGTTGTACCAGTAAGAGGTATTTATTTTTCTAACAATATTTCGAAAATGCTTGACCTGAACATGATTTGTTATGTTATATTGATTGACTGTAGAGCCAAAAAGAAGAAGTTTAACGTCTTCGTTAACACAAATGTTTAAAAAGTCTACCAATAGTTTGGAGATGCACAATGTACCGACAGAATCAACCGACAGTAATGATTCATTCTCGTTAATTTCTGAAGAAGGAAGTAAAGAAAAAGATGGAAATTTAAAAGCAAGGTATGTCTAAATTAATTATTGCAAAATAAAATTTTTCTAAGTGTAAGACAGTACAATTTATGTTGTTTTTGTAGACTTTCCAATTGGAACTCGTGGGAATCACCAAACGTGATAAATCGATTGCAAAATGTCGTTCTCTGCGCAGTTATACTTGGTGAGTGGCTGAAAGAACTTGCTGCGATAACCCAAGAACATACGATTGTTAGTTGGTTCAATGCCGCTGCTGCCATTGATCACTTTGAGTTAACATCTTGATTATTGTAATTTAAAAATCCAATGATGTAAGAATTGTTATTAATTAGGCTCAACTGTAATATTTTTCTTAAGATGCACAATCTTAATAGAGGACATCGAAACAGACAAGTATATATCGTAGAGACGATTGTTTTTTTGAAACTAGGGCTAGGTACAAACGTTAATTCATTCGATTAGTTTATTCCTGTTATATACTTGATAAAAGTAAAAATAAGATAATAGTGCCAATACGAGTACAACTATACTCAACAATACTGCTTGGAATTTTAAGACATCAAATTATTTCAAAATCATGAATTACTACAGTAAACCAATTTGATACGAATTTGCAATATAAAATAAGATACATTTATTAAAAACAAAGACTTCGTAATTAAAATTGTTAAAAAAAAATCATTTTGCATATTTATACATGGTATCAAAATATGATGTAGATTAACCATATGTTATGGATTATACAACAAATGGTTTAATAAGAATTCTCTACGTTAATCTTTAGCACCTGTTGAAATGGTGTTCAATTTTCATTGACTTAAGATAATTTTCAACCAATATCCGGGTCGATGGTGTTTTGAGATAATTTTAAAATTCACCCAGGTTATCTTGCCAAAAAATCTGACGAAGATATTCGATGGAAAAAATATGGTTCAAGCATCTTCGTATTGTTATAGTTTTTTTCTAACTATTGTATAACTTTTATAAAAAATAAATCGATTATTAAGATCAGTATTTCTCGTAAGACAACTAATAAATTAATAAACAATCAAAACCAGTGTACCGAGTCTATGGCTAGTATTGATTGCCTTCTTAGGTGGTAAAACAATAGTGATTGTAATGTTATTCAGATTGTTATTTCACGTTTGGTGTGGATTAAAAAAATAATTAATGCATAATTGATTATTAACAAAACATTTGAATTTTGTACATAAGCAAGTATATTAATAAAATTGATCAAGCTTATTTTACAATCAATATAACTTATCTACTAATTATCTTTCGAATAATAGTAATAACTAGTAACTAATTATCTGTTGAAGAGAATCAAGAACAGTCATTTTCATTTTCATAGCATGTTCTTGGTTAACTTCTCCGTATAAGACCCGATCCTCTTACAATTAACTAATTGTCTCTTGAAGAGAATCAGGTGTACTCAGTCATTTTCATTCTTATAGACTTTTCATTGTCAACTTCTCCATATTGCACCCAATTGTCTTAAAAAAAATAACTAATATCTTACACTCACCCATAACGTGCTGTCTTTGTATATACCGCCGGGGGTGGCGGTGCCACTGCGCAATAGGCGCGCTTAATATTCTAAGCGTAATGATCAACTTCTCCGTATAGCATTTGATTTTCTTGCAATTAACTAATTATCTTTATCGAGCTCGATTCTTTTCTAGGGATAATTATTTGATTGCAAGGTTTAATAATATATAGAGCACGAATAGTGTTATTAAATGCCCTAAATACATACACAAAAAAAAACTGCATGTGAAAAACAAGAACAAATATTTCTTCGTATTGATTCATATAGGACCTCAATAATTAAAATATAGCTATTATAAACAAGAATAAATTAATTGGATTTAAGATTAATGAAGTACCAAAAGTGAAACTTTTTATCGGTTACGGTTTAGCGTAATAAACGCAATTTTCCATTCTGGTCGGAATATAGAGTTTAAAAAGTATTTCAATTAACCTATTACGCGAGGAGACTAATTGGTAATTCTGATTCTAAATTTGTTAAAAATCTATGGCTTAAAAGTTCTAATGATATTTATATAATATTTATAGAACAGTGTAAGACCCCTCAAAAGACAATGAGATTGAATTTTTTAATGCATACGTAAAAAAAATATTCTTTATGAATAACTACACAGCTTACATAGAAGAAAGTGAAATTTCTGAAAAAAATTTTGATAAAGTAACAAGTTGCATGAATGCTTTTTTTCAAATCTGTCTTTAAACTTTTATTTTTTTAATTATTAAAGGCAATTATTTGGTTTTTAATAATCGAACAAATTTATAATTATATTTGAATATTACTGTTTACAATTCAATTACTTTTTGGTCAATAGATGTTCTCGCATTATGGACAGAATAAGTTAGGTCATTAAAACCAATTTTAAGGTCAGTTTAAATTGATATCGTATTCTTCATATTTTGAACATCTCTAATACATAAAAATATAATTAAACTTAATAATTAGTAACAAAATTCAAGAACATAAACAAATTTAGCTGCACTTATGAAATATTTCACTTTTTTTCTATTCTATAAACATATATATGTCTATAAACAAAAAATGCTAATTTTTGACTGGATATGATTTTGTTAATTCATTTTTAATATTTCAATTCTGTCGTTGGTTCCAATATAGTGTTTTTTTTTATTACGTTCTTATAACGCATCCAAAATTACACAAAAAAGATTTTATATATATATATACGTACACACACCACATACACGCAATTGTTCCATAAGAGATATATAAATTTCAATAGTCACCATGAATCACTCTTTAATTGTTTGAAAAGAACCATAGTGAACAATTTGTTGACTAATTTTGATAATATTGAATTGCTATTACTACCAGTTTTTTTTATGGCACTACAATCATTGTTAAGTACTTTTCTTGCCTCAAGCCGGAATTTTTTCCGTACCTATTAAAGACAGATAAAAATTATAGGAAAACATTCATAAGATATTCATTTTCTAGAATAAATTTTTTATGAGCTTGAAAAATCATTATACCTTTTTCCAATCATTACCACTATATTTGAAACTTCCAAGATCATTGAGTTTCTTACTTAATTTTTCCTACATTTTTTCCAAAAATTTTTTTTTGCATTAGGGCCAAGATTCGTTTTTTGGGTACAGATCATGAAATTTCGTTTTCCCGGCACGTATTGAATTAAATGGATTTTCTGTTTATAATTAATCCTTGAAATTAATCATGCAAATTAGAATCTTGAATTTTAATAAATGAAATTTGAATGAAGTAATAAAATCTTTCAATAAAATAACGCACTTGTTGGATATAATGTTTACAAACATGATGAGTTGATGAAAAAGAGATATTAGTTATAATAAACGATGATGTGGGCCATGTGAACTTGGTTTTATCACTCGCTTTCGATTCGTGCTGGTTTGTATTGCAGTGACGCGGCGCCACCGTGCCTCTGAGCGACCTGCACGCAACCGTGTATAGCATATGATCCTCGTCCAATTGACTAATTATCTCTTTAAAAGAATTAAATGCAAGGTTTTTAGTTACATTTCCTATATAGCACCCGATTCTCATGAAATCATCTAGTCAATTAATCAATATACCTCGATCCATTTTGTTTCACTTTTTATTTTTTTCACTTAATAAAATATGAAAATAGAAATAATTAGTTTTCAGATTAAAGTCTTCGAAAAGTCAATGCCCTATTGAGTGTTATGAATTTGTTTCCAGCTTTTGTTTCCATTCAACGAAATAAGTCTGTTGATATAAATCTGATGTATTTGTACTCTTATCTTCATATTTGTCTGGTATATTCATTTTTCCATCTTTTTTCGGTAAAAATTCTTGTAGTTTGCGATGAAGAAGATCGATACTTTACCATTTGGAAGTAACTTAATGTATAAGAAGGTGATATGTAATAAAGTTTTAATCAGAAAAATGTTACTTTTACAAGTCGACAGTTGCTGATATATATTTTTTTTAAATATATTACATCGATTAGATTTAGACTCGCTGATATCGTAAACAATGAAATCGTACAATAACATAGTACCTGTTAATTATTAAATGAATAAAAGTTGAATTAATAAGAAAACCGTACGTTATAGAGTACATCTTACATTTCCGTTCTAAAATACTTAGAGCAGATCGAAGAGTGCATATCAAATTGGGCTTCACTGAAGAAATCCATGACAAATTTACAAACAATTTTGACGTATAAAAATAGAGAGCTAATGACTTTTTTAGTATTTCGTCACGCACCAGGCGTCGCAATTTCGGCGTTCGTGAAAAATCGAGTAGTACATAATTTTTCGTTAAAAAAGTTGTAAAATGTATTTACTATACGTGTAAACCGCGAAAATATCATAGAAATAATATTTGGATACTACGCATAGGCTCGTATAAAAGCACAAATTACTTGTCTATGTCTGTCAGATCATCTTTGGCAAAATTCATTCATTCGCATCAATGCATTTCATACATAAAGCTATTGTGTATACAATATTATGAAACACGTAAGTTATTTCGTTTTTGTTAATTCAGAGTCGCTAATTTACAGATTTCAAATAAAAGTTATTTGAAAAAAGAAATTCGTGGATATATCCTCCATTAATTTAATTAATTTTACTGTATAACTATATACCACGTACTAAAGTTTAGTAAAAGCAAGCAACAAATCACTTACACATGATTTTCGCTATTGTACATAACCAGAAATAATAAAAATAAATAATAAAAACTACACATCACAATGTTGCACAATTTAATTTCTTAATTTAGTTTAGAATTTGACGTTACTTGCCAAATAAGCGCTCAGGATGTGCCAAACGAAACAATTTTTTTCACGTAAACGACAATGAGTGCTTATTTTATTTTAGATTATTCGAACATTTTTTCCGTAGAAAATAAATAATTTGCACGACAAAGTTGGAACATGTAATTTTCGTTCGTTTCTTAAAACGATGAGGTTTACCAGTGATCAATCGAATGGTGCGACTCGTGACGAGCTTGCATTACTTACGTCTTTCATATCAAATGCGCAATGATCGAGATGCATTCTTAAACTATGAGCATTACTTGCATGTCTTTCTAACCATATAAACTTTATGACTTGACTACAGTAAATCACATTTTCAAATATTACTACTACATTACCATTATGCGTTTATTGTGATGCCTCGTAGCAGCGCATAAAATGTCCTCGTAAGACAACTATTACCGGACCGATCAGTGGAAATGCGTCTATCAAAACTTTCAAAAGTTTTTTATATGAAAAACATGTATAAAATAACGCAAGCAAGGCACCAGCTGAGAATTGACATCGCATTGATAGGTTGTTGAAAATCGTCACATGCAGCCTACATAGTAAGTATCTAAAAAGGCATGCGCATCGTTCATAGTTTACTTGTTCGTCGGCAATCGTTGAATCACCCTTAGCAAGTATTAGGTGTCGAACAGCAAGAGAATAGTGATTAATTCTTTTCGTAGTACGATCGTTTTCGTTTCTATCGAAGATTGCGAGTTACGTAGTCAACGAAATAACTGAAAGAAAAGCAGCTAAGTGGCGGAGATGCCTGGGGCTCCTGCACAGAATGCAATAAATAAGGGGTCGGGGTCTCGGGGTCTCGGGGTCTCAGGCGCGAGTCGCAAGGCCCCGGAGGGGCAGACGGGCGAACGACGATAACGCGGGGGAGGCCGCGAGCTTTGGTGAGGACTAGGCTGCGACGCGGAGAAGAGCGAGCGAGGAGGAGAAGCGGGGCGGGGCGAGCGGACCTCAGAACTGTATCTTGTAGTTGCTGGGTCTGGGTATGGAGCGGTTGGCGCTCTTGAGTATGGCGCTGCTGGCGGAGGCGTCGCTCTTGGTGCTGACGATGCTGCCGGTGCTCTGGCCGCGGGTCGAGAGCGGCGGCACCTGCTTGGCCTCGGCAGCCGCCGCCGCGGAGGAGTCGCTGAGCCGGCCGTAGTCGGGGTGCGGGCCGCCGCCGTAGCGCCGCGCGCCGCTGCCCGGCGGCGGGATCAGCGAGCGCGACTGGCCGAGACGCTCGTACTGGCCGACGCTCTTCTTGCCGGCGCTCTCGCGGTGGTGGTGATGGTGGTGGTGGTGGTGGCAGTGGTGGTGGTGCTGGCAGTCGGCCGCGGCCTCGCCCGCGAGAATGCTCTCGGAGGACTGCTTGCGACGCAGCAGCGACAGCTTAGCAGCCGCCTGGTAGACCTCGGCGGCGCCGGGCTGCTCCGGCTTCTTGCGCGCCTCCGAATCGCTGAGCCGGCAGTAGCGCGCGGCGCTTTTGGACGAGCGTGGCGGCCGCGGCAGCGAACTCGGCGGCAGACTACCGGCGCGCCGGCCCTCGGCCTGCTGCGGCGCCGACTGCTGCTGCTGCTGAGGCTGCTGCTGCTGCTGCTGCTGCTGCTGCTGCTGCTGCTGCTGCTGCTGCTGCTGCTGCTGTTGCTGCTGTTGCTGATGCTGCTGCTGCTGATGCTGCTGCTGCTGCTGATGCTGTTGGCCGGCGGCCGGCGGCTCCTGCGACGAGGACATGCGCTGGCGCTGCGAGCTGCGGCCCTGCTTCTCCAGCAGCATCATGTCCTCGGCGGGCCTACAGGCCTCGTCGGAAAAGCGGCTCTTGAAGCGCGAGGCAGCCGCCGCCAGGTCGAGGATGGCGCTGGACGCCGCGAGCACCGACGTCGCGCTCGCCTCGGACTCGTCGATGGCGCACTCGCCGCCCAGCAGCCGGCTCTTGCTGCTGGCCGTGCTCGAGCCGCCGGCCGACTCTACACTCGCCAGTAATGGCTTGGGTATTTTTCCTTTTCGCGACGGAGCGCCTGGATTAGAGAAGCCTGGAAAACAGCAAAGTGCCCGCTGAAACATAGAACAAGAGAGCCACCCCGCTATTCTCTGCCTTCGCTTGTTCGCGCTCGGTCGATCGGCTCGACTCCACTGCAATCCACTCGTCACTGCAATGCTCTCTCAAACTCGTTAGTTGCGGGGCTGGCCTCTCTTCCTCTATGCGACGTCGCACGACCAGCCTCGCCGACTCCGGTCTGCTGATGCGCGCGCGGGCGATCTCAGGCCGGAGCCAGCCGAGTCCTGGCCGCGGTAACGACGTTGCATCGCCTTCGAAGAGAGCGACTTGTTAGTGACAACGCCACTCTCGCGCACGAGCATGCACAGTTAGCAGCGTCTTCAACCGCCATTTGCTTCTACTTGTTTTTTTCTCGTCGACGCACAAACGCGCTTTCTTAATCAAAAGGACAAGGTGATAGTTTATCAGTTGGAGAGGAATCTTTGGCAAAGCATTCCAATATAGCAGATTCTTTTATCATGACTTTTTAATGCAATTATTCGTCCAATCCTTCCAGCGTTAATGTCGTGTATTGTACAATTTTCGATATCATTTCTTTTACACTTGAACAATATAACAAGCTTGTCATTGAAACTCATTTTACCGCTACACTTATTATAAACAGTGCTGTAACTGATAGTAAGATTAACCTTCACATTATTCCAAGAGCAATTTATGATTTATTCTACTTTTATTCAAGGCTCAACAGTGGTGATCCCTTTATCGATACAAAAAATCAAGACTCGAGCAAACAAATCCAAGATCTCAGGTAGAACAAACCTACAATTATAATGTTTCAGTAGAAAAAACACTTTGTACATCCTAATATTCAGCAGACTAACTTCAAATAAAAAATATAAATCAATGAAATGGCCTCAATCAGATGTTCAAGAAAAATCAAAGGTGCAACTTGCGAGCAAAGTTCGTTATCTCTGCGAGCTGTTACTTGATGTAGCACGTCAATTTAATGGTTTATAAATTTTTTTTAATTTTATACGTTCATGTATTCAATAAATAATAACCAGCAACTAATTCTAATGGAGTTTAAACTTGTTCGTGGCAAAATTTCAATTCTAAAATGACATAAAAATTTGGAATAACACTCGACTTTGCTAACTCGATGCGTGATAAAATATCAAATACCCTGTTTTAACAATTACTTTAGATTTTTGACTTTTTCAAATCACTATAATTTGTATATAAGTTCGCCATAATATACGGCAATGAAACATATTAGACATTCGTTTGTGCGTGCCAAATTATAGCAGAGATTAGTTGATTTGGTTCAACAAACAACCTGTTAACTAATCTTTGCTGTTTAAGTTTTAGTAATTAAAAAAACACACTCATAGCCACACGCGTAGTCAACACAAATACAAACGATACCTTGTATTGGATGTTTTTATCAAGATTTGTTTCCGGCTGCCGTTATAATTCGCTGATAATATGATATACCTTCTTTATCTTTTAATTAAGATAATAAGTTTTACCGAACCACAAGTTTTCAATATTATATTTGACGCGTGTTAATAACAGATACATAAAAAATACTTCTGTAAAACTCGGAAAATAATATATATGTATATATATAGCTATCTATAAAATTATCTTGAGGCAATAAAAAAATTATTACAAATACTCTAATCTTTACTTCGCTTTCAGGAAAAAGGTGATTGTTGTCTTCAACGAAATGTTAAAACATATACATACGCACTGAATGTCAAATGTGCGTGTTACGCAGAAGAAATGTTGCCTACCTTGCTATTTATTAGCAGCTGGGAATCAAGATCTTTCAGCTCATCATCCAAACTTTTTTTCGTTTGTTCAAAACTTCCCTGTTTTCTATACTTGAATGTATCGGATACACCGTACGATGCAGTGCTGCTATAACCACTACCTCCGCCCAAAACGCTACTCACTGAAAACAATCTCGTTATTCTCGTATTTATATGGAAAATAAAATATAAGAAGGGAAGCAATAACTCACCAAGTTCTGGTGTACTCGTGAGGGCTGTATGATGGTGATCTGCAGATGTGCTGGAATGAGAGGAATGAGCAGCTTGATAGCTTCCAACGCCACTACTATCTTTATCATAAGTATGCTTCTGAAGAACTCGAATCATTGCATCTCTTTCGGCCAATTTCGATTCTAAATCTTTCATTCTAGAAAATAAAATTTGTATCATGTTTTCATTAGATTGGCTAATAAAAACAGAATGAAAATATTTAACTATTCATTACCTGGACGCAAGATCTGCAAGCTTTTTTTGTGCTGCGTGAACTTCGTCCATGTGTCGCATTTTTTCCGAGCGAGCTTCGGCGATTAACTTTTCGGCGTCTTGGCTAGTTTTTTCGAGAGCGGCAATTTTGGCATCCCTACGAGACAAATTATCAAATCGAAAAATAAAAAAATCAAAGGGAGAGAATAAAGGTTGTAAGAAGCGATAATTTACTTAGGAAGACTAGCAGCATCAATGGCGGCCTGCCGTAAAGCACTTTCTTCAAGGTAACGTTGCTCCCACTTCGCTACGTCACCTTCCAACGACATGATTTTTTCGTTGCGCTCACGTAACTTGCGCTTGAGTTCGGGCACGCTTTCACCGTTGACGCCGTCGTGTGCAGGACTACTACCTCCGGCACCACCTTCTTTCAGCTCACGTTCAAGTTGACCTCTTAACTGACGTTCCGTCTCTTCTCGCCTGTCACTTGAAGCTTGTAAAGAAGAAAGAGCGCGTTGCAACTGACCGACTCTTTCTACGTACACTTGCTTTTTACGACACTGTAAGATAGATTATATTTAACATCTAGCAATATTCTGTTCGCAACAGTCAAAGTCAAAATTGGTCCACTCACTTCTTCCTCTAAACGTACGACGTTGCTCTGCGCATTTGTTAGAGCTGTATCAAGAATGTCAATATGTTTCCGTTGTTCCTGCAGAGTTGCTCGTTGAGCAGCCAACTCGATTTCCTGGCGTTCTTTAGCCGCTGCCAATTCCTTAGCTATAATAAACAAGACGTGTAATCAGTTAATCCTGCAGTACTTTTTCAAGAGATCATACTTAATAACCTTACTTTGAGTAATTAATTGGCCAATAAAAAGTTCTTTTTGAGTAAGTTCTTTTCGCATCGACTCAAGGCTCAAAGAACTTTCTGTCCTCGTCGACATTAAATCAATTTGGTCTCTAAGAGCCCGATTCAGTTCTGTCAATCGTCTACAATCGTTTTGTAATCTCACGCGTGCCGCGCGCTCGAGTTTCTCGCGACGTTCGCTAGATGCCACAAGCTCTTCGTGAGCTCTGTGCACTTTGCTTATTTCTTGCTCTATATGTTGTGATTTTGATACCTTTTTATAACATCGATCAAGTTCGAGTTTTAAGGCACTATTTTCTTGAATTAATATTTGCACCATTTCCGTCGTTGGCCATACTTCTCCAGCGGGCGTTTCAAATTCTTCTCTACCCTTTGTTTGAGGTCTGGAAAAATATTTTTATCAAAATGAGCATTAAAAATTGAGACCTCGCAACTGACGTAAATGCCATTGTAATTACCTTGGAGAAGTAGTTCTTAGATCACAATTATCCATATCAATTTTGCTGATTCTGGACAAGTCCGGTTGTGATCTTGAAAACGTAAACTTATCAGTCAAACCTACAATTTTTTGTTTGCTTTTCAAAGGTATCAAAGTTGTTGTATAATTAGATGAGAGTCTTTCATCAAATTCACTTCGATTTCGCCTATCACCTTCCGGTATTCTGATCTCCGTACAATTATCGTTACCTGTTAATTTACTATAAGAAGGCACTTTTACTTCCTTTGCGAGGTGCTTTAAAACCTGATAATAAAAAAGATTTTATAAGTGTAAAAATAACGAGTGAGGCTACCACACAAACATTGTAAAAATATAATTGTTACCTGTGACTGATTTAAATAATCATCAGGAATATCTGTTATTTCTTGGCATCCAAGGTTACTTGTATTTTCATAAAAATGCTCTTCTAAAGGTAAGTTTGAAAGTGACTGTACTGTTGGGCTATTAGAATGACCTTTGTTACCACTTTCACAGTACAGATAACCCACATCTCCATGCTCTCTTACTACACCAGATAGCCTGAAAACATTGTAACGTATTTTTGACGAGTATTCAAGAATAATAAAAGTTTCTGTATGAATTAATACTGTACCGAGATGATGGAGCCCACAAGTTATCTTCATTGGCATTATGAATTATTAATGTATTGTAAGAACTTGTAGAAACATCAAGACTACTTCTGTTTGACCCAATACTAGTTCTATTACTGAGATTGTCTTTTAAACTATTTCTATTTGAACCATTAATACTGTCTTTCAAACTATTACGGTTAGATCCATTCAGACTTTCTTTCAAACTATTACGATTTGAGTTACTCAAATTATCTTTCAGAGTATTTCTATTCACTAAGTTACCCTGAATTATTGAAAGTAAACAAAAAAAGTATAATATTATTCACACTAAAATAGAGAACTATTTGGATTTGTATTACCTGTATATTTGGTATGTTTTCCTTATGACTGGATGATCTAGAAGGGCTATGCTGTTGATTTTCTTGCCCTTGAGGTTCTTGTCGTGCTGTATGCCTTATAACATATCTTTCTTCATTGCTTAAATTTTCATTTGATGTAGATACATCTGTATCACTTCCACTCAAACTATGAGTCAAACCTCCTGTGAATAAATATTATTTTTACAAAGACTAGATTAAATACAATCTTAATATTAAAGAACTTTTGTTACCTTGATTAGGCATCTGCTTTCGTTGAACATTATTATTCAAGAAAGGAAGGAATCGATTCGTTTGCTGGATAGAACTCATGTTGTTAAATTTTCATAAATACCAAATATTTAATCTGCAAAAGTATATTTACATGAGCTAGATAGTAAGTCATTTTTTTATACTACAATTAATTTTAAATTATATTAAATAAAATTCTACATGGTTTGATTAAATGTCAAGTCCTTTAAAATTTTATGGTCAAATCTACTTTTATGTACTCAGCTAATTGTGTCCCTTCATTTTGGTCAAGTAAAGAAAGCTTTGATAATATTTTCACTTTTAAAATGAGTTCAAGAAAAGAAGAAAGTAATCATTATAGATGAAATGAGCTACGTACTTAATGAAATCATTAATTAAATACATACATTGATCTTAAAAGTTTGACTAAGTTTTTATACTTGAGAATATATTATTCAGCATGCTTTTACAGGCATGCAGATATTTTTAAATCTACAAACAAGCTATTAATTTGTGAAATGGTATATATTAAATAAACATAAAACAAAAACAAACCAAGCAAAATGATTTCCTCAGAACACAGAATATTACGAACTATTTCATTGTTCAATTTTGTCATCAAACAACATTTAAGTTTTTGGTTAGTTACTTTGAACTGGATACAAATAGTAAACAATAGAAAAGTAACAATACATTAATAAATTACGGCAATATTGCAAACAAGCCTGTAGATAACATAAAGCTACGTTTTGTGGTCATGATGTAAGGGGGCTTTGTGGGTTATTTTCTTGGTGATGGACCAACATTCCGTTAAACATAATGTAACGATTTCACGCAACATAATAAGAAAAATATTTTACTTGGTTTGGAGCTTTTAGGCTTAGCCTATCCTTCGTTTATACTCCGTTTATTGGCATTATTCGGTCCTCGTAATAGTACAACATCGCAACAAAGCATATAATTATCGCAGAACTATATAGCACCAACAAAAATGAATGTATTTTTTTATGCAACTACATAAATAATAAAAAAAAGTTAGATTCTCGCATTCCTCACTAGAGCGCGCCACGGTAGATATAATAGTGCGAATCGTATCATGATATATATGTGTGCGTACTAGTGATGTTTATTGCACGATATATTCATGAGACTACCTGGGTGGGGGTATTTAATGCCTTTGGTAATGTTTCCGAAATCAACCGCTGCAGATGAAGCGCTGTAATACTTGCAAATTCTTCTCTTAGAATTATCCATAGACCATAGTATAATGCCAATATAGAATGATGGCAAATGACAACGCGACGTATGTTATGTTAATTCACAATCCTTTGAACGATCGCAGCGCCAAGAGTAGATGTATTAAATTTTGAAAATGTTTTGTTTCCTTAATTTTTATTATTTCATTATCGCTACTGTGAAACATAGTTTTTAGGAACTCAAAAATTAAGAAAAAATTAGTAATTAATTCGTATAATTAATGTTCCTTGACAGATGCGGTCACATACTACAAATGCCGATTCGAATTTAGTATGGCCATTCTATTATACAAACTAACCCATGATACAAAGCTACGTCTTTCAGCTAGTTCACTCTCCCTCCCCTATATATACAGTTTACACGATTGCTCCGATCCCTTCCTAGGGCTTATAGAACATGGAGACTACAGTCTCCATGGCCTAGAATCATCTGTCACACGTCGCCATTTTGAATGTAGTAAAGCATTATTTGTCCAAAGCGCTTCAGCTTCCTGATTACTGCTACTTCGCTTGACGAATTGGTTGCTTTACTAGTAATTATTGGAATTTCAATCGGAATCAAAAAAGATTTTCATTGGATTTAGTGAATGACCATGTAAGTAAACAAAAACAGTGTCGTACTTTTGAACCATTATTTTTTTCGTTGCTTTGCGTTATTTCTAGTAGATGTATACTGTTTATTTTTTTAAAATAAATTGAGTAAAAAATTATGACGTAACTGATTAGTCAAACTTCTGATTTTGAAGTATGGCATTGAAAAGATTTACAAATACTCGTTCTTCTTCCGCATAGTATTTATCACGTCTGTGTGGCACACAATTTGTAAAAGTTTTACATGTACAGTTTGTTTCATCAGTATCAAAACAATATCAATATTGACTGATAAAAGCTTGATAAATTTCAATCTATATAACGATTCTTCTATATTTTTAAAAAACGTCAATATATAAACAGGTCAGCAAAATGAACAATAACAGTATAACGATATTTAGTGTAATTTTATTCTGAAAGGGCTTACAGGGATCGTGATCGCGATGGCGACAGAAGAGGAGGTTTAGGATTAGGCTTAGGAGGTAATCGCGGAGGACTCGGAAGTGGCAGTGCTAATCGTAGTTTTCCTGGAAGATATGGCGGAGGCGGTGGGGGAGGCAACAGATTTAGCAGTGGACCAAGCGGTGGAAGAGACATGGGAATGGGATTCGGTAATAGTTCATTCAAAAATCGTCAACCAGGCGAACGATTGCGAAAACCAAGATGGGATATGAGTTCACTTCCACCATTTAGAAAAGATTTTTATCGGCCACACCCAAATGTTTGTGGTCGTAGTCCTCATGTTGTTGAAGCATACAGATCTGATAAAGAAATTACAGTTAAAGGTACTAATGTCCCTTCTCCAAATATTTACTTCGAGGAAGGTGGATTCCCAGACTATGTCATGTCTGAAATACATAGACAAGGTTTTGGGGAACCAACGGCCATACAAGTAAGCTATCCAAATAAAATTAATTTTTGTTTAAAAAGTAGAAAATATTGATAAATACTATTTTCTTTTTAAGGCTCAAGGCTGGCCAATAGCTTTGTCAGGTCGTGATATGGTGGGAATTGCTCAAACAGGCTCTGGAAAAACATTGGCATATATTCTTCCTGCGATAGTTCACATCAACAATCAACCAAGATTGAATCGTGGTGATGGCCCTATAGCTTTGATCCTAGCTCCTACAAGAGAATTAGCTCAACAAATTCAACACGTAGCATCAGACTTTGGTGTGTCGTCGCAAGTAAGAAATACATGCATTTTTGGAGGAGCACCAAAAGGACCACAAGCCCGTGATTTGGAAAGAGGCGTTGAAATATGTATAGCTACCCCTGGTCGCCTTATAGATTTTCTAGAGCGAGGAACGACAAATCTTCGAAGGTAATATAAAAAAAATGTATTGTTTGCTTTTAAATGGCACTCAATGCGAATAGCAATATTTGGTTTTCTCTGTCACTTAGGTGTACTTACTTAGTATTAGATGAGGCTGACCGTATGTTAGATATGGGCTTTGAACCACAAATTAGGAAAATTGTTGAACAAATTAGGCCTGACAGACAAACGCTCATGTGGTCAGCAACATGGCCTAAGGAAGTTCGTAATTTGGCTGAGGAGTTTTTAACTGATTACATACAAATTAACATTGGTTCATTGACGCTGGCCGCTAATCATAACATTCTACAAATTGTGGATGTATGCGAAGAGTTTGAGAAAGAAAATAAGCTGATGAAACTTCTAGAAGAGATCTCTCGTGAACCAGAAAATAAAACAATGATTTTTGTTGAAACAAAAAGGAAAGTAGATGAAATCACTAGAGCCATTAATAGATATGGATACCATGCTATTGGAATTCATGGAGACAAGAGTCAACAAGAACGAGACTACGTTTTGAGTCGTAAGTAATTGCACGTCAATATTGAAAGCAATAGGTTTCGTTGAACGTTTGATTATGACATCAATGTCTTAAATAGAATTCCGAAACAGCAGATCAGCGATATTGGTTGCGACAGATGTAGCTGCCCGAGGTTTAGGTGAGAATTTATTCAAATATTTATATTTTTGATGTGAGGGGTCAGACTGTGATGGTTATTAGCAAGATAAAGTATTGAACGTGGCAACGAATAACGGCATGAACCAGACTGAAGTGCTGATGGATAGTAAAGAATAAGATACATGTTTTCATGCATTAACTAGCAATATTATTTATTTTTATAAATGATATTGCTAGTGTTATTTATTAATATTACAGCTGTTTCTTATTAATACAAAATAGGTAATGAATTGAGGAAGGTTCCAGTAATTATTGGAAATGAAATATTTTTTTATGTATATAAATAGGATACTGATTTAGGTCTATAAGATAGCGATACAATAGTATAAGATGGTCACACAACACAATAGTTCTATAATGTTTAATTAGGTTAACGAGATACTCGAGCAAAAATAGCAAGGCAAATAAAAAAATGAATGTAATCAGTCTGGTAATAATTTGCTGTTCTATGTGTTTTCAGAGGCACATGCGACGGAGTTTTATCAATGATAAGAACTCTAGAGAAGCTTGCTTTGGAATAAATAAATGAATGGGGCGTGACTGCTGATCGTCGGCCCCATGCAACAAGCTCTAACAATACGCTGTGCCTCAACCTGCCGTGCCACTTGATACACACTCTTACTCTAATCCTGCCAAGGACCAAAGTATGGAATTTGTTTAGTTAGGCAGCTAGTGTGAGGCAACAAAAATTGTCTAAGTGAATAGGATTGCGTTCGTTAAAATTTGCGTGATCAGATAGTTAGCATAGCTAAGCATTGGAATATGCCTATTTGCAATGCTTTCACTGAATTTCGGAGAACGAGAAAAAACACTGTTATTTAAACTTATTCTAATTTGAAGAGGGGCAAAGTCGTTTCGTAAAGCCTTAGCACGAAACGTTTAAAAGTATTGCGATTGGCATATCTAGATGCGAAAAAAGGTGTAAAGCAGATGGGCCTTGCCTGGAGAAAATAGCTAGGGGCGAGTTCGTCGAGTGCAGCTTTAACAGAACGAAGCAAGAGAGAAATATTGAAAGATCATCTATGATCCATACTTTGGTGCCAGAGAGAGGAGGTGTATGCTTCCTATGTCTTAAACAAGAGCTTGCTAGTAATTGAGCGAGATTTCTAAACCAACCATCTGAGCTCTGATTCCTCCACATTTTCAAACAAAATGTATTTACATTTCCAGCTGTATAAAAGCGCAGGTAATTACAATATAAAACTTGCTCTTTGTGGTCCATTGATTCTTGGTTGCTTTTGTTCATAAACTAAAGGATAGGCTGACAAATGTTCAGACATTTTTTTTCGATTGTATTAATATCTAAGTTTCTTGATAAATAATTTAAAAATTGGATCATGTAATATGTAAATCATATAAATTAAATGAAAATGTTATATCCTTCGCGGTACGCGAAAATAACAATTTTTTCTGATTTTTTCAAGCACAAAAATATTTATTCAGAACATTATTTTAATCATGTTTGAATTTAATATTATTCAAACCATTTTAATACATCGACAATATTATTATCATAATATTATTTACTGCGTGTGATTATCAATGTTATTGTCGGATCTAAAAATATTTTATTTCATTAAAATAGATGACTGTACATAATAGTTTTTCGGAAAAAATAAATGTTTTTGTTGGCTTATGAAATGAATTATGGTAAGTTTGGACAATTGTATCTTTAGATAAGCGACACCTTTATTTTAAGAAGAAAACAAAGAAAAAAAATAACTTTTAAGTTTAATCGGATATTAAAATATTTGACTTTTGTTAAAAATTTACTATGACATAAACAATGCAAAGCATGTGAAATTTGTTCAAGACTCTTGCAAAATCATTTTATAATCAATATAAAATATAGTAAAAAGAACAATTGCCATTTTGAAGATATTGAAAAAAGAACGCGTAAATAAACATGCTTGCATTGTATAAAAAATTTAATTTAATGTTTTTTACCATCGTGATCGACATTTTTGTACAGATGTTGAAGATGTGAAGTTTGTGATAAATTTGGATTACCCATCAAATTCCGAAGATTATGTACATCGAATTGGGCGTACGGGGCGTTCGCAACGGACTGGAACAGCTTATGCATTTTTCACTCCAGCAAACGCTCACAAAGCCAACGATTTGATTGAAGTTCTTGAGGAAGCCAAACAGGTTGTTAATCCAAAACTTTACGAATTATGCAGAACACCAGGATTATATAAAAGTACGTGGAATTATAATATATAATACTTACAACAGCTGAGAACGGCATAAAATTTATGATAATAACAATTGTTATAAAGGAGGACGGTACGGTAATCGTAGTGGAGGTCCAATGAGGAATAGTAGCCTTAGTAACAATCGAATGGGTAGCTTCCGTGGATTGCGCGGCAATCGTGATGATCGTCGAGGAAATGGAATTGGAGGACGATTTAATGATCGCAATAATGATCGTGGAGCTAGCAAATGGACAGGCAATTCTGGAGGTACTTAATCTTACACAGTTCTTTTTTTATCTTAATTTTACTGCGTGTGATTATAATGATGTTATCTTCTAATAGGTGGTTTAGGCCAAAACTACGGAAACAATCAAAATCAAGGCTTCGGTAATAAAAGTTTCGGTCAAAATAACTTTGGCGGATTAGGCTCTCTTCTCAACAGCAACAATACCTACGGTCAAAATGGGAATATGTACGGTGGCAATTCTGGTTTCAATAGACCACAGAATAAATATTGAATTTTGTTATATTGAACGATTGGTAACGTCTGCTGAATCTATTGAAGATTACTTGTGCAAAAAGTTAGGTAAGAAGTATTGAAATCTTTCTCAATAGGTTTCGGAAAAAATCATCTTTTTTAACGTAAAAATAATCTGTTAACTTTTTTTAAAATCTTGTATTTCAAAATAGAAAGAATATTCTGACTGCTGATTTTTACTTTTCTTTAATAATGTCATGTAATACATTAGTTAAAGCTTAATGTAGATAGCTGACAGCTAGATGATATTTGTTTAAACAGCATTCGTATTTTGACGATAGCTAGATGATAAACTTGTATTCTTATTCAAGGCATTAATAAATGAAAACATGTCTTTTGATAGATAAAAGTTATACATTTATTTCATTATTTTTCTTCATAAAATTATTAAACAAAACATGAGACATAACATCGTTATTGTTTTTCATAAGTTTTACAAGTTCAACGTACGTTGTATGATAATAATAATTTCAAATCAATTCATATGCTATAATTGAATTTATGATTAATCAAAATATTAATTATATTGATTGTATTAATAACATTAATTAACTGTTAATTATCAAAATAAAATTTACTTAAAATTCCCACTAATGATTTGCCATAATACTTAATAATTAATTGATTGTTATAAATTTTGATAAGATTATCAACATTTTTACTGCTCTTTTTATTAAAGTTCTTCACATCTTGTGCAAAAAAATTTTCTGATCTTTTCTGATCTTTTCTGAAAGTATAAGAAAATTCAAAATTTCACGCTCTCTTTTAGCATCACCAAACAATGCTGAGGCTGCATGTCGGCGACTGATCAATTTTTTAAAGATAAAAGTAAAAATATAAAAATAGGAGGGGGAGATTTCGTTTGAACGTCGTTTCAATTTTTTGAGCGTGATCCAATTCATTCCTCAAGTCTCTAATAGTAGTGAATTACGTTTCGCTACTCCAACAGCATACGTTAATCGTCGCTTTTGTTTCACTGCAATATTACTGTTACTTAAATCAAAGCTATAAAATATTGGTAATATTTCTTGGGTTCAGGTTAGAGAGTTTTAATGAAAGTTTTTTATTGAGTAAAATATATTTATTGATTTGATAAAATAGAAAAAAAACATTCATGTATTATTACCGTGTATTCAATACACAGTAACAGAGTACAGCTTATCTTAAAAATTACCTCAAAGTATTCAGCAGCATAGGCATGGAGAGTTGCTATTGATCTTGGTGGAAGTGTTTAAGATTTCGCTCGCTAAAGATTCAACCATGATATCGCCGCTATTCTGATCAATTATTTTCATCAAACCCTTCTTGCATAATATTTTTGAACAATCATACATTGTTACATATTGTAAAACTATACACAGACCATAGCGTGTTCGATACTCCATCAATACATTGATTACCTTGAAGAATGATTCTGGAAAAACTTCTAATATGATCTTCGTTAAGCATTTGCTATAATACGGAAGAAACAAGTCACTTCCATAAGTTTCAATGAGGTTGTCGATATTTTTGCCGCATTTTTGACCAAATTCACATTCACATCCACAGTACATGTTGAAGAAATTCTGATAAAGATTTAAGTTTACATAACAGGTTAGTGCTTTTCGCATTGAAGCGATTTCGAGGAAACTCGAAATGAAGCGCTGAGTCATGTTTTTGTTTGTATTAGACAACAAATGATGGAATACTTTATTGTGGTCTAATAAGTAATATGCTTTACACAAGTGATTGTTATAATAGTCAACATGGTTTGTATCCCTATGTTCAGATATAATTTTCATAAGTATTTTCAATCTGTCTTCGAACATTTCTACGTCGATAAAAAGGTATCTCTCAAATATCAATTCCAGCTTACAATCCAACAGGCAGTTTGTGATGATATCAGTGGTCACACATTCTGGCAACTGACTGAACAAGTTCTTTTCGGTAATTTCATTTATAAATTCAAGTTTAAGTTGTTGTTTTTGTTTATCGATACCGCAGAAGTTATCGATTTTCTTAAGAATCTCGTATATATATTGAAGTTTATACGACGGTTTTATGTCATTCAAATTTTTAAGAATATTAAAAATAGTGACATCGTCGGACTCAAGGTTATTTATAAGTAGCTTCATTGTCGTCCAGCTATTCTGATTAGGGTTCCGCATGAATTCCTCGTAAATCACCTTCGCAATGGTTTCGCGAATGCCAGGATTTTCTTCCTCCTTCCAGGTCTTGGTTATATATTGATGTATCTGTGTTTTCTGGCTTACCTGGAACTTAAATCGAAATAATGCTTTCCTTACGGAGATGGCTTTGCTCGGGTCACTATCCACGAAATGACGAACTCTATCGATTGGCAAGCGTTGAGCAATACTACTAATTGTTTTCAAAGCCATTGACAAGTAGTCACCCCTTAACAAAGGAAGCATTTTGTTCAAAGATGGTGGCGGGTTGCTAAAGTTCAAAGCAAGAGGCAGCGAGGAAAGGAATTCATACTCCTCCTTCGCATCGGCCGTCACATCACTGGCATTGATTTTGGCCTGTTCAGGTAAATATGCCTCGACGATCTTGCTCAAAGTCATGCCATCCAGTAGATTCCCCAAAATCATAACGTTATCTTTATTCTTGATATTCTCCAAGGACTCAACGAACTTCAAAGGTAGATCCTGGTACCATTTGAGCGACCTTACAAAGCGTAACACATTTCTTTTCTTATATTTCACCAGTAACATTTTACAGTCGTCTATATATCTTTGAACTTTTGACATAATTTTGTTTCGATCTTGCTTCAGAATATTCAGCGCGTCGTCCGTAGTTACGTCGTAAATCAGATCAGGACACTCGTCGATCATGTTTCGATAGAACTCTGGGCTTGATCTGCGGAGAACTGTCCTGAAGGACAAGTAGAACCGTCGTTGATATTTACACTTACTTACGTTGTGGTTCAATCCATTGGTAGTAAGCCTATTGCTGGGCGTCAAATCCTTCGCGAATTTCGCTAACCACGGATAATTTTGTATGGACAGCTTGGTTGGTTTCAATCCGGAATCCGGGGAAGCGCACAAGTACACGTCGTTGACTTTGCTCAGCTCTGTGACGAAATAAACCGTCAATGTGAGCTTGTTATCGTGGATATCCTATAAGTGGTCGGTTTCGGGATATTTTTGCGGCACCGCCGCCAGGAATATCTCCAGGCAAACTTTTCTGAGCGCCGTCGCTTTCGGGATGAAGTTCCACTTGTTGTTGTGTTTGAGGAAGTTACTGAGCGTTACGTCGACGACTATATCGAGAAAGGTCTTTTGGCTGTCGTTCAGTGTGTCCAAGGTGGCCTGCTTCAGAAGGTAGAGCTCAAAGAGCTTGTTGAACAGCGTTTCCGCCAACTTGGTATCGGTGAAAACGAGAGAGTCCTTGACGTAAGCATTCCGTAAGATTTCCTCGATGACCTGCCAGTGTTCGCGGTCGAGGGATTTCATGTTGTCGAAGGATTTGGTCAGCATTGTCAAGAATAACATTAGAACTGGAGCTTGCTCGTTCTTGTGGCGCTTATTGTAGTACCGGAGAACCCCCAGCAGGTCCTTCTTCCTCTTGTACAAACTGCACGACTTCACCATGAATTTGAGGCATAGGTCTCTCGTATAACGTACTTTCTTTTTGATTTCATCCTTCAGCTGGGGTATCGCCTTTTCCGGTGGCAGTTGATATACTCCGACTATCTTGTTTTCTCGCGCTAACGATTCTTTCTCTTTGATCGGTAACCATTTGAATATCGATTCGATGTCACGTATTGAGAGCTTCGTTAAAACGTCTACACCATAATGTGCCTGGAAAATCTCCCGGTACAACTTCAAGCCCTCTTCCGACGGGAAGTATATCAGAATTTGTGGGATTACGGAAACGCTGAGGCAGGGGCATTTGATCGATTTCGATCCGACATTGATCCGCAGTAGATTGATTATCATCGTTCTGAATCGCTCCAAGCCGAGCTTTCTCTTCAGCTCACTTCTCCAGCGTACCGCCGGGACAAAGATATCTGGGTATTTGATGAACGCATCGTCTCGTAACAAGTACTTGGCTTGCCTGCTGCCAAGTCGTAATAGACCATCTAGGTAACCTTTCTTCTCGAGGAAAAGCTGCACGTAGAACGAGACGTGCTTCTTCAGGAGTAACGGCATGAAATCAAAGATAATACTGATCCGCTTGGCAATCTCTTCAGTTTCCTCACTCTTGATAAGCTCACTTATGTAGCGGATGACCGTGTCGGGATTTATGCGGTACATGTCCCTGAGCATTCTGTAGGGGGGAACCGTGTTTTTGATCATTTCGTACGTGTATCCCTCACTACAGGCGATCAGCAGCGGCCTCGCCTGCTGGATGCCCAATTGCTCGACAAACACGGCGTGGAAGTGCTCGGCTCGCACGGTGTCCAGGCATTTGCTCAACGTCTTGATCAGATCAAGGCGAGTACGCACAGAGATGAAGGGCAGCACGTTCTCCGCGAAGTCCTGCGCGTCCAGCTGGTCGTTGGACCGGTGGAAGAACCACTTTGCCCGCAGAGCCATTTTCACGACGGTCGCGTCGTCGGATTTGAGGGCCGCGAACACGGCCTCCTTGGATCTGAGCTTCGAACCCACGAGGATGCGCAGAGTCTCGTGGAGAGCGGCAGACGCCAAGCTGGTCTCGCCGGTCCGCGCGAATCGCTCGCTCTCCTCCGCGCTGTCGATGATTTTCATGGCGATCGAGTGCAGCGCCCTGCGCTTCTCGCCTGCGCTCGCTCCCGCCAGCGCCTGGACGGCCAACAGATACGGCGACACGTTCATCTTGGCGCGCCTGCTCCCGGCACCTGTTCGCAAGCGACAGATCGCCGACGTTAGTATGGGGGTCGGCTCGTCGATCGACATTTCGTTCGCGAAAGCCACCGAGAGCGGCTCTCCTTCGTAGCTCGCGAAAAGTAGCAGACCCTGTAAGTGACGTACCTCTCTCGTGGAAAACAATGAAAAGCCAGTGGAAAAACGCAGGTACCTGCGGTTGCACCGGATCCAGCGGCAATACTGCGGATAGTTCGAGTGCAGGTCCGCCCGCGTGCTCGCTGCAAATAACGCGAGCGCTATCTCCGTCGCTGAGTTTTGCCAACTGCTTGCGCGCTGAACGCTGCTCGGCAATCACGACTAGCGAGTTGGTGTGATGCGAGTGATAAGACGACGGCCTGCGAGAACTATGAAGGTAGCCCCCTCGATTTTAAGGGAAATCGTTGAAATAATTTTGACAACGATATTAATTCCACTGATTGTCCCTGATATCAGTGATATAATGTCCCATTTTCGATTCGTCAACGGAAAATGCGTGATACATGAACAGGCTCGTTTACTCTAATAATTATTGATGAATTTTCGCGTTTGATAGCTCAATTAAGATTTTAATTTCCCTCGACAGCCCCTCAAATCGCATTTCCTATTCAAATGCACAATTTTCAAATTAAAATTATTAATAATTTTCGTGTCGCGAGCGGCGGGAAAACGTTATCAGTTCATATTTCAGCATTCCATTTCCAGTACAACGCTCGTGTTTGGCGGACAGTGTGCCAGCGACGTGAAATTTACCTTTTCAAAGCTTAAACGTTTTCAAAGCTTAATGGAATGCTGAAATATGAACTGACACCGTTTTCCCGCCACTCGCGGCACGAAAATTATTAATAATTTTAATTTGAAAATTGTGCAACGAATAGGAAATGCGATTTGAGGGGTTGTCGAGGAAAATTAAAATATTAATTTTGAGCTATCAAACACAAAAATTCATCAATAATTATTAAAGTAAACGAGCCTATTCATGTATCGTGGAAAATCGTGATTTTCACGCATTTTCCGTTGACGAATCGGAAATGGAAAATTATCACCGATATCAGGGACAATTAGGGTAATCAATACCGTTATCAAAATTATTTAAACAATTACCCTTACAATCGAGGAAGCTACCTTCGCAGTTCTATTCTCGTGCACCTGTGTGACTTTCGCTACGGCTTCAATGGGCGCGCGTCTCGCGCGATTCTTCGGATTCGAGCGCGCTGTGGCTGGCGAGCTGCTTTCCATTAGAAAATCATTGTTAAGTTGCCTCCTATGAGAGCCGTGTCGAGTACTTCTGTTGCGAGACGTTAAATCATTCAAATGCAGCAGGTGTAGAAGCTGCAAAAATACGTCATTGAATAACGATCAATCCTCATCGTAGGTTTTCGACTTTGAAGCAACTCGGAAGTCAATGTCGATAGCCAAGTACATTTCTAACGCGCTACGAAAGCTCTAATGTCTAATTTTGAGCAAGTGCATTATTGGCATTTACAAGTCGGAGCAACTGCATACAGAATCGTTTTTGACGAACATTAGTAGCTTTTCGTGCATTGCAGTCCGTTCGCAAGCTACGATGTACGTGCGCTAATCTTTGCGTAATTACTCGTCGGGGCCATCGAGCCGAAACGCCCCGCAGGCAAAACACCGTCAATGTCAACGAACCGAACGACTTTTCGTTAATAACGCTTATCCGAGGAGTAACTGAGCTGCGCGTCACGAGAAGAGAATCGAAAATACTCGTCAAGGTTATAACGGCGGCGTAGCAATGCTCGAAAAAAAAAATGGCAAAGACCATTTCGCGCTACAGCCTAATTAAAATGACGATAAGTCTAGGAAAATGTTCAAGGCGCTTTCGATAAAGTGAGTAATTTCTTAGCTGGCGCTCATTCGAAGTAGTCGTTATTGAAGGCGCGGTGATCAAAGCAAAGTGGTAGCAGCGAGTACAAGCGAGGCAGTTGACAAACAAAAGAACTGAAAACACCATGGCGTTTGTTTATTTAATGACCTTCGTAATCGTCCTCGTGATTTGGAATTTGTGTTTACAATACAGTAGATGCGGCAGAGTGATGAACAAAATTCCAGGATTGCCGCCTCTGCCGTTAATCGGGAATTTCCTGTCGTTCGTTGGCCGAAACGGTATGTCGTCCAATTATTGTCAGTGTCAGTCAGCGAGTCTTTTACAAAAAGTCGAAGCGATTCCGAGCGAGTAGAAGTTGAACGGGCATACTTCGGCGCACCGTTTGAAAACAAGTTGCACTTTTTATCAAAAAATGATCTTCTTGCGCATACCTAGAATAGGCTTACAATGAGTCAAGCCGTTCGCGCTTTATTAATAATCTTGCACGCGCTCCTCACCAAGTGAATCGCTAATGGGCGGTAATTATATTTGTTTAGAACAATTTTGGCCGAAAGTAAGCTACCTTTTGAAGAAATACTACCCAATATTTAGGGCCTGGGGTTTCTGGAACGTTGCCGCGTTCATGTGCCATCCGGACGATTTGAAGGTAAATCTACTTGACAGCCATTGTCGAGAAGCTGTACTTTTGATCTCGTTACAGATACTTTTATCGTGTAAAAAAAACATCACCAAAGCACCTGTCATTTATAATAATTTGAAATATGCCGATATCGATGGCATAATTGCATCTGACGGTAGGAATAACTTTCTCGCCTTGCCGTCGTCAGAAAATTCGCCAGAAAATTAGGAACAAATTTAACGCTTGCTCGTTGTTCGAAGGTGACCGCTGGACGCATCGCCGAAAAATACTAAATTACGCGTTCACGTCGAATCATTTGGAAGGTTACTCGGAGAAAATAAATAAACACGCTGCCAAGTTCGCCGCTGAGCTTAGGTCGCGAGGAGACGTGTTTGTCATGAATATCGTGCCGATGCTGCTGAAGCTCGCCTTGGCAGCCGTTTGCGGTAAAACAACCGAGGGCCTTCGCCCGCGATCCCACGATTGGATGAAAAAATGAAAGTGCCATTCTCTCGTTCAGATGCAGTAATGGACTTCGATACGAGCAATATACCGGCTGAAAAGGAACGAGAATTCAGAGACGCGGTGAACGAGCTGTTTGAGATATCGCTGTACAGGTACTCCGACTAATCGAGCGTCTTATCCAATCATGCGCGTGTTTTCATTTTAAACGCTCGTCCCGAAGGGCCGTGAGGCCGTTTCTCCCAGACTTTCTTATGCCGTTTCTACCCATTGGAAGGCGACTACGGAAGGTTTCCCAAATTTTAAACGATTTCCGATGGACGGTAACACGTTTCATTACAAATCAATCAATTTTCTTTATAAACTTTCGATAAAATTCCGTGTATTCGCTGAATATAGATTATCAAAGAACGACGTAAATATTACGAACGGGAAGGATATATTTTTGAAAACGGTGTAGATAAGGATGAAAGCGATACTAAAAATGGCCTAAAAGGTGATGAACACGATCACATTCACTGGAAAGATGGAGAAAGCTTGAAATTTGCATTGATCGCAATGAATGTACGTTGCAGGATTGAAAAATAATTTATCCGTACTTGACCTCCTACTGTTCGCTGAAAAAAAAGGTTTGATCGATGATCATGGCATTTCAGAAGAAGTACTCACTATTGCGGGAGCTGTAAGTACGCTTGGGAGGATTACATGGGCTATTGTTTTTTTTTTTTTTTTTATGGAAAACTTTAATATAGCGTTTATCGCACAAATATGCCAGATAATGACACGATATCAGTCGAGATTTTAACATTTTGACTTCTCCAAAGGGCTATGAAACTACAGGCATGGCGATGGCTTTTCTACTGACATTGCTAGCTGAAAGCAAAGAACAGCAGGTAAGCGTAAATTGGCCATCCGACAACAATTTCCCGTAAAACCGCGAGTCCTTTTGCACAACAGGATTTAGCCAGAGCAGAAATCTTTAAAGTTGTGGGCGACGATGACTGCATAACGACAAACCATATTAAAAAAATGGTCTACCTCGAGCGGTGCGTGAAAGAAGCTCTTCGATTGTTTCCAACTGCTCCGCATATTGGGAGAACGATAACTCATGATCTAAAACTGAGTAATCGCGTGCAAGTTCCAGTCAAAGTTCCGCTGATGAATGTTTGATTGAAGTAAAAAAAGTATATTTTTAGGTAAGCACACGTTGGCAGCTGGGGCATTAGTTGCCATGAGCCTCTACGATCTTCAGAGAGATGATCATTTTTGGCCTGAACCTAATAAGTTCGATCCCGACAGATTCTTACCAGAAAATGTTAAACAACGACATCCCTGGGCTTATCTTCCTTTTAGCGCGGGACCACGCAACTGTATCGGTAACGGCTATTATTATAATAAATTCGAAACAGTTACCGAAGACACATTTTATTTCTACGAAGTTTGCATTTTACAAAAACATTTTCCAGGCCAAAAGTTAGCAATGAACGAAATGAAACTTGTGACTGCCCATATTTTATATAACTTTTATTTGGAACCAATAGATATTATTGCTAACTTGAAATTGGATATGCATTTCACCATTAAAACTGAGAAAATCGACCTGAAATTCATCAAAATTAATCGTGAATAGATTTATTTTTATAATTTTAACGTGTACAAAGTTATTTACAATTATTATCCCCTCTACCATAATAGTCGTTACTGTATATTGTGGACTATGGTTGAATGTCGTCGTATGAAAATATTTTATGAATCGTAATAGTTGAAAAATAAAAAAAATTTTAACTAAACACATTTTACGTCGCATCTTTTCAAATCAAATGAACAACTCTACAATTAATTTCTAATACTCGTTGAATCTATAGCTTCTATAGAAATGAAGGATATAATTTTATTAAGAAAGGAAACTTATTTTTACAAAAGAAAAAATATTTTATTTGTGGTACTAATCTCTAATTACGCTTTGCGTATTGTTTAGACGTAAGAAATATATTACGATAAATTAACAATTACCTGGCAAAGTTATTCACAAGAGCCGTATTCCAATTAAAATTTATTATACAAAATGTTGTTAGCGCAAATGCTAGTTTCAGCAATCCTACAACTAACTGACAACGTTCATTGTTTGCTGATCAAAGAGGTCTGACTGAACGGCATTCAGGAACATCGGTACACTATGCTGGAGTTGTAGATGACGTTCAATAAACGTGGTAAGAGTGGCCGAAAAAGGAGTCTCCACCATATTGACTCCATCTTCGTTCACTAGGAAAAACAAATAATCGTCTGGAGATTCCGCGTACTGACTTGACAGTTTGTACTGGCCCTCCTTCGTACGGTCTACTCTCCAACCAAACAGCTGGTAACAAGTTTGACGATACTCGTGTGACGAAGCTTTGAAAGCTTCCTTCAGACGAGAAATTTTTAATTCATGTTTCTGTTGAAGTTCAGCGATTTCTGTAAAAAGAATATATGAAAAATGTTGTCCAAAAGTCGCCCTAGAGGTGATGGGAAATAATTCACTAAAAGTTTTTAGTACACTTTTAATTTTCCAAATATTTGTGATGCTATTGTGAATTCCGACCGCTCTTAATTATTTCGTGCGTTCTAATGAGTTTGGTTATCATTTAACAATGAGCACAAGCACATCATTATCTAACTTAATTATTAAGCAATTTTACTAGTGGATATTTATCTTCTAAAATTGTCTTTATTTATTATTTGATAACTAAACTAGTTAATTTGCTAGTTCGAAATTATTATAAATCATAAAAAAATGAATTTTTGCAAACTTTTTCATATAAATAAAGAAAAATATAAGGTTATGTCTATATTCTGAATAGGACTCATTAAGGTAAATTCATGCTCATTAAATAATTCTCAATTTCTGGAAAAATTTTCACGTAGCTTTACAATCAATAATTTATTATGTAAATTAAAAACATACCTTGAGCATGCACAGAAGAAGTGGTAGGTGTTCCTGGAACACCTCCAGAACCTACTGCAGTGCGAAGCTGTTCAACTTCCTGCAGCAGTGCTTGTTGCTTTTCGACCGCTTGTTGTGCGGCCATTGTCAATGGATTGAACTTGAAGTGTAAAATCTTAGCGTTGATATTAAAATCACCTTTAAGTGCTCTGTGCTCCAGTTCACCTTTCAATTGTTCAAGTTCATCCTTTAGTTTCTTATTTTCTTCCCTCTGATTTAGTCCATCGATAGATTCGAGATCAGCTTCTAATTTTGCCACTAAATCCCTACAACAATTATTCATGAAGTAGACTGAAAAATAAAATGGAAAATTAATTAGTTAATCAAATACCTGTAACCTTCCAATGCTCGTTCTAAAGCGGGTATCCTTTCATTCAATAGATTTGGCGTTGATTCACTACTTTGGTAGTTAGTTATTTCTTTTTCATATGTATCTAACTGTTCTCTGTAACTGTCTCTTTCTCTTGTAACAAGAGACAATTTTTTTTGTAATCTACCTACAAATCTCGTAAGTCTATCTTGCGAGTTAGTTGTACTAGCTAAAACTTTTTTCGTTTCTTCATGCTTCTGTTCGGAAGCAATCAACTGTTTCTGTAGAGAATCGATTTGTGACCTCAATTGACCTTCTTCAGAAGTAAGGAGAATTTCAGCCTGTTGTAATCGATTAATTTCCCGTCTGAGGGCACTTGGACCACCAGAAATTCCGATGGACTCATAATCCGAAATTTTGGATAACAGCTCTCCTTGAGTGATTTCCAGTTGAGAAATTTGACGCTCAAGATTTTCAGTTCTTTTCAGTCTATCAAACATTTATAAAATCATTAATAAATATTGTTTTTAAAAAAAAGTAGAATATTAAAATTACCTTTCTTCAACATTCGCCATTTGTTCTTCCAGGAGTAATTTCCCTTTGACAGATTCCCTCATAGAGGCTATAATTTCTCTAGCATGAGTTAACTCATTTTCCAATTCGCATACTCTTCCTACTTTATTAACAATCTTTTTATTTGCTTCATACATGACCTTTTCAGCTTCAAGAATTCCAACTTTGATTTTGCAATTTTGTAAATCAACTTTTTGCACTTCAAATTCTTGTTGAATGGACATGGCCTCTTTCAATTTTACCTCAAGATCAGCTATCCTCTTAGTAGCTAATTCATACTTATACTCAATATCTTCAAGAGGTTTTGCAACATGTACAGAAGTTTCAGTTTTATTCTCTTGTTTGATAAGTTGCCGAAGTTGTTCTGTTAATTTGTTATTATCATCTACAAGTGCTAAGACTTTTTGTTCCATTTTGCTTTTCATCTGAATATCAAAAAACATTGCATGGTATTACTCAAGAAAACGTAACTATGATTGGATACTTACTTGAATTAAATCTCGCTCAGCATGTGCTTGGGCAGTTTTGGCTTCCTGTACAGTCTTTCGTCCTATATCTACTCTCAATTCCAGCTGCTTGATCGTTGATTTATCCTGTTCAATTTGAATTTCCAGTAATTTTTTTTCCTTGCGACAAATTTCTTCAATTTCTTTGCGTACTTTGTGCAGCTGTTTAATGGTGGAATCTTGATGTGCAATGGTTGCCTTCAAAGTAATAACCTACATAAAAACAAATAGTTTAATAGTTTAAATAATGAACAAATTAAAACTTCGCATTAAGTTTGACTCACTTCTCCCTTCATCCTACGCCATTCCCAAGGACTACCTGGGATTTCACTGGTATTCAACAATCCATTGGAAGACTCATCCATCTTTTGCTTTTTTGGAGTTTCCTGATTGTTATCATCATTGTTTGTGGAGGAAATACTGTCTCTCTTTAATGGAAAACTGGTGTTGCTACTTCTTCTCAACGCCTCAGTTCCAGAACGCAAGTTCTTTATTATTTTGCTCGTGCTTGGCTTTTCGTTATCCATCTGCAATCAAAAAATTCGCGATAGACAATCGAATGTGAACAGAATATGATTGCTTCATTGAAAATGTCAGTACAAATTAACCTATAAGACGCTGAGCATGAAAACTATGTCATCAGTACTGGATATCATTACGAGCAGGATTGAAAAAACCTACCTTGCCGAATGCATAAATCCCCGAAGAACTATGGATGCACACGAGGATGCATTCGAAGTCAGGCGAACAACAAACACACGGTGATAATCAATTGTTTGCCGAATGCATTCGCTTCCGCGCTATCGCAGTACCACCGCACAGTATACACAATTAAAAAGAAGTCTGAAGTAGTACCAGAGATTAGTAGGGAGATTGCTGACGGCAATGCTTCCGAGCGTGCCCGACAAATGTTACTGGTTCGAGCGCCCCGTAGTGGCCAAAGCACCGAAGCTGACGCACATTTTCGTTCGGCGCGAGAGGGGAATACCAAACGTGCGTCTAATATACAGAGGAGAAGAAGAGAATGTGCGTCTGACCAATCACGTTAGCCGATGGGCGGGGCGAAGCAAGAGTGCGAGTTTGAGCACTCGAAGAGAATTTCGTCTCGGCAAATCTTTTCTCTTCGACCAGAATAAAGGCTTCGATTCCCACTTGATGCAATTTTTTTTTTTTTTTCATAATTAAATATCTCGAAATATCTTAATTATTACAGCAAATATCTACAACTTAAGCCCCTTTTTTAATCACAAACCCTCGTACATTTCTATGAACATATGTAACTTTCGTACGACGTAATCCTAGTGCGTTGATAGCCGAGATGGCTAACGCGTGCTGCTTGGTTTCATTTTTGTCGTCCCGGGTTCCAGTCCACGTAGATACCATAGATAAAAATTTTTTTTTCTCACAATTACCTTACAATTAATTTGTATGATGACGAGATTAATTTTTATATTTATAATTTCAATATAAATTCTAACTTCATTAAGTATGAAGTTAGACCGATGTCTAGAGTTGGGTTCAATTCCTACTCAATGTTATGTTTTTCCTTTGGTTTTAACTTTTTTTTAGATATAATTTATAACGGTTATTTCAGAAAATAACTCATGTCTATTTATACAGCTCTTATTAATTATCTGGGTATGAGGATGCAGTTCCTTTTGACAGGGTATTATCACACAAAAGTGTAAATTTATATTACCGACTGATCTTTTTCAGGTACATAATCGTAATGAGAAATAATATTTATTTCTTGAACGGTTATAATATTTTGATTGGATAGAAAAGTGCGCGGGATTTTCCTAACTATTAAGCCCATTTATATCTATAAAAATTAAATCAATATGCTACATAGATTCAGTTTCTACTGATCTCGGAATGTTCAATTTAAAAAATTTTTTTTTATGAACAAAACTAAAATGCGCGTAATTGTTAATAAGTTTTATTGGTCTTTCACAATCATGTGCAGTTTTTAAATAATTTTTCTACGTCAATTTTCATCAATTTTCCGCTCAGTTCCTTCATCCACACTTAGAATTTTCTTTTTTTTTTTAAATATACATGACTTTGACATTTATATATTTTCACGATAAAAATAGAATTTTATTTGCCAAAATAATGATAGAGTGCATTGCATTGCCAAATTTATTTCTTCACAAGTGGCTTGATAAAAGGCAACGTTTAAAAAAAGACTACCAATAAGTATTTGTGTATATATATCATCTAGAAAATGTTTCCTAATACAAATCGAACGTTTGCTGGTCCTCAAATAATCAACAGAAACTTGTAATTATTACTCTTAAAAATACGAGCTCTCTAAATCTTATATATGTGTATATGTTTGTTTTTTCAAGTTGGAGCCGTAATTCACTACAGTTTCGTATTCTCGTTGCGTTAAGTGTGATATAACCGTCTAATAATTATTCTAATTTCGGGAAGAAAATGATGTTAAATATATTAATGTTTATAAAATAAACTTTTAGGCGTCTTTTACATGAATATATTTTCATCAGACCTTATTTAGTCAATAATGCTTTTAGAAAAGATTTACTTATCACTTTAGAGTAATCGATAAATCATACTTAAACTTCAGAGTTGATTTTATGTCCAGAGAACACATTGGTACACGTGTTTTGACTTCAAATTTCGAACGTAGAAAGCATCTGACATTGACGTTAATATTTTAAAGATCACACGTCTTATTATAGTCAATAGCGTTTCGATAATTACTAGAATTGATACTTTGCAAATTGAGCATTCTTCTGTTAATCTGCGTGCTTTAACATAATACACGCGTTAATATTAATGATTTAATACATCAATTCAATTTAAACAAATCAATTTAATAAGCAACTTCATAAATTATAGCTTTTATAGTATACATATAAAGTTAAGCTTAATAAATTGTAGCTTTTATAGTATACATATACAGATGTTACATACAAATAATATAAATGGGTAACGTAGATATATCAATATACTTTTGTTTATATAGAAAACTAAACAACACTATCGCATAACAGTTAACAGCCATTGCCTTATTTCACGTATACGCCACTCCTATAAATTATTTTCTCCTTTATTAATAATATTACTTTGATTATTTGCATAATTATGTAAAAAAACGAAAAAATTCCATTGTATCCATCTTGTAGATTTTACAAAATTAAAAGACACGTATTTTTTCTTTTTTCGATTAATAGAAAATTGACTGAGTTACGGCGTGCCAAAGGTACCCACGATTATTCGGATATATGCAAATGCTATGTTATCGTGACGTCACGGAAAGCTTTATCGCGCTCTTTCTCGGCCAGTTTTTAATTGATTAAATAAACAAAAAATACGTGTCTTTTATTTTTTAAACATCTACAAGACGGATATAATAGATTTTTTTCGTTGTTTTTCATAGTTTACTAGTTTCACTGCATCGCATGAACTTATATAAAGATAGGGGATTTATAAATAAATATGTTAAAAAACAGATATTTTGCGAAGCTAAAAATAATGGAAAAATCTTTTCAACCGCAACAAAATACCTATAGAATATATATATACTCACCTGTCTCTAAAAGAACGCAAGTGTAAAAAACACTAAAAAATGTTAATTGTTACGTCGTAGGTCTGCCTTTTAAAAAAATACTCGGATTTGCTGGGACAATCGAGGCCTATGGTAATGAAACGAGTAAAACACTTAACATTAAAACTTTCTGGAGAAACAAATTTAAAGGATTAATACGATGCCGCAATTCAAACGTTTTTGTCGTTACATTTTCAAAAATAAAAGACACATATTTTTTTCTTTTTTTGATAATGAATAATTATTAATTTACATGGCGGGGACAATAATTTAGAGTTCAGTTGGCGTTGTTTTATTTCATCAAGTATTATTATTACTTATATACTATTTGAGAGGTCTATCATCCTCGGTCTATCAGTTTCGATTTAAAAACAATAAGTTGACCTTGAAACAACCTTCAAGAATATCGTCAAGATCAAATCCAAGGCCACCGTTAAATTCCTCGTTGAAAGTTACTAGAAAAATGACCTTAATCTTTTTCAAAAATAATTTACATAGAAAATGTTATAGGAGTTTCTGGACTTCTTGGAAACCCTCTACAGGGTATCCCACTTTAATTTAGGTTATAAGAGAACTCCGAACTTTGCAAAGTATTCGAAAAATTTTTCAATAAAAAATTGTAAGTTATGAAGGGATTTACTTGAACTTCATTTTCAAGGTTACTACAGGGTTAACTTTATTTTTTAAGTAGGAACCCGATTTTTTTACCCAGGATTCCATAGAGTGAAAAATTCTATGTTTATATAATGTATCCCAGAGAACCTGCAACGTTATTTCGAGGTAATAGAAGTTCAATCTTTTTTTTTCACTCATTCTCTACCTAAATTACATAAGAACTTTAAAGATTCATGAAAAATTTTAAAGACAAAAGTTACTATACTTTAAGAGGGGCATCCACTTTGACTTTCAAGATAATTTGAAGGTCATTTCAAGGGCAGTTTTGTTTTCGAGCTGCAGAATGTGATATAAGTCATTTTTTCTACTTTTTCGAATACTTTGCAAAGTTTTAAATTATATTACTGTCCAAGTTAAAATAGGACGCTGTATATTTATCAGACAATAAATTACACAAATACATTTTTTTTATATTATAAGCATGAATGTTTATTCTAAATAATATTTGAAATACATAAAAATATCGGTAGAAATAGTACATGTACAATAAATACATAATATTAATAATACATAATATTATATAGCATCTTTTTTGCTCCAATGATACGTTCAGGCAGAGCAGTTTACAGCATATTATTTAAATTTTTTTTTAATTTTGACAGGTTTCCACACCACCACAGAGGTACTGTCAATTAGCATGTTACAAGAAGGCGAGACTGTTTAACACATTAACATTAAATTTGAATAAAATTATACATAATATTTGTATCTTTTTTAGTTTTTTAGTTTTTTTCTCTCGTTGTTCCTTATAACACACTCGGCGCGTTGTTTTTTTTTTTGTTTGACTTCAAAACATTGCATAAAAAAATATAAATTAATAATTTAATTAATTGCGTGGTATGCTGCAATAATAAAATTATTAAATACTTTTTCATGAAAATATATGAAATAAAACCGTGGAAAACTCGCCTAGAGCCCTACTGTAACCACGAGAGTCTCTTTCCTAACCAATATATTAATCTACACGAGGGAGAGTGAAAAAGAATGAAAAATTTGTATACAAGGGTGCGGAATTAGTAATAGTTAAAGAATTTAAATATTTAGGATTCCGGTCTACACAAAAAACACGTACGCGACACATACTAAAAGAATGGCAGAAAAAGCAAGTCGGGCAATCAACGCAGCATAGGGGGTTATGAAAAGAGCAAGAATTGATAGCTTCAGAAAGCGGCTACATCTCATAGATAGTATTATCAAAGCGAAATGTATGTACAGGATAGAAATATGGGGTTGAAGAAAATGGGAAACAATAGAAAGAGTACAAGAAAAATTCAAAAAGATAGCCAATTATAAGGAAAGCGAAGGAAAATGTCCGATGAGTAACGATAATAACGATTAAGACTGTGAGTCACGCTAATGCTTTAGGAAATTTATTAAATAAAGCTGTATTTGTAATTTAGATGTAAGGGAACTAATGTAAAAGACCAAAAAAGCTATAAATGTACAAGAATAAATAAATAAATACAATTTAATTTACAAATTAAAATATACAAACAATATAAACGCTATATAAACATATATACGATATTAAATGAACAATATGATATAATTAAATGAACAACATGAACATAATTAAACATATATATAAAAGTTATATAAAATTAACGCAAGTATAATATAATATAAATAATAGATAAAAGAGAAAGAC